CCGGAGCGAGCAATCTTAAGAGAGAGGGCAATTGCCTGCTATAATCGTTCCTCCTTATCCTCCTTAGTTAAGTCTAGGATCTTAGCTTCTTAGATGCCCTGTAATAGCTGCTAGCTTGGACTGCTATTCTAAGAAGAACTAGAAGCACCAGACAATCTCGTCTTAGTAGAAGAGATGGAGATAATCGACACCTCTCTACTCCTAGCATTATTAAGCCAACGACGCCGAGATGCCGGAGTAATAGAAGGGCCAGCTTAAGGCTTCTTCTTAGGAGTCTATGTCTTCCTGCTCTTAACTATAGTTTAGTCGGCTAAGTCACACTCCTACTAATAATTGCCCCAGAGACAATTGCCGCAAGCTCCCCACTTAAGTCCTCCGTGACGACACTCCTTAAACGGGCCAATCGTGCGGGTCTTGCGACGGCATCTACAAGCCCGCTTAGGCGCTCCGCCCAGCGCTTAAGAAAAAAGAGAGCCTAAACGCCACTATAGTAAGTGGTTGGGCATGTGGCCGATATTCGTGTTCCATTCGATAGGGCGAAGGTCGTCTAGCTAATATTGGTGCAAGGCCTCGATAATGGCGCCCAGCTTACAGATTTCGTACTTCTTAAGGCGCTCTTATAGCCTAACGCGCCCATTAAGAAGGATTAAGATGAACATCACCTCACGCATCCAAGCATCGGTAATACGCAAGAAGCCTAGGACACCATCTAAGCTTATCGCACTCGGCTCTAAGAGAGCTACTAACCGTGTAAGCAGCCGCTCCGAGGTGGCTGCTAGATTAAAACCGCCTTAACTACGAGGCCGAAAGACTAAGAGACTGTCGTATTGCCCACGAAAGCTTCGGGGGAAGTTCTCTAAGGAGCGGTTTAAGAGGGGATTAAAGGACGATGTCTTATCATTTCCCTAGCGAAGGCTCGCCTCACTTACTTAACCGCCAACTTAATCGAACCCGAACTTCTCGTATTCTGCACGAGTAGCTATCGCCACCGCCGGAATTACGGGCACTAGCTTCCGCTAAACGCTTGCACTACGGCTTGGAGTGCCGTAATCAGGAGATTAAGGACTTAAAGCTTCCTTAATTATCTATAGTTCCCTCTCCTTCCGGAGATCCGCCTTAGAGAGGCTTAGACGCAGCTTAGAAGTTGCCTTACCTAGAGATAAGCCCAGAGTGGCGCCTAAGTTACGAGAGCGTAGAGAGCGCCTTAAGCTTGTAACGATGTCGCTAGTGTTCGCCGTGGGTCGCTTTCCGAGTAATTTCGCGCTTAGGTTGACTAGCGGGTCTTAACCGTCACCCTTCTTGCCCTTGTCGCCGTCGTCGCTCTTCTTGGACCCCTCCGCCTAGCTGCGAGTTACACGCCTGTCGCCTATAGCTTCTTAATGTGTGCAGCTGGTATAAGAGAAGACGTGTGTAATAGATAGAGGAAGGGGAAGTGTTAATTAAGGGACTTGATTAGGGAAGGGGAAGATAGATGTGGATGTGGATGCGGAGGAGAAGGTTAGTGGATTAAGAGGGCGAGTTGATATATGCCCTAGCAGCTCTTAAGCCGCCGGATATGCGTTACGCCTCGACGCTCCCGTACCCCGTGCACTACTCCCGCTCCGCTACGCTATAACCACTTGCTTAAGCCGAAGTAGCTAATCGCATGTGCTATACACGTGCTGCTCTAAGCCGCTAGCTATATAAAGGATATAGCTTGTAGCAAGGCAGAAGTGAACCCTACGTCTAAACCTTTTACTTAAGCGATAGGGCTCTGTAAAGTGACCTGTAGGGACCCCTTAGGTCTCTTAAGTAACTCCTATAGTTTTAAGGGCAAAACGACTTAGTAGGGGAGGATGTTCTCAAAGTCTCCACTTGAGAACTAAGCATGTATGCCTGAGGCTTAAGTAGCCACGTGACTCAGGYAGGACTATATAGCCGAGGAATTTTCCCTTAAGTAAATTCAATGAGAGAATTCATCCATTTTAGAACACACATTCGTTGACCCCACTTTTTTTACCTTCACCTTCAAGCCAACCCACCACCACTCGACAACCACAACTCAATTCCCACCCCACACACAACGTCACCACCACAACAACAACATCCAACAACCCCTCAACCATGGGTTCCGTCGTCATCCCCCACCTTCCCACCGCATGGCACGTAGACCAAGCCATCATGTCAGAAGAAGACCGCCTCGTAGTGATCCGCTTCGGCCGCGACTGGGATCCCGACTGCATGCGACAAGACGAAGTCCTCTACAAAATCGCCGACCGCGTCAAGAATTTCGCCGTCATCTATCTCTGCGACTTGGATCAAGTCCCCGATTTCAAGCAAATGTACGAACTCTACGACACGTGCACCATCATGTTCTTCTTTCGCAATAAACACATGATGTGTGATTTCGGAACGGGGAATAATAATAAGCTGAATTGGGTGTTGGAGGATAAGCAGGAGATTATTGATATCTTGGAGACGGTGTACAAGGGTGCGAAGAAGGGGAGGGGTTTGGTTGTGAGTCCTAAGGATTATAGTACGAGGTATCGGTACTGACTGAGGGATGATCCTCTGCTTGGAGGAATGCTGTTCACGAGGTATGGAAAGGAAAGCATGGGCATATGGGTCTCGGTACGCAGGTTCGGATCGTCTGGGAGGATGGCTGGATCTTCTGGCGCATGCTCCGTCACCGGCTATCAGATGCAAGGCTGAGGTCGTGCCTGCCTGGAACGAGCATGCACCACGCGCATGCCATTACGATTTACTACGACCGGCCCAAAGATCAAATATGACAATGAGCGAAGGAGTCCTAATGGTTGGTCTCCCAAATTGACATGATCTTTACTTTACAAACAAGTTGCTGATATCAAATCACTTTCAAGACCTTCATCCCAGAAATTGAAACATCAAGGTAGGTGCATCAAAAAGTGTCCCAAAGCTTAACCCAATTCCAGAGTACGACTCACTCATGATGGTTATAATGAGTCTGACTGAAAAGAAGATGGAATGTGCAGCGACCATCTTCTCTTCAGTCAACATCAAGAAACCATCTCTGGTCTCGGACCGAGCAAGCCAGCTTTGGCTGCCGCTGTGATCTTCGAACGTGCCTCACGCGCGTGTCGTCCACATCGCACTCTTGTTCAGCAGGCTCCTCTTCTTCCGGCAGGTTCACCATCTCTTGCTTCACTGCTCTTAGTTCGTCGTTTGGTACTTCTTCTTTGACCTGCTCCTCCCAGTATAAGTACTCCTCTTTCGCACCATCTTCTTCCACACTTTCCGCTTTCGCGCTATCCACCGTCTCATTGTTTCCAGTCTCGCATCCTCCTCCCAAACCATCGTATCCCGCCAAAGCTCTCCTCAAAGCCATAAAATCCCCTTTCCGCTCTACCCAAATCCTCTCTCCATTCCTCAGAGCTTTCAAAGTCTCCCTATGCGCCACGGAAATCGGGGACGAGCTTCCCTCACCGCCCTTCTCAAATCCCCAGACATGTTCTCGACAAACTTGACAATGATAATCCTCCCCCGAAATATCTTGAAAAATGAAACCCATACAGAGTGTATGTTGCCAACCGTGACAATCGACGCATTGAATGGAGAGAATCGTAGCAGAGTCAATGGGTAGATTTGAAGTTCCGCAGATGCAGGAGGAGGAGGAGGAGGTCGTCAGCTCGATGCCTTCCTTTTGATGCGTGGGTGTAGATGCTGGAGTTGGGGGGTAGTGGGGAGAGGCATTTTTGAGAGGGATTTGTTAGGGGGAATGGGGTTTGGGATGGGATTTGTAGCTGCGTGGTGAGTCTTTGAGCGGCGTGGTATGGACGAGTAGGATGTGGATTGTGCTGGAATGGCGATAGGGACGGATGAGTTGCTTTCTTTTCATGACTACAGCTTGCTGTATCTGATGTGTTACTTGCAGTTGGAAGTAGTAAGATGGGCTTGGAAAATTCCGCTTGCAATTTCCCTTGTGATTCTAGTGTCATGTATCGCAATGAACAGCCTCCCCGTAAGTGTCTTGAAGGAAGTTATGCCAAGATAAGAGCATAATTTCATGTATCCATATGGGACTTCATGTTATTTGCGAAGCTTCCTGGGTGAGGCCAGGCAGATTCCATTTTAACACAGGCTGCAAGGAGGATGCCGCCGACTAGAAGGCATGCCTAATGTTCAAATAGTTGGATGCCGTTCCCAGCGGCAGTATCGAGGACTTGCTGGAAAATGGCGGAAGATTCTTGCTGGGTGTGGGAGTATTTACCTGCGCTGACTATCTCGACCGGCTACAGTCTGCAGTCCTCGCGGTCTTCGATCCATTATTAAGAAACTTGCAGTCGAGGTGTATGTATCTCTACGCTACCCTTGTGCTCCCAAGCCCGCAGTTCTCAAGCGGGAATACTGCACTGGTTTATATGTCACACCACGGCGTTGTGCTCGAGTGTGATTCACATTCTTGAGAACACCTACTAGAGTCCAAAGAGTTGATGTAAATTGCTCATCACTTAGGTTGTCATGAATGTTCAAGCCGAAATAGTATAACGAGCATAAGGTAGGCAGCAATCACTCACTCCATCGCAGCAGCCCTCATTCGCTCCTCCCATTAAGCGCTTATCCCTGAATACCCTCCAAAAACCCATCATAAGCAGCCTTCCGCTCATAATTCTCACCCCAAAGCAAAGCATCCCCCTCGCCGGGAAAGACGCCAGGGATCCAAGAATACTTATCACTTGCGCCCTGCAATTCATTCATTCCCAAGTCAGCATCATCAACATGCAACAAATTTTCGAATGGGGGGGAATAATGTTCAACACTCACCCAAAGAGTCATCCCAATACATTTCTCCACAGCAATACAACTAGCCGCAATCCTCCGAAATGCATCCTTTTGCTCCTGCACCTTGGTCTCCGTACTCGGCAACGTAAACCTCACATCAATTTCCGTATAAATAACATCCACACACAAATCCGTGAAACCCGTCAAAACCCCCTCCAGCGTCTCTTGCGAAGGAATTACTCCACCGCCCGAGGACTCGGTGCCTTCACTGGTGAGATGAGCTTGTAGACCCACCCCATCGATTTGTATTCCGTAGGATTGAATTAATTCCACAATTCGTAGTGCACCTTCGTATTTGGCACTGCCGTATTCGAGGTTATAGTCGTTGTAGAAGAGTGCGGCGTTTGGGTCGACTGCTTTGGTCATTGCGAATGCGAGGGGGATGAAGGCTTCTCCTATTGTGTTGTAGAAGACTGAGGAGCGGTAGGTTCCATCTTCGTTTAGAGCTGCAACACAAAAAGAAAAAAAGATGTCAGTCTGATAGATTTGAACTTGCAAAGTACGAGGATTGGAGTCAACAACAAACCTTCATTAACAACATCCCACTGCTTACACCGTCCCTTATACCTCCCCGCAACCTGCTCAATATGATTCCTCATAACCTCAATCAACGTCTCATTATCAAATCCCCCCTCCTCAWCCCAACTCGGAAGTTGCGAATGCCAAACCAGCGTATGACAATGCACGAAATAATTTCTAGAAGCCGCAAATTCTACATGTTGATCCGCGGCTTCAAAAGTGAAATTATTGCGTGAGGGTTCGATTTCTTCCCATTTTTGCGCATTCTCGGGCGTGAGACTGTTGAAGTCTAGGGGGTTGCTTATGATTGCTGTTTCGGATGTGTCGGGGGGGTTGCGGAGGGTTACTGCTACGCCTAGGAATTGGCGATTGCGGGATTGGAGGGATTTCCAGAGACCTGTTTGTTCTTGTTGTCTCTCTTGTATGTTTCTGTGGGGGGGTTTGTTAGATATTGGGAGGTGTGATGGAGATGGAGATGGAGATGAAGACTTACGGTTGAGGTCTTGCAACAACAGCGTGAGAGGTTAATGCCAAGGAGGCGATTAGGAGGTTTTGAATGTACATGATTTCTCTTTCTCTTTTCTTTTCCTTGAGATTTGGGATTGTTGCTGAATGAATGATGGAATGAATGATCAAGGCTATGAGCACTCAATACACACACAACTTTACCATATCCCATGGGGAAACGCATCTTGATATATAAACCCTACAAACAGCCATGCATCATCTCCCACACCGAGGCAGCCTCTGGTAAAAGTGTGTAGTGTGTAGCGTGTAGTGTGTAGTGAGTGTGTGTGGCTCATTTAGCCTGAACCCCCCCTCTCTACGCAAGAGCTGCCAAGTAGAGTATGTACGTAGTCGTGAGGGGTTGCGGCTTCTTGATCATTGACGATCGATTGATCGTCAATACTATAAGTTAGGTAGAGTAGTAAAGAGGGTGTTCCGAAGCGAAGAGTGTGGTTCCAATCGGCTGTTATGTTTTCATGCATGCTGGGCAGTCTAGGCGTGGAGCCAGCCTTTCAGGCACTTTTCCCTTTTCCCCATCTTTGTTCTATTTCAGCCGGCTTGGGGGACTGCTCCTCCTCACACCCGAGAGTTAACCTCTCCCGTAGTTGTGGTGGTTGTCATGATGTATTGGATTTTCTGGGGACGGGTAAAAAGGAAAATCTGGGGTGAATCTGGGGAACTTACCTTAACCGTGTTTTATAATTTTTGGGGGGAAATTTTGTGTGGAAGTGGAAGGTGGCACGAGGCAGTCTGCTTGAATGACCTCGCTTGTCATTTGTTGTTGTGGATTTGCCGACGTTCAATACTCCTTTCCATCTTTCCATTTCTCGTGCAAATTGATGGAAAAAAAAGATAGACTAGTCACCGCAGTGTTAACAGCGAGGTGCATGTTGTGGTACGATGCGATGATTCGGCAACCGTGAAGCCATGATTCTCGCGCAGAGTCACTTGACGGCACAAGCTCAATTCACGCGGAGGACAATGACGGTCATTTATCAGATATTGAGTGAAAGGTGAATGGTTAATTTGATCATTGATCAATAGTGGCATTGAAGATTACATTAACTCGCTTTCGTTATATCACAACCTTTCCATCGCAGACATCAAACACCAATTTAAAGTGCGAAAGCAGCGGCGGCACCGGCAGCGGCGACGAAAGAGCCAATGACGTTCAAGCTGTTGGCAGCACCAGTGTAGCTGGCAGCAGGAGCGCCAGACTCGGTGCTAGATGGCATGCCCATGGAGGAGGACATGGATGGCATGTCAGTGGCCATGCTAGCTGGCGAGGTGCTCATTGGTGCCATGACGCTGTCGTATGCGTCGCAGGTGGCGTTGGGGGAGAGTGGGCAGTCCTCGGCAGTGCAAATGGACTGGAGCTCGACCTGGTCTTTGGGGATGACACCAGCTGCTGGTGCGCAGCGGTATCCGAAAGTGTCGTTGAGGGCTTTGCCGACAGCAGCGACATCGTCCTCGGTCACACCAAAGCTGGCGGCGGAAAGGCCGACCTGCTGGATGAAGTATCCAACCTCGTTGGCGTCAAGAGCCATGAACTTGTGCACCTTGTACTGGCTTGCATCACCAGCGTAGGCTGGGAAACCGTCGTTGCCGACCATGGTGCAGCCGAGAAGGCCACCGAAGTAGGAGTACAGGTGGGTGAGGAGCATGTACTGRGCGGAGTCGGTGCCGTTGGCTGGCTTGTTCATCATGAGAGGGGCCGCACCACCGTCGTCGAGGAAGTTGACGGACTTGGCGGAGCCTCCAGCGTTGGTGGATGCCAACGAACCGTCAAAGTATGGGACGAGGTTGACTGGGGTGCCCATGTAGGTACCGTTGGGGTTCAAGATACCGGGGACGGCGATGCCAACGTTGGGCTGTGTGTAGTTGCCAATGACGGCAGTGTTGACAACGAGGGTCACTGGGTTACAGTCAGCGAGATCGTTCATTACTCCGTGATTACGATTGATACTCACAAAGAGTGTTCTGGTTGGTGGCGTTGTTCTCCTTCAACAGGGCAGTGGTGTAGTAATCACAGATGGAGGTGCCTTCGGGGCGCTGAGCAGCAACCGCAGATGCGGCAGCAGCGACGATGAGGGCCTTGTTGAGCATGTTGGTGATTAGGGATGTGGATGTGGTGTAGTGTAAAGAAGGCGTTGCTGGGGTCGAGAGAAAGAATGGTTTCAAGCAGGGTGGTAGGTCATCCTTATGTATCCCTTTGTCTACCAGACTCATTCCGGCACAGAAGAGAGTTTCTCTTCCCGCAGGCTCGTCGACTGCAGGAGGGGCAGCGTCAAGGTTCAAACACACGACGGGTAGGCCCGTGGTTACCACAACGGTTGATATGGGAGGCGTTTCTCCCCGAGCTTGACCTGAACGGGCAAAAGTGCATCCCAGCCCAAGCGTCCAAGACATGTCGCGAAACACAAAAAACAGCGCAAGAGATGGTGGCCGGGCTTCGTCCAGGCCGACCTATCACACGTTCGTGGCGAGCGGCATTCTCCCACCGAACCCCCGGCGAWACGTTGTTCGATGTCTTTGTTATTCGGGAGCATCGCATTCCGAGACGCAGGTACCGAAGCTAGAGCGAGCATTGTCGCATGGGAGAGACTGCTAGCCTGCTGTTGAGGAATGTACGGAGAGGAGACCACGCAGCTTCTCTACGGCGCATGTCAAGACTCAAGGCCGGAATGCCAGATCCGATGAGATGGAGTAGGTGATGAAGTTTCGGGCGCCGCTCTTGCCGTGTCATGGCAGCGAATATTGCAATCGTCGTGAAGAAGATCGAAGGCGTTGCCCAGCCAAGACCCTCAATCGAGTCAGCGACTCCCTCATTCCCTTCTGGCCTATCCATGTGCTGTAGCGTGCTTGGGACATGATGGATTGGGCAAGTGAAGTGAAAGGTGACCAACCAGCGTGTGCATGATAGTAATCGGCGTGAATTAAGCTCCCCCCAATGCGGAGCGATTCATTTCCAGTGACGGCCCGCCAACGGGGAGCCAATGATTATGAGTCTGATGACCCGAGCAAAGGCGTTGGAATCTGTCTCGATCGACATGGCGCTGGTCTCGATTGCGCTCGGAAAGTCAACTTGCCGTTCGCTTGCGACGACTCCTGTTGGCGACGAGTAGGAAGCCGTCAGGACACGAGAGCGGACGACCTCCGAGACGTGCCACGATCCCGCTGCGATGATGAATCGTGAGAACATGCCCAACTCTCCTCCTCCTCCATGCAATCCAAGACAACACAGCGCATGGAAAGGCCCAGGTTGTCGTTGGCTTGTGACAATGAAGCATTTTACCCCACGATGAAAAATGCATGGTTGCGGAGGCGGCGACAGCGGACCCCCTGTTGACATCGTCATTGATTATCAAAACATGTGCGACCGATCGGATACCAGCATTCCGGATGCATCTCCAAATCCATCCTCAACTCCGCGTAGCACGTCCGTAGGTCCGATCAAGTCCCTCTTCACTTGGAATGGAAATCGTGCGAGTTGAATGCTTCACCACCTGTTTGATCTTCCCGAACATCTTTCCTTGTGCTATACCCTCGACAATACACAATACCTGTGACGTGAAACTCGACGAGTCACGGCCGGCCGGTGCTCGACGAATAGGTTCAACTGGCCTGACCTGAACATGGCAACCGCGGATATCTAGAGGGAAAAAGTCGCGCATTAGGAATACCTTATGACTGCTACAATAAAACCTGAGGACTGGTCATGGATGGAATCGTATCAAAATGTGAGCTGGGAGCGCGCACCACGGCGCGGCAACAGATCTTTTGCTATCCTCATTTCTGCATAGGACATATGATTACGACCCCTGTTCTATCCTGTGTCGCCTGCGCTAGGATGTCTCCGGCCAGGTACTTCCTGTTTTGAGGCATAGAATAGTAGGATGGGTTTGCCAGGAAGTGATGGCAGTTGTCTCCATTGGCGACATTTATACAACTCGCACGGCAGTACCTCCGTCGCCGCTCAATTACCCCAGTTCCTTCGATCCATAACACCGTGCATTCTCACGGTGCCTCCCTATCCTACCCGAAAACGAGCAGAGTCCGCCATTTGATTGCTGTGAAATAGCGAGGTCTCACATACTTGTCATAATTTACAATGCAGCACAGGTCGACTTTGCTCCAGTCTTCGACCAAATGCGTTCTGCAATTGGATCCTCATACCAGCGCGAGGTGATTTCTGTCACGGTGCTTGGTAGTGAGGGGGTGTTATCGCCAAAACAAMGACCGGGAAGCTTTTGCGGAGTAGGAGGTGAGGCTCTTTAAACATGAACAAAGCAGTAAGCCTTTGAAATTTGAAGAGTACCGCCAAAGTCGCTGGAGCTTCCACGCGTACATCATTATGCAGAGAATGGCATAATCAACGTTCCCGTTCGTCTTCCAACAGCGCGTCCACGACATGAAAGATGCCCGTCACGATTTTCATGGTGCCTTCATCCACGCTGCCTGTGAATCTCTGCTGTACCTTATCAGGATGCCACTTGACTCGCTCCATTTTGAGGACTTGTAGTCTCGTCGGCCCTCCTTCAGTATGAGGAGCGTGGCGCAGAAAGTCCTCAATATTGGGCTTGGTGACGGGTTTGGATTGCAATACAGGCCAAGGAATGCGCTTGGAGGGGTTGTCGGTATTTCTGGACGACTCCTCCTTCTCGCGATCTTCGAGGAGCTCCAGCTTGAGATTGTCCCAAGCCGCAAGATAACCTGCCCAAGCATGACGAAATTCATCTCGGGCATCGTCACTCGAGCGTTGGGAAGCTCCGGCAGGATCGAGGACATACTCATAGCGTTCCTCGCCATCGCTGTCCAAGCCTGCAAACTTCCTCGCACCATCTTTGTTTGCGCGATCCCATGCATTTCGTTGCTTGCGACGTACGAACTCTTCGCGTTGTCGCGTCCGTTCTTCCTCTTCTTCCCGCCTCGACTTCTCCTTTCGCTCTCGCTCRAGCACGACCTGAGGATTCTTCTTCTCCCACATGCGCGTCTGAACATACGCAGCWTACTGCTCGTCGTTCATCTGCTCCAGCTCGCCTCTGGCACTCTCCACTGTAGGGCGTGGGTAGACATGAATGGGCTGGCTGTACACACTCTCCCAGTATGCCGCGCCTTCATCGTCTGCCAAAGCATCAAAGAGGGAATCGCGAAAAGCCACGCTGGGGTCTTCACGTGCCGTACCATCCGGGTTCGTTGGCTCTCGCGGAAAAGGGTGGGCGGCTGTTTCTTCATATTCATGCTGTCCTTCCCTCTCTCTCCGTATTCGATGTTTGCGAGGTTTGCGAGGTTTGCGATCCTGCTCGCCGTCTCGAGAACGCTTTCTTCTCCGGGGAAGCGTCGTGCCGGATTTGAAGCGGAATCGAGAGGAGCTTTCTCGCTCGYCGTCGTCTTTTACCCTGTTACGATTGTGCTTGTCGATCTCGTCCTCGAGACTGGCGAGAATAGCATCGTGGTCCACATGATCATGCTGTTTGTTTTGCGCGAGGCCGGCCTTCACTTGCCTCTTGGTCTCCTCAATCGACGGCATTTCGGCGACGTGGACACACTGTACATTGCGACGGCAACAACCTGCATGTATCCGGTGGGAGTTGTTCTTCGCGAGAAGAATCTCCAACAAACCAAACATCGGCATTTCGCACATGCATGTCACGTCACGCATCGACGGCCACTCCCGCCGAGCCGAGATCCGAAACAAAGTACCCTAGCTTGCACGCCTTCCATGCCTGCTTCCGTAAGAACAATAATAGCAAGCGAAATGAACAAGCAATCTTTCCGATGCATTTTCCAGGCATGAGGTCTTCATCAAGACTTTGTACAATTCTAGTCCTCTGAACAAGTCTCCGTCTTTCATCACCGTCTGTCCAAAGAAACAATCTCCATCCTTCTTCAAACATGGCTCGCAAGTCGGCGACCAGCTTCGAGGGCCCAGCCAACGGACACGCGACCACTCCCTCATCTCTCAAGGACGAGAAACCAACCATGACCTCTCCTCTACAAGAAACCACCACCAACAGCAGTGCCGCGGACGTCGACGACGAAGAAAAGCCCATTCCCTTCGACCCATCGCTCCTACCAAACGGATCCCGCGATCTTTCCTTCATCGGCCTCCAAGCCTTCTTCCTAGGAATCACTCTCGCCACCAGCATTCTCCTGACCCTCTACTTCCTCAGCATAACCTCCGCATGGTGGAGACTATCCTCATTCGTCACATGCCTAAGCATCTTCCATTTCCTGGAATACTACACCACAGCAAGATACAACGCCCCCTCAACCCGAGCCTCCAGCTTCCTCCTCTTCAACAACGGCAGCGCGTATGCCGCAGCACACACATTAGCGACGCTAGAAATCATCCTCTCCATCATCTTCCCCAAATACCACGCCGCGGGCCTCTATCGTCCCCTAACCCTCACAGCGGGAGTGACTTTCATCCTTCTGGGCCAGACGGTTCGAAGTATCGCTATGAAGCAGGCAGGAACAAATTTCAATCACATCGTCGCTACGGAGCACAGGCAAAACCACATTTTGGTCACGCGCGGAATGTACGCTTACCTGAGACATCCGAGTTACTTTGGATTCTTCTGGTGGGCGATTGGAACGCAGTTGCTGGTGGGGAATAAAGTCTGCTTGGTGGGATATGCGGTCGTGCTTTGGAATTTCTTTTACACTCGCACTATTGGTAAGCCTTGAGCCTATCCACACACAATCTCTCTCTCTATGAAATGTCATGCTAATTCGCCCTTTTTTGTAGTGGAGGAGAGAAACCTCGTCAAGTTCTTCGGACAACAATATGAGGAGTATAGGAAACGGACTGGAACCTTGATTCCTTTCGTTCCGTGAACTGACTAGACTACTTACTTGTTTGTGATCGACTCACAAACAGAGTTGAAAGAAAGAACAATAGCTAGGTAGCAGTCGAATTGTAAGATCAAATTCAATAAAACCCCAGATTTTCCCAGCCAGATGTTGTGGAGAGTAAGGTAGCCAATATACATTCATCCATTCACCTCACCCCACGTCAAGGATTATAGCGTCTGAACCGCCAAGTTCTTCATCCCCCAGCACATCAACCTTTCCTGCATATTCGATCAGTAGTTATATACATGCTATATTCCACGTGAAAAGATAGCGTGTCTTCGTTCATCAAAGAATGCAAGACAGAGAAAAAATCACAACAAGTGGGTATCATTCATTCCTACGCTCAGCGTCTATGTACAGTATGCCAAAATTCCATTCCTAGAATGTAAATGCCCATCTCTCCTTCAAAGAACATCTATAATTTTTCAATTCTCGTCCTGTACATGTAATTTTTCGAATCTCGAAGTCCTCCTCTACCAAACCWCTCATCTCACAATCCTTCAGTAGTCCCAAAGCTCCCCTGCAATGGAATAGAAAATCTCTCCCCAAAACAGATGAGAAATGCCAGGATCATTAATGTCGTGCGACTCGCCCATGTCCAATCATCGTCATCGTCGAACGGGAAATAATCACTCCTCCACCACCGACGCATCACCCGCTTCCCGCCACATGCGACTCCTCTCCCCAAGTCTCCTCACACCCGGGATCCTCGTCGCCCAGAGTGATTCCGAAGGTGTTCGAAATGTGAATCCACGCTGGGAATTGATGACTCCGATCGCTTGTAGGACCCCTTTCCGCGCGTCACGAGCGAAGATGGCGGGATGCGTGAGCCATTCGAGACTGGTTTCTAGCTCCGAGTCGAGGGCTAGCGTGGTGGCCTTGTCAATTTCCGAGGCGATGGAGAAGGGTTTGAAGACATCTCGGAGGGAGGGTGGGGGAGCGCGTTGGTTTGGGGGGAGGGGGAATAGGGGTGATGAACAGACTGGGGTGGGAGGTCCGTCCCAGGGAAGTCCTGGTGTTGGTGGGATGGATCTCGGTGTTAATGGGAGGCTACCGCTTGGCGGAGGGGTTGGAAGGGGAGGGAGACCGCCTTTTCCCAGCCCTTTGAGGATCGATCGGGTTTCCTCTAGCAGGTGTAGTGCTCGATCATGCTGCCCTCTTGCCACCAGCCCAAGGGCTCGAGATAGCATGTCAGAAGTCAGCAATTCCATGCGACGTTGAACAATCGAGGGATGCGGAGGTATAGGCGGTGTCACTGGTCGAGCACTCAAGCTTTGCCTTGCAGCCGAAGGGAGCATTGTGATGGCGAGCAGAGAAGGGCGTGGAAGCTGTGTCTGAGCGCCGTCTCGGAGTAGGTCGCACCATACGAGGTCCGCTTGGAGAAGTGGCAGCTCTTCCATGGATGTCATCTGTGTAACCTCAGAGTCCAAGGAACCCATTGCCTCCAAGCCAGAGATTATGCTCTGCCAAGGGTCGACGGGCGGTGTGTCTGCAGATGGGTCGTCCGGTTGTATAGCAAGCTGCACCAGGACATCGCGTTTATCTCCGAAACGCAAATCACCCAACGAGACCTCTACGTCTCTACCTGTTGCGCGTTTCGTAACCCGAAGTGCTCCTGTGATTTTGACAAACTTTGCGGGTGACCCTTCTGGAAGGCGCAGCCGGAGTTTGACATTCTGATGAGAAGTGGACTGGAGCGCTCCCAGGCATCCGGCCATGCATTCACGCAGCATCATCCAGTCCTTGACATAAGTGTAGCTTGCCTTGGTCCTGGTGGACATTTCGACCATTGAATCTGGCTTGTGTGTCAGACCGAGCCCGAATGAGTGTATTGGTATTTTGGCAGCTTCAGCTCGTGAGACCACAAAGTCGACACTGTCGCTGTCGGAGGTGGCAGAATCGCTGATCAAAATGATGTGCGAGAGTTGGTTCACGGTCCTCCTCTGCATCAACATGTCCATGGCTCCATTCGCGCCTTCAATGACGTCCGATCTCATATTCTTGGGTGCAATCGGGCGGATAGATTCAAGTGCCCTGTGCCAGCCATTCCATCCTTTGTTTGTCAAGCCCACCAGCGGCACTCCGCCGCCGCCAGATCCAAAAGAGACTATCCCCAGTCGATCTCGCTCACCCAAACTGGCAATCATGAATCGCAAGGAGTCTCTCAGAAGACTCATCTTGAGGCCTTGCATTGATGATGATACTGGGATAACTACCACTATGTCGAGAGGTATGTGGATTGACGAATCTCCAAGACGGGATTCTTGTGATCCTTCTCTTGACAATGAGAACTCGGTCGGTGCTGTGCGCGGTGACCGTCCATATCCTGAAGAACGAATCGAGGTTCTACCGGAGTTGCCAATAAAGTCATCATCTTGGTCGGTGGAAACCGACCTGCGATCAGATCCGTTCTGCTTGAGAACAGCAGGATCTTGCCTGAGAATGTTGATCAGGCACTTTCGCCATTTCTCCATCAGATCTGGCTCTCGAAAACGGAGATGAAACGCGGGGAGCCGGGCGACTGACAGTACCAGAGTCAGGATGTTATCATCTGGCGAGATTTCAACCTGCTCCAGGTGCTTCCGAATCAGGATGGAACCCTTGAGCGTATAGCGCATGCTCGTCCCATTCGGAGGATTCCCCTTCAACGGATGTCTCTTCTCCTTGATGCAAATCAACATCTCGCTGAATAAATAGCACTCCAATTCTTGCCAAGAGTGACGGTCTTTGCCCACGCGGATTGTGTCGTGCAGCAAAAGGGTCCCAAATCGTTCATAGTCCAGGCCGTGCCAGTCATCGATGCGTCTGAACAACTCATCCCGAGCCTCGTCGAGCGCCGAGTCCCCATGCACACTGTCCACAGGCCTTTGATAATAGGATAGCGGCAATACTTGAGGCTCATATGGCTCTTCAGATATGGTTGAAGGCACTGGTGGAGGGGCTCGAATGTCATCAGATCGTGGATGCCATTTGCCCTCAAGAACCTCCACCGTGACCAAACATGTAAGGCTTTGTTGTTGCCGAGATTTGTTCAGTGTTGGGAATTCGCTGCGTACAGTCACAAGTGGTGCTGGAATTGGATTTCTTGTCGCGTTCCGGGTATCCGATGCCGATGTTTGGACCGATTGCGAGGATCTGGGCCGCTGATGCCTTTTATGATCAGGTTCTGTACACTCATAAGGTCGAGCCGCACTCTCATTACTCGCTACTCGTCGATGTGACCCGGTCGCAGAATTTATGTATGAATCGAAGCGTTCGCCACTTGATAACGWCTGAGCATGWATCTGGTCGGGCAAAAGATGTTCCCGCGATGGTTGCTGCTTGGGCATTCGCTGGGAACTGTCGTTCTGCCTTGAAGCGCCGTTGGCCTCCCAGGGTACTGGTGTCGTTTCTTCATCTCGTGATTGATCGCGGGGAGTGGGAGTCGGTGTTTGTGTAGATCKAGSWRGCYTGTTAAGMTTGTCGAAATCGATGTTTCCACCTCGACTGGTATCGAGTCCTAGTGGTTCCTCACAGGTAGGACATGTCTGCTCTTGGAACTCTTTGATATATTCATAAAAACAGGCCTCGTGCGCAACGTGACCACAAGTAAACTGCAGGACGCGTTCACCACGCAGCATATGTTCCAATGGTTCCTCGCACGCAGCACATGTGGCGCCCACGAATGTTCGCTCACTCCGACGGATTCCCTTGGATTTGAGCATGTCGTTGCGCTGTTCTTGCCCGCGGTGAGTATTGGATGCAGACTTTCGTGAGGTCAACGTTGCCCTCTCCGTAACAATTGAGGGAACCCCTGTTATGTTGAACGAACGGTGACCGTCCTGAACTAGCCTCTGTGGTGAGACCTGCTGGCGACTCCCTGAAACAGTGTAAGCTACGTTCAGCCATGGAGGGATTTACATCCGAATTCGAATTGAAAAGCGTGTAGGGATTCCATACATACCCAACCCTGCGTGAGCGCCTCCGGTCTTACCTCGCCGTTTGCTACGTCGCGAGTCAAACTCCACAAGTCCGATGGTCACCAACTTGTTAACTGTTTCCTTCGAGTAATGTTCCCTGCGCAGTTCGTTGACGTCCACTGCAACGAGCGGGTAGCCAGATGGCGTGGCAGTCCGATTGACAAACATAAGACATGTAATCTCGGCGCTGGTGACTTTGCAGGYAGCTATTCCGCATTGGCAGCTGCAATGTCGGGTTTCAAGCGTGTATGTTGTAGGATAACAAACCAAGGTTCGACTGAGGCGGTTAAAGGTGGATACATGGCCGACAAGTAAAGCACCTCGACAGTGCGTAGGTGGGTCTAGCACGGAGGACGTTCACAGTGATCGTGCGCCTCCTTCCACCACGGCGGAGGTCGGCTTCAATGTCTCGAAGGGCTAGCGCATCACGCCTGGTAGTTGGCCACTACTGCAAGGTTCATGGCGGCAGGGCTGCTATTAGCCCACCTTTTAGGGGCATGGTAGTGCTGCACCTCATGCACTCACMCGGTGCACATGAGGGTCCGCGGGCATCTTTACATTCCCAGGTCTTGTCCGTTGCTGCCGCTGCCGACCACACAAAAGCGTCAAGGCGAGTGTGCGGACTTTGCGCAGCCCTGTTGACTCGCGCCCAGCCTGAAAGTCCAGAAATGGTGGGTTTCATCCTACATACCGAGATTTCGCGGTGGTGGGTATGAGGTAATGAGCACTCGGCTTCCAGCTCTCAGGATGAGTGAGCATACAGCCTCGGTGATCCCATCAGAACGGGAAAGGTAGTTTTGACAGTGCTGGCATGATTGTTGATTGCCAACATACATAGGCGTGTGCCGCCTCGCTGTCCAGTCTAGAGATCCTATCGTTTGCACGTGCAGAGAAAGCGTGGCCCTGTCCTGCCCGAAAGTCTATGCTGGGATCCAGAAAGTTACTCCGGACGCCGTCGAAGGTAGCGCGCTTTGATCGCCCGACGGCATTGGACGGACTGCAGACTTCAAACGCTCGCGCGGCTACACCTGGCCGCCCACCACGTTGTGTGACTTCCACATCTTCGAGAAGGACGATGAGAGGCTCCCGTCTCGAATGCCGGACCAAGTTCATCACAAGTCGTGGGGATCGCGATGTAGGAGAGGTCGCTTCCCGCGCCCGAGGACGCAGCTGTGGGTCGCGATGCAGGCCAATTTTCTTGTTGCATTCATTGCATTAGAGGAAGATCACCGTCCACAGCTCCGACCCAAAGAACGAAACTGCGAACAGCGCCCGAACGCACCTGCTTGTTCACGTTACATGTATGTGATGATGATGAGGCTAATCAGGCTTCCTCACTWTGCTTCTAGTGCACAGTTCCTGCAAAGGCTCATCACGCTGCAGTGAGTGATGCGCCGCACTAATGCAGGTATCGTCGCCCAACACAAGACCCCACGCGTGTCTGCAACGAAGATTGTCGAAGCTCGAAGTACTGATGAATTCTGATGGCCGAAAATCCCTCGACCTAATGCAAGAAGAGGAACTTTGCGGCTCGCGGGCTTTTTCTTCATCCCTCTGTTAGGTTCATATGCAGTCAGTAATGTGGGGTCCGTTGCAGCTTCTGTCTGCAGTGTGAACCATGTCAAAAACCAAGAAGCAATAATTCCCGCGATTGCCTTATACATTGGACTCGACCACGGCTTTGCGTGAGATCAATGCATCACAACGCATCGACCATTAAATCCTGCTGATAAGGCAGCAAAACCACATCCGATCAGCGTTATCCGTGGGGTGAACCAAACCATTCGAACTCTTTTAGGATCCGGCACTCTACACAAGGTTTCAAAGGAACCGACCAGGCACACACGTGGGGAGCTGCAAAGAACATTCCTATGACCGTTATGACAATGAATGTGTGTTGGACAGCGATATCGTCACTGGTTTTTCTTTTTCGGTCGAGGGGGTCTTCCCTTGTTGGAGATTCGGTATAGAACTTTGGATTTGCGCTCGCGCTCGTCCGTCCGTGCTGTGCCCTTTTCTTACAAGGCTCCGATAAGGCTGGTGAGCGCCATCCCGTCATTAGTACGGAACACGAATCCTTCGGCGGAAATCCAAGTCCGCGCCGCAGGACGATCCACCAGCGCCACGCCTCCCTTTGATCTTGGAAGGAGTTGCTTTGCCTGCATGATGATGCGTGATAAAGGCCCCCAAATGTGGTTTCCACTAGACCTTCAAAGTTTACATCACGATGAAGCGGCGAAGCGAAGCCCTCAAACAAATACGGGAAGAAGGACGAGATTTCACCGAGCCACTCACTTGCCGCTCTGCGTCGTCCTTCATACAAGCTAATCAATAGCATACCGCGTAGCGGCGGGCACATCACCCTCACTCATCCGGAAGACAGGTCCGTCCAAACACCCATGACTCGATCGACATAATGTGCCGTGCGACATGGTCCTTCAATTGACCAACTCCTTCATCATTCACAGGCCGAAACGGGCAGAATATCGGCGTGTAGTTACAACGAGCCGTTGGATTCATCTTTGCTCTTTGCACCCAGTGCAGCACACAGGCATCTCTAGTCCACCTATCAAGGAGCACCTACCTGTTTTGGACCTCGCGTAAAACCAACGGGACACCCCTGCACACCTGTGTTGTCAACCGGGCTCGCCGCGCGCAAGCGATGTCTTGCATTCTTCCACGTGGATATTGCTGCATGGCAGCACGTTCTCATGGAATGTTCTTTGGAAGTTTGAACTGGGACGAAGTCCGTGATGTGATTGATAAGATGGTCAATTTCCAAACCTTGTTCAAGAAATGAAGCATCAGGAAGTCCTCAAACGGCTTCTGTAGATATCCCACCCTCCGACACCGTAGCCAGAAGAAGGCGCGGATAATACGGTTCTCTCCATTCTGCAATGCTTCGGTGAGGATGCAAAAGTACGGAGCTCCCGGCGCCTCAAATCGAATCCTTCGACGGGAATTAGTGATGCACAGTGTCCTTCCTTGCAGCGGCCGTAGTCCCAAACTAGAAGGTAGCGCAGGCCATTCAAAAAAGCAACCTGCAGGTGGAAGATGCTGATCGACAGTCTCACATGTCAATCCACGGGCAGTCTGTTGAGGAATGATGTACCAGGCCCTGACCTGGACATCACAGTCGTAAAGATCTCGGTCAATCGCCCTGAAATTCCACGGCCCATGCTCAAGCCTCGAGGAAGTATTCCGGAGTTACTCTCATCACACGGCCAAACAGCTGATGAAGATGTTCGTACATACGGAGGTGAAGGGCTCAACATCAGCCGCGATTTACCGTTCATCATTTCCACTCCGCACTCGTTCGCATCCCGACGAGCACTTCCGGTCGGAGATTTGGCTTCTCCGGGTTCAGTGTTCACCCTCTCGCGTGCACAACTCGGAAACGCAACACAGCTACCAGGCTGTTGGGCCAGGAACTTTCGTAMCTCGGGACGCTGCGAAATCATGCCGCCTGCTGAACATTTGCAGTGGAGTTGCCGCGGAGTGAACGAGCCTGCTGACTTGTCAATCGGCCGTTCAGCGTGTGCGTTACGATTCTTCGCTCTTGTCTTGCGCTGTAAACTAGTTGCATTGTCAACATACTCTGAGCAATCGAATGCCTTTGATTAATGAACTTTGCAAAGCTCCCCTCCTTCATATATCATAAAGTCGTTTCGTGTTGTACAATCGTGTACCGGGTATCATAAAAAAACAGACCAGAAACTCCCAATTCTCTTCCTCGTTGCCTTCCATACCCTCTTCGTACAGTTGTAGTCCTTGCAGGAAGTCGAAATGTGTTGCCTAAGCACCTGAAGCAATGCTTGGCTTCTTATGATGCGCACTCGGTGCAAGCATAGTCCTTGCGGTGTGAGCGATACTGACATTTCTACCATGTGTCGTTCCTTCCGGCTCCACGACAGGAACGGGAGCTGAACCAAAGAAGCCACCGCCGCTCAGAGCACCAGCCCGGATGCCAGGAAAGGCAGATTGAAGCATGCCTGTGACTCGGGTATTTTGGTATCTCTCGCGCAAGGGAACGTGCATTGGCTGGTAGATCGGTTTACTACCCCATGACCGCGCAATGCTGTTCATGATGGCTTCCTTCTCCTCTTCGCTATCCACCGGCCCGGACGGCAGATTGTCATCATCGGGATTGGGTGCGTTGGCATCAAACGCCGCTTTCTGCAACTTGGCTTGGTTCTTCCGTTGGTACTCCAGTAGAAGCTTGTCGTAGGGCGCGCTTCTCCCAGGCACGGCACGTTTCGCTCCCATGCTGTGGCTTTTGCAGGTCAGACTCCGAGCGCACTGGCCGCCTTGGGGAAGCTCGACACCGCACTGCTTCTCCACATCCACAGGCGCCTTCGGCCGCGCTGCTTTGGTCTTTGGCTCGTCCTTTTTCTTCTTCTTCTTGTTGGGAGCTCCCTCCTCCCCTTCGTCGGCAGCCTTGCGCTTCTTGCTCGCGGTCAGCCCCCCATTCTTCGAAGCCGTTGTTTTTGTGCCTTCCTCTTCCTCGTCCTCACTATCTCCTGCTAGTTCCTTGCGGGCCGCCGCATCACGTGCGTCCTTGGCCTCTTTCTTCTTCCGTTGCTTCTCTTGCTTTTTGTTCAAGCAGCCCTCGATGTGCCTAGGCATGGTGTATGTGGAGACGGCACGTTTGCAGTGATTACACTTGAGCACGGTGGGCTTGTCACTCATGGGTTTACCATGGGGAAATGCCTGTGCCAGGCTCAATGCTACTTTGTAGACGGCCACGGCGGACCGCGCGATGGAGTCCTTTGACAGGGAGTCTGTGAATGTCAGCTGATGGAGACCGTGTCGATATATTAGTTCTGACAACATACCACCATTCGCTTCTGCGCCCTTGACATTCCAAGCACCCGGATTGACAACGGCAGGGAGCTTCTTCTTTATGTCTGGCACGACGTCGGATCGGGCGTCGTCGCTAAAGTCATCGAAAAGACCTTCCAGAGCCRCATTGCCCTCTACTTTGATCGGTTTGGTCGCGGTGACCGGCGCTGCGCCCAGCTTAGTTCCTGTGATGGTGGCATGGGAGGCGGGCGGTGGAACGGAGGGACTATTCTTACTCTTGCGACTCACGATCGGCGCCATGATTGCGGCTTCGGGCGCGTATTCTGTGTAGTGAATGTAGTTCCCCCGGCAGCACAGCTAAGTATTGCCGATTGAGATGGGGACACTCGGTTGTTTGATATCGTGAATGTCACGCGATGTGAGGGAGCGCGAGGTGATCTTTCACCCGGAAGTTGCGCTGAAAAGTTAGCAAGCGTTACCAACAATTGCTTACGTTGCCAACGCTGCCAGCCCTCGGATACCGGTCCGAGCTACTCGACCAATCGGATAGCTGTATCACATGCTGAATCAATACATCYGCGTAGCGATATCAGCCGATAACGATTAGCACCTATTGCTCTTGGCGCTGTTGCACGGACTCAAAGAGGTTATTGACGTTAGTAATACAGCACCCCTACCCGAGACCCGGCGCCCGAAAGTGGGGCAATCCCGCCCGATGCGGACTAGCTAGACTTTCCCAGCGCGTGCTGTTCGACAACTTCTCGCGACCGCATCACTTTCCATCACCCGTGAGATGATCTAAAAAACTCAACGATATGCCGCTCCTTGGCCCGACCATGGACGGCAGGAATGAGGTCTTTCAGCGACTGAAGCCGCCTTGTGTTGCGCTGAGCCAGGCCGCGTTGGCGCTMAACAGTTCGTCTCGGAATGTTCAGACGGTGGCTATTCGACTGGCAGACCTGAAGGATACACTCACGGCCGACACCAAKCCAATCTCGCTTGATGAGAAACTGGCCGACTATGTCTTCTTTCCGTTGTCTCAAATACTGAAGTTCAGCCAGAACGTGTCCGTCCGTTGCTTGGAGCTGACGTTCCAATGCCTGGCGATACTCATATATCGAGGATGGCGCTCCCGTATTCAGGCTCAGCTTGCCGGACAAATAGTCATACTGTGCACACTCATGGCAGAGAAAAAGCCACAAGGCCTGGCAAGCGCAGAGACCACAGATGAACTGCAGGCAAGTGCTTTCACATGTCTTCATCATCTTTTTGATGTTCTGGACGTTTCATCCGAAGCTACGAAATCGCTTGTCGCAGAGACAAACGTTCCACAATTAGGGCAGACAATCAGCACTATCCTGGATGGTATCGTGGACGGAGCTTCGTCCCAGAGCCAGGCCGCCGCCATGAATGCAATGCGCTCCTTGATGACCAACGTTGCAACCCGAGACATCAAAGCCGGCTTCCTTCCTGGCATTGTGTCAAAACTTACGAAAGTACTTGTACCGCAGACGAAGCAAAGACGAGACCATACTGTATTGATAGGCGCAYTTGACGTCCTTCGAGATGTGTTTGTGGCAACTTTGCGAACTACTTCACCAAAAGCAACATCTCATCAAGCAGCGACTAGTTCTGATGCCACCTCTGAGCAAGTCGCTTCCCATGTCATTAGCGACAAGTGGCTAGAGACTGCGGCGGTACAGCTCAAGCCGGCTGTGGAGAGCATCACTCGTCTCAAGAGCAGCAGCCGAGACGACGTCAAAGAAGCACTCGCACGCTTCTGCTTTGTCATAATCAAAGATTGTCGGAAGACACTCTCGAGCTGTGCCTCGATCGCTCTGGAGACGTTGCTTTACCTATCAACCGAGCATTCTGGTGATGCCATCAAATTTCAACTGGAAATGTTGGCGACGTCGGACCCAACACTGTCAAATCTGCTGCAAAGCACTCTCCACAACTCGCTCCAGTCGTTGCCAACGCAGATGCAGGCTTCCGACGAACAGGTGAAAGTGCAAAGGATTGGACAAATCAGCACAGCATACGGTATCGTGGGCGCGAGCGGTGTCGATACGAGCGTCGTAGACCGCCTACTAGCCAATACACTACGTGACAGTGTTGTTGCCACCATTCAATCGCCAGGGTTGAAACAACAAAATACGCCAAGCACAATTCCAGTGCAGTCGCTCGAGCTAGCTACAATTGACGAGGCTGGGACCAAAACTGAATTCCAATCGCCTCTCGTGAGATACCGAGGACAGGAACGACTGCTAGCCGCAATACAGAGCCTTGCTGTGGCTATCAGTACCACAGCAACATCCTCGTTTGTCACAGATCTGGCTCGCTCACTCCGGCAGTCCCAAGGCGAAGTGCAGATTGCCTCGTTCTGGCTACTTCTTGATTGCACCCAGGCTATGTATCAACAACATAGTGGCGTAGACGCATTTCTCTGTCTCGACAGTACCTCGTCCGAGGTGTACCGTGAGCATCTGGAAGACCTCTACTCGTTCTCCCTTGGTGTATTGTCTGAAGCGTCAGATGAGCCTATCGATCCTCGCTTTCAGGCACTGGCTTTGCGCACATTAGCTTTGAAAGCTGAAGTATCAGGCGAAGACTTCCGCTATGAGCTTATCGATGCCTTGTATCCAGTCTTGCATACACTGGCAACACCGGATGAAGCACTGCAAAGAGATAGCATCACCACGTTGAACATCTTTTCAAAAGCTTGCGGCTACGACTCGGTAAAGGATCTGACTGTGGAAAACGTTGATTACTTGACCAACGCCGTTGCGCTGAAGCTCAATGCTTTTGATGTCAGCCCTCAAGGTCCCCAGGTTCTTCTCATGATGGTGCGGCTGGCCGGACCGAGTTTGTTGCCATATCTTGAAGACACTATCAACAGTATCTTTGCAGCACTGGAGGACTATCACGGCTATCCCTTGCTCGTGGAGCTTCTTTTCCGGGTACTGGGTGTTGTGGCAGAGGAAGGCTCCAAAGCGCCACATCTTAGAATTACCGATGCCGACCGAGGGCAATTGCGCCGCATGTGCGAAGATAGATGGCAGGCAAGCAGTATATCATCGCTAGCAACTCTCTTGAAAGATAGGAAGGATGAGCAGACCAGGGTGAAGGCAGAAGCAGAGCTGGAGCCTCATCCAAAACGACCCTGGAAGCAAGCTGGAGATCATGAACCCGAGGCTGATCCTGGCGATTACGACGATGGCAAGGAAGAAGCAGAACGATTTACTGATATCGATACACCACCACCCGCTTCCAAAACATACAATCTGCTACTCAAGATATCCGATCTAACCCAGCATTTTCTTCCATCAGCTTCCCCATCTCTACGAATGTCGCTCCTCGCACTGATCAAGACCACGATCCCAGCCATCGCCCGCCATGAGAACTCCTTCCTTCCACTCATCAACACCCTTTGGCCGGAGATCGTCTCCCGACTCGATGATCCCGAGCCACAGGTCCTTGCAACAGCACTGGATATCATCGCTCTACTCTGCGAGAACGCTGGAGATTTCATGCGCAGTCGCATAATTCAACTGTGGCCTGCGATCTTGGAGATTCATCAAAAGACCGCCAATGAGATATTACAGATTGCTCAACCTCCGAATGCTAAGCGGAGGGAGAAGATGTCTTCGGCGCTGGTTGTGGGGCAGGATGTTTTGAAGAAGGCAGTCGCTCGCATGCGTTCCTCACCTGCGGATTATAGTGATACTTCTACGAGGATGGTGTGGAGCTCCCTGGTGGAAATGGTTGTTGCTGCTGTGCAATTTGTAGCGATGCCTCCGGAGAGGTTTGATGAGGTTCTGGAAATGCTTGCTCCGGTTTTGGAAGAGGAAGAGGTGAGGAGTGCTTTGGAGAAGGTTAATGCTGATGCGGTGTGGTTGGTTAGGGTGAGGAGTGGTGTTGTTGGTGTGCCCAAATTATCGAGTGAGGGAAGGTGGAGATTTGCTGCTGTTGGTGTATGAAAAGTGTCGTGGATACTCATCATGTTGGTACATACACTTCGTCTCCTGTACATTATCCAACAGGCATCTGATTGTGAATCCGGAGGGGAACAACTTCCCGCGAATGTGGTCGGTCCTCATTGTCAATCAACTTCAACAAGCATGCATCTCAAAGCAAACTTCCCAACCACCAATAAATATACCACATCCCGAACAATTTCTAATCAACAGCGCATTACATCTCCCCGAACCATTCCGAAGGAGCTATAGCAATGCATGAACGATGATTTCCAAGCATACAAGTTTGCACGACGTGTTCCCAACAATCAAAAAAAAAAAAAATCAACAATTTTGACAAGCTCCCTGTTTGCGAAACCGCTTATGCGAACAAACAGTGTACCTCACGGCCCACTTTCCCAAACAATTCAATCACTTGCACATATAGCAACGTATGAAGAGGAGAGAGAACAATCCATTCTTGTTGTGTTTTCAATTGAAAAGTATACGATTTCTATATCTTACTGTTACGAGTTCTTTGGGTCTGCTGTGGTGGTGTTTGCCGTCATTACGGATATCAAAGCTACGAAACACTACTACTGCTCTTTGCTTCCCGTTCGTTGGCAAACCCGAAACACATTTGAGACATTTGTGCTTTTGCTTGAAAGAGAGAGAGAGAGGGAGAAATCAGTGCGTATCYGTCAACTCTTACGAAATGGATCCAAACAACTAATACATCTCTTCTTCCCTCTCCACAGTGTGTCATCAAAAATACACCCATTTCACAACTTGCAAGAAACATGTTCCGATGCATACACATAGTACGTTTCCCTCTCCCTCTTCCCTTCCCATCTCTACTCCTTTTCCTTGCCACTGACTAACAGAGGACTTGCAGTGTGTCCGAAGAACATAACAGAAGACATCACCCGCATCATCTTCTGTGAAGATTATCATACGACAAGGATACATTCGGATGTGAGGTGTCCGCATTGTTCTCCGAGGAGTGTTTATGGGATGATGTCTGAGGAGGAGGATGAGGATGAGGGCGAGGAGGAGAGTGGTGGGAATGCGTATCCCACGCCGCCGAAGAGTGGGAGGTCTAGTGAGGGGTGAGGATGGAGAGGAAGAGGTCAGGGTGGAGATGGAAGCAGAGATGTGCGAATGAGAGTGATGGTGAGAGCGGATTGATTGATTGATTGATTTGGCAACGGATGAATGTGGATGAGAGGGGACTTGCAGACATCTGACTTTTTTGATATCGTTGAGCTGCGGCTAAGCCGAGTCATCTTTGATACACCTACGGCGTGATGTCCATGCTCCAGAGAGCAATTTTATCGAGCTGTCCGGCATTCAGAAGCCTATCTGTAGCACGCACATTGCCGATTGGTGTCCGGCTTCAGTGCTCCTCAAACTTCGAGGCGGTGGTGATTCGTGGTGGGCAGCAGAACGGTCCATTACGGGAGATTCTGAGAGAAATGTTAGCGGACGGAGTGGGATTGAATGCACGGAGCCCGTACTTTACCAAGGGTCGCTGACTCCGACGCATTTCACGCCATCTTCGTGAACGTGCCAGTCACACTGCTTGCGTATCATCGCAGCCCACGTCTCATGCGATGGCTGCTCTAGTAGTACCCTGGCGAGGTCGAGCAGACTCTGTTCACACCAGTCGTCGGCGGATTCCCCTTTCAGAAGGTCGGTAACTTGTATCCCAGTGACCACAGCAATGATGCAACGTCGCAGGGGAGATCCATCCAGAGTATTCTCGTAAATGAATCTTATTTGGTCTGTTGCGACGATATTGAAGACGCCCATGTCGTTAATGAGACGATTGACGCACTCGTTCTGGAGGGCTGGAATTTCGCGACGGTCTCCAAAGCACCATAGAAGGCAGAGCATGTGACAGTGTAAGCTGAAGAGGAAACTTTGATCAAGTGCTGGCGCGTCCGGTAGGGCTTTGGTGTACAGCCAGTCCTTGAAAGCGTCGAAGACCTTGTTTTCCTCGTCTGGAAGGGAGATGGTGCCGTCTAGACTCTCCGAAAAACGACCTTGTTCGACATTTCTGATGGCGACTTGGAAATATCCAGAGTAAAATCCCAGGAGACCTCTGTGGATCTCGTAGGTCGCGGTGTGCCGGCCGGTGCCCACTTTCACGCGGATCCAGCTGCCGAATGCTTTACTGTGAGGAAGCCGTCAGCATGCGCATCGCCATCAATGTGATGAAATTGTGACATACCCGTCAGGCTGCTGGTCAGGCGTCGATGGAAGTGGCAGTGTCATGACCGTCTCGATTGCTGCCGCCGCATGCTGCACGACTGGCCACGAAGAGGATCCGCCACGACCCCGACCCCGTCCACCGCGGGTGCCACGGCGTCCACGTCCTTGTCCTCGTCCACCTCGAGTGGGCCCGGGTCCCGCAGCCACGTCTGCCCAAGTCGACATTGTTATGCGCGGAGCGAATGGCGGAAGAGGGTGTTGATGCAAAGTCAAAGCGGAAATTCCAACTCGAGAAAGTGCGGAAATGAGGCCAGTACGTCATGCAGCAAACAAATCCCTCTGTCTCGCTCTCCAAGTCCAGCGGAGAAATTCATGAAGCATCCAGAATCCTCCAGGAGACCACAGTCCCAATAAATCTTCTAGAGCGAGCGGCGAGATGTTCGCGAGGCGCTCTGGCATATTACCTCTGTGGAGTACTTCTAGTATAAGTGCGAGACTTCCCTCGATAAGTGAAGTGAAAGATCGACCGCCTCCTAAGATGGTAGTCTCTAGTAGTCCAAGCGAAATCGAGTAGCTGAAGTCCTCTAGATAGGCAGGGTTAAAGGTAGACGGGGCGACGAGATCTTCGCGAGGCGCTCTAAGATATTCCCTCTATAGACAACTTCCAGCATAAGTGCGAGACTTCCCCCGATAAGTAAAGCGAGGATTTAACAGCCTCCTAGGCCAGCTTAGACGAGAAGTGCTCTTAAGAAGTCTAAGCGAGATCGAGCGGCTAAAGTCCTCTAGATAGGCAGGGTTAAAGGTAGAGCGAGCGACGAGATATCCGCGAGGCGCTCTAAGATATTCCCTCTGTAGACAACTTCCAGCATAAGTGCGAGACTTCCACTAATAGATGAAGTGAGGGATCGACCGCCTCCTAGGCCAGTTTGGAAGAGAACTGCTCTCGAGAAGTCCAAGCGAGATCGAATAGCTGAAATCCTCCAGATGGGCAGGGTTGAAGAACCTGAGTTGGGAGGAGGGCCATGTCCAAAGGCCGTCCATCCGAGGTGCTGGGATGAAGTTACGGCATTCCATTCGGTGGGGGCGATTAGATCCTCTGGTATCGCTCAGCTGGGTGATGAAGCCAGCGTCTCAGTGAGGGATAATTGCTCTCGTCAAACGGTGGTGAGAGGGAGTGGCCAGAGTCCTTCGAGAGTAGGGTGTCTGAGAATTCAGGTCGAGAATGACAGGGATAGAACTCGTGTTGAGATTTCCATGAACGTCTTGTGATGCTCCATCTGGTGAGGTGAACTCTACACCTCAAAGATGATGACGAAAACAGTTCACTCCATCGACCAGAACACTGCCCCGACCAACTTGTAGCGGAGTGAAGTGGCCAGACTCTTGCAAGCGGGCAATTTTCTGGATGAATGAGCCAGGATATGCACATGGAGAGGATGTATCTGATGCGCCGTGCAATATCTCGTTTGCCTCATCCAGTCGCACCAAGGCGAAGCATCTGATACCGTTCGACTGRGAATGGCTGCGCAGAATCCCCGTTGACGTGACAATCATCTCAGCAGACCTGAGTGGGTGGGCTGAATGGCTTGATTCCTCCAGACCGAGAAAGAGCAAGCGTTCCAGCTGACAGGTGAGACGAGGAGAGTTGTTGATGTGGTTGTGAAGACGCTCCATAAGGTATATCTCCCGCAAGAAGCTCTTCGGTAATTCAAGTGAAGCCGCCACCGGCTCCCAAGTGACAAAGATTGCACGATAGTCCGGCAGATAGGAGTCGACTCGTAAGACGATACGAGTTGAGTGCTGCAGATAGGATATACCAGCAAGACGAATGGTCGAGTAACTTTGCTAAGAGGCGGAGGGGGGAGGACAGAGACGCAATAGTGAGCTGAGCGTCTTCATGTGTGGAAAGGCAATCCTTTTGTCAGCAGACCAGCCAGCTTTTCTCAAGTCCAGAATCAAGTGAAGGACAATGCAGACTCGAGTCCAGGAGTCTTCAGAGCGAGACCTGTTTTCGATAGGGGAGTCGATATACTACGTCAAGGATAAATTTCGTCGTTCCAGATCGGAAGAGGTTTCATTGTACACTGAGAAGTTCGGTTGCCTCTAACTTGTGTCTCATGGAAGCCTACTCCATTATTATCATCATGAGCTCTACGCAATTCCAGTACAGACTTACATGACATGTCCTCATATAGTGATGTTTCTTCAACCCTCCCCTCTCTCCTTGGCTGCCTTTCTTGCCAGATACCTCGCCTTCGCATCACTAATATCCTCACTCGTCTTGGTCGTCTTGGCCGCTCTCTCCAGCCTAGCCTTCTCCTCTTCTTCCTCCTCCCTGGCACGTTTATTCTGCGCCGCCAACTGCCCCTCCATCATTTTCGTCTGCCTCTCCCGAGTCTCCTGCTTATTGCCCACATTCCTCGCGGCAAAAGCATTCTGAGTGGGACGATTCGAAGTCTTGAGGTGGTCCGCACCATGCTTATCTCCTGCCTTGCCCGAAGGAGCGACATTCAACCCAGCGGTCAGAAGTTCTCTCTTGTCGGTGATTTGTCCTTCCTCATTGACATGCACATTCACACCCTTCTTCCTCAGCTCCTCGGCCAGTTCCGCGTCGGACTGCTTCTTTTCTCCCTCGTTGATCTTCAGGCCTTCCTTCTCGATCTTCGCCGCAGCTTCTACCGTCTCCTGATGCTGTTTCTCCGACTGCTCCATCATCGTGCGGTAGAAATTCTGCATGCCACCTCCAATCGCTCGTTTTCTCTTCTCCTCCTCCTCCGCCTTTCGCTTCTCCTCTTCCTCCAACTTCCTCGTCTCTTCTTGTTGTAGTTTATACGCTCCCGTCACAAACTTTTCCTTATCCGCGAATTCCTCTCCCTCGTTCTCCCGTTCCTTTTGCAAGAATTTCTCGCGCGCGACTAGTTGATCTTGTTTCCTCCTCGCAGCAGCATCGAGGAGATTGTTGATATACTTTGGCTTCCGTTCAATGGCATCTTGTTTTGCCGCTTCCTTCTTGGCTTCCACAACCGACGTTTTGGCATCGTGGAAGGAATCGTAGTCGAAGATTGAGGCGTCGACTTCTTGCGCAGCCGACACTTTTTGCTGGGCGGATTGCAGAGCCGAGAGGTCTTGTCGCGAGTCTTCTTTCAACTTATTTTGTAGAGATTTCAGTGAGGGTTTAGGCGGGCCGGAGGCTGGTGGTGCTGCTGCTGCTGCTCGTGGTTTGGGTTTGGAGTTTTGGGCATTTCTGCTGAATGTGCTGATTTCTTCTACCGCCTCTTCCACAGGGCCTGACTGTTGCTCGGGTTCGTCGTCTTCGTCGCCATCTTCATCGAATATCGCTCGTCGAGTTGGTGGCGCTGCCTTTTTCTTCAAATTCAGGCCGTATTTCAAAGACATGATGTTTGTTGGTTTGTGATGTTGCAATCCGAGGACGGAAAGTGGAGAAGAAGAAGAAGGTCCGGATAATATTTTACGAGACACTCACTTACCTACGTGAACCGTGCCAATTAACGTTGTGTTGAACGAGCCCTAACTAACCCTAAGCCTAGCATCTCACCGCGGGCCACTTCCCGCAAGTAGATGGGAAACTTCTCTCCCCGACCTCGACCTCGACCTCGAACTGTCAACAGCATCCCTAGCCTAGGTAACCAACAAAATGGCAACATCAGATAACAAAGCCCGCGCTCTCCGCGGCGAGCTCCATTATGCCTTCAGCCCCGAACTTGTAGCCGAACGTCGCAGATGTTCCCACGCCTGTTCACGATTCAACACCGCAGGAGAGRTAACCCGAAGACGCCAAGTAGAACTTTGGAATGAGTAAACCAAGCCCCCCCCTACCTCCACCGACTATGCATCTCAAACTAACGATACCAAAATCACAGTATCGTCGACGACAAAACACCTCTGCCACCTGCAGCAGAAACCCCCGAAGCAGACGAAGAACTCTTCGCCGAAGACGCATGGGTTGAAGCTCCCATTCACATCGACTACGGCACGAATGTGAAACTCGGCAAGAATGTTTTCATCAATTTCAACTGCACTATTGTCGATACATGTCTGGTGACGATTGGAGCGAGGACTTTATTCGCTCCTAATGTTTCCCTTTACAGCGGCACTCATCCTCTGGACCCGGATGTCAGACAGGGAACGAAAGGTCCGGAATGTGGGGGTGAGATTCATRTTGAAGAGGATTGCTGGCTTGGGGGGAATGTTATTGTTCTGTCGGGCATTCGTATTGGTAAGGGTTCGATTGTTGGGGCGGGGAGTGTTGTTACCAAGGTATGCTTTTTTTCTGTGATTGCAGGGTTGTTATTGAGAAGGGGTTGCTAATGCGAATGAATGGTAGGATGTGCCGCCGTATACTGTGGTATGTTGTTTCCCAAGTCCAGTTTTGAGTGAGCTGACGATATGCTTTTTACGCCGTAGGTTGCTGGCAACCCCGCTCGATTCATCAAGCAGGTCCCAAGAGATACGGATGCTGCAAGGACAAGTGGTGCGATTGCGGCGCTGGAGAGGGATCAGCAGAAGAAGTCGCAAGCGATTTGATACTGTTCATGAATCGATGAATACCCTGCATTAGCAGTCGGTAGCTCCTACAGCGCGACACAGATGCTCACTCATGCTAGTATTGCCGCTGCACACGACAATTCACGATGGCGGAAGGAGGCTAAGAATCAGTCGTGTATATCCAGGGAACTTCGAGTAACATGGAGAAATCTATGGGCTTCTTAACCCCTCCACACACAATTGGGAGATGTACAGCTTACTTCACAGACAGCTTCTCCATCTGATGACCAGAAACCTAGCACCGCGCTACCCAGTTCTCCATCCCAAGAACCCATCACTTTCCCACTCCATGATACTCCACACGCGCGCAGGCTTTACAAGAAAGTTTCCACGAAATCGTCTGGTGGATACGTGCCCTTACCAGTTGTATTATAAATGGAGCACTTTGAAGAGACCTTACCGCGAGACTATAGACCCAATACCTAGCTCTTCGCTCTTTTACTCTTACTAGATGGGTATAGCGCCGCTGCACTATCATAATATCTCATACATCTCCTTCTTTCCTCCTAACATCTTGCCTGTATCATCGTACAGGCCAGTCAAACTACACAAGAAAGGTACGAACTCCGCTGTTCGCCGCGTAATATTCCGCATGGAAAGAAATTTGAAGGTCACTGTCCAATCATCGTTGGTATGTCGAAGGATGTAGCACTTGTCGTTAAGAGTCAAATGACACTTTTCTGTGGGCGAGCTGTGGCATCGTCGTTAAAGGTACACTTTCGAGAGTTTCCAGATGCGGTTTAGCGCTTTAAAGTAGGTGAATGAATTGTCGAGATATCTTACGAATGGTTTTGAGGGTGTGTTTGTAAGCTGTCGGATCTTCCACGAGTAGGAGGACTTCCGCCCGTTTGAGCATTGTGTGGAAATCGTAAAGTCCGAGTTGTTCATAACTCTGGTGAGATCAACCTGTGCAAGTCGTTCAAGTCGAGAGCTGGAAAGTAATCGCAGTACAATCCAATTTGAACCGGGAAAGACAAAAATGTCACCGGCCAAATGACGCTTGTAAAATTCTTCATCGACGACCACGAAGTCGTACGTAATGCTATCGGGGATCTTATATGCATCTGTGAATTCAGTGCCTACAGAGGTATGCCATCCGGGCGTTGGCCCTCCTACTGTCGACAGTCTAGTTGCAATCGTCGAAGTTAACCAGGGTTCAACAACGTGAAAATGGCCTTGACGAGGTCACAAAGCATCCGGCAGACTAATCTTAAATCTATAATAGTAGGGAAGAGGCTGTTCGAATTGCGGCGTACTATGGGCATATCGTGAGTCTCAGGTAATAAGCCCAAGTCCAGCGTCGTGACGTTCAGCAACCGGCCTCACACAGTCCATGTCTCATACTCGACGGAATTCTGACCCAGCAACTGCAATCCATGCTCCATTCGGTATTCTCCGACCAGTTCTCAAAGGAGCGTCCAAATACAATATTGTACGTATACAGCAGAATCTGGGCGGTCGTAGATGAAGCGTAGAAATACACGCTGCCGAGGAATTTGCCCTGCTGATAGCTTGCGTTGTGAACGGTATACACCACCATAGTCAAGCTATTATGCACCTCGCTAGGTAAGTTTCCATGGGTATGAGAGCTAATGTCGACATCCCTAAGTTGGCATGGAAGTGACAGCACATGAAATGCTCGATAAGTGAGGCCAACATTCAACAGCGTGTAGCTATCGCTGTTCAAGGATCACGAACCATATGTCGAACGAACGGTATGTTGGCTGCACTCTGTCAGATGTGGATCTGTATTCCTCCAGAGGAAGATTCGGTTGCAACATGGCAGCTCTCCAGAGACATGCTCACTAGGTCTATGTTCCGGTTTGTGGGATGCGGCGTAATTGTCGAGTTGGGTGCCGGAAGAGAGTCGTTGGGGTCCGTGAGATGGACATAATGCACGTGCCGGTAATCTGTAAGACAGCAGCATCAAGTGAGGGCGTACAAGAGGCACCGCGCCAAGAATTGTTGCTACCACGGGTTGCACATGAAAGGACGCATCTTTTATGGCATATTCGCCCATCGAAGCATGACAATTCGAGAGGTAAGTCGGCGGCATTGTCTGCTTGCTTCCGGTTGTGTTGATCATAAGCTCCTTTAATCTTGATCTTGCCATCGAACGGCCGGACGCCTCTCCAGATGACGGTCGTCCTAGAGTCGTTTGGATGTCTGATGTCTTTGTACTGTCTGTCACGGACAGCTCGAATTGGCTCTGACACAATCCATTTTGTCGTGCATCATTGGAGTCAGGCCAATTTTGAGACAAGATGGGCGCGACACGCTTTACACCATTGCATTTGCAGTCCAAGACGGGAGGATGTTGTCTTGTTCAGAACAGCAGGGAGAAAGAAAGAACAAAGTTATTGTAAAAACGCGGAGGCACCTCCGCGGTCAAGACATCCTCCTCCATCATCGACGAACTTCGAAGACAAACCACAAACACATTACACAACCACCACGAACAACACAACCACCAATCAACAGATCCCAACAAACGAACCCCAACCCACCCAAATACCACCACCCAAATCCATCCCAAACAAAATGTCCGACGCCAAACAACAAATCATGGACCAAGTCCGCCAACAAGCAGCCCTCCAAAACGCCCGCGCCCTCGTAGAAGTCCGTACCTATTCCCCCCCCCAAATTCTAACATACTTACATACCTCCCCCTTCCCAGAAAGTCAACGAACACTGTTTCGAGCGCTGCGTCCCCAAACCAGGCTCCTCCCTCTCCTCGGGCGAAACAACCTGCTACACGGCTTGCATGGAGAAATACATGAAATCCTGGAACATCATCTCCCAGCAGTATTTGAATCATGTGCAGAAGGGGGTTGGGAATCAGGGAGCTTTTGGTGCTTGAAAATGGGAATGATGGATGGATGGATGGTATATGAGACAACAAGGCGGAGATTGTGTGAGAAGGAAGGAGCATTATGGAATGGCGTTTCTTCCAAGAGCTGATATGATACATACGGCGATTACCGTGCAGCCTTTTTCTTTGTACATTATACAGACAGACAGACGGGCTTGCGGAGCTTGTTTGGGAAGTTACGAAAAGCATTGCGGATAGAGCTGATGAAGGATGGTAAGGGCTGCACAGCTTTGTTTGTACACTACTACGAGCTGGAACTTCCAGCTTGCTTGTACATTACAGAAACACCACTCTGATGAGTAGACATCATTGCAAGAAAGATCTGATGCTTCGGCATTGACCATTCATTCGACTTCAAGCTATACTTGATACGCTTCCCACTCAGCTCTCCACACATGCTATGCGATGCAACCCGGAAAAGTTCCCTCAAAGACTTTTTGTTGTCCCCAGCACCTTTGCAAATGCATTTATCTCATCCAGCGCTACTCACAGGGAGGCCGCTAATCAAGCGATCCTCAAAACGGAGACCACTTTAATCCTCCGTCAAATCACCATACTCCCACATACCTCTCCGCTCAGCCTTGGCCTCGGCCTCCTTCTCCTTGAGGTCGGCGATGATCTCTGGCGCAGCCCTCTCAAAAGGTCTCAACTTCTTGGGCACCATCGCTAGACCCTCGGCCGCAATATCAGCGTTGACACTGTTAGAGACGCTGGCGGCTTTGGGGTCCATGAGCGTTACCCATAGCAGATTCTCCCGTGAATCCGTAAAGTCGATGTTGGCGACCAATTCACGGCCACCGGTCATGTCGTAAAGTGCATTGACACTCTCGGAGAGGTATTCAGAGGCAGTGGGGAACTGCAAAAAGGAAAGTGCAGCGTCAACGGCCTGACCCTTCAGACGGCTGGGTCCGAACTTGGCGGCATCCAGCGGACGGAGGTCGTCCCACTTCTGAGTCTCAGCGTTGCCGTAGTCGATGTAGACAACCTCAGACGTCTTGTTCTCGCGATCGTTGCGGCGAACACGCGCGCGGTACCACACGCCATCCTCGGAGAATTTGGCAGACACCACATCTCCGGCCTTTGGAGGCGCAGAGAGCTTCTGGCCGTTGCCGGGTGCAAGGTGGAAGCTTGCGAGTTCCTTCATCAGCGTGTCGAGGTTGGCCTTTCCTGAGCCAATCATCTGGAGCTTCAGTCGACCGTTCGAAGGGTCGACGTAGGTGACGGTGACGTCCTTGTAATTGCGTTCGCGTGTTGGTAGAGGTGCGTCGCCGTTGGCACCATTCGTGCCGTTGGTGGGAGCATCGTAGTCTGCGCCATCCGCAGCAGCCTCCTGGGAAGGATCCCAGTCGTGCCACAGTCCACGTCGTGCCTCCTTGGCCTTTTGCTCTGCAGCAAATAGCTCAGCGCCGTTGCCCGACTTCTCTGCGCTATACGCGTGGACAGTAGCAAGACCTTCCTCGACAAGAAGCTTGGCAAAGTTCTCGCGGTTGACAAAGAGTGTGCCGATGAAACCGCCCTGCTTATCCGTGTCGTCTACATCGATCTCGACATCGCGCTGCATGCAACGCTTAACGGCAAAGTCATGTGCTTCTTGACCAAAAGGCTCGCCCGCGTCTTGGGGGCCGCGTGCACTCCGAGGAGCACGGATGCCACCCAGGACAAGGGTGAGCTTCGAGTTGTCGCGTGGGATAAGAACGGTAAAGCGGCTGCCTGATTTGACAAAGTCGACCACAGCTGGCACCTTTTTGGACTTGGACAGGAGGGTGAGTTGACGCTTGGCCTTCTCGAGGGATTCGCTGTAGTCGACAAAAGCTTGCTGCTTGGGTGGCTTGGGGTTCCACATTCCCTTGCCTTCTGCTTGGGCTGTCACCTCGGCGGCGAGGAGGTCATCGTAGATGGGGCTGCGGTCGGTGTCATCCATGCGGTGGCGAATCACAGACGCGTATCCATTCTCAACAAGCATGAGTGCTACGTTCTTCCCGTTTTGAGAGACGGTAGCCATCTCGCGCTCGTCGTATCCCTCAGTTGCAGGACGCTTGCCGTCGATGGTCACCTTCACGTGCTTGCCAATCAGGCGCTTTCGCAGAAACTCCTTCGCTTCCGCGCCAAAAGGAGATTGCTTGGGGTCTGTGGGCTTTGGCTGGCGGACACTGCTCAAGTTGATGCGCTTCTCCGCGCCGTTCTTCTGCCGTACGAAAAGCGTGTCTGCGGAAAAGACTCTGCTTACCGTCGCCTCGGACTCGCTGCCTCCAGTCTTGGCCGCAACGTGGCTCTTGAACAACCCGAGATGGGCCTCCTTGGCGGAGCGTTCGGCTTGACGAAGCTTGCCCATCTCTGCCCCGAGCCAGGTGGAGTGGTGGTCTACACAGCGCGCTAGACCTGCCTTGAGCAGAAACTCACCGATGTTACCCACGGGGTGACGCACTTCTCCGACGAGGATGTTATTAGGCGATACACCCAAGAGTCGTACCTGTACACCACGCTGTAGCAGTCTGTCCTCGACGAAAGCCTGCGATTCGTTTCCAAATGGCTCAGCTGGCTGTGTGGAGCCATCTGAGGGGTTTGTCCGCGCGGTGGTGGGTGAACGTAGGCCGGCAATGAGAACAGTTGTCTGCACGTGTTTCGTTGGCGAGACCATCAAGCGAACGATCAAGCGGTCTCCGCTGAGCACGCGCTCCACGATCGATTCGATTGCCTTGCCCTTGTATTCCTCGGCAAACGCTTTGGCATCTGGAATCTCGCGTGTGTTCTCAATGATGGTGGTCTTTGCTGCCCACACACCCTTCTCATCAGCACGAGCATGTGCTTCGAGTGCTTGCAGCTTCTCCAACAACTCGGCGGCTGGGGGAGATTCTGCTTTGCGGTCCGCATCGTCTCTCAGCTTGGCATGACCTTCCTGAACGATCAAATCAGGTAGCTGAGTTCCATCAGGGAGAGTAACAACGCCGTATTCGCGGGAAGCACCGCCAGTCTTTTGAGGAATGGCGTAGATGATCTGAAAGCGGATCACCTTGCCAACGCAGAGCTTTCGGAGGAAATCGCGCGACTCGAAGGAGTGAGGTTCATCGGATTGCAAGCGTGGTGCATTGATGAAGGCGAGGCTAATGGTCTGTGAGAACGATCAGATGTCAGCGAACATTCAATCAATGCCCCTCCAAAGCTCGCCCATGTTTCGATTCGCATTGGGGGATTCGCAGCTTCGGGTTCGTAGACGCTGTAGCTGTCTGTTTACAGCGCCAACACATGCCACCGCCTTTCAATGCCCACTCATCAATGTACATACCCGCTCTTGTCTCGCGTTGTTGGTGAGGATCAAAGTATCGCCTGAGAGCACGCTCTTGACCTTTCCTTCTTGCTGCGCGGCCATGATGGCGTTTCGAATCGAGTGCGGGTGGAATGTAGAAGGTGTAATGTTTCTCTATACCAGAGAGTCGGAAAGGGAGGATTGTAGGGTGATGTCGTGTGCTGTTTCTGAAATGCTCGTGTGATGAAATGTGGAGGGGAGCTAGAACAAAATAGAGCCAGCTGTACCCTCTTCAAGTTGTGTGTGGGGGTGTCTGCTCAAGCATGCATGACGAGGATCGACTTGTCAATGGATTCTTGGCATATGCAGAATGCGAGGAACGTTGATTAGGCGGTCATGTGTTGAATCGTGTCAAGTGTTCGATGGTCGTGTAGTCGAGTTGAAGAAGTTCATGTAGATGGTGTAACCCGAGCTGTATAGGATTGATGGTGGATGGATGTTGTAGTGTAGAATCTCAAGCTGTACTTTCTGCTGCTGCTGTCGCTTATATTGATTGAAGGAAGTCACGCTATCTGTCTAGTGAACACCGCGCAGGTGCATGCCATTGAAAATTCACTCATCGCGCAACCGACTCCCATCAGCCGACCAACAGATGTCCACCAGAAGTAGAAATCATCGCCCCGGTGATGTTCCTATCCTTCATCAAATAAAGGTAACTCTCGGCTATATCCTCAACCTTGGCCACACTTCCCACGGGCGTCTTCTTCGCCAACTCCTCAAACATGCCTTTCTTCTGCTCCTCAGACATACCCTTCCAAAGTTCTGTATCCACAGCTCCCGGACTGACAAGGTTCACCCGAATGGGCTTCAAATCCAACGCCAGTCCTCTCACCATTCCCTGTAGACCTGTTGCATAGGAGTTCACCACGGTCCAGTTTGGCATGGGACGCTCCGAAACTGCTCCAGTTGTGATGATCATGGAGCTCTTGGGGCCTGGGGAAAGGTACTTGGGCGCATACTTTCCAATGAAAAGTGGGGCAAAGAAACGCACAAGACCTGCACGCTTGATGCTCTCCATGTCAATGTCAGAGACAGGACTGACGGCGAGAGAGTCTCCCGCAGTGTGAATTACGTGATCCAGTTTTCCGACTTTTTCGAACAGAGCGGCTATGTTGGACTCTAGGTTGACTTCGTCTGCGAGGTTGCAGGCGTGTCCGGAGATGCGATCCTGAAATGTTTTTAGTTGTATATTCGGCTTTGGACGTTACTACCAACGCACCTTTGCAGAAGGGTAAAGTTTCTGTAGTTTTGAGACGGCATTTTGAACGCGCTCGGCATTGGACGAAGAGATGATGACAGTGCAACCGTTTTCCACGCAAGCTTCTGCTGCACCATATCCGATGCCTGGACAGCAATGTTAGCGGTGCGGTGTACGAAAGATACGGAAAACTTTACCAGAAGAGCCCCCAGTGATCAGAACCTTGTCGCCCTTGAGCTTCTGGGTGTACTTGACCTGATCTGCCATGCTGTATCACTGCTGGTATTCGTTCACGTTTCGGTCTGAAGCTCTCTGCAATTTGGAGTGTTTATGATGATCGCGTCTTGCTAGATCCTGTTTGTTGCTCAATCGAAGGTGAGTCAAAGATGAGAGCCTCGTTGGTGCAGCGCTATATATGATGTATCGAAGCTCGGTGTTAGTGGAGCTATCGTTGATGACGTAATTCGACAGCCGTGGAGCCATTGAGATATTGACATCAGCTTCCGAGTGGCATTTAGCTCATACACTTGCGTGGAGATAAGCAGAGGGCGAGAGGGCGAGATTACCACGTCAACTAGCCAACACCCTGGGGTATTGAAAATCAGGTCTTGAGTTCATACAAGAAATCTAATGTATTTGTTACAATCCAGTCAGTTCAGGCAAACTGCCATCTAGCATTGACCTGTTTCCTCGCGACCTACAACCTTCAAGTTAGCAATTATGCACAACGATACAAACAGCAATAGATGGCACTTACCAAGGGCGCCACAACAAATGTAGCAACAGCAAGCGCACCCAYAGTCGCTAACATCTGGAACTTGTTAAAGTCCTTGCCCAGAATATCAAAGCTGAAACTTGGGCTGAGTCTCGTCCCGAAAATGTCCAATCCATATGCAAACACCAAACTGGTGCTCTCGATAAGTGCGGGGGTCGTGATGACATTTGTAATGCCCACGACTTCACGCCTGTGGTTGAGGAACCATTTGGGATCAAGATCCAGAGTTGGAGAGTAGCGCATCAGACCTTCCATTTGCTCGTCTTTTGTTGGGTCTCTCCCAATGGGCCTCCTTGGATCGAGGGCGCCATATGGAATGCCAACCAGTGAGTTGGAATCTGCCAACACAGCCAGAAGCTGGCGGGATGTGATGCCTTGTCGAGTTTGCGTGACTGAAAGCCTGTGGATCGTTTCAGGAATCTGGTATGAGCGTAGAAGAACGAATGGTTCAGCAGGAGCTTGCAGACTTGATGTGTTGGAGCTTGCGCTCTGTGGACCACGATCATTGGGGATCAGAGATTCAAACATCTCTCCCATTACGAGATAGTGACCTTTTGGTGCGCTCTCCGCTGTTTCCGCTGTATACGAGTAGGCGAACCAGTTCTCGGACATGATTGATGGGATCGGTGCTTGGAGGTCCACATTGTCGTGGATGTTGGAATACAGAGTCGCTCCAGAGACGGTGTCCAAGACGTAGAAGGAGGCCGAGTTGGTCGCATCGTTGGCTGTCACCAACAAAGCAAGGTTTGGGCTGAGGTACTTGTACAACACCCTGCGGTCGCCGAGCACTTTACCAATGGAGGCCACTGGATCATTGACGGGCCTCGGAACTAGGCTGAGGATGCGCTCTTCTGCTGTTGGAGTGAAGTGCCACACAGCACCTGCGCTACCCGGCTTCACTGCCTCGAGTACGTTGTCGCGTAGAGTGAATGCTATCGCGCCAGTCGGAGTGGATTCATGGTCAACAGGAGATGAGGTCGTCACCAGTGCACCAGTTGATGCATTGATTCTTACTTCAGCAGATTCAATGCCATGCGTAAGTACCAACACGCCTTCCGATGCAGAAGTAAAGGATGGCTTCCAAGTCTTACCCGGCTTCACATCGACAGCTTGGGTGCTCCACAGGATCCTGTTCGGGTTTCCGGCATCCAGCCCTGCAACTCTTCCATTCTTTGCAGCGCAGGCAACGACCTTGTGAAAACCGAATACATCACTAATGAGACCACTGTCGGCCGTTGTGCCAAACAGCCCGTTCTGTATCCGCTGGGGAAGATTCGCGAGGAGCTCTGGAATCCTCTGGATGTCCTGAATGTGTCTCTTCACACGATGGAAGTAGGCAGAGACTGCATTGCTATGAGCCTCAATTTCCAACTCTTGTGCGAAAGCCTGCACCTCTGATGGATCCGCGAATGTGGCCGCAACAATATTTGCGAGGAACTCTGGCCTCTGCCACACTGCACTGCCTTCTCGGAGAAGAACCCAGTCGCCAGTMGATAGCAGAACGGCGGATCTCAAAGCCGACACGCCACTGTCTTTCACCGACACCTCGGACACGGCGTGAATAGGTTCGATGCTCTCGAGATCCGCGGGAACAATTCCAAAGCTGCTGATGGGCCACTTGCCCAGTATGCCATGCGAGATTGAAGATACTGTCAGTACCTCGCTACTGGTGATTCTGGTGAAGAAAACGTTGGCATTGGCAGTGCTCGTCGAAAAAGCACCCTTGCCGGTGACCTTGGGCAGAGAGTATGCCTTTTCGATCTTGTTAGCTGCAAGATTGATGTGGAAAACATCTGCCCAGTGCCCGAGGTTGGTCTCGTAGTGCACCAGGAAGTGTGCGGCTGAATTTGTGTGCTTTGGCGCGTGTAGCCGGATCTTCTCAACAACTTCGTCGMCGCGCTTCTCAATGTCGAACGAAGCCACAGCCTTGGAGCCAACAATGTTCACTTTCAGCACGGTGTGCGCGGCGTCTGTCCAAGCAATTATGGGAGAGGCAGAATTGGCACCAACCGACACGATGGTATCGGCGGATGCAAGCTCACTATCAGAACTGAGCGTGTATTCGTCATTCTTCCGTCCCGAGACAGGATCCAGGGCAATGACTTTGATCTTGATGTAGCCAAGCATAGTCTTGTGAAGTAGTATGGCAAAGACCTCCGTGGAGGATGCGGAGACTTGGTAGGGTATGTCTCCGCTGTCCAGACTGTGCGYCCATTTTACAGCGCCTGTAATTGCGTCCAAACGCTGCACGGCGGGACGATGCCCGCTGGTCAGTACAATGGCATCCTTTGCTCCAACCGATGTAGATCCATCAGCCAACTCCAGAATCTCCAGATCCTCGACGCGTCCAGAAACATTGCTGATCCAAGCCAACCTTCCGTCCGCAGCGCCGTATGCCGATACTGCGCCACCAATGCCTCCAATGACAACATCGTCGCTGGCCCGCAGGAAACTCGCGTTTGATGATGAATGTGGGCTTGATAGCAGTTGCTGCCGCCACACTATTGAACCATCACGAGGTAGCAGAGCTCCCAGAACGCCTTCCTCGGAGAGCGTGTAAATGAGAGATGCTCTAGAGCTGGGGTCCGGCTGATGGAAAAATGTAGTGTCTTCTTGTGGTAAACCCACGAGCGCGAAGTGATAATCGGTGCTCCACGCTTCATCTGCAAACACCGCACTTGTCGCTCTGAGAAGGAGCGCGACGGCTCCTAGAAGCGGAATTTGCATTGCTATTGGTGGCCTTGCTGGATGCTCATCAGATGGTCGGCAACAACGTAACGTCTAGAGTCAAGATTCAGGATGCAGGGAGGGGAAGAAAGTCGTGGGACGCTGACTGGACACGGAGTCCGATTCAAACTCCTTTCCCATTCCATCCCATCTTCCACCGTTCCATGCAACCGCATCGTTACAGTGCAGTCCCCGCTGTTTCCTGTCCTTCAACCGGAGGAGGAGGCACCCAACCGTGATGTACTGCCCGATGGACTAGCCGAACAACATCACCATTACTTTATTCTTCATCACCCTCGTCACCGTCCATCTCATTGACAATGTCTCGCCATCATCACACGGGCCAGCCGTTCGAGCCCCGACACTTTCAGCTCTGACGTATGAAGGTGGAAGGACAACGGCGTACTCCGTATCAGATTGGAGATCTACATGTATCAGATCTCCTATAACAATCGCTGTGCGCGCTCATGACATACCCTCCGTACCGAGTCAGATGCTTTACTCTAGCCGCCCATCATTTGTCAAGTGTCTGGACTGCTCATCGATGGTGGAACCCCAGTACGGTATCGCACCGCACACGCGAGCCACCCGCGGCCTAAAGATATCATGCTGCGTCTAACAGCCCATGTGCATGCATGTCTCGCCGCGTGGAACGAGGCCGGTGGTAGCTTGCAGTCTTGCAGGCGTTAGGAAAAGGCTAGAGGACCCAACGACGGCATGGAACGGAAGGGCTGGGTGGGAAAGGCGAGGGAGGGCATTGGAGCAGCGTGAATGGCGGGTCAGATGCCAATTGCGAGGCATGGCGCATTCCGATAGGCTGCCCGTGTCCACTGCACGCGAGTCGCGGGAAAAAGTGTATCGCTTCCTGATCTAGCGCGCGTTTTGGCGGACAGCTTACGGATTTTCTCTGTGGTTCGCGGTCGACAAACCTCGCTCCAAGCTTAATATGTAGATTGTACGGCCGCCGCTGCTAGGGGATGCGCCCTCCGACCACCTCCACCTCCATTTGGTCTACTGCAGTAGGTTGGCTGTGACAGACTTTACTCCCTCCCTCACATCCCGTTCCAATCTGTCGCCCTCGCATCCATCCTCACCCTCACCCCCTCAATTCACCTTGCTGTCGCGTATCACCCATTCCGATTCCGCGCCTGTGACTGCGACCGCTTGTCACGTTCTGGACCGGTCAACAGCACCTTGCSAATTGAGCGACATGTCCTGCACGTTTTTCTGAATGGAACAGCTCGTGCGACCAGCGTCCGCTCACCTCACCTGTGCCTTGCCGGAATCTACAGCAACGGCAGCCTTGCAAGCCTGCAAAGGCGCGTGAGGAATCCACGGCATCGAACAAGACGCTGAATCGATCACGCAACAGCTCTCTTCCCCCCACAAGCAAGCATGTCTCGAGTTGGGCACCAAAGAGAATACCACATCGCAGTCCTCGGATCTGGCGGCGTGGGAAAGAGCTGTCTTACGAGTAGGCGATATTTCCTCTCCATTGAGGAAAACCAGCTCACCGGAAATAGTGCAATTCGTTCAGGGAGTCTTTGTGGAGCGCTACGACCCCACCATTGAGGATTCATATCGCAAGAGTATCGACGTTGACGTATGGCTGGCTGCCCCGGTAGAGCGGAGGTCACCAGAGCTAACTTTCCTCCAGGGTAGACAAGTCGTCCTCGAGATTATGGATACAGCAGGAACAGAACAGTTTAGTGAGTCTAGCCCACTTCCTCCTTGCTGGACCGTGCTAATCAGATCCCAGCTGCGATGAGGTACGCACGGCCGTAACACATCTCCCACATACATTGCGTTGTTGGCTGATGGCAACGAACAGGGACATGTACATGCGACTCGGCCAAGGCTTCCTCCTCGTCTTCAGCATTACCTCGTCATCCTCTCTCCGCGAATTGATCGAACTCCGCGACCAGATCGTTCGAACGAAAGGCGACCCGAACTTCCCCATGGTCCTCGTAGGGAACAAGTCTGATTTGGAGGAAGATCGGGTGATATCAAGATCGAAAGCGTTCCAGCTGTCGCAGAGTTGGGGCAACATCCCATACTACGAAACCAGTGCGAGAAAGGCAACGAATATCAACGAGGTCTTCATCGACGTGTGCAGACAGATCATACGCAAAGATCTCATTGCGAGACAGCGGCCGGACCAGGGAGGCCGAAAGAGACGGAAGCCACGCCACGAAGAAGCTCCGAGGAGTAGAGACAGAGGAGGTGGAGGTCTTCGATGTGCCATACTCTGAAATGGTAGCGAGTGTTAGGCTCTGTGAATATGCCAGATGCACTGCAGGCATCTGAGAAACGACTGTCAGATGTACAATTGAAGCAATGCTCGGAAGCAAGCGTATGAGCGGTTATTGTAAGATGATGAAGCGATCATCGAGAAGGGCAAAGTCATGAAAAGATCGAGAAGCACTCATCAACATGTTCACGGCAGAAAGATAACGAAACGAAGCGTCGGTCACGGCCTGATGGTAGATTCAGTTCCCGTCAGAGGTGAAAGTTCTCGGCGCAGGAATCGAAAGTACGAAGAAGCAGCGAAGGCGACGATTAAGAATCACATCACATCCCACTCAGCATTTCCAATCTTTACCTATGAACCGGTGAATTTGGCCACCACAGCCTTGACAGTAGCGTCAAAGTCTTCCTCCTCAAGCCCCAGATCCTCCATGGCAAAATCCTCTCTCAACGTCCAATTAGCATCCACAGCTCCCAAAAACCACACCAAATTCTCATTCGCCTCCTTATCCCCCTCATCAGCTTTCCTCTTCTCCTCAACCCTATACTTCTCCGACTCAAACACCTTTCTCGTCCACTTCGTCCCTGTAGCCCTTTCAAACGACTCCACCATTTGATTCTGCGAAATCAAAAAACTTTGAATATAAATCATGCGGTTCTTGGTAATATCCTCCCCACGTGAAAGAATCCTGGCGGTGGCTTCTCCGATTTGGGAAAGTGTGCTTGCGGACCATTGAGCTTCGCCGTCGTCGAGGATGTCGATGGTGTGGGCTGGGAGGTTGACGTGGAGGAAATCGAGGGACCAGTCGAAGAAGTGGCCGCAGACTAGACTTGTCCAGGTGAAGGTGGGGTTTTGTTGGGAGAGTTTGATGAGGTGTTCTCGCACAAAGGTTTTTTGTTTATAGCTGATTCGTTGGGAGGGTTGGTTAGTGAGGGAGGGAGTAGAGGTCAGGATGAGAGTAAGAGTGATTTGTGGATGGTCATTTGCTCGTCTGTTATGAGGGTACTTACAGAGGCACCAATTCCTGCGTTAAAGGCTGTGATGAAAGACTACATATCAGCTACTTTCGATTCATGAGTGATGTTGCGAGATGGAGTACCATACCGAAGAAGAATCAACCGAGCCAAAATCAGCGGGGATCCTGAAAAGCATCACTCATATCAGCAGCTATCGATACCCCAATCTCAAATGCCTATGCGCTACTCCTCCAGGCAGCCGATTGTCCCAGACACCTACAATCTCGTGACTCCAGCTTGCACACACGCATCCGCGAAGCGGATCTGAAGATCTGTATCTTCGCTCCGAATAGCAATAATAGCAGCGTCGTGGCCTTGTAGAGGCCCCACAAGATCTTTGACGGCGAAGCCATCAGGCACAGTCACTTGTTTGGGGTATTTCTTGCCCGACTTGGAGGATTGGCGCTTTAGTACCGTGACATCAAAACCATGTGAGGTGAGTGCCGCCAGAATGGACGGCCCTAGGTTGCCCTCCGCTCCAAGCAGGGCAACTTTCTGAATTGTCATTTCTGCGTCTCTTCTCTAATGTTGAAAGATCAGGCTTTGAAATATAGTCTTTCAATTTGTAAACTTCGAGAGATAGTATGTATTGACGAGGTGTTGGTTATATAGATATCTTCCTGCTCGAGGATGGAGGAGTCATTGGGTGTGCCAAGGCCGAAGATCTTTGCCCTCGAGTCTCGACGAACTATTCAACAACATCAAAGCAGTTGAATCTCTTCAGTTGGAACACTTTCGTCCCGCCAAAGTTCCCCGTCCTGCGTTGCGTTAGCTCTATTCACCAGAAGTCGCCTTGTAGCTACAACATACCATTATATCCAACACGAATGATTCGCAGAGCAGATAGTACTCCCTCGACAGAGGTCCATTGTTAATGGTCGGGCGAACTATCACGGGAACAGGGGCGCCTTGCACAACAACTATACTATCTCCCCACGCGACCCCAGCCTGAGCTAGTCCAAACGAGCCCTTTTCCGTGATGAAAAAGACCCGGCCTCGCAGGAAGCTCGCAATCGAGCTATAGAAGCGCTCGTAGTCTTGATTCAACCGGCCACATGTCGGGGACTCTTCCAGGTCTGAGATTCGAAGAAATTCAAGAAGTGCTTCGTACACTTTGGACGCCCCATCAGCATCCAATTTTCTGCCTTGATCCTGTTCGACAGTAACCACGCGAGCAACCGCTGCAGTTTGGTCAGCATATCGACTCGGACGGCTGCGATGCATGTGCAAGAGTGACATGGACTGAAACAGCCAAGTTCTGAGACTCTCTGATAGAGCGTGTGGACTGCTCGACGACAGCTCTAGTGGCTCCGGTCCTGCACCCAAAACGCGATCGAACATCTTCACTGTCAAAGGCAGTAGAAATAAAGTGTCTCCCTTGACCTGATCCTCGACTGTAGGTGAGACTTCCTTTATTTCGGACCCTCCCGCACCGTAGCAGTCCGAGTTTAGCCATAGAGGACGGGTCTTCCAAGCTACGCTCCAATCCGGTATCCATGAGGGGAGATCCAGTGATTGAGACAGACGTCCCGCAGAATAGATGAACTCCATCTGTCTTCGAGCTAGCTTGACCTCATCGCAGCTGAACTCCGTAATGGCATACGCAATTCGTTGGAGGTACTGTGCAGCAAACAGCTTGTAAAGGGTCTCGATCTCCAACGCGTAGTCGGGCTTATTCCATAGTCTACACAAATGATGGAACGCAAAGAGCTTATCGCGATGATCACTCGCTTCGCAGTCTTTCGCCATCCGTAAAATGTATGGAACCATGGAGTCTTCGCTTGCATAATCTTTGACGGCTTGCCTGGTGCCTTGCTCTGTAATGGATCTCAGTTCCTGCATGAAGCCAATGTACTGAGCTGCCGTTTTGGAACCCAGAGCATGATGTGCGCTGAGATGTCGCACAGAATCGACAACTTTGACGAGTTTGATAAAGTCTTCCCAGGGCGCTGTCGCTTTGCCGCAAGTGATCATGATTTCTCTGGCACAAACAACTTCTTGGATCACCTGGGGTAGATGGCGGAGATTAGCTAGGTCATCAAACTTGGACATCCCTCTGAATGAAAACAAGCTCCATCTCTATCGCGAGTGATACACTGCTGCTTGGCCCCTTTCCAAGTCCCAGACATACCTTTGGGCAACTTGAGCAAAGGATAATACTCAATGAGACCATGAGATCTCACTGTGTGGACTCAAGTTTTCTCTCTGCTGGAGCAACTCACTGGGATGCGAGTTGGTCGATGTGTGAAATGATGCTTACCCATAGTCTCCTCCACCAAGGTCTCGCGAGGAGGGCGATGAAAGCAGGCCATGCGCCCTGCCCATAAATCTCACATTCGGGCGGCGTCTTACGAGAGTCCGTCAACTCGCTTGGGTTTTCGAATAAGGAACTCCAGTAACGTTTGATCCTTCGGGGCAGTTCCATCGCTGCATTCGATCCAGAAGTCTCTTCTCCAAGCCAAACTATCACGCCCGTCGCAGCACGGTAGATATGGCCCATCTTACTCACTTGCTCGTTGCGGTCTATGATGTTGCTCTGATCAACGCAAACCTGGTCAATCCATAGGCGAACATCCGAGTTCCGCGGACGAGCATTTCGTAACGCGGCGAAGAGGTTCGCAGTGACTTTCAGGGGCCTTTCATCGCACCAGATGGTATGCTCGGCAGCGGAGCTGTTCCAGCAGTATGACAGCGCTACAAACTTGACAGAGGTATCTCTCAGTGGAACCTCGGAAAGACTGCATCGGATGGGATCGTGATATTCTGCGGGATGAACAGTCACGATGCGATACGACCCAAAATTAGTAATCTCCGCTTGAGGACGGTAGTAGAAGTCCGTAGAGAGCGTGCTCCAGCTGAAGGATCGAACGGCCGACGACGACGACGAAGCCATGGATCAAAAAGCTCTGTGGCGCGGACAGCCGACGTCTCCTGATGCTGGCCTGGCCTGGCCTGGCCTGGCCTGGCCGAGCAGCGTTTTTCAGCCGACGACCGCCGACTCCCCGACACAGAGACGCAGGCGGCTGGGATTACTGCTGTGTCGTGCGAAGCAAGTTCTACCGCCAGGGTGTGAGCACAACCTGTGCTGAATGCGCGAGGAAAGCCGTGGGGCCCAACACGGATTGAGCTGGCCTTGTTGGTCTCGTACCAACAAGGCAATGCTCAGCAGTAGGGCGGCCCATACAGACGTGAAGGCGGACGTGAGAACCGATGGGACGGGTGGTGTTTAGGCTGATGTGTTCTCACCAATTCAACRAACATGCTTTAGGACTGCTTCTCCCAGCAAATTCCGTTCCAATGCACGGTGGTAAGCAATTTCGACAGCACTAAGGTAGGCTGTAAGCATGAGTCTTCTGACAACAATTCTCACAACAAAGAGGGCGGATAATGAAAATATCGGCGATGTTGCTGAGCAATGCCTCACCGTGTTCGTCTCGGAAACGGCGGGTTTGCCTTGGAACGTCATTTGTTTGCAAGGGTCCATTGAGTTGCACAGTTTTGTGCCCCTCAACCAGCTCAGATCATCCTCTCGCAAAAATATTAAGTTGCTTCAACAACATAACACGACCTTCACCACACAGYGACATCCAATCCTACGACGACAACAACAATCATGTCTTCCTCTCTCGACCAGCTCAAGGCCACCGGCACCGTGAGTCTACCGCTTTTTCATGCTTGCCTCAGCCAGTCATATCGACATGGAGGAAGTACCGAACTTGGCTGACAGACCGCTTCCACAGACCGTTGTCAGTGACTCTGGAGACTTTGCCACCATTGGCAAGTACAAGCCACAGGATGCCACCACCAACCCATCGTTGATCCTCGCCGCCTCCAAGAAGCCCGAGTACGAGAAGCTCATCGACGAGGCCGTTGCCTACGGCAAGAAGCACGGAAAGAGCACAGACGAGCAGGTGGATGCCTCTCTCGACTACCTCCTTGTCCTTTTMGGCAAGGAGATCCTGAACGTTGTTCCTGGCAAGGTCTCGACTGAGGTCGATGCGAGATTCTCCTTTGACAAGAAAGCGTCCATCGACAAGGCCCTGCACATCATCGAGGTAAGCTGCAGAAATGAGGATAGCATCACACGGACAAAACTGACCAGTCCCCACAGCTGTACAAGGAGATTGGCATTGACAAGTCCCGCGTCTTGATCAAGCTCGCTTCCACCTGGGAGGGTATCCAGGCTGCCTACGAGCTCCAGAGCAAGCACGGCATTAACTGCAACTTGACCCTCATGTTCTCCCTCACACAGGCCATTGCCGCCGCCGAGGCTGGTGCTTTCCTGATCTCGCCTTTCGTCGGCCGTATCCTCGACTGGTACAAGGCCAACACCAAGACCGAGTACACCGCAGAGAACGACCCGGGTGTCAAGTCTGTCCAGCAAATCTTCAACTACTACAAGAAGTTCGGCTACAAGACCATTGTCATGGGCGCCTCTTTCCGCAACATTGGCGAGATCACCGAGCTTGCTGGCTGCGACTACCTCACCATTGCACCAAACCTCCTCGAGCAGCTGTTGAACAGCCAAGATGCCGTTCCACAGAAGCTCAAGGCGGAGGGTGCCTCATCTCTTGACATTGAGAAGAAGTCCTACCTCCACGACGAGGCCGAGTTCCGCTTCCAGTTCAACGAGGATACCATGGCCGTACACAAGCTGTCGGAGGGTATCAGCAAGTTCGCTGCCGACGCTGTCACCCTCAAGGACATCATCAAGCAGAAGATTGGTGCTTAAATCTGTTCTTTGCAAGCGAAATGATGTTTGTCGCGATCGGTGGTCTAACCAGGCGCCAAAATGAATTCCATAGAGCAATGTGAATGACGAAATGCTTCATGTCCCACTTGTATTGTTGTCATCGTTGCCATTGACCGTGTACTCCATGACATAGCCTTTTATCTGCCCGAGATTGTCTTGCCTCTCCGTTCTCGCAGCCGAATTGCAATGCCCCGCAAGGTGGGGCAACGGATGATGAGCTCTTCGCCCGCYTTTTCGATTCGATTCCATTGCTGTTTCCACGATCTCACGTTTTCGCAGCATCCAACAAGACACCATCAGTTCGACAACAACTACACCACCTCAAATCACACCACCAAGAAGACAAGATCACCGCCAATATGGTCAAAGCAGGTACGTGCCGTGGCGTCGAAGCCCGACCAGTAAGAAGTTGTGGAGCTGGCCGATCAAGCAAGAATGAGCACGTTTCGTGACCTTGATGGAGGCGTACCTCCAGGTCATCGAATGAGACGTCGTCTACTACCTACATGGCTGTGCAGGCATGTGCCGGGATATTTTCCATTGCACGACCTTGATGGCCAGGCCACACCACACGTTGAAGCGTTGCTCTGATCTCGGACCATGAAGCTAACAATGCCATGCAGTCGCTGTTCTCCGTGGAGACTCCAACGTCAAGGGCACCGTGACCTTTGAGCAGGCATCTGAGGGTGCCGAGACCACCATCTCATGGGACATTACCGGCAACGACCCCAACGCTGAGCGTGGTATGCACGTGCATGCGTTCGGTSACAACACCAACGGTTGCACCAGCGCTGGACCACACTGTGAGCCTTTTGGACGGAAAAGACGGTTGGAGTACCACGCTGACGACTCATCCCATAGTCAACCCACACGGCAAGACCCACGGTGCACCCTCTGACACTGAGCGCCACGTTGGCGACCTCGGCAACTTCAAGACCGACGGCCAGGGCAATGGCAAGGGCTCCGTCACTGACAAGCATGTCAAGCTGATCGGCCCAGAGAGCGTCCTTGGTCGCACTGTCGTTGTTCACAGCGGCACTGACGACCTCGGCCAAGGTGGTAACGAGGAGAGCAAGAAGACCGGCAACGCCGGTACTCGCCCAGCTTGCGGTGTGATTGGTATCGCCGCATAGATTCTCTGCGGAAGAATGATATGATGACCGATATGAGGACGACAATGCCGAGGCGTGTATAGCAGAAGCTTCCGTATAAAGGCGAATTCTCAACACAACCCAATTCTGTGCAGCGTATCTCAGTCTACGTCTGGCTTCCTAGCTCTTGAACGTTGTGGATCCCTATGGACTGCTCGAGGCTGTGTTGTAGTGCAAATTGATGCAATTGTTTTGACGCGTTCGAGGTCGAGTCGACGAGGATGCTCCTAGGCTGTGCTGGTCTCGCGGATCGTGAATTGATAGCCGTAACAGTGGAAGAGTCTCAGAGGGTGGTCCATCGTCACTGTCACGTCATCCAAGGTCTGTCTCTTGCTCCAATCCAACAGATTCCATGTCATTCCGGAGTTCTCGATCGAACAAGYGATCCAAGAGGTCAAGACCGATCCTGTGGAGCTCTCATCGATATGCTTGGCCAACGGACCGAGTTCCGTCTTGACACCACCTTACCCTTGCACGCCTCGCCAGCTCCTCCTCTCTTTGACACTTCTCCTGCTTCCCAATAAATACGATGCCTTGTGTCGTCAAGATACTTGACACCCGAACAAGCCAAATGAATCAAGCAGAAGATGTATCACAGGTACTTTGCGGTTTTAATCACGATCCTTCTGCGACGCGTACCGCACCCCAGGAGTCAAGACGGCCCTATCCCGGCGATGAACGGACGCGCCATCCAGCAGGTGATTCTTTGCCACCGCAATGATGCCAACCTTTGTCGGGTAGTGGAGGGTGCCGAGGACAGCGGAGGATTCCCAACACGTTTAACCATCTCCAATGCTTAAATCAGGATCGCTCTGCCTTGTCTCCTTAGCTGAAGGGGGAAAGGGACCCCTATCGCGAGGCCGGCACGGGCTAATCTAGACCATTGAAACAAATCTGCGCCGAGCACGGAATAGTGGACGACTTTCTTCATCAACTTCCCCGTTCGAATTCCATGCGGCTTTTGCTAGCTAGCACTCTCCGCGGTTCTCCACTGCACTAGATGGCACGGTAGGTGGACCTTGTGGATCTGCACATGCAATTCTTTGCCTCAAGTTATCCTTTTCCCGCTTTTGGGCATCGGTCTGGGCTGGGCAGCATGGTCACGCGCAAGCTTGGGACGATCCACGGACTCCGAGGATAGGCAGCATATCAATTTCGCGGATTGGGATTTGGGCAAGTTTTCTTTTCACTTCTCGTCTTTCCATTCCTTAAGGCTGTTCCACTTTCTTGATACACTGTTTCCGCATTGGATTGCGGTTCTCATAGCTTATTCTACGCTTCAATCGCGTGGCTTCATTGCGCGAGCGTAATACAGAGGAAACAGACCAGACGCGCCGTCTTGATCAATCTCAAATCAGCGCCATGCCTGCGACTCTATCCGCAGAGGAGATCAGGTTTCTCCCGATGACCCCGGAGGTTGTGCCTTCCAAAGACCCAATGGCGGCAGCAGGCTCCTCGACATTGAAAGCTGAGAACGAGGGACCAGCTGTGCAGGGAGTGGAAGGGGTGAAAGAGGTGAGTCTATGAGCTTCGTAGTTGAGAAGATTCGGGCCCGGAATGCGTATAGTCGCCGCCACAAGGCAATGCGCTGCCTTGAAGCTCGGTCTAATTCGTCTATATCTACTAACGCTCTTCCTACGATAGGTACGCCCTGGAATGCCTAGATTCACCACCAGCAAGGAAAATGTTCTCGCACAGTTCTTCATCGGCAGCATCGATCAAGGCACGACTTCCTCCCGATTTATCATCTTCGACGGAACGGGCCAGCCAGTCGCCAGTCATCAACACGAATTCACGCAGCATTACCCCGAGTCCGGTTGGCACGAACATGATCCGAGCGAGCTTGTTGCATCTGTGGAAGTCTGCGTGAAGAAGGCCACCAAGGTATTCGAAGAGCTGGGTCATGATTTGGAAGATCTTCGCGCGATCGGCATCACCAACCAAAGAGAAACAGCGCTTGTTTGGGATGTGGAGACTGGTGAGCCTCTGCATAATGCTATTGTAAGTTGAATAAAGAGATGAAACATGGATCATCTCGAGCGTTGCTAATAATCCCATCAGGCATGGCCCGATACTCGCACAAAGGGATTGGTGAGAGATCTGAAAGAAAAGGAGAAAGCGATGGGACTGGACATTTCCAAATTGACAGGAATGCCATTGTCCACATACCCATCCGCCGTCAAGCTTGTATGGTTGCTACAACACGTACCAAAGGTCAAGGAGGCATACGATGCTGGAAAGCTGGCATTCGGTACGGTTGATACCTGGTTGCTCTACAACCTCAACGGAAAGAACCGCGACTACTTTGTCACCGACAGCACGAACGCGTCGAGAACAATGTTCATGAATTTGCACACAGTCACATACGACAGGCAGTTGCTGGAGTTCTTCGACCTAGACATGGATAAACTGCATCTGCCGAGGATCGTGCCTTCATCGGATGGAGAAGCGTACGGAAAGATGGCGTCCGGTGCTCTTGAAGGCAAGCGTATAGCGGGATGTCTGGGTGATCAGTCGGCAGCGCTGGTCGGTCAGCAAGGTTCGTGAAGGGTGGTTGAAGGTTGACAGGATTTTGCTGACCCAGACAGGTTTCACTCCTGGCTGTGCGAAGAATACATACGGCACTGGTTGCTTCCTTCTCTACAATGTGGGAGAGAAGCCCGTTATATCCGAGCACGGCCTGCTCGCGACCATAGCGTACGACTTTGGTGGACACAGAAAGCCCGTGTATGCCTTGGAAGGAAGCATAGCTGTTGCAGGAAGTGGTAAGCATTACATTTTCCTGTATAGACGGGAAGCATGAAAGCCTGCTAACCTCGTGCAGGTGTAAAGTTCTTGATGAACAACATGGGATTCATCACGCATTCTGAAAAGATCTCAGAGCTTGCAGCCACGGTGGAAGACAACGGTGGCTGTGTTTTTGTCACAGCATTCTCCGGTCTCTTCGCACCCTACTGGATAGACGATGCCAAGGTCAGTTACGCAGTGTTTTGAACTCTCCGTGACAATGCTGATGCATATCACTTTGTAGGGTACCATCTTTGGCATTACACAGCATACCCAGCGAGGTAAGTCTTTGAGAGTTAAAGACACCCAGCAAATCACTGACATGATGTTCAACAGGCCACATTGCCCGCGCTACTCTCGAGGTAATTCTGACCCTACTCTAGATCATACCTACAGAATACTAACCATTCTTCAGGCGACCTGCTTCCAAACCAAAGCCATCTTAGACGCGATGCATAAAGATTCCGGCCACAAGCTCTCAGATCTGGCCGTAGATGGCGGCATGTCCAGCTCCAACCTCTGCATGCAGACGCAAGCGAACATTATCGGAATCCCAGTCGATCGCCCTGCTATGCGCGAAACCACGGCGCTGGGAGCCGCCATTGCGGCAGGATTTGCCGTCGGCATTTGGAAGGAGTTTGCGGAACTCAAGGCCATCAATCAGAAAGATCGAAGCCGATTCGAGCCCGATATTGGGCCCGAGCAGTCTGCTAAGATGTTTAAGAAATGGCGTCGCGCGGTGGAAATGTGTAAAGGATGGTGAGTTGTAGATGTGGTGGACTTGCAAATGTTGGATTTTGTGCTGACTTGATTTAATAGGCTTGATCCGGATGATGGCAGCGAAGAATTCGCTGCGTGATGTTTCCTATCTTCGCGCGGGAATGATCGATTCATGATATTTATCTAATGAGCATATAGCAATTTCACAGTCACGACTCGATGACCCTCCATTGTTTTTTCGGACTTCTTTCCTACCTATTGACCCTACATGGATCACTTTCAGCCCATTATGACTACTCCATCAGCGTCGTACAATACAGAAACAAGCAATATACCCAACCCTCCAACCTGCCGCCGATCAAACGAACACCGACTTGCTGGAGTACCCGCACCAGCACCAGCACCGGCGGCAGCATCAACTCGACCTTGAGCAACCGTATGTATGCACGGGCAGTAGCGCCCGGCATGGGTCCTACTCGCGGACGACTTCCCGGTCAAGTGACCTGTCGCAAATAAAGTGCTCGAGACGCTTACAGCGAGCTAGCAGGCAAAGATGATACCACTACACTGGATTCCCTTCCTGCTGGGATAGAGGAACCAGAGGACCGAAAGTTGCTTGGATGCACAGCACAGCACAGTACAGTACAGGTGGATCGGAAGACAACCATATCTCGCACAGCAGATTCCGTACCAGATCTTGTTCGTCGGCGATCTTCACCGCTCGAGAATACCATCATCCTTATACGGCATAAGACAGCACAGCGCATGCCGGCTTGTATTTAACACTGCTGTGCGATGTCATGGGTGATTGTAACCCTAATTACATACACATGGGCACCGCCAAAAGAAGAAAACCACCTCACGAGGTATCTATCCTTCCTGCAAGCGCACAAAAGTCACAGAGGTGTGGGGGACATGTAAGACCTTGCACATGTTTGCTCATGGTGGTGATGAAAAAATTCGGAATTCATTTACCTTTGAAGGTTTGTTGGAGGAGAATTTATCATCATGGATGGATATACAAACGACCCGTCGATTGTTATCCGTTACAAAAGCAACAAGTCAAGAAAGAAAACCAGCCCTCCGTGACACAAAAAGGTGGCGTCAAATCACTCTCCCGCCCGGCTTTTCTCCAAATTCAATCAAGGACCCAGACTACCGGCGCTGCCTTTTCCTTGAACGTGATGCGTGGGAAAAATACCATCCTCCAACACACACAGCCTCTCTCTCTCTTACTCACGAGCAAACGACACACACCCCAGCGTGTGGGAAGCACGAGCGGGTTTAGATGTGACAAGCCTTGGGAAACATCGCCATGACCGACTGACTGGTAGGTATCAAGGACCAAATCGAGACAAAAATGAAAAAAAGGTCTTTGCGGTAATCCAATCCAATCCAATCCAATCCAATCCAATCCAATCCAATCCAATCCAATCCAATCCAATCCAATCCAATCCAATCCAATCCAACCGCCCCACTCAATTCCTCTGCAACAAGCCGCGATCTATATCGTCGTCCATCCATGACAGAGACCTGCACGCCGCGTCCAGACATGAAAAAAATCCAAAAAGAAACAAACCCGTAGTAACACAAAGTCAAATCCCAAATGGCAGCAAGCACCACCGAGATCTCTGTACTCTGTACTGTACTGTACTGTGTACCATCTGAACCTTTTGTTGGAGCAATGCATATCCCCGATCCCGACTGATGCTCACTCCCGCTTGCCGCCCCCCTCCCCTCCCCTCCCATCCCCTCTTCTCTCTCTCTTTTTTTTTTGAGAAGTGCCGCGACTGGGATTGGGGTGCAAATACCCGTCCGTCCGTCAGTTAGACCAATCTTTTTTAATTTTATTTTTTCCCGGGATAAGTTTGCTTGCTTGCTTGGATGGATTGTTGAATGGTTGGTTGGATGAATGGTTGGTTGGTAGGTTGGTTGGTTGGTTGGATGATAGGATTGGGATAGGATGGCAAGGGATTTAAAGTCCAAGTCATCTCTCCTCGACTCTTGATCAACTCTCGACCAGCTCCTTTTGATTATTTTTCAAGTGATGAAGAGTTTCCTAATCGTTCAATTTCAGCCATACAAGTTTGCTTTCTCCAAGATCATACTCCACCCCCGAAGACAAGGACGACTACGACTACGCCAAAGACAAGACACGACGCCCCCCAAGACTTCTCTCCTTTCGTTGCTTGAAAGATCACACACATATATTCCAAGCCAAAAAAAAACATGTGCGAATACACCAAAGTAGAATACATGTGTGGCCACCTACGATACACTGTCCGTTCTCATCCCCCCCAAACAAAAAAAGACATACCCCAACCAAGACATGGAAGGAAGTTAACGCTAACGAACAATTTTTTTGAATTGGAATATAGGTCCGAGCATGGTGTATCAAATACGAATCAAGCCATAAACGCTGTCCAGCCAATGTCGTTGCTTATGAGTATCGAATTGAGGAGAAATGTGGTATGTTGTTGGGGAAATTCCCTGGGGATGTACGTGTGTATGTGTGTGCTTGGACTGACTCAAGTTTCTTTGCTGCGAATAGGAGATTGTGGGGATACTTCTGCGAAGTATTGGGCGTTGAGGAGGAAGGCTTCTACTACTGCGAAGGGGAAGAAGGGTGGATCTGTGACTGCGGGTTGAGAGGGATTTCTTTGCTTTATGCGTGGATGGATTGATGGGTGGACGGATGGGATGGGTTGGGTTGGATGGGCTGGTGGGTGCATGGGCGGGTGCTGGACGTATGGCGTTCTTGGGGAAGGGCGGAATACCAACTCTTTTGTCTTTCCCCGCTGTGGTTTTGAAGCGTATATGTCTGGTCTGGTCTGGTTGAGTGGTGGTAAACAGGATAGAAGATAACATCGCACACATTTTTTCTCTTGGGTTGTTTCCTGTCTTGCCGTTCAATTCACTTGATTGATGATGATGATGATGATGATGATCGACGGATGATGGATTGAATAGCAGCGGGACCCTGCAGCAAACAACAACAACATCACAACACGCAGCAGCAAGCAAGCTTTGTGCGTCTTTTGTGCGTCTTTTGTGTAGAAGTGGAAGTGGAAGTGGATATGTGATCCCTATAGTCGGTAACATTCTCCAATCGGGGAAATTTCAATCTTCCATCTTCGGGTGCATGACTTCGAGGAGAAGGAGGAGTGTGAGATGGATACATAGGGGGTTGGGTAAGCAAGCAAGCCCTAAGAGTGTGTCGACAAGGGTGCCTTTTTTTTTTTTCTTTTTGGGAGATTCCTGATACAATCAGCATCCGCTTTGGGGTTTCTGTTGTTCTTGTTGGGAAAGGGTCAAGGTGGATACATGCATGCATGATTTGTACAGGGGAATTTCGTTGTTGTTACACTGCAGAGAGCGGGAGATTTGTTTTTTGTCAAATGCCGTGAGGGATACCATGGTGGCGGTAGGTAGATTTCAGTCATCTTTGCCGAATCAAACGAGTATGCTATCTGAGGTCATCTGGTGAGGAAGAGCAAGAGAGGGATGTTGTCTGTCTCATATCTTGCTAGGTTTGATATTGGGCGAAATGGCTTGGCGAGATGGCTTGGAGGGATACATAGATGGATTTCTGGATCTTTTGGTTCAAACAATATGAGACGGACATCGCCGTGCATTCGATCGGTCAACTCACAAATTCTAACCTCTCCTCCTGTCGAAAACGGAAACGATGGAGTACTGAATCTGTCGCGCTTCGTCATAACGGGTAGCCGCCGGGCGTTCATTTCTGATCGATTGTAACTTATGGGATGGCTCGATCTGGGATGTGGATACTCATCCTATTCCTATGTCCTCGAAACGAATGATCGGTGGCCTCGGAGGAATATAGGTTTGTCGCGATTACAGTTGAAGAATGTTGTAAACAGCAAGCAGGCAAGCAAGTAAGCGACAAACATGTTTGAGTGAGGTTGTGATGTTTCGCGTAGGTACATTTGTTTACCTGCTATGCTGTCGAGTCTTTGTATGCGTTTGTTCTTTTCGCGCCGGCTTGAAGATACATACATATCACCGGATACCAACTATCCCGCTCAGAATACCATTGTGGTTGGGGGCAAAGGTCCACTTTTGGGAAGATTTCCATTGCCATTGCTTCGTTCCTTGGTATCGCATCCTCTCTGCAGACTCGTCGCGGGGCGTCGGTGCTCCCATGGGAAATATATTCCTGGGAAGTGCACCACACACAGCTCATGTTCTTGGGTAAAAGACATGTTCTTTACCAGCTGATTCTCCTCCTCAACACATCTTTCCTCCAGCATTGCCCCCGCGACGACCCGTGCACTCGTCGAGCGCGCGTTGCATATGATTCATTTCCATCGCCTTGGATCCTCCTCTCCCTCTCATCAAATATTACCACCCTCCTCCTTCCACCTACGAATATACTCCTTCGGATCCATCGGACTACCCGTCTCGGTATGTTTGAAGTTTCCAGGCACCTTTTCAATCCTTTGCGTCACAAAGGGTGTCAACTAGTGAGAAGATTCCCGTCAGTCTCTTCTTCCTGTGCTCTGCTCTCCTCAAGTTTCATGATAGAGGGAGTAAGGGAGGGGGATATACATACGGCAAAGTCACTCAAATCGGGACACACATAAGTGCGCACCTTGGACCAATCGATTTGATAGCCGCCCCATTTGGTGTGTTTTCCCATGGCACCCGTGCGGTTTCCCTTGTAGTAGTTGTGGGGACCTTGTTTGGTGGTGAGGGCCAGACGGCGGATGGCGCGCTGGAGGACTGGGGTGGGTTGCATGGTGGATGGTGTCGCTCGGGGTCTTCAAGGAATTAATTGGATGTTCGAAGATTATCGATGAGATGTGAAGACGGAGGTGCTGCGGAGATGGAATGGGAATGGAATAGGATCCTCGGACTTCGGACCGCCCCGTTGAAAGCACAGACGCTGATGATGAATTCGTTCGAAAGAATTTCGAGATTTTGTGAAGGCGATAATTTACAAATTGAACAACATTGGCCGACAAGATGCCGCCTCGAATTGCCCGCGCCAGCGTGAGCAACAACACACCGGCTGCCAAGAAGAGCAAGAACAAAAACAAAAAACGAGCCCTCAACGCCTACGCTTCGGCCGCCCGGCAAATTCCCGAAGGTCGCATCAATCGCAATCGTTTGGGAGAAGATCTGGACGATGGACCCAAACGAAAGAGAAGTCGCGAGGAAAGTGATGAGGAGGATGAAGGGGATTTTCATGACGACGACGACGAGGACGAGGATGGACCGGCTCGGAAGAAAGTGGCCAAGAGAGGAATCTTAAGCATGGGAGACGAGAGGGAACACGGAAGTGACAGCGAGGGGAACGAGTGGACCATGGGAGGTTTGAATGATGACGAGGATGACAGTGATTTGGACTCGGATGAGGCGTTTGGCGAGTCGGATGAGGAGAAATTCAGTGGTTTTACCTTTCGCGGGAGTGCGAGGAATCAAAAAGGAAAGGGCAAGGCGARGAAGATGATGGCGAGGAGGAATTCGAAGAAAGAGGTGGATTTGGATGAGAGTGATGGCGAAATTGACGACGGCGACAGTCAGGATGATGAGGGCGAGACGTTTGGGGACGATGGGGTGGATTTGGCCACCATGTTGGATGATGATGGTGATGATGATGATGATGTGGAGATGAAGAATGCAACAAACCCAGACAGCGGGAGTGAGGAGGAAGAAGATGATGAGGATGATGAAGACGATTCAGATTCAGATTCAGATCAAGACGCCTCCGATGATTCCGCGGATGAAGAGGCCGTGGCGCGCAACATGGACCGCATCGTGGGCCTGGATCCTTCAAGGCATTCCTCTACCCAACAATCCGAAGGTGTCACCACCGTCGATGATTTCATGGACGGTAGCATCGCTCCCCTCGCTCCTCTCAAATCCAAGAAATCCAAGAAAAAGGGACCAGTCACCCAACTCGCCGCCAAACTCCCCAAACGTCAACAAGACCGCATCGATCGCGAGATTGCCTCCGCAAAAGCCAAAGAGCAACTTGACCGATGGCAGGATACCGTCAAACACCACCGTCGGGAGGAATTCCTCACCTTTCCCCTCCAGGACCCCACAGACAAGTCGGGAATCACGGGCAAGGAAAGGTTCCTTCCCGCCACCCAACAAGCTCCACAGAATGAATTGGAGGCGAGTATCCAACGCATCATGGAGCAGTCCGGTCTGGCTTCCAACAAACCGGATGAGGAGAATGTGGGCGAGGAGGAACAGGCATTGTTGAAGAGCGAAGAATTGGCAACAAATAAGCTGCCGGTCGAGGAAGTGTTGAGGAGGAGAGCGGAGCTGAGGAAGATGAGAGAGCTCCTCTTCCGTGAGGAGATCAAAGCCAAGAGAATCGCCAAGATCAAGAGCAAATCCTATCGAAGAGTGCATCGCAAGGAGAGGGAGAGGGAGGAGGAAAAGGAGAGAATTGCCATGCAGGGACTGGGTGGCGAGGTCATGGATGAAGATGAAAAGGAGACGCAGGATCGGAAGAGGGCCGAGGCGAGAATGGGCACCAAACACAAGGAGAGCAAGTGGGCCAAATCTCTCAAGGCTACCGGTAGGGCGGTGTGGGATGAAGGCGCGAGGGATGGTGTCATCGAGCAGGCGAGACGAGAGGAGGAATTGAGAAAGAGAATGGACGGGAGAGATGTTTCGGGGGATGAAAGTGATGGCAGTCTGTCTCCTTCGGAAGATGAGGGTGATGCTCCCTTTACGTTGAGGAAGTTGGAGCAGAACAGAGATGATGAGAAGCCGAAGAAAGGGTTGGCGAATATGAAATTCATGCGCGAGGCCGAGGAGAGGAAGCAGAGGGCCAATGATGACGACGTGGCTCGCTTGAGAAAGGAACTTGCGGTGGAAGATGGCGAAGAGGAGGACAGTGAGGAGGGAGAGGAGAGTCTGGGACGTGCTCTCTTCGGACCAAGGCCCACCAAGAACAAATCCACCCATCCTAAAGAGCAACGACTGGAGTTTGAGGCTCCCGATCATTCCGCGGAAGAAGATGAGGATGGCGAAGATGATCAAGATCCACAAGATCAAGTCAAAGTCATCACCGAGAAGCCAAAAGTCAAAAACGGTACCGCAAGAGCCATGACCACATCCACCATCCCAGCCAGCAAACCCAAACAAGAAGGCTGGCTGAGAGATATCGACGACGACGACACTTCCAAGAGTAAAGCCAACAAAGGCTGGCTACAAGCACCCAAGGGGACTTCCAGAAAAACAGCCGTGGCGACCGATAACCTCGACCTCCTCAAACCCGTCTCCAACGACCCTCCCGGCAAGTCCGATAAATCCACCTCCTCGTCCAAGAAGCCAGAGCTCAAAGACACCTCCTCCAAAGACAATACCTCCAACTGGACCACAATCCCTCATCCGAACAACCCCCCCAACGACGAGGAAGAAGAAGGAGAAGAAGAAGACGGCGAACAAACCAACCCCCTCCTCCCCCCTCAAACCCAATCCCTCCAACAACGCGCCTTCGCCGGCGACGACGTCGCCCTATCCTTCACCGAAGAAAAAACCGCCCAAGCAGCCTCCGAAGACACCCAATCCACATCCACCTATCTCCCAGGCTGGGGCAGCTGGACAGGCGACGGCCTTTCGCGCTCGATCCGCAAATCCAACTCTCGAGCCCGACACAACCCCCTCTTCAAGAACAAAACCCCTGGGGGAACGCGTCCCGAAGATCGCCTCGACAAAAACCTCGACAAAGTCATCATCAGTCAAAAAGGTGAGGAGGGAATTGTTCGAAAAGGTAAAAAATATCTCGCGAGTCAATTACCCCATGAATATCAGACTAAAGAGCAATATGAGAGGAGTCGAGCTATGCCTGTGGGTGTGGAGTGGGTTACTAAAGGTGTGCATCAGAGGATGGTTAGGCCTAGGGTTGTGGTTAAGAAGGGGGTTAATGTTGAGGCTTTGGGGAGGCCGGTTTTGTAGTAGAGAGAGAGAAGGAAAAATTGAGAGGGGGAGGAGGGGGAAGATGTATGGTTATGCTTTGTGTCGTCGTCGATTAAATCTACATGCTTCTTGCTCTCTCCCTAGACGTGGGGAGGAGGTACATTGATCGAAAAGGAAACATTCCACCTAGATGAGTTAGAAAAGCACATTACCTATAAGCGAAGTTGAGATCCGAATATTCACATCTCTTTCAAGTGCATTGGCTGTCYAAATTACTCTACCCCCGATTAAGAGGATTCTCGGGAAGTTGAATGGAATGAATGTCATGTAAATCTTGGTAAGTACATGTATCTAGGAACATGAAGAGCAGGAGAGTATTACGAAAAAAGTGTCCATACTTCGATATGCCTCACACAACAATCACCGCCATCTAGCCGCAAGAATTCTCAAACAACAGGAATTGTCATGTCTCGTGTTTGATCGCTACATTCTGAACAAAGCCTCCGTGCCACAGGGTGAGACCGCTCAAACTTCACACCTCATCATAGCCATCCATCCATCCGTCCCATAATTACGTTCTTTGCCTTGGAGTAGATAGATACAAGGAAAACTGTGCAGAGCAAAGCAAAGTGGAGAAAACAGTAGGCAAATAGGTTCAGGTTGAGAGCTCCCTCCCTTCCACAACCTTGACAACCCCATCACCTTCCTCCTTCACCTCAACTACCATCCATCGTCCCACCATCCTCGAGGGTGACGTGGACCGAGAACTCAGAATCGCGGCCAGAACAGCAAGGGCTGCGCACAGGTTGAGGACGCTGTGAACGTTCAGGTTTCAATCTAGCATGTGATCGAGCGGGCTCTTAGACTTGATGTACCAGATGCTAATCACCGTAGCAGCGAGCGCGACGGCGGTGCCCAGGACGAGAAAGCTACATCATCAATCAGGACTGCACTGTGAATTACAATCAAAAAATCCACGACTTACAATACAGACTTTGCAGACTCCTTGGCATGATCCGGAATCTGGTCGGCAATTGCTTTGGCCTTGTCGCTGAAGCCGCCTGTGAACTCCTTCTGCATGTCATCGAAGACATCCTTCGGTGTGAGTGGGGGTGTGATTGGGTTCGCTAGCCGGTCAGCTTCGAAGATTTGTAGCTTTGGGACGTCCGATTCGGGAGCGAGGTGGTCGTCATCTTCCTCCTCTTCACCCTCCTTCACGCTAGGAAGCGGAATCGGAGAGCTGGAGTGGGATGAGGTGGGAGAAGGAGCACTAACACTACCGTGATCGAGCGTCTCATCCGCCGGCAAGGTCTTGTGAGTGTGTTCGAGATGTTCCATGATGCCCTTGTGGTCGGTTGGGAACTTCACCAACGAGGGATCATTGGGATCGGCTTCATCTGGAATGGGTGAGCCGGGCTTGTTGATGCCTCTCATGACATCTCGAGGAGAAGCAGAATCCCGCGAGTGATCGTCACATCGCGAGCTGGTGCTGGTCGGCGTGGTACACTCATGAGCGAACAGGGGTGAATGGGTTTCGCAATGCAGCGGTCCCGCAATGTCTTCTGTTGGCGGCGGGGTGGAATGATCCTTCTTCGGCGAGAGATCTTCATGCTCCATGAGTGGAGCGTGGGTGGGAGGGTCTGGTGTTGTGTGTTGATCTGGGTTGCCTTTGACCTCGGGCGTGTGGACCTCGTGCGGCAAGAGAGGAGCGTGGGTGGCAGACTCCAAGTCTGAATGCTCCTTGATCTCAGGAACAGGAATAGATGGAACCTTGGTCTCTGGACTGTGGTCCTCATGCGGCACGAGAGGGACTTTATGAGCAGACTCGACCTTGTCGGCCGTAGCTGCCTCATGAGCAGATGGGGTTGGCGGCGCCAAATGATTGGCAGCYGCATGTTTGACGACGACGAGATTGTTCTTGTTACCGCTGCCATCATCGACCTGTGGCTGGGTATCATCGCAGACCCACCAGTCTCCAGGTCCGAGGCGAAGCTTGTACTGATACTCACCTTCCTCGACCGCGAAGAACTTCCGGAAGGTGAACTTGCCGTCTGGGCGAGTAAAGTGCTCCATCTCCAGAGGCGCCCATTGTGGATCGCTCAGGCTGGTGCCGACATACACGGGCGGTTTCAAACCGGGCGAGGCGAACTCGATGCAGACCGGAATCTTCATAGCTTCTACACCTGGAGTGACGGGTCTGGGTGCGGGCTTGTGACCAATCCAACGAGGACGCAGCTTCGACGGGACCACGTCGAGAATGGCATCGATCGAAGGTGGTGAGACCTTGGGCAAGAATGATGAGCGCTTGGGAGAAGCCATGTTAGCCGTGTCGGCGGTCTTGGGCGGAGTGCGCTGCTGCAATGTCTGCTGCGCGGCCGCTGCGCGTGCTTCGAATGCTGCTTTGATTTCGGAGACGCTTCTGTTGGGTGGACTTTGTGGTCTGGGGATGGACATAGGAAGATGAAAGTGTCGCTGTTTCAATGAAAATGACGTGCCGTTTGCCGGTAGGTTTTCATGTGGGGGCCGTGTGGGTGAAGATGACGGGAACGATGACAATGCGACCTGACAATGAGGCTTTCAAGTGCTTACCTGAGGTGGGCGAGGTGGTGTTGATAGGTGGACCGGCAGGCTCCAACGACCTTCAATTCCAGCGGGCAACGAAGACAAGACAATACTAGGTGCTCCTTCGAGTGCAGGACCGAAGCACAATAATGAGAAGGAGGACGGACCAAAAGCTGACCGCGAGAGAAGGTGAGCAGCAACATCACATCACCTCACCCAGGAACCACCCCTGTCTTCAACGCGCTGGGAAGTTGCACAAGGAGCTCCACAAACCCGCTTGCCACGCTGAGAACGCACGGCATTCCTCCCGCTCCATTCGGCACTCTCTGACACGCGCTCGTGCATCACCAAGCCCCTCGGTTAACGTTTCGCTGCATCCACGGGCGATGACAGCGAATGTACATGGATGGAACAGGCTGGTCTGTGGCGAAGCAAGCGACACAGTGAGACAGAGAGGGTGATGTTGAGGCGCATGTGGCGGGGCCAGGGATCATGGCGATCATTCCCCCGCCCACAATATGGACTATACTCGCGGGTAAACGTTATTGTACCGGATGGAAGAGATAGCAGAGCCATGATGCATACAAGTCGTAAGAGCGGAGCATAAACTCCTGGCGGGTGGGTGACAATTCGATACAGCGCGTTGTCAACGAGCGGGAATATTGTAGACTATATCGATTCACGAGCCCGCCAACCTCTTCCGTTCCAACTCAGGCTACACATCTCACAGTTCTACGGTCACGACGGAAAAGGATATGAAATCGAATCATTTCATAGGATAGCCACGTTGAATACGCGCAGAGATGTCTGGGTATCTACTACTAAACCATGTATGCATTCAGCCATGCAGCCTTCCGGCTATGTTGGTCTTATGCAGAGCGTCCTCCGCAGCCGTACTGTGATGTTGTAGGGTCCGTCCGTAAGAGAAACCTCTCTCAGATATAAACCCTATGCATATTCATTCCCGTCGCGCCTCATAGGTATGATTGTGAAGAGCAAGTCACATAGAATGCTCCACTTGTGATGTGTACTTGTGATGTGACTTGTGATTGTTCCCATCTCACTTGCCCAACCAAGGAAAGGCGGATCCTCCTCCTATCGGATTGGTCTTGGTGGGCTTGGATGCTGACAGAGTCAAACTCTCCTTCGAACCGACCTTGGACGGGATGTTATCAAGACTTCGGCCTGCATCGAAGAATCTGCTCTTGCCGTCTGCCGGGCTGGATGTACCAGCGGTCGGGGGCGTGGTAGAAGCTGCACCTGAGAATGTGCGATGAGCCGTCTTAGGCTTGAGGACCTTGATACCGGTATCTCTGCGAGTGTACGAAGAGTCGCGGGTGTTGTTAGCGCCAGCCCACTCTGGAGCTCCACCAGCCGGGGGAGACAATGTGCTCGATTGAGCGACATCTCGGCGCCAACTGCCCCACAGCGCTGAGCCGCCTTCCTTGACCGGAGGGGGCTGTGCAGGTCCTTCATCTTGACGAGTGTTCAATTGGCTGAGCGCTGGTCTGGAAGTAGTGGACTGTTGGATGGTCGATTGGACCTCGGCGTCGGTACCAGCTGCACCCAGCTTCGTGGGCTCAGAGCTACCAGAATCTCCAGCAAGCGCGCCTGGTGGACGATATTTGCTGTTGCCTGACGCCGGAGTCGTCGCAGTGGAGGCAGCAGATGTTGAAGGTGTGTAGATGATGGAGCCGCCCTTACCCAGCCCGTTCAAGAAACTGTGGTCCTTGGAAGATTGTTCTGGTTCGGAATTGCCCTGTGAGTTGTCTGGAGGGCCACCTGGAGGGCCGCCTGGGGGACCACCTGGAGGACCACCTGGAGGACCGCCTGGGGGACCGCCTGGAGTCGCACTGCTGGTAACAGCGAGACTGGTATAGGCTGCCTCATCTTCTGGGCGAACGAGAGGAATCGTGAGCTTCTTGCCCTCACTGTCCATCAAAGTCATTCTGTTCGTGGAAAACAGAATGTCTGCTTGATGTGGCTGGAGAACGTCGCTGCCAATGACAATCTGGATGGCCTTGTGTTCAGTCGGCAGACTCGAGCTCTCGAGAATGCAGAACTCAAGCTCCAGAGACGGCAGCGTAGATGAGATTGGACTACGCGAGCGTTGTGACACAATCGGGACCTGAACACCCTCAGAGAAGTAGACGCGAATCATCATCGTGCGTGGGCCCTTCTGATGGCTGCGAATGGCCTGCTCGACTCCGAGTTTCTGAACGAGCCGTAAATCGATCCAAGACTTGCACGAGCCCGTACAGATGGCAGCGTAATGCAAGTTGCGGTGCTTGAAGTTGCGCTCCAACCAACACCTGATGATGGCCGGAGTTGGACCCAGCAGTAACAGACCAGGGGCGATGCCTGGTGTATCCAGTGGCGACGACGACTCGCCCGTGCCATAGTCCAGGTTAAGACTACTGGCCCGTCCTGAAGCAGCGGAGCGCAATGAGTGAGCTGAACTGGCGCGTGGCTCGGACTTGTGTGACGGAGTACGCTCGCTCATGTGGTAACCACCACTGTAGCCACTGCTCTGGCGTGACGCCAAATCGAACGACGGACGCTGTGAGTGTGAAGAGAAGTGGTTCTGATTGGCAGTCTCATCGAATCGAACGCTGTTCGCTCTCGAGGTGGCGCCCATAGCACGGCTGCGAGGCTCGTCGTCGGCGTCGAGGTGGAGGCTGCTCATCATGTTGTTCGGATCCTCGTCGTAGTTGCGGAATTGGTCAGAGGGTGGGTACTGCTGAGGAGCTGCGGTCTTGGTTAGCATGCGTTGGTATGCATCGATGTATCGCACTTACCTTGCTGTGGGGTGCCGCTCAAAATGCTCGGAAATGCCGTGCTGGGTCCCCAGAGGCTCTTCATGCGAGCGTCGTCGTTGTGTTGTCTCTCTAACCGGGCGATCCGCTCGTTGTGCTCAGTGAGAATCTGCTGAAGCTGGACAGGATCTGCTGCCTGGCTGCCGGTCGGTGTGAAGGACTGACTCTGTGGATCCATAGCGTGCCGGACTCATACGATGTGAATGGCAGACGTGCGGCAGCCTAGAAGGCGCGCAGGTCACTGAGTGGCTAACTTGGCCGTCGATGAGAAGAGCTCTGGTGTTGCACTGCTTGTGGCCCGATCAATCCACCTCTTCGGCCCCTCCTTCTCCTCCCCTGGGCACGAACTTCGAAGAACGCGGCGCAGTACTTGAGCTCTGAGATCGCGGTGCCGTGTGTCCAATGTTTCGTTGTTCTAGACTATGGCTCGAGGCCGAATGCACCGCTTGTGGGGGGAGACAAGAATGGAGTGCCTCGTCGATGACCGCGATGAGATTGTTGCGTTGATGCGAGGGGGAGAGCGATGGGTGTTGTCGACGAAAGGGAAAAGCCGTGTGAGGTGATTGTACGAGCAGTGTAGACTGAAAGCCGGTGCAGGTTGTTTCAAGACCGAAGTGACTCGAGGCCGTGCTTGTGGCGGCGTCTCTCGAGGTAGTTGTCGGCGTGAAGGGAGCTTTCAGGACATACAGAAGACTGCGATACTGATGGGAGGGAGATACAGACTGAGCCGACAAGAAGTTGAGATCAAGCCAGAGTCAATGGTGTTGTTGTTGGAAGGCAACTCGGACGTCTTCCATAGACACCGCGCTAAGGGAACTAGTTGACGAACCTTTGAGCTTGTGTCTGTGGAGTGCCGGCGCCCGTGTCTCCCACGCGTGGGTACCGGATTTTTAACATCATGCAAACGATCAGCCTCACTATGTTCACCGTCGATGATCATGCCACCAGCCGTGAAGCTATTGTACGCCCTCGTCAACGAAGCGCTACCGGCCTACCCCTTTCTTTATGAAAAGCCATCACGATACACAGCGGCCAGGTGGACGTAGAGCAGACGCCAACTCCGCCGGCCCATGCAAAAGAGTTGGAAGACATTCTACGCTATGCTGTTCGCAGCACGGCTGTAAGAGAATCCATGCTGCTTGACAAGTCACCTCCGTGGTGTGGACATACTGCACCTCACCACGCCGGAATGCCTCTCCGGTAATTTGACTTGTACAGCCCTCTCGATGCTGCTCGCCGTTCGATAAGAGGCCTGCTGCGCCCAATAAGAAGTCTACATCCAATAGAGAAGTTCATACGAGTCGAAGCAGCGGGTGGTACACGGCGGTGGTCTATTGCTGTGGATAGTATGCCTGCTTGTGCATCAATCGATATTCGGGCGCTTACATTCTCGCCCCTCCAAGGTCTGTTCAACATTGCCGCTCATAAACAGTCTTGACGTCCAGCAAGCCCGGCTCTTGTGGAGCCTCCTGCCCCTGGGCGGATATCTTGCGTGTCACTGCGTGTAAGGCTTGCTGCAGGGCTTGAGGAGCATCGTTCACCGATAGTCAACAAGGCCAGCTCTCTCTACGATCCGCCCCTTCAGGATGTTTGGGACGTTGTTGGGTGTCTTATGGGCGAAGGGGCAACGTTCAACGTAAGCTTGAACGTGTGAGAACCGCAACCGCATTACTCGCAATCAGGGTTCAGCCATGAATAATTGAACCTATCCATTCTACTGAGTCTAAACCGACAAGAAGCTTCCTACTGGGAGTGCGCGTCGTTCGAACATTTTCCTCCGCAGCAAAGCACTTGGCATTGATCCTGATAGGAGTTCTCCGCAGTCTCTTTCTTCTAATGCCACCCCGGACGCGCAGAATTTGGGACATGAACTCAGAAGGATGCTCTGCTCAACAACAAGGGATCCACCATTGACATGACCACAATTCATTCGAACAAGACAGCGCGGGATTGATTGAAGTATGACACTGGCCGTTTTCACCTCGATGGGACGGTTCCTTGGAAGCGGCAATATGGACGAGCCAGGTTTTCCAGAATGACTGCAATGGGCACCTTTCCTATTCTTCATGCGTAAATATTGAGCCGTGTCTACAATAACCACTCCACGTACGTCCTCGGGGATACGACGCGTTCAACACGCGCCTATCGTTGCCCCATACCTCCATTTCTGCTCTCCCTTGAGGATATGCATCATTGCACTCTTATCAATTCATCGAAATCGTACGTGCGGTCATTCGACTGCTCTGTATGGTATTCTGAATGATCGACGATAATGTTGACGATACATGGCAGTCCCACGGTGGTTTCAACCAAGTGTAAGTCATATCCATGGTACTTGAGCTTGCTACCCAAATTCTCGGACTGCTCGGGTCATCCAGCACTTCCCTCCCTCCGCAATGATCTGTCTTGATTGTCAACATATATCTCAACACCCAAATTGCCCTCAACCGCCCTATCGACTTTTGAGATCCTCGCAGACGAGCAAGTATGCAGCGCGACAACCAAGTGGACGCCGCCGAGAGCCTCCGTCAGTCTACCCAAGCGTCCCACCTGGGTGCACGCCCTGAGATCCACCAAGCATCGACGTCCGAAGCTCTTTGCACCAAAATACTGTCACTCTCTGAAACGAAGCGCGATTACGGAAGTGCGTCATGCGGTGCTATAGCTATGGTCAAAATTCCAGGGACACATGGACCAAGCAGCTGCCTTATTATCAGAGGATTGAAGTCTGCAGATCGTCCTCTTTTAAAGCACCTACACGGCTTGCCAAAGAGCGTGGATCCGCCCTCGTACGAAGAAGGGATGTACRTGACGGCAGTCAACAAAAGTTACGAGGTAGAAGTTGAAGTGGCAAGAAGGTGGGATCGGCATCGATGGGACAACTGGCGTAAGACATGCAGACTTTACAACCTCTGGCCACTTGGGAGGCCTCCAACAACGAGCACGACTCTCATCTGCTCCGTTAGAGAAAAAGGACTGGCAGACAGAGGAAGAGGAAGACACCCGGACAGGATGGATAGACAGAAGAAGAGGAGGAAGAGGAAGATTGGCAAACCCGCACCGCCAATTCTCGGAAAGCAGCCGAGGAAACCGGCAGGACATCAGTGCAGTTGGGAACACTGCTGCCAGTGGTCTGACGAAATAGTTGAACTAGAATTCAAGAAGCGCAACGCGCCGAAATGAAAAGAGTACCTGCATAACGAAGCAACACCTTGTAGAAAGATCCAATTGATAACGGTTCGTCAGGCTTTGTATAATGATCTAGCCTTGGTGGTTGTGCAGCGATTAATAGCTTGCGATTACAAGACAGGGACAATCGTTCTACTTTTCCGGTAGCCTCAAAAGACATCGACTGTAGCATCGATTTGAAGGTGACGGTAGTCTCTACAGTATACAGATACATGTAGTTCCGTCTTCGGCGTTTCGGATCGAGTCGCGCCTCCGCATTTCGGTGGTCCCCTGCCTCGAAGCTGTCGAATTACAAGGTATATTTTGTGCTGACCTCGAAAGTTAATCAAAACAGTCACATCTCTCTCTCACGACAAGGAGGAATTGGAGGCAGCGCAGCTTTGAGAATCGCCATCAAAGCAGTCATGTTGGCCCTCCGCTCATCGCGTCCCGCGTGGGCATCGCGAGGCCAATGGCAAACCATGTGCGTGTTCCCCATTCGATTAATGGGAGTCGTTCGTACAGCTATTGACAATATGACAGACGCTCGCTTTCCAACTCGGCGCGTCGCTGCCAGGCGTCACCCGTCGACGGCGATGCATCCGGCCTCAACTCGGTCTCCAAGAGTATCACACAGCCCAAGTCGCAGGGCGCCTCGCAGGCCATGCTGTACGCCACCGGCTTCACCGAAACCGATCTTAACAAGGCACAAATTGGCATTTCGTCTGTCTGGTACGGGGGCAACCCTTGCAATATGCACTTGATGGATCTGAACCACCGCGTCAAGGAGGGTGTGCAGAAGGCGGGCATGATGGGCATGCAGTTCAACACCATCGGTGTTAGCGATGGCATTAGCATGGGAACATCAGGCATGCGATACTCCTTGCAAAGTCGAGACCTGATTGCGGACTCGATTGAGACGGTTATGGGTGGACAATGGTACGACGGCAACATCAGCATTCCTGGATGTGACAAGAACATGCCGGGTGTGATCATGGCCATGGGACGCGTGAACAGGCCGAGTTTGATGGTGTATGGAGGAACCATTGCTGCTGGATGCGGCAAGAAGCCGAGAAACAACAAGCTGGATATTGTCTCCGCCTTCCAGGCATACGGACAGTTCATCACTGGCGAAATCAGCGAAGAGGAACGTTTCGATACTATCAGACATGCATGCCCTGGTGCTGGAGCATGTGGTGGTATGTACACTGCCAACACACTGGCTTCGGTTATTGAAGTCATGGGCATGTCACTTCCTGGATCTTCATCCAACCCAGCCGAGAGCAAGGCCAAGCAGTTGGAGTGTCTGGCCGCTGGCCCCGCGATCCGCAACCTCTTGAAGGAGGACATTCGTCCTTCTGACATTCTCACCAGAACCGCCTTCGAAAACGCAATGGTTCTTGTCAACATCACCGGAGGTTCGACCAACGCCGTCCTCCATCTCATTGCCATTGCACACAGCGTGGGCATTGAGTTGAGCATCGACGACTTCCAATCCGTGACAGACCGCATTCCTTTCCTCGCTGATCTCAAGCCTTCGGGCAAGTATGTCTTCGAGGATCTATACAACATCGGCGGCACTCCCTCCCTCATCAAATTCCTTCTAAAGGAAGGACTTCTCGATGGCAGCGGCATGACTGTCACCGGAAAGACCCTAAAGGAGAACGTTGCCAACGTTCCCGACTTCCCGGCAGACCAAGACATTATCCGGCCCGTCAGCAACCCGATCAAGTCGACTGGCCACATTTGCATCCTTCGCGGTTCGCTTGCACCTGGCGGGTCTGTCGGCAAGATCACCGGCAAAGAAGGAACCGTCTTCACTGGTAAAGCCCGCTGCTTCGATGCTGAGGATCTGTTCATCGAAGCCCTCGAGCGCGGCGAGATCAAGAAGGGCGAGAAGACTGTTGTCATCATCCGTTACGAGGGACCAAAGGGTGGCCCTGGTATGCCCGAGATGTTGAAGCCATCATCCGCGATCATGGGTGCCGGCCTAGGCAACGACTGCGCGCTCATTACCGACGGTCGTTTCTCTGGAGGCAGCCACGGGTTCTTGATCGGCCATGTCACCCCTGAAGCGCAAGAGGGAGGCCCTATTGGACTTGTCAGGGATGGAGACACCATCACCATTGATGCTGATAAGAGAGTGATTGATATTGTGGACCAGACCGACGAGGAGCTTCAGAGGCGTAAAGCGGAGTTCAAGGCGCCACCATTGAAGTACCAGAAGGGTACGCTGTTCAAGTATGCCAAGGTCGTGCAGGATGCTAGCCATGGATGTATCACGGATGGACCATGAAGGAGCAGCGGCTTGGGATGGGGTGTAATATAAGGCGTTCTTGGCGCTTTGGGGGGAGGGTCGGCTGTATAAAGAAAAGACGTGTGTTTAGTTCGCTAAAACTACATTCTGGATCGAAGCATTTGGCTGGGAATCCAAAGATCCTCTGCTGGGGGCTATTAATACAGATGATGTTGCAAGCTCGCGTACCTTGCTGTCTGTCAACTGTCTGTGTGGAGGTCTAGCTGCAGCGAGATCATCTTGGCGTGGCGGCTTGAGTATCGCGGATTTGCAGCCACATCATGTTACGACTGCACCCGTATAGACTGTGCTGGTGTGCACTACTTCCTCGTGTAAGTATTCCATTATTCTCTATGCTGTATGTAAATAGTCATGGCGAGGAGAAGAGCCCAGGCGAGCGCCGGATATCTGAAAAGTTCAAAGGCGAGGTTTGACGGCACGAAAAGCCTGCCTTACTACTTACCTTAATGTCCACAATTTCTTATCCTATATCACTCCTTCATCAACCTCTCCCTTCAAAAGTTGTCCCAGATCTTTCGAATTCAGGTTGTGCTCAGACGCTTTCCACTTTCTCGATCCACGGCACAACTACACCATCTACGTTTGGAGACATCGCTATGAACTCAAATTCATTAAAATACCAGACTCCATCCTGAACGATCGGGAGCTTGTCAAGTATAACGAACATTCTGATTCTCTCAACCTCGCCATTCGCTTGAGCAAAGTAGTCTTATGCACAGCGCCTACCGGACCGGAGCTCCGTCCTTAGTTCTAGTTCTCCTTCGGTGCATTACGCGCAAAATTTGTAATCCACCTGTGTCGGTCTTATCGCCGAGGTATACATATCTCTCCGGCCCTTCTCCAACTTCAGTCACGACCCCGCCACCATGGCAGAAACAGAGCCCAAGGCTTCCCTGCTCACAATCCCCCCCGAGCTTCGCGAGATTGTGTACAAATTTATCCTCCATCCAGAAGCGAACCGAATCGATCATGGAAACGAGCATGCCTCGTACCACTACTCGCCAGCTCTCGTGCTCTTCCGAATAAATCGGCAGATCTATTTCGAGTCTAGAAAAGTATTCCGCGACTTGAATGTCTTTGTTAAGATCCAGACGCCATGGCCGGAAGCTTCACGGCATGTACAGCTCGATGGGCATTGCCCCATCGTCTTATCGCCTGGGCACAAGGCAGATGCTTTCAACGGCCATAGCTTGAATGTTTCCTGTGAACCTGCGGCCCATGTAGCTGGGAGCTATGAAGAATACAACTTTGTAAGTAAGGCGAACGTCCGACACTCTTCCTTTTCGTGACAATCGGCCTTGAAGCACTGCTCTCCAACCTTTTCTAACATTTGCCTCCCACCACACAGATTATCCTACTTGAAGATCTGGACAAGTTCACAAAAAGCTGGTTCTATTCAAACCTGTCCCATCCTGACCTCAATCGACATCTCCGTCTAGGGCTGGAGCTACGGGCACCGTTCAGATCAGACTGGGAAGAGCCGACCATGACCAAGGCTCTTCAAAACAGGCTCTTGTACCCCTTTGGAGACGTGAAATATCTTCATGAAACTGAGATAACTGGAAAGTTAAAACCTTTGAGCTCCGTTGAGCAGGAGATGCGAAGACTGCAGGCGATCCCACACGATAGCCCTGAGCACTGCCTTCGAGAGGCCACCAGGTTCAAATTCGAAGGCAATGCGGCACTGAAAGCAGGCGACTGTGAGACTGCGCTCAAGCTTTACAATGAAGCATGGCGGGCCCTTCATGTGGTAGTCAAAGGCCGCGAGCGACATGTTCATGGAGATGCTTTCTTTCGTAAGCAACTGCGAGAGGAACCTTATGTTGGAAAGAATGGTGATCGAGAACGCGTGCTGTTGAGGGTACAGTTGGTGGCGAATACGTGTGCGGTGTACTTGAAGATGGAGAATTGGGAAGAGTGTTTCCATTGGGGAATGCKAAGCATCACGATGATACGGCAGGGCTTTGGCCTGGACGCCGATACGGAAATCCCACCCGAAGAAGAGGCCATTCGGGGCTTTGAAGGGGCCCACTCAATGGGAAAGATCTACTATCGCACTGCGGTTGCTTGCAAAGAATTGGGCGATGAGCCCCAGGCGAGGAAGCTGTTGAGAGTTGCGCGGGTGTATTTGCCGAACGACAAATCTGTGCAGAAAGAGATTGCCGCCACTGCTTTGAGGATATAGCGAGACAGTATGGATGGCTTGGCACCAGAGCGGTGTATTCAACAGGCCGTATTGGACTATAGGCAACTATCATACAGTAACGACCACAAGTCCTAGATTGCATAGCGTAGAGACTCCGTGAGCACCCAGCCATACACCATTGAATCGATCAAAAACGAGATCAATCAAGCAGCAATCTCTTAATTGGTCTACGTTGATTTGTTGATCTTGCATGTCATCTACAGCTACACTTCAAGTCAGGCGACGCGATTTCCTATATACATGTGCATGGCGGCGGCCAAGTGAACGAACATGGATGTAGGCTGGACTTATACCAAAGTTGTGCAACCTCGACTTCTGTCCCTGGCATCCTCTACAATCCGAGCTACGGTGTCCCAAACATCCACTCCTGAACAACCCCCAACTTGACTTCACATTCTGTCCTCCCCTCTCCAAACCACGGCAGAAGATGCCTTTTCACATCTCCTCCGATCTGGACCTCCACGCAAGCACGTCGACTTTTTTCAGCTCCGGTGTACTATCCAAGGGGCCCAAATGTCGCTTCGAAGGGTGCGACGGATTGGAACTTTTTTAATAAACTCTGCAGGCATGCGGAAGTGGTTGCATGAGGAGGAGTCTCGCGATATTGCCACGGTGCGCGTTTTAACGCGCGACCCTCTCCTCTGTGCCAAACGATGCCTCGATGGAGATTCCGCCTGCGAACTTGGCCATGACCTCCCTCTCTGCCGGTTTCGGGGATAGTTGGCATCCACTTCGGTATGCTTGATATATACCACCACATGCCCTGTGAGGAGGACTGCCCTGGAATCGTCCTTGTTCGGGGAATGTTTAATCTTTCCACTGCATGCGTGTGGGATCGATCACTTTGTGGCAGTAGGTCAGTCGGGTAGGGTAGAGAGGCATTGGCCGGCCTTCTTTGCTTCCTCCCTGTGGTAAGACCTTTTCTTTTCTTGCTGTTCCTGCATTCCCAAACCTCGACACAGCCTTTCGATTCATCATGTCGCACTCATTGATTACTTCTACGCTTGTGGTTTTATTACAGGACAGAGCTCATGTGGTCAGAACCTTTCAAGGCCATCGACGACTTGACCAGAGAAACATACCACGACTCCTGCAAGACTCCTCACCCAGAATCGTTTGCCTTTGTGTTACCTGGCATAGATTCAGGAGGTCGCAGAATCGACTCGAATAGTCGTAAGACGAATATTGATATTACGCAAATGGCCACGTTTCCAATCATGTATGGTACTTTGGAGACTGCGAGATTCCCGACCTTTTCTCGAACCTGACACCTCTATCGCAGACGAAGATCAAGTCGGGGGCATATATACCTCGATCGATCGATACACCACACCCGCACAGACACGAACGATTGGGTTTCTCATCATGCTCTGGACTTCTGCTGGCTATKTATTGTCCATGGAAGCGCGAGCCTTGTTCTATAACCACTTGAGCATCGCTTCGGGACGGCATATTCCACGGCGCGAGAATCGATGTAGCCATATCTGTTCCTGCGCCGGCGCTTTGCGCGAATATCATCGAGATCATGAAGAGCTACACGGGAGACATTACGGGTGAATTTGCGGAGAAGATGTATCTAGCTGGAAAGGAGACCACAAGATCGCCCTGCAGTGCATTCGTTTGCTTTTCAGATGGACATCAGGTGACACACTCAAGACTCGAATGGAAGCAACGGCAGAAGACTCATCGCTCCACCAAAGACGCAATACTTGATGGAAGTCCTACTTGTTCTCAGCACCCGGTACGCGCCTCAAGAAAGTGCTACMTGTGACCGCGTCGCTTTTTCCTGATTTATTCCAAGCAATCTGGGATTGACAGTCTTTGGAGGCCAATCCTTCTGCCACAAGCCCACGCTCTCTCCATGCATCTATTGTCGTCATTGTTTCTTGAAGCAGTCGCAAAGGGTAGCAATCCCAATGGCTGAGGCGAAGCGAAATCGCCGTCAGTTGCCGCGAAACAGCCGACATGTTCTTGATACGACCCCTGCGATGATCACCTGGCACTCTTTGCTTCTGGGTGTCTGTGATCCGTCTCTATCGATGCCATTCTCATAGGAAAAGATGTCTCGTGCCATCGCCATCTAGGTGTTGGAAAAGGATGTACCTAGCAGCGACGTCATCGCTGTTCAGTGAATATCGAGCCGCAGTTCGCCAGGACATCAAGGCGCTGCTAGGCCTTCTAGGTCGACCATATCGAACGCTAACAAGCAATGGCCAGATTTTGAAAAGCCGCAAAGCTCTAATGGCCGAAGTTGCAGCATAGAATAAGGTAAGTAGCCGATCTCATGAACGACATCTCATTGCGCCTCTCGTTACTACTTTCTACACTCCACATCATCCTCGACGACAAGATGAAGCCCTCTATGAAGCCCCTCGCACTGGTATTATGCTTCGCTACATCAACCCAAGCGATGCCTGCCAAACCGTCAAACACAACAAGCACTCTTAAGCATTGGCCCGCAGAAGCAGCCTTAGCATTGGACAAGATGATCGCAGCGAATGCCAATCAATCCAACTACGYCGTCTTCGACATGGACAACACCAGCTACCAATTCGACCTCGAAGAATCTCTCCTTCCCTTTCTAGAGAATCGAGGAATACTTACTCGACGCACCATGGATGAATCCCTGAAACTCATCGAATTCAAAGACACGGAAGAATACACCGAGACGCTCTTCAGCTACTACTACCGTCTTTGCGAAATTGACGATCTCATGTGCTATCCCTGGGCAGCTCAGATTTTCGCTGGCTTCACGCTTCGAGAACTAAAAGTCTACGTGGATGAACTCATGGCTTACAATCAAACMATCCCCACGAGATACTGGGATGGCGACGAAGTGGTCGAGGATGAAATCTCGCCGCCTGTGATTTTTCCCGGACAAGTGGAGCTCTATAACGCTTTGATGGATAATGGGATTGAAGTCTATGTTATTTCTGCCGCGCATGAGGAACTTGTTCGTATGGTGGCTGCGGATCCGAAATATGGATATAATGTCAAACCCGAAAATGTCATTGGCGTGACGACTTTTTTGACGAATCGCACGAGTGGGGAACAGACTACCAGTCGGAAACAAATTGAGGCGGGGGAGTATGATGAGGAAGCTAATCTTGATCTTGTTTATGGAACTTATCTTTGGACGTGAGTGGACTGTACTCTCTTCACTAGAATTTGGATTGGATTGGATTGACTGACTGACGTGTTGGATAGTCCGGCGACGTGGTTCAGTGGCAAGTGGGMGGCTATTCTTACTTATATTGATGAGTGGAAGTTGCCGGTTTTGGCTGGTGGTGATACGCCTGGATCGGATACTTATATGATCTTCCACGGAGTCGACGTTGCGAAGGGGGGAATTCATCTATGGTAAGCCCCATCTGGACTTCGGTCATACATCATATCCAGCTGACGTGCTTTGTCGCAGGGTCAACCGCTCGGCCGAGAAATTGGAGGAGCTTAACGAATTGATTGAACAGGGCGCTGCTGGGCAGGCTGCGAACAATCGACCAGTGACTGTGGACAAGAATTGGGTCGTTGTTAAGCCTGTTGAGATAGGTGGGGTGGAGTAGATGTGCTGTGGAGGATAGGGGCCGTAGTCCCCAAGACAGATTCTTTTCTTCGTCCACAGACATAAAACCAACTTGGAAATTCAAGTTACAGGTCCAACACTGCATTTAAATCTCTCTCTCTCTCTCTACATTTCCATGGTATCATACGACAATCCCTACCGCTGGGCTTTCCGTTCAAGCCACCTCGTGGCTCGAACCAACGGCATATCAATCAGCAGCCAAAACATATGCCCTACTGCAATAGATATTGCGAGCATTATCATCCAACCAAGAAAGAGCCCAGCACACCACTGAGTCGATGTACTGATACCAACGATTTCGAAAATCTTCGGCTGCATTGCAAAGCCTGCGGAATGCAACAGAGGCCCGTGGACTAGATAGAATCCATACGAGATTTTGCCCAGGTACTGTGGTACGGCGGAGCTGAGGAATTTGCGAAATGGGGTGATTTGATCAACGGACCAGAGAACGAAGATTGCTGCGAGTGGATGCCAGAACTCGTATGGTTTATGATATGCAGCAGGTGTTATGCGATTGAGTGTTCGAAAACCTGGTGTTTTTCCAGCTTGGTCGTCAGGAAACGAGAGGATGAAAAGACTGAGAGCGAAACCGATGAGTTTCAGTCCGGGTGAGATCCATCTTCGCAACCGGGTAGAAGTCGATGGTGAGTTGTCTTGAGTGGGAAGCAGAGTTTCTCTCTCCCGGCGAGCATTTGCTGCGTGGTGTAGATAAGCAACGAGAGCCCCTCCGGTAAATGTCGAGACTTCCCATCGTGTACGATGGAGACTGTAGACTGCGACCAAGCTGAGCAGTCCAAACGACCATCGCGGTTTTAGACTTGTCGATGCGAGTAGCACGACGAATAGAACGATTGAGCTGCGGAACTCGACTGGTATTGTCCATGTATGAGGGTCGTATTCGGGGTAAAGAAAGTCCCATCGAAAGGGGCTTAACCAGGTCGACCACGCTTTGTAGAAGTCTTTCATCTGAAGTTCGAAATCCTGTTTCCGCGGTGGATGTTGCTCCCACGTCCCAATAAGCGGTGGTCCTTCTTGAAATTTGCGACCTCGATCAAAAGCGCCGTAATATGATGCGAAGCAAACTATCAGCATGCTGATGGAGGCAGGGGCAAAGAGCCGAAGCCATCGTCGTAGTGTTAATGATGCGAGTCGGGGCAGTGCAGTTGTTGTTTGACCTCCTCGCATTGCTGCCATGAAGCCGTAGCTCAGCACGAAACCTGAGATGGCGAAGAAAAGAGTGACCATAGCTCGACCGCGGATCAATAAGCAGAGGAAGGGGAGTTGGTGTGGGAGTCCATGCGGAACTTTTTTATAGGAACCTCCGTATCCATGTGTGATGGTTTTGGTGTATGGATAAAGAAAATGGAAGTTGAACACGATGAGACAGGCGATTCCTCGAAGTCCATCGTACGAGGCTGTCCTAGAGATGGTCGCTGTGGGTTTGATCTGTGGTTTGCGAATCYTGCGCCATCTCATCCGTATATAGATGGATCTCACTGTCTTGGAGATCCTTCTCCAAAGAGTTGGAGCCGAGGACATCTGGCGTTTCTCGTCGAGTCTGTGGCATGATTCAGCAGGAGACTTGGACCTCTGCAGGGATTTACGATATACATAGGGCTAGATGGAGGCGTGTACTCCAGATCGGATGAAGTGCCATGAGGCAAGAGCTTCTCTGTTAGAGAGGTCGACGAACTTGGCACAGAACCGAACATTTCCGGAATGTATGGAACGAATACAAAAGAGTGTATAGCTGAGGGGGAGAAGTACTGCTAACCAGAGCAGTGTTGGGCGGTCTTGAGTGCGATAGAACGATAAAGAGACTGCAACGATATACTTTGAGGAATTGGGGGAAGGGGAGACCGGGCCAAGACAGTCGTCGTAGGACAACCACCCCAGCCTCCATATGTTGACATCGACTTGCACTCGGTCAAGCCATGCCGCTCGGCATTCATCATGGTGCAATAAAAGTTATCAGCTCACCACCCAGTCCCGAAACACCCGTGGTTCGGCCGTTACTTGGCTTGTCTGCGGCTTTGGCAGATCACTTCATCGCATCCCAGGATTCCCAGCGAGTTCCGAGTGTAGACTCAGCACTTTCTTGTGTATGATAGGTTTAAGATTTGTGCTTAGCAGCGGTTGGCAATCGGAGTAATTTGAAGGACCGGATCGAATGGGTAGCGTCGGACTGGTTTGAATCGGTCWCTCCCCTGAAGGCCGGGCAGATTAGTATGGGAGGCATTTGCTGTTTTCATTTTGTATGGCAAGAACTGATGTCATTGGGGTATTGCGAACACTGGGGTGCGGCAAGGTGATCTGCTCCGAGCTTGCGTTGCTGGAGTACTTCCGCGTGCTAGCAGGGGACCCCAGATATGGAATGTTGGCGCCCAGTACTACTCACACTCGCTCAGCTTTACACTCACGATTTACAGCATCTCCACTCACAATAATGGAATGCGTAGCCTCGAGAATTGTAGCTTAGCAAAGTCCTCGACCACTCCGGTCCAAATCAAAATGTRAAGATTGTCCGCCCGCTTCTGGTCCAAATGACTGCGATGCGTGAAGAGGCTGCAGAGAGTGTAGGGAAGCTGGCTCGGGAGAGATGGCGTTCGAGGGGTGTGTTGTTGGCGTTTCATGATGACCAACATCGTGGAGGCATCTTCGACGTTCAATGCGATGCCAAGACAAAAAGGGCAACTTTTCTATCTCAACCATCCATGCGCCAAGGGGGGAAGTCGCGTTGCATTGCCGATGCAACAACAACATATCCTTGTGCTGTAGGGACTCATTCCACGCAGAACTCCTGGGTGCCTCGTGGACTGAAGCCACAACGTTCATTCTGCCCGGGCAGAAGTACGGACTCGTGTCCGGCGCGCAAGCTCAACGGCCTTGGTATTTCTAGGCAGGAAGGACGAAACATACGCTACACAAGTTATCGATTGGTGTGGCCAACTGTTTGCGTAGGTGTAGTCTCGAAATAGACCATCGCTATTCCTGCAAGTGTAATGCTCCCGTATTTCCTAAGGTGCTCGTCGGAAGGGACTCGTAATCTGTATTGCTTTGTTAGCGTGAGGTATTAGTCGGCGAAGCATCAGTCATATATTCGGAAGGGGTCTTCATGTTGTACARGTACCATTCGATTCAAAGTTCGATACCTCCTTTGCTCTAATGTCGCGGTGGATTCGCAGCATCATTATTTGCTTGCCTCTTGTCATCTTCGCACTTATCGCGGTTCACCTGTTCGACGTCTCAACAACCATATCGAAGGCTTCCGTAAAAGCATGGAGATCAGCCCATATCCAGAGCTTGTCGGTAAAAGGCAGCGGTCTGATGCATCTCGGAATAGCAAGACATCCTCAAATTGGGAAGTGCACAGTCATGCACGGGGAACACAACGACGGATACAAGCAAGCGCTCCAGACACACCTCGACCACGCCCAATATCATGGCTATCCCACTTACGTGATTGACCGTACCATTCTCGACGGTCTTTGGACGAAAGAAGCCGCATTGCTGGAGATGATGCTGGAGGCACTCTCCAAACCCAAGAGCGAGCGCTTGAGATGGATCTTCTGGTTCGATGCCGATACAGTCGTAATGAACAAGCTCATGCCTCTCGAAGCCTTTGTGCCACCGGATTCTCGGAACGACGTACATTTGTGTTGTATACCAAAGACTGGAATGGTCTCAACAATGGCGTCTTCATGTTGCGTGTCTCGGAATGGAGCGTGAGTCTGCTATCTTCCATCGTTGCGTATCGCACTTTCAAGCCGGAGGAGGATCTTCCCTTTACAGAACAGTCGGCAATGGAGAAGGTTCTGGAGTTGGATCAGTACAAAGATGGTGCAGTCGAATGTCCTCCGCGGTGGTTCAATTCGTATCCAAACGATGGCGACGAATCCAACATAAACTTTCATCATGCACCGGGCCAACTTCTAGTACATTTCGCGGGCATTGAAGACAAGTCCAAAGCGATAGGCGAATGGGTAAAGAAGCTCGAGACAGATCGTGAGAAGTGGGAGATGCCTCTTTCTCGCACGAATTAYGAGCAGCGGATTGCAGAATTCTGGGATGGGTTCGAATCGGGAAGCGAAATGGGGCAAGATGCTGGAGAACAACCCCAAAGGAGGTCGAGGCGAAAGGCACCTAGGGTATGAGATGTAGAGCTAGCAGGCGATCTAGAGACGACCGGAAGCAAATCGTGATGACCGCATGAGCCTTTCACAGCAAACGTAGCGAGACGGCAATGCTGCCTCATCATTCCTTTTCCTGGCGGTCAGCGTCGACTCATCAGCAGCGACGTCGTCACATCCGCGTTGTGGGCCCAGAGCGAAAGGCCATAACTCCAGTCGTGGCTAGTGACATTGCGCGCCTCCTTCAAAGTGTCGTTCTATGGGGGGACGTCTTGTGTCGTACCCCGGTAAACGTTGCGCCGTGTTGATGGTATAAGGTTGGGAGGATGTGGTGGTTGTGAGTTGATGGAGAGAAGATTGGGGAAGAAAGTAATCCCGTGACCGCCTGTGCCGGGCGCGCTTGCCGCGCGCGGAACGCGTCGAGACGACGGCTCGTCAATCGTTCCCAACTCCACACCTTTTACCTTGAATCAATCGTTTGGAATAAATCCACGCCGGTTCCTTCTTCCATAATTGCCCTCGGAATCTGGCCATGGCACCACCATGACGGCTGCAACATACCGCAGCACGCCGTCGTTGTCGGTTCCTCAGACACAGAACACCGCTCCGGTCCTGGAATTCGCCTGTCTATACACACATGATCTACGCAAGAAGGCCAAGAAGTGGCAGGATGGAGTTCTCCGATACCATACCTTCAACAAGCGGGCGATGGTGTACGACGTGCCGCGCAACTTCATCGGCGATATGCACTGGACGGGAGGGGAGGATCTGCAAGAAGGCGATGAGGTGTTATTGGAAAAGGCCGGCGTGAAAGTTGAGGTGGCCGAGCGGATCGGAGAGACGGAGACCGACTTGTCAGAGTTGAGAGCGAGCAAAGGGCCGGCCGTCAATGGGGAGCCGAGGAGGAGAACTGATATGAGACCCGTGGCAGCGGCAACACCCATTGCGAAAGGATCCAGCGAAGTTATGCCACGAGGTAATACCCACCTCAAGCACAAGAGCTTGAATGCACTCCTTGGTACTCYAAAAGGGACAATGGGCAAGGCAGTGTTGCCGACAAAGTCGCCTTTCGAAGAACGATATGCGAATGTTGAGAATGAGGAGTGGGAAGATGGGCGACCGGCGAAGAAAGCGCGAGTGGCTGAGACAAAGAAGTCCAAAACCGCTTCCAAACAGGCTGAAGTGCCTCTATGGGCCCGCACATCAGATAGCAAGGCGACTCGGCAGATACAACGGCCTGCAGGCAAGGTCTTTATCGACTTATCCGACGATTTGACACCTTCGAATGATTTCCTGCCAGGCTTCTCGAGCGACGCTTTGGCGCCATCTTCCCCGATGAGAGCCGCAGCGCGAGATGTGTCAGGTAGCTCTAGCTCGCCGGCTTTGCGGACGGGACGGCCGCCAGAGATCTTAGCCACTGTCGCTGGGAAGGAGAAAGGTCGCGCTCATCAGATGCGAGTGCTGGATCATGGCCACGAGGAAGATGAGATGAATCATTCTACTCGCCGCCCAAGAAAGCTTCAGAAATCGCCACAGCCAGCAAGACAGCCATCGCTCCAGCCTTCACGGGCGTCTCTTATCAAACCAGGCCAAACTCTACGCTTAGCCGCCAGTGCGCCGAAGAAGAGAACATTACTCTGCCAAGATCAGCTCGCAAAGAAGCCTCAAAGGACGCCTTCCGCGGAGAATGAGGCGCTCATGGAAGTGACGGTTGACGTCTCAGATAAGGATGCCCAGCCGAAGACAGCGAAGGAGAGGGTGCAAGAACGATTGGAACAGATCAGTCGACGAAGAGCACGCACTAGCAATACTGGAGCAACAACCAGCATGACAAACCATGATGTGTCAAAACCATCGAATGGTGATGATGATCTTCGAACAGCCTCCAGCCGCAGTGCGAACGAAGCCACCCACTCTCTTAAGACGTCTATCGACGACAAGGCGAAAAGGCGAGCGCAAGAACGAGTTCTCAGCGAGAAATCCGTGGCGAATGTGGCTGCTCGCCCACGACCCCTTCACCAACCCCTCGACGCGCCATCGGAATCTCATGGAACGCTTGCCTCTGGCGTAGGGCCATCGAGTGAAAATTTTGGGCAGCGATCTTCCCACGAAATATCAGCTATAGAACTTGCGCGTCTCGATCGAATGATGCTTCCGCCCGCAGCACCCCGAAGAGCACCAACACCGCCTGTACCTGTTCCGTCACCACGAGAGATCCGGCCATTGCGACGTGTGATATCGGAGCCTCCTGTACGGCCAAACGCCGGAGATCTGACAGCTCAGGCCAAGCCAGCTTCCAAGCGCGTCCCTGGGGCTCCTGTTCGGTATACACCAACACCCTCTCCTACTAAGAGATCGCGTGAATCGACTCCTGTCCCACCTACCGAGATGGAGTCCAGGATTCCAATCCAGAACAAAGCGAAAAACAAGCTGCAGAAGTCTGTGAGTCTAAACGTGACTGCTGCGGGAACTTCGACCGTCATTCTCGGTCGACCATTTCAAGCACCCGGCAAACCCCGAACGGTGACGGCCAAAAAGCCAGACCCGCCTCCTGATGATGTTGGGCCGTGGAGTCGAGAAGCATTCGATCTTTTCAAGTGGAGGCCTCCGGGCTGGGATGAGGAGAAGTGGTGTGTTGTAGAGGCCGTAGAAGGTGTGGGTGACACCACGACAGCTCCCGCTGGATTGAGTGGCGGAGTGAGTTTGCCTTCTGTTTTGAAGGACTTAAAGAGGGGCCTATGATGTTCATGTTTGACAGATCAATGGAAGAGACTCTCGTTGTGCTAGAGGCTAATGGATATGTATGTATAACGAGTGATGAATTATGAATGCACGCTCCGCAGAAGTCGATTGATCGTTTCACTTCTCGGTAAGATCGCCGTTGCCATATATCTTTATCGAGTACATGAATGTACCCTCCACACTTCCGGTCTTCGTCACCGATAGCGAAAGGCAATAATATAGATGAAGAGCTTGACACTCTTGGAGCAGCAAGCTTCACTCACACATGTACGCGCGGATGCAATCGACAAGTCGAAGATTCACTTGCACGTTTTGACTCTAGAAAAAGTGTCCTCTCACGGCTTGAATGGGCGTTATGATTCCATTCCATATTTCGAAAGATCCGGGGCATTGATTCTTTGTTGTTAAAGTGGGTATACTGGCGAGGCTCGAGGGCACAGTGGAAGGACTCGATAGAAGTAAGTTCACCTCTTATACAGGTCTCAGTCGGAGTGCGAAAGGTTTCTTTGTTGTGGTCCTGTTGTTCCAATGAGTTCAAAAGCGATGCTATAGGGTTCACCGGTCCTCCTGGTTGTGGTATTTGGTCTGCAGGTCAGTTGTTTTCGATTTCTTACCAGGTATTGTCTGTTCGCAAGCATTGAAGTTTGAGTGACCGGGCGTTCGACCCTACTATCTTCCCTGCAACGTCAAGATCTCCTCCGCAATGTTTCACTCACTGAGATGGAAGATGGTACTTTGCGCGTGTCGGCTTGCCTGTTTTTGCGGTGTTGTTGATGTTCGGTCGGTTGTCCAACGACGCAGCGCCGCGTCTGTCTGGTTGGTTGGATATTCCGGCTCGAGAGGTTGAGCGTTGCTACTATATTGCTGCAAGGTGCTGATTCTGGAGATGTTGTTCGCGGTTTCGTTGCTCTGTGCCGGTGGTTGATTTGATCATTGATATGAGCGGAAGGCGATAATAMCGATTCAAGCCTTTCAACAACGTCAGCTCTATTCTCATCGGGAATGTGACAAGCATAGATGCCACAGGGAGATGGACCTGTCGGATCTCGCTGTTGGATACACGTTACCTCTGGTGGCTTAAGAGATGGAGTTGCTGTCGGTGTCGCTGCACATATGGCCACGAGTCCTCCCCAAGGCTGGACTAGATCATAAATGCACGGGCTTGCTGGAGCGCCGCTGATGGAGCGGTCGACGCAGATCGTCCTGGCAATACGGATGCCTGGGTAGGAGGTCTTTGCGGGTTGAGATCGATCCTTGCTCGCAGATTTTCCGCTCGATTCCATGGTTTGAGGATAAACAAGTCTATCTGCTCGATCACGCAGGATTCCACCAATTAGGGGAAATCCAGCGGGTTCAAAAGCAACGACAGTGTCGAGAGAGAGAGTTTGATAGAATGTCGTAGTATTCTGGCCGATTCGAGGATTCTGCCGCCCCGTGATTTTTTGCATTGAGTTTGGGCGACGGTCCAACGACTTCACTTCGCCCTTTGATCCGCGCGAAGTTTCAATCAACACATCATCAGCCATGGATGAAGAGCGCTCAGAAGGAGTGGCGCTTTTGACAACGTGCCCAAGAGATGTCGCAGCTTCTATCTTCGCCGAGTGAGTCGCGCTCGTTCACGTTCACCGTGCAGTCGGCCACGGTCTAACCCAGCCACAGTTTTTACAACAGCGACCTGTACACCGATCTCACCATCAAGCTTGGAGATCGCACCTGGAGAGTCCACAAGCTGGTGGTCTGCTCTCAGTCGCAGGTCCTCGCTAGTGCTTGCAACGGAAAATGGAAGGTTCGTTGAGAACTCGCTGCACAAGCCTATGGAGATGCGGGTACGGAGAAACTGACATGATGCGTAGGAGGCAGAAGAAGGCACCATTACGCTCCACGAAGATGCTCCCGCAGCAGTCGATGCCATGCTAGAGTTCATGTACACTGGAAAATACACTCAGCGCCACGCGAGCGCCGATGCTGACTTTGATCGGGACATGCACACATTGCAAATCTTCAAGGTTGCGGACAAGTATGATCTGGATGACCTTGGTCAACTCGTCAGCGAGGACTTYGTTGCGTCCATTTGCAACGGTGGGTGGGAAGCCCCAGACTTCGGCAGCGTCATCAGTGAGCTCTACGAAGAGTGTCCCGACAATGAGCACGGTATGCGAATGCGTTCCGCTATCCTGGAGATGTCTGTGAAGCACGAGGAGGAGCTCACGACTTGGAAGAAGCACCGTTCCTTCCGCGATGCCGTTCGGGACGTCACTCTCTTTGGAGCATCGTTCTCAAAGGCTTCGCTTGAGGACGCCACGAAGATCCATTCGCAGAAGATGAAGGATGCGACTAGAGATTGCGAAGATCTTACCGAGACACTGCTTAAGTCCCGAACCAAGCGACTGGAAGCAGGCAGGGTTGAACATCTGGCGGATTTGAAGAAGACTGCAGAGGAGCACCGGATCGAGCTCCAGGAGAGGACGTTGGGATTCGGGGAAAAGCGCTTTCGGTGCCCAGCAAAGACTTGCAGCCTCGACTTTGTGGCGTTCATGGGAGTCAGACAGTGGTTGAGGTGTCCTTACTGTGATACCTTGGTTCCTGAATGAGATGACATTGCTGTTGGACGGCATTGTGTCCTACGCCCACGAGCGAGGGTCGAGATGCAAAGATGAATGGATGGGTTCCGAGGAGCAGAGTGTCTTAAGGTAATACGGTAGAAGCACCCGAAGTTCCATAGCCATGCAACCAAAGTCAGAACGTGTTTCGATCCGCTCTCCCTCCTCAGAACTGTCGATATGAAGACTGTGAATCGAGACAGGATACTCAGCAATCTTCACAACATGCTAAGACCTCGCTATCGGCAGAGTGAACAATGCTGAGACTGCTAGAACGCTTGTAGCAATGGTGTCGCCCGCCGAGTAACCGAGAGAGTAGTTGGGGACGCTGATATCGCTGATGACATCTCGTATCGACGGCTCTGCCCCATCCTGCTCTCTTGCTCGGATTGTCCCCAGCTTCTGAGACCCATCATGCTCCCCTAATATCAAAAGCTCCAGACATTGAACAGCGCTGGCATCAAACCGGCTTCGATTCACCTCGCCTGGCTTTGAGCGCGTTGCTTCGTGCGGGTGCGGCCGCCGTTGCCGCGTCCTGCTAGAATAAGCTCGCGGACTTCTTTTCATCGCTGAAGTCAAGCTTTCATCATCCAAGCTTCAAACAGCAGCAATGTCACTGGGGTTTCACACAGAGATGGTGAGCGAAGGCYACAGCGCGGTGTTGCGCGCCATTAAAGAGTTCGTCCACTTCCCTCCAACACGCATGATGACTGCCTGGTGATCAAGCTAATCCTGCCATAGTCTGCACAAGTCGGACCGCTATGCCGACCTCACCCTGACACTGGAAGATCGTGTCTGGAAAGTCCACAAGGTAGTCGTCTGCCCGCAGTCGAGCTTCTTCCGCGAAGCCTGTGATGGCCCGTGGATCGTAGGTGCTTCGTCGCGATCCTTTGACCACCAGAGCTGACAGATGTTGTAGGAGTCCCAGGCCAGCAAGATTGAGCTCCACGATGACGAACCCATGGCTATCGATGCTCTGGTGGAGTACTTCTACACATCCGACTACACCATGAAGAAATTCAGTCCAACCACAACGGATGGACTCAATGGCGAACCAATCTTGAGCACCCTCAACGCAGTCGTTTTCAAAATCGCGGACAAGTACGATGTGCCGACACTAGCTCTATTGGCGCAACTCAGATTTCGTATGACTTCCAACGGCGACCAGTCTACTGCTGGGTTTGCCGCTCTGATCCGCGAGATATATGAGAACGGCCCGGATAGTGCTTTGGGAAGAGATATGCGCGTCGCGCTCATCGATCTTCTCGTTACGCACGAAGCGCGGTACATGACCGAGCCCAAATTCACGGAATTCCGTACCGTTCTCAGGGACGTCGTTACTTTTGGCATAGATTTTGGCAAAGCCTCGATTGATGAAAGGCTTCGGAGGCACGCGGCCCAATTGGCGCAGATGAATGAGAACGATGCTATCGTCACCCAGAAGGCGAGGCAGATGGAGGACCTTGCGAGAGGCAAGGAATGCATGGAGCACCGTGCAAACTTGACCAGATTGAACAGAACCTTCGAGGAACACAGAAATAACGAAGTGAAGCAACACGGCGCCAGATTGGCAGAGATGACCCGGCACCAACTCGAAGGTCTCGATTTGCAGAGAGCAGTTGTGCATCACAAGGCCAGACTGACAGAGATGACCACGAACCAGCGCAAGGAGATGAAGCTTGCGCAGTCCCAGCTCGGTCGGGACATGTTGGGAGAAGGCGAGCAGCGTTTCCGTTGTCGCGCTGAGGATTGCAGCAACAGCTTTGTGGCGCTGGGTGGTACGGACGGGTTGAAGTGCCCGTACTGCAGCACCCCGGTTTGAAGTTGCTCTGACGAGCATACCGTTGTTATGCACGAGCTGCGTCGTTGGTCAGGCCACGCCGAAGGACTCAGTGGTACTCAATGGTTCAAGATTATGAGGAGGAGCTTCACAGACTCTTTCCTCGCGAAGGATTGAAAATGCCCGGTATGGTATGAGCACTGGATCCACAACTTCCGGGTTTCATAGCAATGCAAAATGTCTCTTTCAATGTCCTCCGTCTCCTTGCTCTCTTGATTTGAGTGTTCGTACTCCAACCCAACCACTCAATGTCCGAAACTAGTCCAGTCCAATATGGACCCATTCCAAGCTCACTGAAGGGCATTTGAGGCCAGAGATGTAGAACCGTTCCAACTAAGACGTCGCTACACGTCTGCAACCAGAAAAGGATTGCAGAGCGTTGAGCCAAAGCTTATCCCATGTCCGAGATATTGCTCGCCCTTCTGCGCGTCAATCTTGGCCATGCYTCTCTAGTCTCAGCAGCTATTTCTATGACTTGAGACGCGACTCTACTCGTAGATGTAACTTCTCGCAGCTCCAGAGCAGACGACTCTGCCGAGACCGAGACTTCAAGATACGAAGATGGCTAGGACATTATCGTCCCGGCGAGTAACGAGTAATCCCCGTATCGACCGCTTTAAAAACAGTGCGAGGGATGGGAGGGAATCCAAAGCTTGCCGCCTCTCTCCTGGCGGTTCATCGACAACGCGTCACGTCTCTCAGCTTCCTCTCGAGTCGTAACCTCGCGCGCCTGATCGTTCCATAATATGACGTCCAGGGGCCGGAGTAAATCTCCCTGTATTGATAGATAGCCCCGACTCTTGGAAACGTGTAGGCGTGTATGTGCATGGATTGCCGTCCCCCAGTCTTCACCTCTCCTAGCTTGGGGCGCGCTAGCGTTTCTGAGGGGCCAACTTCTCTTGCCGAAAAGCGGATTTCATGATTCTGTTTCTTCCATCTTCCGCACCCTTGCAAGTTTTGTCTCCATCAACGCTGCCACCCAACATGGCGGCCACAGAAGGCGAAGCGCCAACGGCGCACCGGGATCTCGTCCTCGGCATCATCTCGAGGTTTGTCTACTCATCAGGCCCACCATGCCGCGCCGACGCGACGACGGTTGAGCTGACCCGATTTTCCAGCCTCTACAAGAGTGAGAATTTCAGCGACCTGACCATCAAGCTCGACAATCGCACCTGGAAGGTTCACAAGCTTGTTGTCTGCTCCCAGTCAACCTTCTTTGCGCACGCTTGTGCTGGCGATTGGAAGGTTCGTTAGACATGCTATCGCATTTGGGATCTCGGGTCTGATACTGATGTACCCTCTATAGGAAGCGCGCGAGGGTGTCGTGACTCTTCATGAGCAGGATGTCCCCTCTGTCGAGGCAATGATCGAGTACCTGTACACTGGCACCTATTCGATGCCGGAAAAGCCCTACACCACCACCACTTTCGACAGGAACATCTTCCAACTCGCCGACCAGTACGACATGCCAGTGCTAGCCAAGCTAGCCGCGGATCGGATCATGCTGATCGTATCGCAAGAGTGGGCCTCGTTTCCGGTCCTTGCAGAGATGGTCGAGTATCTCTGCGAAGATGGCCCCGTCAACGCCCTTACTCAAGGAATGCGCAGAGAGCTGGTCAAGATCTGCGTCGACAACGAAGTGAATCTCCTCCACGATCCCAACAACGACGCATTCAGAGAGGCCATCAGAACCGCCCCTCTCTTCGCCATCGAGTTCTCCAAAGCGGTCGTGGCAAAGACCGAGAAAGAACACGAGGTAAGCGCGGCAAGGTCGGAGAGACTTCTCACGGCGAAACTGAGGGCCATGCAAGCTACCTTCGAAGCAAGCTGTGAGTCAGCGATCGTGCCTGAAGGCCAAGCACGCATGAGATGCACAGCTGCGAGCTGCAGGAAGCACTTCGTGGCGGAACAGCCACCCGAGCGGAAGTTTTGCCCCGAGTGCGGCAAGGCCACTGTTGTCTTGGCTGAGCGCACCCTCAAGGCAGACGTCGTGTTGGAAGTAGCTCGATTTCGCGCATCGAAACTCAAAGGTATGTGGTCTAGGCCTAAGCGTCCTAGGAGCTCATCAGAGAGTTCGACGTGATGCTACCACCGGGATTCAGATTACGAAGGCGGAGTGCTACCGTTCGAGGAAATCGCAGACTTTGATGTTCGGGTTGGGATTGCAGGACGGCATTGATTGGCATTGTCCCAGACAATCCTTAGAAGCGTCCAGACATCGCATCTCAGCTTTCAAGCCAGCTGCTCAGTGGCAGACATAACAAAAGACCCAGACCGCATATTCTCTTTCCATCCCCTTCTTCGCGGCCTTGTTGCCTCGTAAAAGCATCATCCAGCAACAAACTCCAATCACCCAAGAGAAACGAAACGTACACTGCGTACCCAGCAAGATCCCGCTCCAATTCCACAGAACTTTTCCCGCTCTGGCTGATAGCTCTCTCTCGTCGCCTCACAAAATCAACATGCGGTATGCTCTCTCTCTCTCTCTCTCTCTCTCTCTCTCTCTCTCTCTCTCTCTCTCTCTCTCTCTCGCGATGGTAGAAAGAGCAATCGATTAAAGGGACAGAAATGCCACAGAAGATCCTCAGCAAGGTATCTTTGTAGTCAATTTCCTCAGGAATAGATGGATCGAGCTCGTCAATAATCATTGCCTCCAGAGATATCCCATCCGTCAGAAAAGAAGCCCAAAATCCAGTCTCCAGCACCCAATATCCAGTCTCCAACATCCAGTCTCCAACATCCGGTTTCCAGCTCCAGCACCCTGTTGACACCCAGTCTTTAACATCCAGTCCCTCTCATCACATCAAACGGAGCAGATTCTTAAAAGAAAAGGAGGGAAAGGTTCCCCAGAGGGATCAACACAGAATAGATAAACAGGTATTAAACAGCTGGAAGTGTTCCGTCTACCATGCCTCGCCAGCCAACAACCAATCGTAAGCGGGTATACGAAAAACAAAATACACCACGCCAGTGTATACCAGACCATTCAATCTCCTCATCACATTCCGTCACTCACAGTCAATTCGCCTCCCAATCTCTGGTTTAGGCCGTCATCAATCCTCTCATCACTCTCAAGCTGAAACACAGCACACGCACCCAACGAAGATCTCCAAAAACGCCTCGCTTCCCAAAATGAGCACCAAGAATCGTCTCGCCAAACAACATGAGCATCACCCAGCAGCAGCACTCTCAACAGCAATCTCCGCTGAACTCTCCAAACCCTCCCTCTCCGCCCTCAACGCCTCTTCACGTGCCTTCTGCTTGACCTGCAACCTCTCCATCTTCTCGCCCCTGATTCTGTTCTTTTCCTCCTTCAACCTCTCCTTCTCCCGCTCCTCGACACTCATGCCCTTTTCCTTTTCATCCGCATAGTCCTTCCACTTCCTCCACCCATCGAAGTCAATCAATGCCTGCATACATCCCCACTCCTTGACTTTCCGTTCCAGCCACACGAAATTCACGGGCTTGGTGAGAAAGTCATTGCAGCCGGCTGCCAGTGCTTCATGTCTGTCAGATTGGAGGGAGGAAGCTGTGAGGGCGACGATGATGACGGGAGACTTGAAGCCTCCTCCTTTGACATCGAGGCGGTCGTTGCAAGGTTCCTTCTTCTTTCCCGAAGCGATTTCGCCCGAGTTTTCCGCAGGACTTCCGGGAGTGGAGCTGGAAAAGACACCAATCCCATTGACGCGCTCTAGTCGGCGGATCTCTTTGGTGGCTTGCAGTCCGTTCATGACGGGCATTTGAATGTCCATGAGTACAAGATGGTAGCCTCCCGATCTCCATTTATCGACGGCAATCTGTCCATTCAGAGCTGTCTGCCATCTTACCTTCAACCGCTTCATCAAACCTTCGAGAACTCGCAAGTTGATCATATTGTCTTCTACGATGAGGACACTGATGGGTGGGACTGATGCATCCAGCATGCTGGAGATGTTGGGGAGCTGATAGGTTTCGGTGACGCGGGAGAGAGATGTGGGCTTATCGGGAGTGGGACTTCGACGAGTCTTCTTCGCTCGACTGGAGCGTGGTGCTGTGGAGTTTGCTACACTGACGGCAGAGGGTGTTGATGGGGTTGAGACGGGYTTTGTTTGAGCTTCTAAACCTTCGAGAACTCGCAAGTTGATCATATTGTCTTCTACGATGAGGACACTGATGGGTGGGACTGATGCATCCAGCATGCTGGAGATGTTGGGGAGCTGATAGGTTTCGGTGACGCGGGAGAGAGATGTGGGCTTATCGGGAGTGGGACTTCGACGAGTCTTCTTCGCTCGACTGGAGCGTGGTGCTGTGGAGTTTGCTACACTGACGGCAGAGGGTGTTGATGGGGTTGAGACGGGCTTTGTTTGAGCTTCTATGGGTAGAGGAGAGGGTAGAGGGGGTGGGATGGGAGCGGAGTTGTTATGTACCGTTTCCGAGGCCGAAGAGTCCACTCGTGGTCTGCCTGCTGGTCGATGGTTGGTAGCGGCATTGCTGTGGCCAATGATGGTGGGCGAGGAAGTGTGTTGTCGGCCGAGGCGAGGTCGGTGTTCCCTCTCACTGCGATGTCTTCGAGAAGCGGCGCCAGGTGAGGGGATGAGTGGGTGGAGGGAGATCGGAAGAGCACACGTCTGAACTCCAGTCACGTTGTTATGTACCGTTTCCGAGGCCGAAGAGTCCACTCGTGGTCTGCCTGCTGGTCGATGGTTGGTAGCGGCATTGCTGTGGCCAATGATGGTGGGCGAGGAAGTGTGTTGTCGGCCGAGGCGAGGTCGGTGTTCCCTCTCACTGCGATGTCTTCGAGAAGCGGCGCCAGGTGAGGGGATGAGTGGGAGCTGACCGGTGTTCAAGACGGCAATAGAGCGTGGATGATCCGATGCAGCGAGGTTGTGATGTGCTTCTCGCCCGACATTGGGGAGGGATGTCTGCGGGAGGGTGGGCTGAATGACGGGAAAGTAATCATTTCCATTCTCCGGCGGACGAAAATCATCCAAGGCGTGATAGTTTGCGTATTGGAGTTGTTGCGGACGAGGCGAAACGCGGGGAGTCTTCTTTTGCGGCACGTCAATCAACAGCGCTTCCTCGACCGTCTGACCTCCCGGGTAATAGGCATCAATGGTGCGGCACATTTCCTCTTCGGGGCCCAATAACCTTTCATTCCGCGGTGTTCCGTGTTCCACTCGCGTTGCTATCCTCAAGGTCATGTCGGGGGCATCAAAGGTCTTGCCGAGGGAGTTTGCATATTTCCTCAATATCATATCCCGCACATCATCCACGAGATCGTCCTCTTTGATTTGTACCAGGGTAGCCGAGGCACCGGGCCGCTTGACCCATACCTTGCGTCGGAGCACGGCCGCCATGTTAGAAAAGGTGTCGAGATCCAAGCCGGGAGTGTGGGCACTGGCGCCGACAGGAAGGGAATCAATGGTGTGGGGAGATATGGAAGGAGCGATGAGGGTAGAGACTAATGCTGCATTGGCACCGCCGACGATGCTTTGACGGCGAGGGCGTCGGTGTGCTTCGGCGGGCGGAGGAGAGGCTTCCTCAAGCGTGAGCAGTGGGTTGGAGGTGGTGTTGTGATTTGAGGCAGGCGTTTCCGGAGGTGAGGCGGCAGGAGAGGGAAGCGGGTGGATTTTCTGCTCCTTCACTCCATCACCATTGGCATTGTGGAGACCGGGCACTTGAAGGGAGTGTGATGGTGGTGATGGAGAGGAGTGTGATGGGTCGTGCGACAGTGGAAGTGGCAGAAATGGAGCTTCGTGAGGCTCCACCTCCGCAATGATCGACGATGCCTTTCTCTCGCCGCTCGTGGCCGACGTGCACGACGAGGCCAGGGGAGAAGCGGTTCCTCCGCGCTCGCTGTCCGATGTGGCGCGTGTGGACGAGGAATACTTGGACGAAATGCGGCGGAGAAGAGTGCCGGGGCGGAGACGAAAGTGCATCTTAGGAAGGGCAAGATTCTGGCCGCATGGTGGACCTGACCAGACCTGCTGATGGATGGCGATGGATGGCTGCTGCTTCGTAGAGACTGGGAGGGTGTGTAATGAAAGAGAGAGGATCGAACGAAGGTCTCATGTGGCAACAACAATCGTGTCCCAACAACATGCACGCAAGTCGTCGTGCATCTGAATAACTTGGGATATCCTGTTGCTGGCTGRCTGGCTGGCTGGTTGGTTTGTTCCCACTCCACTCCAGACGACTCCACTCCCAGGCGCATCCGCTTCCGCGTCCTGATGTCTCAAGTTAGCCTCGCGTCAGCCACCGCGATCGCGACCGCACCTGCCCATCGAATTCCAGTGAGCCGTGGGCCCGAGCGCATGGATCAAAAGTCAATTTCTCTCAATTCAAATCAATCAAATTAATCAATCAAATCTCTCGACCTTGCAATCCGCAAAATATCATCCTCCCAGTTCCATTCATCATGTCCACCATTACAACTCTCTTCCCCGCTCAGTATGACATCCAGCACTTTTAAAAGATAGCAACAACGCTACAGTGAAGAAGCCTCATCCGATCTCGATGAACACTGTACCGAAGACATGACTGTGATGAAATGTTGGGCACAAGTGAACCATGCAAATGCAAAAGCCTGAATCACGCCGGACCCCATCTCATCTCGCTGGCGCCCCAGAAATCCGGTTCCATCACAAATCGTGGAAAAGGCAATCGGCGGCATGCCCGGCACTTTCATCCATCCATCTCACGTGGCATCCACCTCACTCATCGAAGAAGACGCGACATCATCACAACAATCAAAATCATGGGAAACACAAGAAGACGATAGATGTTGGCAGTAGCATTGGACTTAGGTATCTTGCTGAGCGTCCATTTCATCCTGTTTCTGTTTCCCTTCTCAACCCTCAAGAACCGTGCATGTGCCTCTCATTKGATTTAACAAGATGCTACAGCGTCACCAGCCAGCCAGGATCATGGAACTTATCGTTACACTCCTGAATCGACCTTCCTCGTTCTTGAAGAGGCCTGTCTTCCTATCGATGTAGTATCAATAAGTCGGGAATGGTAGGTTTCATTCCTTCATCATAGACAAGCTTGATCGTGGACAGGTCTAAACGAACTGCAAACGAAGACTACTGTATTGAACGGCCAGAACAACATCTCACAGCATCTCAAAGCAAAAAGACGTCCACAGTTCAACCCAATTTCGCTACACATGATCATATTCATAATCCTAGACTCCAATACCCACCACCACCACCCGCTCCCTCCCTTACAGTACGATAATCTCACCGTCCCCTCCCACTAAAACTACTATGCCTCACCACAGTCTCCCACTGCCATACATTGCCCTCTTCATCCCCCGTATAAACCGCCTTGGCCACCGGCAGCACACTCGTGATCCCCGCAGGCGCTCTCCCCAACCCCTCACTCCCATCCACCCCCTGCAGCCGCTTCACAAGTTGCAAATACCAACTCCCATCACTCAACGTCGTCAATGTCCACGCGTTCGTGACGCCGAGAGTATGTCCCGTGAATATCAATTCTCGCTCGAGATATTCATTGCCAGCGCCTTCGTAGAACGCGGCGCAGAGAATCTCGTCGTCTTCGCGTTCGCAAAGCTTTTGTTCGACGAGGAGATGGCCGTTGAGGGTATAGAGAAGCGCGTTGGGGCCGCGGAGGATGAGGATGTGGCCGGAGACATTGCTCATTCGCGCTGCTTGGATGGGTGGTCCGCCGGCGGGGAGCAAGACACGAATGCAATTTTGTCGGTTGAGACCCCAGATGAGGACTTGGCCATCGGAAGATACAGAGAGCAGCGTGCTGAAAACGCGACTAGCGGCGAGGACGGTGACGGCTGTGCGGTGGCCAAATAGATGCGTTGTGGGCGTAATCTCGACGACGTCTTTCCCAACACTAACGTTCCATACACCGATGGTGCAGTCCGCGCCCGCGGTGACGAGCGTCTTGCTATCGACGAAGATTGCCGCTGTGATGGCTCCGACGTGCGTGTTCTCGTAGAGACCTAGTAGGCGGCCAGAGTGTTTGGAGTAGAAGCGGATGCTGTGGTCGGTGAATCCCCACTGCATGTAGCGGGTGCAGTTCGGTAGTAGATTCAACTTACAGGGACCAGACGCTAAGAGGCGGTTGTCCAGGGATTGCGTTGGTGATATGATGAAGTTGAAGTCCGCAACCCGCTCGTGGATGTTGGTCACGGTATCCGGTAGGCGTGTGAGGGTCTCTGCGAGCATGTCCAGTTTGGGCTCGAACTGCTTCTCCAGCTCTCGGTACGCGTGGACTTTCTGAAAGACCTGATGTGGGGTCTGCCCAAAGGAATGGATGATGCCAATCGTTGCAAGACGTTCGACCTGGTCGTCGATCTTGTCCAGATCCTTTGCACCACCATACGACAGATGCTGAAAGACGTTGGTCGCCTCGACAGCAGTCTCACCTCTCTGCTTGTAGCCAAAGACAAGATCGATCCACTCGTTGARATGCTCACTGACATATTGACTTTCCAATGCCTCGCGATGCTTGGCTATGAAGATTTGCGGATCGCCCTTGGCCCATTTAGGTAGGTGAACGTGGTTGACCGCCTCTCCGGAGACTTGTTTCGTTCCAAACTCGTACTTGTTGATGTTCAAGAGGAATTCCGGCAGGTAGAAGAACTCTGGAGTCAGCTCCCGAACATCGCTCATGGTATCGCGCGAGGCAGAATGCCACGCTTTCTCAATTGAGTCGAACAGTCGATCTGCATGATCGAATGCACCACCTTGGAGCAGTAGGTATGACTGCACAAACGGCTGCAGGCGGATGAGGAAGGAGCTGACAATCATGGCTGATGAATAATGGGTCCCGTAATGGAACGCCGGGTTGTCGCCCATCTCGGCAAACTGCTTGAAACGATCCTTGTACTCCGCTTCTCGTGCTGCAGTCTGGCATCCCATGGGCTTTGAAAAGTCTCGGAAAGATTTGGGGTTGTCGAGGTCCAGCTCCTCGCTAGAGTAGTCGGACAGAACCCAAGGGAAGACGGGGTACTGCGTCAAGTCGTTGAATGTGCGTCCAGCCATGGTGTTGACCAGCATAAGATATTGAAAATTTGACATCTCTCCACGCTGCCACCTCCTCGTTGCTGCATGTGTCGGTCCAGCGTTGAAAAGATTGCCAAACTTGGAACCAAAGTTCTTGGGCACATCTTCGGGGGTCCGAAGCGTATCAAGTCGCCATGCATCTTCTCTGGTCACCGCGGAAGTGCTGTGAATGTGCGGCGCTCTGCTAGAAATCGCGCTGTAGAGATCATCGCGGGCTTTGGACGACATGCAGGTTAACAGATAGCTTCTTCCATCTGTGAAGAAGACTTCAATCGACACATCTCTCAACAAGAAGCGCCGCTTGGACACACTCAGTACCTCCGCCCAAGTCCAGTGTCGTGTTTCTTGATCTCCGACGCTGTGTTTTGTTACTGCACTGCCGACATCCTTTCCGGATATCAGTTGTACGTATGGGTCACGCTCATCCTCGGGTGCTTGCGAGACGCTCACAATCTCGCCATCTGATCTTTGGAAGAAGTTGTCTTGCATATACAGACACTTCTGGCCCACAACAACTAGACCCTCGCAGGCCTCCAGCCCCACAATGCGGGAGATGTTATGTAGCTGCTGAACCATGTCACCACGCTGCAGACTGGTCATGACCTTGCGGTTCTTATCCTCGATGAGGCCGTCTTCGTCCTCTTTTGGATCGTCAACCATTTCAAAGCCACCTTCCAACAATTGAGAGTTGGACGCAGAATCGCTGCGTAGTCTCTGGCCCTCGTTTTGTTCCGGTGGACCGTCTGTCTGTTGCGTAGGAGTTGCCGGTACAACTCCAGGGGTCGACGGGTTAGGAGAGTTGATGTCGTCTGACATGACCCGTGCGATCTGGGTGTTGATGGCAAGCTTCCCATTTGTGAGCCGTCTAGACGCCTTGCGCTTAGGCAGAAACGCTTCCTTGACCTCGGACGAATCTGGGACAATCCGCATTCGCATCCTGTTCACGGCCTCGGTCTCGTCCAATTGCCAACGTGCAGGCTGTAGCTCGGTGTCCACGTGGGCTTCCAGACCACACGGCTGTTGGAGTAGTTTCTCCAGTTTTGCAAATGCTGTATGCAGATGATTGACATTCTCTTGGTGATCTTGTATCGCTCGCTGCAGTTTCACCCTCTCTTGAGCGTGTATGTTGGCTCTCCAGTGATTGGTGGAGATTTCGTATCTGTGGATGAAGTCGTCTGCAGCGGACTCGTCGAGTGCCCACTGTCGCAGTTTTTCTCTACGTTTGCTTAGCCGAGTCTTGGTCGTCTCCTCCGAGCTACGGTTCTCCGCGTGCACAAAGTCCTCCCAAGGCTTGCTCAAAGACGAGTGGAACACCGTGTCGAGAACCGTCCTGTTTGCATCGATCCAAGCTAGAAAGTCCTCGTCATCCATTGCGACCAATTTCATGAATCCAGTCGACAGGTGGCGCTGTTCCGGACCCATGGTGTTGGTCAGCATTGTTGCAGTCTCGGTGGGTTTCTGCATAAGAACCATCCGCCACAAACGCGCCGAAGCAAGGCGAACTGAAACGACATTGGACACAAGCTTGTGGTACAGCAAGTAGCAGATGAGCTTGGTGAAGAGTGTTTCCTGGTTCTCGGCAGCGAAGAGAATCGTCTGCCAATATGTCATCTTGTTGAGGAATTCGCCGACATGCTTCTCGCTCGCGTCTTCGTCAAGCTCCGCGAGGCGCCACAGCGTTGCCTTCAGGAACACAACGCGTATTGAGTTGGTCGATTGACTGCATAGCCGTACTGATTTGACATTGGCGATATCAGGCTGCTGGAGGTGATCCAGTATCTCTCCTGTGAAGTCTAGCAGTGGCTGTGCTCCATCAATGAACCAGCCCTCGGAGACAGCCTCGGCCATATGTTGAGCGTAGCGCGCCAGGTTGGTCAAGACCTTGGTCTCCAGCAGGAGCCTCTGGTTKAGACGTAAATGGCTACCTAGCTGAGACAAGGCGTGCACCAGTACATACGATTCGAAGTAAGCCTGATGTTCTCGAAATGCTGGTGGCACCTTGAGGAATAGACCCATACCCGTGTACTTGTCCCTGACGCAGACTTGGTCGACGAAAAGGATAACCGCRAGCTCGAGAAGACTCTCCACCAGTGAGTTGGTAACGTTGATCTTCACAGGCTCGGCGCTTTTGGGCGCCATAGGGGCGTTGAACGGGGTTGGTGGGACTGCGAGACGTTCTTCGTCGTTGTTAACCAGAACGAACGAAGAGATGCGCTTCGGTGCCTCGACGCGATTCGGCGTCATAGGCGAAGGTGTGCGCTTTCCACTCGCCATGTCTAGACTGCGGACGGAGGGCGGACGCTCGCCCAGCGAATTCGAGTGAGGCCGCATCTTGACTTCCTCTCCTCTGAATGACAGAGCTTCGGCCTGTAGCTCAGTTTCGGCGGAAAGTCTATCAGACCCTACCAGCAGTGGGAAGAGCACGAACAAAATCTCTTGGAGGTATCGAGAGTTTCCGGCAAACTCGCGGAAAGTGGGACTGCGATTGTAAACTTCACTCAAGAACTGAACAATGTTCTTCAACAGCGTACTATCTTCTTCATTGGGTGCCTCATCCTGGGCTACCTTCCTCAAACCAGCTTCCAACATGGCGAAGATGGTAGGAAGCATCTCGGGATGCTTAATCACAACCGTGCTGTCGACGCCTAGCATGTCCACCAGGTGGAGGGCAGAGAACCCTGCCTCAAGCCGTGCGAGGGGAAAGCTACGTCCAAAGAACGCTCCAAATACTAGCGTCCAGACTGTCTTTGATCGCCAGAATGGCTTCAATCGGTGCTTGAGTGTGATGAACCCTCCGTTCTTATCGATGAAAGGGGACTTGAACTCCGATCCGAGTGCTGACATGGCTTTGCATATTATACAAAGTGTCAGCTCAATGACACGGACATCGTTTTCTGCGAGCAGATGAAGCAGCCACCTGTTTGGGACAGCACGACAAAACCGCCGAATAGACGATGCGGTACGCTCGTCATTTAGCGTCTCTGCTAGTAGCCTGAGCACCAGTACTGACAGTTCGTACCTTGAAAGACCAGTCCTAGGTGACGGAAAGGTCGACTCGCTTGGAGTTGAAGGTCGAGGAGTACGGGCGCTCCGAGGCCACGAGTTGATTTTGTTCATAATGCTGACTGTTCTGGCCACGCTTCGTGTCGTGGTGACGGGCATAGCTCGAGCATCATGTAAACCATACGCGACCAGCATCGCGATGTCGCGGCAGAGCGATGCCGAGCCAGTATCCAGAAGACCCCTGAGAGAGGTCATCATGAGCTTGGCGGCGTCCTCACTCACATCTTCGTTCTTCAACGCCTCAATCAGCCGCTTTACTACCCTCATTCTGGTCAGGCGCTTTTGATTGAAGGCGGAATTCCTGTTTCCGACGATGAAGTGGATGAATTGAGAGTAGTAGAGCGTTTGGGTCGCCAGATCACATCGCCGCCAAGTGTCAAAGTCGATGAGCAAGACGCGGTAAGCCATTGGATTTACCAGCATCGACATTTCTGGGTTTGCGTGATCGTAGCCAACGAATTCCAACACAAGGGCAAGCAGCTCAGACGGGAGCGCCTGTCGATCTTCGAGACTCAAGATGGACGATGGACGGCGAGTCGATGCTGTTGACGAGGAGCCGGCTTCGAGACCCAGCTTCTCACGAATAACCAATGCCAGCACGCCAAACCCCTGACCCTTCTCCATAGCCTCGCTGATCCGCCAGCTGTCCTTGACACACTCGAAGAAAATCTTCACGGCTTGCAGGAAGGAAGTCTTTGTATTTGCAGCTTCTAAAATTCGGAGAAGGACTGGCAGCGATCCGGAAAGGCGCCAGCTCGCATCATCCAGTGGCTGGGGAACCACAACAACAGGCTCACCGAATATGACGCCAGTGCCGTACGATCGACTGACGGCTTCGTTGAGCCCTGGCACTGCAGTATTGATAGCGACAGCGCGTGCATGCTGGGCCAGTTGTTGATACTTGGCTAGCGCCTTGCTGTCCAAATCGTGCTTCACGTCTCGAGCCTTGTTATCCAACGCGTTGAAGTTAATCACCGAAGTTGGGCAAATTGCAAGTATGAGACGGGACTCCGCTACCACATCACTCCCTCGCCCCTCCGTGGCAGTGATGATGTCAGACTTGTCGTTCTTTTCAGGGTGCATGGTCTCATTGTGTCTGTTCAATTCTGCGGAGGCTTGATAGGTCAGAAGTGGCCCGAGACAATCCTGCAGATTGCCGCGATATCGGGGTCCAAGGCGAAAGTGAACGGCAACGAACTCATCTGACAGCGGGGCTTGATATAGATGCGCATYTGCAAGCGACCATCTTGTCTTCACCGCTTCTGGTGTTGGGTTCATTGCCACATTACGCGGCGTGCCAAAGAAAGCCTGCACAGGCTTCGCGCGGCCATTTGACGACGTTTCGGCAGACGCTTGCGGCGTTTCGGGGTAGTTGCATTTGCGTTGCTCTGCAAAGAGACCGTTGATGAAGAGTGATGCCACGCTCTGGCTCGGATCTGACGCATTCCTCCGCTGCACAAGAGCCACATGATACCACTTTGAAGTCTCGAATCGGGTGGACTTGAAGCGTACACTGGGGTTCGAAGCTCGAACCGATGTCTGGAGAATCAGCTGCCGGCTGTCTTTTTCAAGGTACATCAGGATGAAGCAAGTCTTGTATGGGTCGAAAGCCCCGAATAGAGTGGTATGTGAGTCCTTGTCGAACTCGTCAAATCTCACCCACGCAGCAAGACTGTAGCCATTGGCAGGCGGAAAGGCCCGCAGCGTTGGTACTTCTATAGAGGAGTGGCCACTCAGCCACAAGTCGAATTGAAGAAATGCAGGTTGTTTGGAAGTCCGTAATAGGTTCAAGAGGCTCTCCTTGGCTGCATCTGTCTCTGTGGCGCGCTTGAAGAGAAGTGCTACATCATCGAGTCCGTCAAGTCCAAATCTACCCAATAGCAGTACAAGGCTTTCAATCTGCGGTTTGAAAGCAGCTGGAGTGTTTTCACTCAGTGCAGTCCTCAGAACGTCGGACAACACGCCTGTCTGCCATAGTAGTATTGTGTTTCTAGTGCTGGCCCGCACTAAATCAGCTACCAGCTGCAGTATCAATGGAGCTGAATCCTTTGCACTAGGTGAGTCCAATGAGGCAAGTGACAGGCGAAGCGCGATTGATAGTCCGTGTGGGTTTTGAATCGTGCCGATCTGAGGAGCCGCAATATCGAAGTCGCCCTTTCCTCCCAGCGCAAACGCGATCAAGACGTTGTATACCGTTGTTGCATGCTCGGCAGCGGTTCCTTGGTCTACATCCAGCCCTTTGGCCTGCAGCGCGTTGGAGAAGACATGCTGCAGGACGGTCCATCCATCGAGTCGTCCATGGAAATATCTCGCATTGCCTGGATGCTGACTGAGTGCTTCCGATAAAAGCCGCAATATGCTTTGCATGAGGATGGTGGCGCCATTCGATCTATCGCGCCGAAAGTCGTCCGCTCCAAGTACCTCCAACACTTTTTCGAAGCCGCCGCCTCGCCGGAATGTATCCTTGGAGGACGTATGCTCGGTCAATTGCAGCCGCAGTTTCTCCGCAGTTTCCAATAGGCGGTTGTTCTCGTCATCTTTGGAAGTATCTGTGTGGATGCAGAGCTCACAAATGAAGCTCGCGAAGTCACTGGCCTCTTCATCTGCGTCGAGGCCTCTGGAATTGGCCCTATACCGGCTGGAGTGGTGAGGCTGAGCAACACGCAAAGCCATTCTTGTCACGCTCAGAAGATGTGCTCATGGTCCTTGTTTCCGATCATGTCAGGTGCGTTCACTCGGTACAAACTCGAGAAACAATCCCTCTCGTGTGACCGCCGTGTCTCTGAAGTCAAAGTCAAAGCAGTGATTGAATTGCTGACTGGCACAGCCCACGCCGGACCGCTAAAACCGCGGCTGCCGCCTGAAACAGAATGCTCAGAGGGCGAGAGTTGGACTTGTGATGGCGGAGTATTATCCGTCCTAGCGACCATGAACTCTCCGCTCCATTCCAATACTCAATTTGATCCGCTAGAGCAACGATTTCCTGTTATCTGAGACCACTGTTCCGATATCCCCATCAAGCGAGTGTTCACGTGCGTGGGGAACTCTGGCGTGTTGCTTCCTAGCGGATGCGCTAGAGCGCTTGCGGACTGCGGATGACGAGAGGTTGGTCACGCTTCCCCGATAACAGCGAGCTATCTACCTCTCGTACCTGCCTGCTACCTGGAGCTCTCGATCGACCTTCAACCTCTCTCTCATCTCCATCACACTCCCATCAACCAACAACCATTTCTCCTTCTGCATCGTTGTGTTCCTCACTTCAGAAGCTCCACAGTAACACTCTCCATCCGCAGCTATGAAGTCTTTCCTCGGCTTGACGCTGCCACTGCTGGCGGCGGCGTCGCCGGTGATGGTCGAGTCGATCCACAACGAGGCAGCTCCAGTCATCTCCTCTGTCAACGCAAAGGAGATCCCAGACAGCTACATGATCAAGTTCAAGAGCCACGTCAACTCCAACTCGGCTGCTGAGCACCACGACTGGGTCACCGACCTCCACGCCACCACCCAGAAGGCGAAGACGGACCTGAAGAAGCGGTCGCAGACTCCCATGGTCGATGACATCTTCCATGGTCTCAAGCACACATACAACATTGCCGGCAGCCTCATGGGCTACTCGGGCCACTTCGACGAGGACACCATTGAGCAGATCCGTAGACACCCAGATGTGAGTCAAATCACGTCATGCAGCTACCACGGGTTGCGCGACTTTCTCCACCCATTATTCCCCCATCACAATCTCCCTCTGGACGAAAGAAACTATGCTGACTTTGCATTGCCCTCCAGGTCGAGCTGATCGAGAGGGATCAAGAGGTCCACACACTCGGCTCCGACGACCACGAGACCGAGAAGAACTCTCCCTGGGGTTTGGCTCGTATCTCGCACCGCGACAGCCTCTCATTCGGCACATTCAACAAGTACTTGTACACCGCCGACGGTGGTGAGGGTGTTGATGTCTACGTCATTGACACCGGCACCAACGTTGAGCACGTCGACTTCGAAGGCCGCGCGGCTTGGGGCAAAACAATTCCTCAAGGCGACGCCGATGAGGATGGCAACGGACACGGCACTCACTGCTCTGGCACTGTTGCTGGCAAGAAATACGGTGTAGCCAAGAAGGCTCACGTCAAGGCCGTCAAGGTCCTCCGCTCCAACGGCTCAGGCYCCATGTCCGACGTTGTGAAGGGTGTCGAGTACGCCGCCACGTCCCACACCTCCGAGGTCAAGAAGGCCAAGGACGGCAAGAGGAAGGGTTTCAAGGGCTCCGCCGCCAACATGAGCTTGGGAGGTGGCAAATCTGCACTCCTCGACCAGGCCGTCAACGCCGCTGTTGATGCCGGTATCCACTTCGCCGTGGCCGCTGGTAACGACAACGCTGGTATGTTCAAGCCCGCTCAAACTCGCACATCCAGCCGCTAATCGAATGCAGACTCTTGCAACTACTCTCCTGCCGCCGCCGAGAACGCCGTCACTGTCGGTGCCAGCACTCTTGCCGATGAGCGTGCTTACTTCTCCAACTTCGGAAAGTGCAACGACATCTTCGCTCCCGGCCTCAACATCCAGGTAAGCAGTCGTCTTGCTTGGATCCATACCAAAATTGGTACTAATCAACTTTTAGTCCACCTGGATCGGCAGCAAGTACGCCATCAACACCATCTCCGGTACCTCCATGGCTTCGCCTCACATTGCTGGTCTCCTCGCCTATCTGCTCTCGCTGCAGCCAGCCAAGAGCTCCGCGTACGCCGTTGCCGACATCACCCCAAAGAAGCTCAAGAGCCACCTTCTTGCTATCAGCACCGTCGGAGCCCTCTCTGATGTTCCTAGCAACACCGAGAACCTTCTCGCCTGGAACGGTGGTGGCTCGTCCAACTTCACCGACATTGTCCACAAGGGTGGCTACAAGGCTACCCACGCTGACCTTCCCGAGAAGCTTTCCGAGAAGGTCTCTGAGAAGGTTGATGACTTTGCCCAGAAGATTGAGGACTTTGAGCACAAGATGGAGKCCGACCTCAAGGACTTCATCAGCAGCCTTAAGAGCGAGTAAATTGCTCGCCTTGTTCTCAAACTTCTTCGGAGTGAAGATCTTGGGAATGGGACAAGACAGGGCACAATCTTGAATGTGCACCGCTAGCATGTACAAGTCGCTTGTTGTTCCTCTAATGAGAAATTGCATAGATGACGGGGAGCTTCCATTTACTTGATGTACGCGGGTCTTATCAGTGACCTGCCGCATGGCACGGTTCGGCGCAAGAGGAGGGTGGAAACCCACACGCAACGGCACCTTTGAGAAGCTCGCGAGATGTATTATGAGTGGAAATAGGTAGTCCAGTCCAATGTTGCGACTTGATCAACTTCCTACTATCTCAATGTGGTATGTTTGCGATTGCTTCTCACTGATATCTTGTTAATGTTCCCACTGCTGTCGGAACGCCAGACTTCACTTTGCCACGTTGGCTTTTCTCAAGAATCCTCATCGTGAACTGACCTAGCATAGATTGCTTGCTAGTGAGCTCTTCTGTATTGTGCACAAGCGCCGAGAGTTGSGCGGAAAGAGTGAATATGAAACAGCAAAGGTTCAATGTTAGGRCGACGTTGGTACGGCGAACAGAGGCAGCTTCGATGCTGCTCCTGAGGTCAAACTTGGAAGCGGCATTGAAGCTTCCTAAATCGTTGCAGATCTCACGATCAATGAACATGCCTTCCTTTCAAGGTCAAGGGCTACGAAGGACCTCTTTCCACCGAGAATCTGTTGGACGATGATAGCGTCAACAACACATTCCCACATCTGCATCTTGATTCCAAACGGCTGATTGCACGCGATCTCAGCCAACATGCTTTCACGGTCGRGCAGCAATGCCACAAACCGTCTACACCGTGTAAAGTCAACATCGTCGGTGCATGCCACTACCCCTGGACACCAGCGACTGCCGACCACCACCGACCCCTTTGTCTTACGCCAGCAAGCAGAGACTGCGGCTGTTGAGGCATATGCTAGGGCCCGWCTGCAGGATGAGGCTGCGGCCGTTGCTTCCAAACCTAGGCCAAGTCGTCGACGGAGCCAGAACACTGGTCGATCTGAAGGAAGCCACTTCGCCGATGCAAGACGACGATGCATGCAGAACGAAGCGATAAAGCAGCCGGCCCCTTCTCATCATGCTTCTCCGGCTCATTCCAAGAGTGTGGGCGACGAAGAGACTGTCGTCACCCGCCGACGATCCATTATCCCACCAGCCATCAACGCTACCGACTCGAACCAGTTCCCTGCTGGTCCTCCCCCTCTTCGAAAAGGTGCTTCTGACTACACTGATGGTAGTCCTGCACCGCGATATTCTCAGCTAGATGAGGCGGCTTCAACTCTGCATACCCGCTCCTTGGAAGAAAATCAGGCTGACGGCTATGCTGGGAACCTGGCACAACTCAGTAACTTTGCTCAAAGTGGTCCACCGCACGGTCTGTGGCCCTCGGCATATGTCCCATCTCGCGATCTTGAAGTTGAAGACGTCCAAATGATCCAGCCAAAGCGTGTTCGACAGAGGAAATCATTCCTCGGCAGCTTTCAGAAGCGCCACGGCGGCTTTGACACAGCTCTTCCACCGTTCAATCATGCCGACAGTGACACCGCCGCGCCGAATGTTGGGCTGTCACTGGCTCCACTCCAGAGCGTTCCAATGGAACAGCGCAAGACTCGCAACTTCTCGGACACGCTGAAAGGTCGGTTGAAGAAAGTGTTCCGCAAGGCCTCGAAGCTGTCGATGCCTGTTCAGCACGTCCATGCCAAAGACTTCCATTTCTCAGTACGTGGCCACGATGTCAGCGATCCCTCTTTCGTGGACTACACAGACCCTTTCATGACCGTTGCCGCTGAGGAGCCAAGGGCTCCTCAACCCCAGAAGTTTGTGACTGCTCAGAGCACCACCAGCACAGCCCAGGAGAGTACCTMAAAATCGAGGGTAACCAGCTGGGCGAACTCCACATTAGCCATGTCCAGTGTTCGTACGAGTGACGGACCGTTCGCCGTCGCTGGTGCTCACCACGAACCTGGAATCGTATCAGCCGCGATACACGAAGCTAGTTCAAGCAGTCCGACTGGCGATCCACCTGTTCTGAAGCGGAGCGACAGTGCTTCCACACTACGCAAGGCGAGTTCGTTCTTTGGGCGGCCCATCCGCAACAAGCTTCGTCGCTCCAGCAGACCAGATTTGAGAGGCTCGGGTGAAAGCCAAGGTCTGTACTCAGCACTCCAGAGTCGCATCAGGACTTCACGGTCCACAGAGGCCGCGCATGAGGCTCATGTACCTGCGCCGGTCGAATCCAACTCTCCGCATGAGCAAGCCGAGCCATCAGCACTGGCAAGCTTGCCATCACAGAGACAGTACAATACATCGTCAAGCAGGACATCGCAGAGTAGGCACAGTACTACGAGTACTGGCATGAAGAATCGCCATCTCTTGGCCCCAACCATTCGGCCGGTCACTCCAGATTTAGCTCCTGTTCAAGAGGCTGCCAGTGCCGAGGCCGATCGAACTGTGATACATCACGAGGTTGACTCTCCTGTTGGGAGTAGCCCTAAGAGCGCATTGAGGCGGAGCCATGCTGTCAAAGCGCCTCCACCTTCGAAGGAACAGTTACTGAGGAGAAAAGAAAGAGCCGAGAGCCGCTGGACTAATGCTCTCATGACAGGCGGTCTGAGTTCGTATGCGAATGAGAATCCATACGAACTTCCATCGCTCTCACACCCAGATCGCGCGCATACACCAAGCACCGCCCTTCCCTTAAGGCCGAGGGCTGATGTGATCTCGCCCAGCCTTTACTCGCGCGCGACCGACGGAGCGTCGCCTCGGCCATATACGCCAGACGATGTTGGAATGACAACCATTACTATCACAGGACGAGAGGTTCGGAAATATGACATATCACCTCCAAAGGCTGCACATCGGCACCAGGCCAGCAGAGAGTGGCGTAGGTGGCTCTCAGATGAGATGAATAGTTTCGCAGACGATGAGCAGCTCCCCCGCCCAACATCCGGTGCCAGTATGAATGGTCGATACCCTGTTGTCAATCGTAGTCGAAACCCAAGCCAGCAGAGTGTTTCTCGGCGTCCCGAGGGCGAGGATACCCGTGGCATGCACTCGATGGCCCGCAGCCGTAAAGCCAGCATCGAGTCCGCAATGCACACACATGCATCGAATCCAGCTAGTCGTCATCGGACTTTGTCGAAGCCCAAGTCCATTGCTGAAATCGAAGCTGCAGCCATTGCAGACGCCATTCCGAAGTCGGATCCGTGCACGGCAGCGACGGGTACTGGTGTGAGGTCTGTCAAAGCCTTCAAACGACCAAAATCAGCATTTGAATTGCGGGTCAACTACAAGAGCAATGCAACAGATCGCTCGAAGCCGCTGGAGGTGCGACGCAAGCTTCCCGATCCGAACATCTTGGAAGATCACACCATGTTGAACATCTATGCGGGACCATACGCGACGGGTGCCAATTCTGAAAATCAACGGCCAGCGGAGTTGGAGGGAAGTGTCATTCCCGCTTTGTCCAGCTCCGAGTGGCTTGGTAGCGCGAAAAAGAAGAGCGGGCAGGAAGGTGCTTCTGCGAAGCCTTCTTCCAAGCGTTCGCCGGGCCAGAGGATGGTGACATCTTGGTTAGGTGAGAAGTCGAAAGAGAATGTTGGAGCTTTCGTTTGATGACGGTTGGATTGTCTCGGACGTGTTGATTTTGAGCAAAGTTCATTGTTACATGTCTGCACGAATAGTGCTTTGGAAAGACAGGCTGAGTACGATTGGATAGACTTTTGTAGATTTTGGGAATGCGTTGGGTATATGCACACGGATGTCCGTGACATCGACATGCAACTGACGCTCAATGGGCCTCGTCTTCCAAGTCGCAGGGTCTGTGATTGTAATGCGAATGAATATGGAAGAGGAGCGGCGTGACGAGGATAGAGTTGGATAGGTTGCATTTGATGCTCGTCCGAGTGAACGTGCTCGCCATTCAAAACTGTCGCCTTGCACAACTCCAATTGCTATGATGCTACAACCCAGTATAATTCATCCGACCTGTCCAACGCTAACCAACATACAAATATCATCGTTGCGTCAGCGTTGTGGCAGGAGGCGTTCCCTTCTGCGGTGCAGGAGAGGTCATGGTCTTTTGGCGTTGAGCATATTCTTTGATGATAACGGAGCAATTGACCTCCTTGCACAACTGCTTCCGCCTCGCAGGCGGCAAAAGACTTGCAAACTCCAGACCAGATGCCCTCTCAACAGCCTCAATCGGCACTTCAAAATCCTGCAAGGGTTTGTCGTTTGGGATTCTGTCGTTTGGAAGGACGAAGGCTGCCAGACTGACAGCGCCACCCGTCTTGCCGTCCTCTGCGAAAACGACCTTGTAAAAGTGCGTGGGAACCGCGACGTTGGGAGGGTGACCCACGACTTCATACGAGACTCTCCACTTGCCATCCGCTTCACGTTTGGGGAGGTAAAGAGGTCCCGTAACGATGCGAACAGAAGGGTAGAAAGAGGTCAATCTTCGACAGAAGTCTTCCAGATGCGCCCAATAGTCGCGGTTGAAGCCCTCGCCAACTTGTGGACACATGTTTGACAGAGCAAACGTCGAATTCATAGCTTCTTGGCTCCATTTGGCATCCGCCGCAGGGACTTGATGTCCACGGTCATATCCACTGCGAAAGTAATCTTTCAGCTTCGCGCGGAACTTCTCTGGAATCTCCATGTCTTCCACGAATTGCGAGTGCCTTCTGTCGCCGTTCTGCATCAGCAGGCTAGCGGGTGTGATGTGCTCGGCGACCCAGTGGGGATTCCGTGTCGCACGGTTGTAAGCGGATGTGAGGGAAGGCGCATTGCGAAGGTCGGAGACTGGTCCAGGGAAGCCATATTGAAAGAGGCCGGCTGGATCTACTGGCGGTGGGATGGGAAGTGAGCTTTCTCGGGGAAATCCCACCGGGGCGGGAGCTAGAGGACCGGTACGAGAGGGTGCCGTCGGTGTCGGTGTCGTGGTGGTGGTGGGAGCTATGGTTTCGTTTCGCTTGCTCAGGCCATACACTGCGGCAGTGGTTGCAGCACCGATGGCAGCGGAAGTTCCCGCCACGACGGCAAGAGTGAATTTGGACATGGCTGACATGTACTGGTAGTCCCCGGAGCAGCAGCAGCGGGGTGGACACCCACTACTTATATGTGAAGGGACAAAAAGGTACGATCAACCCATCACATGCCATAGTCAGTTGTAGGATAGAATAGAGTTCAGCGCGCTGCCGAGATTCGCGCGTCTCCAGAAGCCAGTCAGAACTCTTGCTCGACTCCACGCTGAAACAACGACAGCACCCCGAGCGGATTTCATCTCTTCCATTCCTTTACAGTGAGGATCTGCCCCCATTTTGACCTGATGGCGGCAGAATGTTCGATGTCGTCGACACACAAGCTGAGTTCCCCATGACATTCTGGCCCAGGAGAAGGAGTGACGTCCATCTCTCCTCTTCTGAGGAAATCTGAGCCCGCGTACGTGGGAATCTGTGTACAGCTCCTTTCACACATCGCAGTGGAGCGCGATGTCTGTCGGCCTACGCTCAGCAGCTACCTTACCCAATGCAACAAAGACGAGCATGGCGAGGATGTCTGTCGGTTCTCTAGTCATTCTCCTCCGATGCGTCAAGAGACGGTACAAGACCGCTATTTGCAACAGCCCCGTCACCAGACCGTTCTTGCGTTTGGTCGAGATTTTGCGATTGTAATACTACCAGAGAAAAAAAAAAGTTAAACGTACTTCCACCGGGTGCCACGCTTCGATTCACTCTATCGTGTTACACGAATGTTCACTTTTTATCTTCCTCATTCACTCACGGCTGCCTACCTAGATCCAGTGCGACCGCTAAAAGACCGTTCGCCCTCCGCTTTCTTTCTCTTAAAAACATCACCTGTCCACCATCATCAGTGTCTCTGATCACTTGCCACCGCACAATGAGCGGAGCAGCTTCCAGCAACCACGCGACAGCATCTATGCGTGATCCAACGATTACAAGAGCTCGCCGTTCGCAGACCATTTTGGTCCCCTTCTCTTACCAACCACTTGCGCATCCCACCCACTGGAACTTCCAGCAATCACAACCTCCGCCGAGACTTCCACATCAATTCAACCCTGCCGTGACCGATTTCAGCCCAAACTATCAGCTACAGCCGCCGCCGCAGGCTACAGAACCTTTCTGGCATCAGTTCACCCCCGGTCTCCACTACTCGCCCTATTCCGGCATCAGCTACAGCATGGACACTCAAACAGTGGTCATCGGCTACGGTACAAAAGTCCGAGTCGGCAAGAAGGCACGCATCAACCACGCGCGACCTTCTCGCCAGCAGGAAATGGTCGATGTCTACAACGACGAGTGCTTCATTTCCGCTGTGCCTCTCAAGACGTTGGTACGCTTCTCAGCAGCAGCAGCGACCAGTTTTCCCCGACCGGCCAAAGCTCCCTCGGGCAAGATTGGTGCTTTCGCTGCACGGTCCCCAGGATCTTCCACTGAGAGCAGCTCCGACGCAGCGGGCAGCGAATCCGGATTCTCGCAGGCAGACACGACTTGCACGCAGCCTACCGAGTTCAGCATATCGTCAAACGTCAGGGTCCGCGGTCGTCGTAGAAAGTGCCTGGTTCTGATGATGGAGGGCGCAGAAAACCCGTCCAACAAGACAGTGAAGTGGGCCTTGAAGTGGATGATGGACAACGCCGAAGCCAAGGATGATCTGGTCCCGTACGCTCCCGATCTTGACAAGCTCGCCTTTGCAGACTTGCTCGACTTCTACCAAGCATCACTCGTGTTGGAACTCCGCCCGATCCCGAGACACATCACGGCGGCCATCATGAAGCGCGTTAGCGATCAACCACCAACTCTGAACATGTTCCAAGACCTTGCTTGCTACGTTCCCGTGGAAAATGTGGTGATCGATCGCGCAATCAACTCGTACCTTGAGCACCGTGATGAGGGTTGCTACACCGAGAGCCAGCTTTACGCCTTCGAGGATTTCCTCAATGAGGAAGGCAAGGAGCTGTTCAATCAAAAATACAACAACATCTGTCGCATGGTCGCAGCGAAGAAGGCGAGGGACCGCAAGAATACGTCGGAGGTGAAGCGTGGTAGAGGAAACAGTTTGGCGTCGGTGAACTGGAGACAGGGCTGTGCCACGCCGTCACCACGCAATGACATGCGCCAGGTGGGCATTGAGAGACATCAAGCTCGGAGGCAGCGTGAAGAGGGTCCTGTGAAGGACACGGCTAAGCCTCTCGCATCGAAGAAGGCCGCTGAGCCGGAGAGCATGGACGGTGTGGCAGATTGAATGGTGTCAGTGCCTGGTATCGAGGTTTGGGGAGCTCGTGTGCACGATCATCCGGCAAATAAGGGTGGCAAGGGGAGAACCAGGTTATGACGGTTCTGGCGTTTCCATGAAATTATCTCTGCTTGTACGGCTACAGCGTTGCGATGTAGATATCATTCACGATTATTCGGCTGAGACCAGAACTTTCGAGGTTTCATTGCAAATCACTGGCAGCGATTGAAATATTACCGTACACGATATTTCTGAAGTTTCTTCCAGCATGCTGTAGGTTCTCATATTCGTATAACATGTAAAAAGGACCGCAAGCAAATAATGTGAATCGTACATGCGCAATCGATGAACACGCGTGCTCCACATCATCCACTGTGTCCATCTCCAACTTCTTGTGCCTTGCAGGGTAGCTTGGCCTAGCTCGAACTAGTGATCATCATATGCCACCGGGCCGCACTGGCACGCCCTACTTAATCACTACTGTATCTTTGATACTCATATCTCCTACAATCCAACTCCTTCACCCAATAACTTACTCCAGAAACCCTCCGAAAATGGCCCCAAAGCAAGTGATCCTGACGGACAAAGCTCCCAAACCTCTTCCGGGAGTTTACAGCCAAGCCATCGTAGCCAATGGCACAGTCTACTGCAGCGGTGCAATTGGCATGGACCCCGCCACGGGCAAGATTGTTGAAGGCGATATTCAGGCTCGCACTGTATGTGTATTTTCCCGCAAAACGATCCGGAGAGAGAAAATTTCAGAAATTGATATTGAGAGAAAATAGCACCAATGTATCAAGAACTTGACGGCCGTCTTGACAGCCGCGGACACCACGATTGAGAATGTCGTCAAGGTCAATGTCTTCATCGCTGATATGAAGGATTTTGAGGCGATGAATGAGGTTTATGTGCAGTATTGGGGCGAGCATAAGCCCTGCAGAACGTTAGTTTGACTCAACACTGGCTTTGTGGAGAAGAAGGAGCTGACAGTGCGATTAATAGTTGCGTGGCGGCGAAGCAGCTTCCTAAAGGAACTGATGTGGAGATTGAGTGCATAGCTGTGCTGCCGTAAGCATGTCTCGAGTGCCAACAGACGATGATGATGCTGACTTAATGGGAAGATAGTGAATCTTCTAGAAGTAAATTGTAGCTGAGGAACCAAACAAAGCTGTACACACCTTGATCATCAAAATGTCTCGATTTATATCAATATCAACAGCGCTGAGCTAATGTGTAGTTCATTTCCTGAAAGATCAATGCAATGAAAGCGTATATCGGAAATTGCCATGCCAAAAATGCCACTCATTCGTCATCTCGTAGGGTATATGCAGACATATGAAAAGTCATTTCCAGCAACACCAATGCCGAGGAGCACGGCGGGGATAAAGATCGTAAGGTCAAATCGGATGGCTCTGTTTCGGAGCACGTCATTAAATCATGCCATTCGAAACTCTCGTCGACTTTTGACGTGCCCGATGGCCGAGCCGCGTGGAGGATGAATATGCGGAAGATGATGAGCTAGGTCGAGGAGGTGACGATGGTGAGGAGATCTTGTCCACGACTCTTCGCAGGAATCCAAGCTTAGAGGGCTCCAGCACCTTCGGGTTGACTGCGCCTTTAATATAGGACGTTTGTCGATGGACTGGGCGTTGTTGTTCGAAAGGGATGGGTTCGATGTTGAGGTGCTTTGGTTTGTCGCTCTTCCYACGGCTTGGTGGCGGCGGCTGAGGCGATATCCGCTGGCTGGTGCGCCTTAGAGTCTGTGGGGTCACTGGTTGTTTTACAGATGGTGCATTATTGATCAGTGGACTCGTCGTACCAAGTCGTGGACTCGTTGCGCCAAGTAGTGGGCTCGTCGTACCAAGTCGTGGACTTGTTGCACCAAGTAGTGGACTCGTCGTACCTAGCAGTGGGCTCGATGCAGCTCTTCCTGAACTGGCGTATACGTCAGATGGGGTCTTGCCTCGCATAAGAGAGAGCTGCGGGACAGGAGGATGCTTCTCGGCGCCCCTAAAAGACTGCGAGACCGCCCGTTCGCCGCTGTTGTTGTCGCCAGATAGAGCTGCGCGCGGAACGGAAGATGACCTTGGTATGGAACATGATGTGCGAGGAGTGCTCGTCCGAGTTCGTGGCCTTGATCTTTCCTCTGGCGCTGGATCCRTGGGACTTCGACGGCGTATGGAATGAGGTCTCAATGCCCATTCAATTGGTGAGGGACTTGGACTGGCTTCAGGATGCTGTTGGCTAGCGGCTGGGCTGGGCCGCTCTGCCAACCTTGCCGATGTGGTCTGAAGCTCCCCAATGTCTTGCTCAAACTTGGTTGGGTCGATTGAAAGGTCGCCCTCGATTTGAGATCGGTTGTCGAGAAGATCTGCAACCTTGCGGTCGTAATCCCGCGTCAGGCTCTGGAACTCTTGGGCATGCTTGAGCGCGATGTGCGACTTGCGTCTGACGATTCTCTTGTTGTAGTCTGCAACAAGTCGTTCTTCGGCATTGCGAAGAGCGACTGCATTTCTATCCGGAAGTCGTGGCGTTGGTTTGAAGTCGGTGGAACCTTCGGTATAGCTGGCGACGAGTGCTTTTCGATCTTGAGCGAATGCGGCTTGCTGCTTCGTCAAAACCATGGCTTCGATCTTTTCCTTGTCCRCAGCGAGGCCTTTGATTTTGGAATCGTAATCGGCAGCGAGTTTGTCTTTGGCCTTTTGCAGCTCCCCAACGTGTTCAGAAATCTTCCTCGCGAACAGTGTCTCATTAGCGGAGATCACGGAGCCCAGCTGCGATAGCTCGGCATGTGCGTTTTGGAGATAGTCCTCAAAGGAGCGCGTGGTCCAGGCCATGTCGATTTCGTCTTTAGCTTGTCGATTGCCGGGGCTTAGAGGAGTCGTAGGCCGCATGCCTGCAAGGGACTGCTCTTTAAGCAGCCGCGCGGACGACAAATCGACCTTGAGCTCTGAAATCAAAGCTTCCGTCTGTACAAGCGCGTCGACCGTTGGCGAGGCTGATTTCTTGTTCCTGGATAATTGGGCTAGGATAACTTCGAGCTCCTTCACAAGGAAACCGTTCTGGCGTACAAGTTCCAAATTCTCCGCCGATCTCTTCTCCATTGTCCGCCGCATTGCAGAGCGCTCTTGCTCGAGATTGTCGAGCTGCAATTTCAGCGACGCAAGCTCGACATGCTCGTGACCACGTGATGGACTGCTCGTGCTACTGCCGCCTTTCCTTTGCGAGTCGCGCAAGGAGGACTGGAGGATCAAAAGTTTCTTGGACAGGTCTTCGTTCTCCTTTTGCAACGAAGCCACCTGGTCGTTGGCAGAGGCTTTTGAATCTGGCGAACGGCTGTGAGTCTTCGTGGCCTGCCGTCGCAGCAACGCGACAGTCCTCTCTGCTTCTGCTTGGCCGGTGAGAGAGGCGTCCATCCTGGCCTGCAAAGCTGTCATTTCAGAAAGGTAGGCAGCATCTTTCAATGAGAGCTCCAATTGATGCTTCTCCTGTAGCTTGTTCTCCAGCTCAGCCAACTTATTCCGATTATCCATTTCGAGCCGCATGAGTTCGGCCTGATGGGCTTCCGAAGCATTCTGGCTAAAGGTTTCGAGCTCCTTTTGATGCAACTTTTCAAGTTCGGTGAGTTGTGCAGCTGCCTGTCTCTGTGCGGTCGCCCGGACCTGTGATACTGCGTCTTGATGTCGCTTTTTCAGATTTCGCAGCTCAGCTTGTCCGCTCTGGTRAGCTCGTTCCACAGAGGCATCCCGAGCTGTTCTATGTTGCTTCTGCAATACATATTCTCTCTCTTCCATCTCCGAACGAGCTTCCTCGAGACGTGATTGTAGATTTTCCACCTCCTGCTTCAACCCCCTAACGTCTTCGTTCTTCGACTCGATGGCTTCATCGTATGCCGCAACCTCGTTTTTGAGGATTGTGAGTTCGGCAGCGTAGCTAAGCTTGAGGTTCTGCGAAGAAGCACATTAGCCAGGGTTCCTGGGTGTTCAAAGGGGCAGAGCGGCAAGCGAAGTCCATCAATTAGCTGTGACGCTCGCTGCGTGTGGATTCACAATGTGCAGCCAGGACTGATGATTGTGATTTCACAAACGGTCGTCACGGTCGGTGTGGAACCAAACAGAATCAAAGCACTCACCTCAATCTTCGCATCGTATCCAGCTTCGATCGCGCTGACCCTTGACAACACCTCCACGGAATCCTTTCGTAGAAGCTCCATCTCTGCGTGACTCTTTGTCTCTCTTTCGTTCGTCTCTCGGTCGTGTTCCGTCTTCAAACGCTGCAATTCTGCAACCTGTGTATTCCGTAAGTCTGTCGTTAAGCGTGCGTGCTCCTCAATGGCATTCTTCATTGTCGATTCTGCGGCTTCCAGCTTCTCGCGGAGGGCGCCGACTTCCAACTCATGTCCTGCCCGCGTTTCCTCGGAGCGAGCATCGGCTCCTAGCCGCAATCGATCCACTTCTCCACTGTGAGCAGCGAGCAACTGTTCTTTTGTTGTTTCGAGTTCGGCATGGGCGGCTTCGACATCCGTCTTGGCACTATCCCGGATGCAAAGTATCTCTTGCGCGTGGGCATCTTTGAACGCCACAACACGGGATACTTCTGCGGCGTCACGCTCAGCAAGCTGTCCCTGAAAACGCTGGATTGCGGCATCCAGATTCCGTGCAGCTTCGTCGGCCGCTTTCTGCATATCACTTTTATGAGCCTTCAGTGTATCTTCAGCTACTTTTGACCAGCCAGATTCCAGCTTGACAACCCGTTGTTCATGTTCAAATTCTGCACGAGCTCTCTCTTCCGCCGAACTCGTCTTTAGACTCTCCAATGCCTTGTAAGTGTTGTGGAGGTCAGCCTGCACTTCAGAGATTGCGGATTGGTGTTCCGCCGTGACGCTTTCCAAGGCACTTCGATGCGCAACCTCAGCTTCCGCGATTGACTTTTGAGCCCTTTCACATTCACCAGTCAATTCGTTCTGGTGCTCTTCTTGAAGCTGCAATACACTCTGTTTCTGTTCAATGTTAGAGGCGTCCCTTTCCGAAGCGTAGTCGGCACGCAGCTGGGCTACCAATTGTTCATGCTGACTGTGACGAGCTGCCAATTCTGCTTCATGTGAAGCCTGCAGCAAGGTGCGACGCTCCTCCTCGGCTTTTACAGACTCTATTTGGTCTTCAGTCAACTCTGCCATACCCTGAGCGTGTCTCTCTTGCATCGCAGCGAGTGTGGCCTCGTGGGCTACTGTCAATTCATCAACTCGAGATCGTGCTTCCGTTTGAGTCGTCTGTCGCTCCAATGCGCTTCTAGCAGAATTCTCCAATATCGCGGCATCGTGCTCCCTACGCACGGTGGCCAATGATTCCTCGTGATCTGATTGCAGCTTCGAAATCTTGGCCTCTAGAACTGCAAGCTCCTCATCGTGAGCGTTTGTAAGCTGCTCCAACCTTCGCTCACTTTCGAGATTGGCTAGGTTGAGCGCCTCTCGACGTTGGCTATGTAGCTCGGATACAGCCCTTGCGTGGTCCTCCTGGGAATCTCTGATTGCCTCTGCGCGAGTACGCTCCACCTCAGCCTGATGTGAAGCCTTTAAGCCTTCGAGCGCATTCGTGTGTTGTGTTGCCAGATCGCCCATAGCCCTTGCGTGATTCTCAGTGAGCTCTTCAGCAGTGCGTGTCGCTTCCGCACGAAGCAGCTCTACTGCATCCTGGTGGGAAGTCTTCTGGTTCTCGAGAGCCTCGGCATGTCGTGCTGCCATATCTTGGGTGATCCTTGCGTGATTTTCACTGGCTTCGATGGTTCGGCGTTCTGCATCTAGACGAATCTGTTCCATTTCAACACGATGCGAACTCTTCAAAGCATCAATGGCGGCTGCATGTTGCGTTGCCAACTCTTCAGCTAGAATTGCACGGTCTTTTTCGGCATTGTGCGTGGCCTCTTTGCGGATCTGTTCAATCTCCAACTGGTGTGAGGCTTTCAACTCATGGAGAGCTTCTTGGTGCTGTTTTGCCAACTCTTCGACAGCCGAAGCGTGTGATTGATCACGTTCCCGCAGTCGAGCATGGATCGATTCGACACTTGACTGCAGCTCTGCAACCAGCTTCTCGTGATTCTCGACCAATATGCGATTCTGCTCCTCGTGTTCCAGACGAGCTTCACTGAGTTGCTTTTCCGTGCGTTCCCGTTGGTACAAAGCAGCTCCAAGCTTGATCTGGTACTGCTCGACTTCAGACGTAAGCTGATCACGACTGTGTATCACCTCCTGGTGAGCTGCATGTTGAACAGCTGCATCGTGAAGAGCCTGTTGCAGCAGTCTTTTGCCTTGCTCGATTTGGCCCACGAGTTGTTCACGTCGTTCTGTATTCTCGCCGTCGGCCTGAGACCTTGCAGCTTCAGCTCGCGTCAATGTTGACCGCAGCTCCTGGATCTCCGCTGATCGTTTTTGGCTCTCAGCAGCGTCACGGTCGACCTTCTCCTGGAGCTTTGTGATTTCTTCTTTGAACAGTCCATCACTCGCCGAGCGCTCTGCACTCAGCCTCTCCATGTCTTCCAGGAACTTGTTAGTTTCGTTTTTTGTAGCAGCCAGTTTCGTTTCCAGCTCGACTTCGTGCGATTGAAGCAGGGTCAATTGCTCCTGAAGACGATCAGATACAGCATCAGACTCGATCTGCCTAGCCTGCACTTCGGAAAGCTGCTTTTGATGCTCAAGTACGGTCTCTTGCAACTCGTCCTTTAGCAGCTCAATGTTTGTCTGTGCTATGTCCAGARCCTTTATGAGATTCCGCCTTTCCACGGCGGCAGCAACCAGTCCTTCCCTTCGCTGCTCGCACAGACTCTCAAGTCTTTCCTTGTCGGCAGTCAGGTTGTCAACGTTCCGCTCCGCGATCTCCAGCAACCCATCTAGCCTTTGTCTAACCACGATCGCATCCTCTCGTGCGTGCTCCAACTCCACCTCCCTCTCATCCAGTACTCCCTCATGATCAGAATCCGACTCTTGTCCGGGATCAATTTGAGAGATCCTTCGAGTGAGCTGTGGAGCCTGCAGTAGCTGCTCCTGCTCCTGTCTTATGCGCCTTTTGAGCTGATCGAGCTCGTGGAATATGTGGGCATGATCGAGGTGAGCGATCGACGAGATGGACGAGATGGACGTAGTCCTCGGACGAAAGACCTGGGCCGAGATGCGCTCTTTCGGCTTACGGGGACTTTCTGCCGACCTCGAGATCAGGGTTTTGATATGGTCTATCTCATGGCTGATGTTTCCTCTAGGATGGGACGATGAGCCTGGCCTGGCGGTTGAAAAGGACGCCTCGCTTTGGGAACGGCTGGAGGGTCGCGATCCATTTCCAAACGAACTGCCCAAAGAATGTATGCTGGACAGCGAATTAGATAAGCTGTCGGCCATGTCTGCCGTGGACTCGAGATCGGGCTCTCTGGCTGTGCCTCGCACATTCAGCACGCTCTTTTCCAGAGGAAAGACTCGATCAAGGCCATGGTCGAGTCTTGCGAGCGCACTATAGTGTACGGGTCGGACTATTGTACTATTCTGAGTTCAACTGTTCGAGTTTCTCGATTCGGGCTCGCCTATGGCGTTGGACTAGCGGGAGCTTGCTACGAGGCGTGGGCAGAGCAGAAAGGCATTCCTACTCCTTTCTTTTGTACAGCAAGGAAATTTATTGGTGCTGACTATGAGAAATACTTGCATGAATGAAATGAGCCCCGACAATGAATCTTGGATGCGGTCAGGTCGGGCCAACAACAATAGCCGAGGAAAGAGCCAGCATTTAATCCATGCCGATTGACATTGCCTAGCTAGCTAGATGATACCTTAGATTAGAACGATCCAGTCGTCACCACAATTACCAAAGCAACAACAATACGGTTCGGCAAGCCGGTTTTCTCCATCGAGCCTACAAGCAGGCACCGTGCAACCAAGGCACAAGCCGCACGTCAACTAGCACTATTTCCATTGTAGACGCCCATCCCGGTATCGCCAGGATACGGAAGAGGCTCGGGCTAACTCACAAAGTCGCATCCTGTTCATTGAATTGTGAACATCGACTTTTCGCATAGGAATCTCGTCACCGACGAACATACATACCACTCGGACCGTTCGCTGCTGACGGGATGGTGGAAAGGTAAGGTAACGCCGTCTGTTCGACACGGCCGCGAAAGCCGAATCCTTCGTTCCCATCTCAATTTCAATCCTTCGCGATTCGTCTCTTTGCCTGCCTAAAACAAGGACTCATCAATTCCATCTTCCTCATCACCACAAACGCGATGCTTCTTCAGATACTGACAGCACTGCTCTACGCGTCTTTCGCGAATGGGCAGCGTGAACTCCACACGACTTCTTTCGGCACCTGCATGGACAACAGCCAGATCACGGCGTCGGTATTCAGAGTCTCCATTTTCGCCAACAGGACTCTGACACTCTTCATCAATGGCACGAGCACCTTTCGCGGCAACGATACCATCGGGTTAGGATGGTACGAATCACGAAAATCGAAATATGGAATTACTTTCGATCCATGTACCGTCGAAGACTTCCCAAATTTCTGCCCTCTTGACGCTGGCGCTCTCAATGTGAACGTGAGCCGGACTCTGCCTGGAGATTCACTGCCGGAAGACATATTCACCAAGTCTATGCTGGAAGCCGAGTTCCGATTTTATATCAACAACAGCACGACAATGAATAACGTCGGATGCCTCAGAGCCGTCTTAGCGAACGGTGTCAAWCGTACTGACATGGCCAACACGAATTCATCTTCTGCAAACACTACAGACGATATCGGAGATGAAGACGGAGGCTCACCAGGTGGTATTTCTTATTTTAATTGGACTCTCCTCGCGTACGTATGCCCATTTCATTGCTACAAATCYTACGCTGACATGTGACATCAGCTCCGCTATGGCGATTGTAGCAATCAGCAACAGTATGTAGGACATGTACATATTCGAGTTGTACTGCCATGCTCGTAGGATTCACACCCCTCTGCGCTTGTAGATACACACAGTTCATGATCGTCCGCTGTAAATCATAGAGAACACTGCCCTCCGGTACGGCCAATGAATCACCGGCCCAAGTTCAGTGAATACGCTGGAAAGAGACGCCGGCGGGTATCATAGTAGAATACAACGAAGATACTCACACAGAGCCATCGTAACAGCTACCGCACACTCTCTCACGTTCTCGCGCGCTTGCTCTTGCCCGGTCTGGGCTTGCCACCACCCTTCATCTTCCTGACTGAATATCCTCCAGCATCGGCGGAAGACTTCGCATCGTTGCTCTTCGAGAACCTCTTCTTGCCACCAAATCCAAACTTCTCGTCCTTCTTCTGGCGCTTCCTGTTGTTGCCGTCTGCTGCTCCCTTTGCTCTCCGTGTTGCCCGATCTGCCTTGGCCGTGACATCTGCGTCCTCGACAGCGACGTCGAATGTGTCGTCCTCGTTGGCAGTGAGGTCTGCACCCTGGCGTTCTGTTACATGTCAGCATGTGTGCTATCAATGAGTTGGATGGAGACTTGTGCAACTCACTTCGCTTGAGCGTTTGAATACGGTCCAACGTAGCAGTCTTCTCCTTCTGTCTCTCCTGCAGCTTCGCAACCTGCACTGCCTTTCCAAACTTCTTGAGATCCCTCTGCCGTCTTGCGTCTGCGCTGGCCTTCTTTCTCGCAGTCTCGTCGAGCAGCTTCGATCGCACCTTGCCCATCTGCTCCTCCGACTTGACCATTTCCGCAAAGTAGTCTGTCGGCCGAGTGAACGGCACGCCTTCCTTCTTAAGCTGAGCTCGGGCTTCTGTGACTGCATCGAGTGATTGTCTGTAGAACGCGAGCTCACGGTTCAGATCATCGTCAACATCGGCAATCTGGACAGGTTCGGCGGAAGTCACAGATTGTACTGCGGAGAATGGGAGTGTCGAGGGTAGCGCGAAAGACTTCAACGATCGTGTGAGTGCTGCGGTGTTGTTGATGGTTAATCTCTGGTGGGGAATGACGTCTGCGCGGTCCTCCGAGGCGAGCGATTCAATGTCCGAGAGTGGTATGTCTTCGTCGTCCTCCTCGTTGCCGTTGGTGAACTCCTCCTCAGAATCCGAGTCAGACTCGTCCTCCATGGCAGGCTCTATCTCTGCGCCCTCGTCTGCATCCTCCTCGTCGTCGTCCTCTTCACTCTCATCCGTCTCCCAGCCATCCGCCTCTCCGTTGGTCTTCTGTGCCTGCTGCGCAATCTTTGCAGCCTTCTTTTCCCGCTTCAGCTCCGCTCGAGGTGCAGCAAGTTTTTGTGCCTCGTTCTCCTCGTCAATTGCTGCGCCGGCCTCGAGCGCATCCACATCGACTGTGTTCGCTTTCTTCGCGCGCTTCTTCTTCTCCGCCTCTTTTTGTAGCTTCTTCTGGCGCTCAAGCTTGTGATCCACACCCTTGTGACGCTTTAGAGCTTCCTTGAGCTTAGGTACCGGCATTGTAATCTATGTGAGTGTGATGTGTGAGAGTCCGGTGAGATGGTGGAGCTTTGAGGTARAAAATCCAAGTCGTCTAAGAAAAAAATAGAGTTCTCCATCCCGGCCGCCGATCTTTCCAGGGTACGAAGGCAGCTCGCGTTCCGCGCTGTGCTATGCTGTCTACCTGCAGTACCAATCATTGATGGCGACTCCACAATATGCAGCACGAAATTGGAACAAAATGCTGAGAAGTGCTTCTGGCAATTTAGGTGCGACTGCGCTTCGCAGTCGACCTGGGCCTCTGCGTACCATCCGTCTAGCATCCTCCAAGGCTCCCGATGCAAAGACGAAAACTCCACCCTCCATCAACGCCAACCCAAGACCAAAACAGGCACATTATGCACCTCCAATCTCTTCCAGAAATGGTATCGATTGGAGTGCCACCTACAGAGTCATCTCGATTGCCACGAAATGCATGGCTGCCGTGTTCCTAGCCGGCCACATCTTTGTGGAATACTTTTACATGTCCAGTGCAGCTTATGGCATCTCCATGGTTCCCAATCTCAACTCTACAGGAGACTGGCTCTGGATAAGCAAGTATTATCGAAGGGGTCGAGGGATCGAAGTGGGTGATCTTGTGAGCTTTCAGCATCCCGTGCGGGAAGGTGACTACGCTGTCAAAAGGGTCATGGGACTCGAAGGCGACTTTGTACTCATGAACACACCTGGAAAAAGCGACGCCATGATACAGGTGAATCTGGCAATCGAAATCCACATACCGCAAACCACTGACAAGCATCTCGTAGATCCCTGAAGGTCATTGCTGGGTCGTTGGAGATAATCTGCCCCATTCTCGAGATTCACGTATGTTCGGCCCCTTACCCCTGGCTTTGATCGCAGGAAAAGTGATTGCAAGATGGGGAATGGGTGACCTAGAATGGCTGCCCCGATTCCAAAGGCTAGACAGAGGCCTGTCGGATGGTGATGACTCTGACAGTATTGTCAATTGACCAACCAGCATCACATCCTTGCCCGCTAGAAGGAGGATTCGCAATGCGGGCTCTACAAAGTCGATCATCGACATTGTACATAAAGTGGATCGAAGCATACCAAACGCGTCGCAACTACTTGGCGCCCACTAGGATTGCGTCATGGATCTGCAATCCTTGAAGAGCTGCGGTCAACCCTACGAACTTTCAGTGATGACAGTTTCCAGCGAGGAGGTAGCCCTAAGGGCTGAGCTCTTGCGCGGACACTGTCTCGTACAGCACTGCGGCTGGAACAAGTCATCATCATCATACCATATTGTCTATCGCTGGAGCTGACCACATCTCAACTTGATACACACATTCCCCACTGGGCAAATCTAGAGAATATGGCAGCTCAGCAGCCTATCCTGATTATCGGTGCTGGCATTGCTGGACTCACGCTCGCTCAAGCCTGCAGGAAAGAGAACATTCAATATCGCTTGTTCGATCGTGATGAAAGCCCTTCAGCTCGAGGCGCCGGCTGGGGTCTCACGCTCGCTCAATCACTGCCGGCCTTCAGATCTCTTCTGCCCGATGATATAGTCGCACGATTGCCAGAGACGTATGTCAATATCGAAGCCGTAAATGCAGGTGATCGCGGCAATTTCACCTACTTCGACCTCTCAACTGGAGAGGCAAGATGGAAGACAGCGCCTGCGGAGAGGATCCGCGTCAGCAGAAGGCGCCTAAGAGACCTGATGCACACCGGATTGAACATGGAGTGGAACAAGACCTTGAAAGATGTGGTTTCTAATGATGTCGGCGTCGAAGCCTTCTTCACAGACGGCACATCAGCTACCGGCAGTCTACTCCTGGGCTGCGATGGTGCACATTCTCTTGTTCGTCGGATGTTGCATCCAVCAGACAACAAGAACTGGCAGCTGCCAATTCGGTTCATCGGTGCTGGTGTCAAATACCCAGAAAGCAAGATCGAGGGGATACGCAAACTCGATCCGTACTTCCTCCAAGGCAGCGATCCACGAACAGATGTCTATCTGTGGTTCTCATTTCTGGAATGCCCCGGCGATCATGGTGCTCCAGCAGAGAAGGATGAAAACGGAGAGAAGATATACCGCTGCCAGATCATGACTTCTTGGCCATACCGGGATGGATTTTTCGGGCGGGTTGATCCTTCGAACGTGCCGAACACTGATATTGGGCAACTGATATGGATGAAATCCCTTTCTTCTGAGTGGGCGGAGCCGTTTCGCTCGATTGTGCAAGATATTCCGGATGATTCTGAGATCAAGGTGAGTGTCAATGACACTTTAATCATCCTTTCGTCTCGATGTCGCTGTTTGTTGTCCTGCAAGGCGAGAAGCCGGCGCATGGTCTAGAAATCCATGCCCTACATCGCTAACACTGCGAACCAGCCCGTCGTTCTCGAAGACTGGATTCCTCGTCGCAGTGATCCAACTCTCTTCCATAGCAGACTTGCTTTGGTCGGCGATGCTCAACATGCCATGGTAATGTATCGAGGCGAAGGAGCGAACCAAGCCGTCATCGACGCTTCGGTACTGTTCAACGAGATTCGGCCTCTTTGCAAACCTTCTGGGGCCATCGAAAGCAAGGCTTTGCAAGACGCTATCGCGAGATACGAGACTGATGCGGTCAAACGCGGAACGCTCGCTGTGCTGGCGAGTCGAAGGGCTTGTTTGGGTGCACATGACTGGCGGAGGGTGAATGACGACAGTCCAATTGTCAATAGAAATGTGACAAGGGAGGATCTGGAGGATGTGAGGCCTGAGAGGGGATGATATGTTGTTCGAGTGGGAGAAAGCGGTCGGGCACTCAAGCAACTTTGGATGTCATTGAACCTATCCAATCCCTTGATGAGCTTTTGACTCCACCCACATGCTGAGAGTGAAAGCTTCACTCTTCGCTTTCGCTCCATTCAGCGGCTGTCACAAGCAGCCAAATGCTCTATAACTATTCCCACTTCGATAGTCACCTTAGCTCTTTCGAACAACAACAAACTGGATTTCGAACTAATCCAACAACATCCAACAACTCCTCCAATCACTCCCATCAGGACATTCCCTTCCCAGGACTCGCCACAATGGCCCAACTCACCACAGCAAGCTTCCTCGACAAATCTCTCTCGGAAATCGGCGCTGTGTTCAACGGCTACCGAATCCTTTTGGGTCCGGGACTTACTGCCATCGCCCGAGGTCTTCAAGAGCGTTATGACAAAGCCTTGGCGGATCTGACGGAGCGATATCAGACAATCACTCAGAAGCTGAAGATAAGCGAAGAAACGATTATGGAGTTGCAGTCTAAGGGTGTCGAGAAAGACAAGAAAATCAAGGACCTCACTGAGGAGCGGAAGATGTTCTGGGCGGGGAAGGAACGCGCTGCTCACAAGCGCAAGTTTGGCATGACTGAGCACGATGAAGGGTACAGCGACGAGGTGCATGAAGACGCCGACAGTGGCCTGAAGTATAAGCGGCAACACAAGCGGAGTGTGCAGACGGGAAGACGTAGCGACGATGAGACGCTCATGAAGGTGTTCAAGGAGGTCAACTCACTGGTCAAGGAGAACCCAAAGTGTAAGTCATCCACCCTTCAGCTCTCTGACCCTAATCGTGCGACCACGCTCCTCCCACGTCCACCGATTTTACGAAACCGGACGCTATTGCGAAGATGCAACGAGCCTCTCTGTTGCTCGCTATTTCGACCAAGCCGTCGCCGCGTCCACCAGTCGTGCAAGACGGGATGCCCCTGAGGAAATACGAATCATGCGGTCCTRACATTTCACAGGCACGGGCGACACCCCTWTCGGCATTGCCTTCGACAGAATCCGTCTTCTGATCAAGAATAAAGGCGGAAACAACACCGTCTTTCTGATCAGCATCCTGGAATCGGCGAGGGAGATGGTAACGGAGATCACACTCGACAGCAGCAAGGGAATCGGTTGGTCATTCCGCCGCATCCGACGTCTTCTGCGTGATTGATGATGACGAATGCGTAACGACTGCGACCTGCAGCTGGTTCACAGGTTGTCGCCAGAGATGATGTGCACCTTTGCGGTACGCTCCGTATACGTTGCAGAGGCGCTCGCGCCCGCCGCGGTGTTTGCGTGTGCGTTCGTGCACGTTGCAATATGACGGGGTGCGTGCAGGTGTGCAGGTGTGCAGGTGTGCATGCAGTGCAAACGCGGTCTTGACTGACATTAAGGACGTGCGTCTCTCAAGCCGCATGCCCGTGTAAGGCGAGCAAGCTCAGTCTGAAGCCAAAGGTTTCAGGGGCGACATTTCAGAGGAACGTCAGATCCATACGAGGAACCTTTCGAGACAGGCACTGACCCGACCCGGCAGTGTGTATGCTTGCTCTCACGACAGTTTGCCACAGTTTGCCGAGGGAGTATATGCAGAGTATAGCATAGGAGCACAATCTCATTCAATCCGTTTCATGTCACATTTACATCCTTCCCCTCCTCGGATCATCCGCCTCCCGCTTCCTATAGTCCCTCTGCTCCTTGGTCCTCAAACTCCCACCACCGCCCTCCATCCTTCTCTCCCATCCTCCCAACCTCACAACCAGTGCCGTGGCATTATCCGCCTCCCCAGCGGTCTCAGTCGCGAAACTCACCAAACTTTTGGCCGCCATATCCGGCGTCTTTGCCTCTTTGACAATGTCCACGATTTCCTGGTCCCCGAGATGCCCGCTCACACCATCACTCACCAACACCATAAACGCAAAACCCGCAGGAGGAAGCTGCACTGTTGTGAGCTGTGGTTCAGCACTCACGCCGATGCGCTTGCTTCCAATGTCACCAAAGGCACGAGTATTGGCTAACCCTAGGACGCGCTCTTCGCCAAAGGAGTCTGTGACGAAAGAGGTGGCATATCTCCGAAGTCTGTTGGCCTCGACTGGGTAAGATGGGTGGTGATTCGCAGTCAAGGGTACTGCGGCTCCGTCCGTTGTTCTACAAAGGAGAATTCGCGTGTCGCCTACGTGAGCAGCTATCAATGTGCTGGTACTGTTCGGATGCCAGAATGGGGTTGGGGAGGGTGTCGATAGCAATGCTATTGACGCGGTTGAGCCTCCCTTGAAGCGGGTGTTGCCACCAATGGGTGCGTTGAGATCTGGAGATGATCCTCGGGAAGCAGGTCGCGTTCGCAAGTTCTGTGAAGCAGGGCGATCCTCGTTGGAGAGAATGTCATCAGCATTGAGAGGTCTATCAGAAAGGACCGGGTCGTCAACCGAGGAGGGCTGTATTCGGCGTCGCTCTTCCTCGGCATTGGTATGCTTGGCAGCCTGGGCGGTGGTAAAATCCAGGTCTGCTTTGAGAAATGCGTAGGTGAGGACTGTCTCGATAGAACTGTGGTAGCCGTCATCTTGACTGGGCACTGAATCGTCGGGTCTCKCCACCGCAGGGAAATGTTCCGGTCTGAACCGTTTGAAGTAGCCTCCCACCGTCTCCTTCCACGAGCTCACTAAGCTCTTCTGCAAATCCTCGGGGTCCTGTTCACCCATAATTCCACCAGCTGCGTTGGATTCATCTGGATTGTCGTGCAGTGTACTCTCCAACCCAAAGAGCAGAGCCGCCTCTTCCACATAGCCATGCAGTCGTTCCCGTAGAAACTCCGAGCACTCTGTCCCACCGTGTCCGTCGAATATGCCAAAGTAAAAGACTTGAGGATCCCCAGTCTGTCGTGTCGACCCTACGTTGCCATCACTTAGATCTCGCCTCCGACTGATGCTGACGGGCTGTTTCTTCGCGAATGCTGGCATCTCCACCGTTCCAGCTTGATATGTGTCTTCATTGTATGGTCGACTCCCTCTACTCACGCCCGCGCCGAAGTGGTGTTTTGCACTTTTCAATGGGATCCTCACCACCGTTGTGTCGCGGGCTGAGCTAGAGACTTGCGAGCTTCGATTCGCGGGGCCATCATGCGGACTCGAATCCGATCGCGGCAATTTGTGGTGAGAAGGATGCAGTCTGTCAGGAGCCTGCGAGGTGGTCGGGAGATTCGTTACGAAATAATCGTGAAACTCGCGTCTCTGCATGGTCTTGCGAGGCACGGCATGCTGCTCGTTGTACACGGCCTGCAAGGCCTGTCGGATGGAAAAGGGCGAACCAGTATGCTTCATTTCTTCCTGCGTACGGTGTCTCTCGGGGGAGGTCGTGCGCACAAACGGCACTTTGAAAGTAGAGAATACCTTTACGACATGTTCAGCTTCGAAGGTTTGGTAGTTCTAGGAAGCACGTGGGGCGACGATCGGCTCATTCACTCCAGGTCTCCTTTAACCTACTTCACCTCACCTTGCATCACACCATCGGCATATTAATATGTTTGCATGTTTGTCACCTCGGAATAAGCAACTTTTGAACGTACCATTCTTTCTCGATCGATACGATAGTGCAATGCCGTGACCATATGGAGGACACTCAACAAAAGACTCTCTCGTCGAAGAGGGGCGGACGGGAGTGCCATTCTCTCTCCGTGTCGCAATCGCCGGGCGAACGATCGATCAATATGATACAACGAGCATAGCTCTGATCTATTGTCCGCAACGATMCTTGCCCTGATCCAACGAACAGTCCGATCTGCTTTGACATTTGCTTTGCGAGTTCGCACGTCGATCCGTTGTGACGCCCACGTTGTCGATTTGATTCGAAAGTGCGGTATTCGATTGTCAATGCTGTCCTGCCTTAGCCGTTAGTGTTACCGGTGATCGCGAAAACCTCATCGTTATCAACACAGAAGCTCATGCCTCCAACCATGGCAAACCAGTTTCGGTGCTTTAGGGTTAGGGTTGGGGTGTGACATCCACAATCGCACAGCGTGTGTGGTAGCTTTTACGAAGAACAGAACTGTCCTTGACTAGCTGGCGGTACTCTGGCACAATGATCCCATTGCCTGTTTATGTATAGCTCGTAGAGGTGTATGGTGGTGTCCTTAATAGGTTCCAAGCTGCTTCTTGATCAGCGGAGCACGGCTTGATCCTTATCGAAAGTCGACGCGAGTGTGATCAAAACAACGATGACATAATAAGAGCCCGAAAGTGAGTTGCCCCTAACTATACGACCACCAGTTATGTAACTGCGCAGTTCCAAAGTGATTGTAGACATACGTGATCCACCAGCCCAAAAGATACAGGCCAACCCGTAAAGACAGACTTCGCACCCAAGCAAAGCTCACACCAATGGTGCATTATTGTCCAAAGAGTCGGGTTATAGCTGCACCAAGGACTTCATCCCGCGTGAGGGACAGGCACCACATATCTTAACCACGTGACCCCCTCAGCATCCTCGTCGTCCTCCTCTGGCGGCAAGTGAAGTGGTCTCTTTGCAGCTCTCTCCCAGTACATCAAACTTTTCCTGCCGACTACCTGCTCCTCATCGCACTCAAGGAGCGCGTCATAGAATGCGAGCGCGAGGGATTTGTGGCCCAGAATCCGGAGACATCTAAGAAGTGGGAATAAGCGGTGGAACAAGACATGCGGAAAATACGTACCTGATAATACGACTGATCCTGAGATGGTTGTGGTCAATCCTCGTCATCCACGTATCAGTCGCAAGCGACAAAAACTCTGGTTTGGGAATGAACTTGTAGTCCGTATCGTCTACGACAATGTTAAAGCCGTAAAAACCGGCCATCCGCTCGCAAGATCTGAAGAGTTGGTCGCGGAGATCGGGTCTTTCCACGAAGGCGTCTCGAGTGCTTCTCGTGATAATGGGCGCCTTTACGTTATATGAGGAGCCCTCCGGCAACTGAGAGACGGTGCGTTAGGCCGGAGATCTACTGCAGCAGCTAGCTGGACATCGACTCACGGGAAAGAGGAATTGAATGTAGTCGTGCTTGATCTCAAGTGTGTCGTTTTCGTAGTTGAGGATCTCATTGAGAGTGCGGCCCTCTATGTCCTTCGCTCCCTCGCCATAGAATCTGACTATCTTGTCTACGCCGAGAGTCGCGTTTGGGACGCTCATGGTCGACTGTAGTTGTTTGAAGACAACTGGCCACTTTTGTTGATTTGGCTTGGAAGTCTCCGGGCGCTGGGAGTTGTGTTAGCATGTGATATGGTTGGATGGACGAGAGCCTCCACCCTTGATCCAGCAGCACTATCAACTTTGAGCTTCCTACCCCCGAGGTTGGAATTAGTGTTCGCTTTGAATATTCTTCGTGTTTCCGCTGTCCGCTTCTGCGTTGAGGCTCTGACGGTGACCGTGATGAGATCTCGCAGGCCGCTCACTCGAGCACTCGCAGGCATGATTTACACCACCAACAAAGAGGCTACCAAGGTACCGCAGTCGGAATAGTCTGCAGCGAAGACGATGAGACTTACGGCAAATGGTTACCGAGTGGCCTCTATTTGAAGGCTTGATTGCGGTGTAGATATAAGTCTGTTGATTGAGAATGTGTTGGAGAAGAGGTCAAGATATCAACAGACGATGCATAAGAAGATCTTGTCCGGAAAGAGGGAGGAGTGATGCACTGCAAACGCGAGATTAGAAAGGAACTACCTACACCACAAACACGCGTTCGCCTGCCTTCTTGCCTTCAGACACGAACAACAATCGAGAAGTTACGGCAGGGAGAAGGTACTCGCAACTACGTCTTTAAAAGGTACGTACCCACCCTCGCAGCATAGCACGATACAGCAGAGGCAGCAATGGAAGGCGGATGTGAAGTTTGGCAGCTGGACGGCGAAGGCCACGAAGAAGAAAGGGACACGGTCGATGATGTGTTGGATAAAGTCTTGGAAGAGATGAAATCTGAGCCCGAGGCGGTACCCAAGTTACCAACGGTCAATGAAGAGCAGGAAGATTCTGATGAAGACTGGTTTGATGTTCGATACGCAAAAGGTGAGAGTTCGCGCTAGTCAAATCCCGAATGACGACGGGACAATGCACGCCTGCACGTGGGAGCTCGTAACAGGAACACCAGACCTGTCCATCTTCAACCCACAACCTACACTTGCAACCACACCCGTCGAGAATCGATCATTCGGTCGCGAGATTCCTTCAGGAGCTAGCCAAGCGGGCAGGGAAAGAATTAGCCATCATCGTCATGTGGGACGACGAAGATAACAACCCATATGGCTCTTTCCACCGTCGCGACTCGGAAACGTCTGAGATCCAATCACCAACAGAGCGTTCGTGACWGCGTGCTTTTATGCTTCACCATGACTGACCATTCTCAGGCTATAATCGTCCCTCTACCCCGCCATCAGGCCGTTCGTCTCCAGACCGTGTAGCGGCATATCAATCGAGATCCAGCTATTTGAGCGACGAAGAGCTAGACGATGACCATGCCAAGGGCCCAAAAGTACAACCCAAAGATGGTGGATATGATAGTAGGATAGAGCAGATCCTTTACGAGAACCCGGAGCTTGAGATCCAGATTGTGTTTGCTGGCAAGAACACTGAAGGCGGCGGCGGCTACATTACCTACACGATTCGCACAGGGGATATCGAAGTTCGACGGCGCTACTCAGAGTTCGCATCTCTACGGCAGACGCTGGTGAACTTACATCCTACTCTGGTTGTTCCTCCGATTCCCGAGAAGCACAGCATTGCGGACTATGCCGCAAAACCGACCAAAGCCAAAGAGGACGTGGGCATCATTGAACTGCGGCAGCGAATGCTCGCAACCTTCTTGAACCGCTGCAGACGTATGAAGGCGGTGCGCGAAGATGGAGTATGGTGGAGATTTCTGGATCCCAACGTGAGCTGGAGCGAGGTGCTTCACTCACATCCTGTTGCAAGCCTGCCAAAGAACAACCTCAAGGCTCCCCCCCTCGACCCAGCGAACCCATCGCAAGCCCACTCCTATCTCCCAGTGCCATCGCAAAATGCGAAGCTCCGCTCTGCCTCTGGCTCGTCCGCATCAGGAACACCCACCTCGCCTCCAGCTGGTTCCATGCTACCTTCTGCTGCCGCACACACGACTCCACAAATCCAATACACGCGCTTCCCGCCTCTGGAGCCACGATTGAGTGAAGGGGAGCTGGATCCATACTTTTCGACATTTGAGAACAGCTCCAAAGAGCTCGAAACACTGCTCGTGGGTTCAATGGAGAAGGTCAACGCTCGTTTGCTTCGGCACATGTACAGTTTGGGAGACGACTTGATGGATCTCGGAGCCCGCTACAACGCCTTTTCTCTATCGGAGCAGTCTGCCAGTGTGGCACATGCTATCGAAAAGGCCGGACAAGCGTGCGACTTCACCTRTATCCAATCTCGAGATCTCTCACACGCATTGAGTGCGGGGTTTGCAGAACCGATGCGGGAGAGTGCTCAATTCGCGAGCGTAGTGCGGAGTGTGTTGAAGTACCGTGTGCTAAAGAGAGTACAAGAAGAAATGACCCGCGATGAGCTTGAGAAGAAGAAAGCAAGTCTGGACCAACTCGAGCGAAGTGAAATGGAGGCCAAGCGGATCGAACAGTACATGAATACGTCAGGCATACACTCTCAGCAGTACGCACCACAGCGCAGTGCCAGCAGCGGCAGCAATCGCAATCGACCGTCCTATAACGATAACGACGATGCTTCGGTAGACAGCGATTTCCCCGGCGGTAATACCCCAAGTGCACAGCAAGGTGGACCGCAGCATGAGTCTTCCCACTATACCAGTCCTCCGACCTCACCACCAAGCAACAATCACAAGAGAGCGAGCAGTGGTGTCGCTAACAAGATATTCGGTCGCCTCACGCACGCAATTCAAGGCGTCACCGACCAGGACCCCGAGCGGGCTCGCCGAGATGCTCTGGGCAAGACAAAGGAGAGTCTCGTGCATCTAGAGCAAGCGCTGGAGGTGTCGCAGAAAGACGTCAAGGATGCAAGTCACGGCGTGCTAGAAGACCTACGACGCTTCCAAGGACAGAAGGAGGAAGACTTTCGCGCGTACATGGTGAGTTTGGAAGTGATCCTCGATGTTGTGAATGCTTGGCTGACATTTTTACAGTTGGCCTTCGCTAGGTCACACGTAGAGTGGTCGAAACGCAGTCTTGATGAATGGGAGAAAGCGAAAAGCGAAATTGAGAAGATTTGAGATTTGACAGGCTCACGTACGGATGAGGCGGTGGCGGTAATACTGAATCAAGTAGTGCGATGCAGTCTGAACATCGTCTGGTCTGCAGGACGCCTTTGTCGTCAATGGAACTGCTCGACTACGGCGTGATGCACTAGCCATGGAGACATGCATACTAGCTGTCTGTCTGTCCTACTGCTGTGCATGTATGACTGCTTTCTCGTCCTCCAAGCTGCTCTCTCTCATACCCATCTCGGATAGCGCGACCACCATTGAAGTTGGTCTCGGCAGCTTATGCGCATTGCCGCCGGCACCTTGCCACATGCACCACCCTCATCCCCAACCATGGGCGAGTTACAATGCCGAGTCCTCCATCTCGTATTCGTGCACTGCAGGAAGGGCATGCCTCATTCGACATTGCCAAGGTGACACGACATCCCAGCGTCAGCATGCATATGCACACATCCCACGGTGCGCCCAGCCGGCTCGCTTGCACGACCAGCTTCATGACCAGCTTCATGCATCGCCGTGACAGCCGTGAACAAGCAACGCATGTAATGCGGACATGACGCGGCGCCTCTTTCTTGCCATTCATTGCGGAGTTTTCCCCCAACTCAATGATCAAGTCACGGCAGCCGATCTCGCCCATTTGCCTCTCTTCATGAGTTACGGCGCTTTCGTCTTCAGCTGCACGCCGTGCCACTTTTTGATCTCATCGCCAAGGATTTTGTTGACCATTCTGTGTTGCTTGATGACTGACAATCCGGCGAATTGCTCCGAGACGATGTCTAGGGCGTACATTGAGCCGCAGCCGCCTGAGACGTCTTGGACTTCGAGTTTGGTTGGTTGGAGGGCCTCTTTGATGGTGGCAAAGATCTTGGCTTCGTTTGCGTCGAGATACTCGGGTGCCTCAACTGGAGATGATGCTGGTGTTGAGTAGTGCCTTTGATTGGCGATGTGCTGGAAGGATGTCTGAGTAGCAAAGGCTGTTCGTGTCCTGGTCGGGTTGATGAATCTCGAGGGCGCGCGGGAGATTTGAAGGAATGCTCTAGAAGCCATTCTGCAAGCCATTGCGATTGATGCGTTGATGTTGAGTGATGTTGATGTTGATGTTGATGTTGATGTTGGTGTTGTTGTTATTTTTCAAGACAGCATCATCCTTGACATTGACATCACTTTGCTATGACGGGTGGAGTCGGAGCTTATTTAGGGGAACCAGTCAGCAAATCACAAATGAGTCTTTTCTCTTGCAACAACATAAGCCCACTCGCTCGTTCATACGCTTGCTTATCGACCTCACAATCCATTGTTCTGATCTGTACTCCATTGTGCATTCAGACTGAAAAAGGCAAGCTGAGTGAGACGAGGTGCATCGGAACAGCATCTGGACGCGTCAAAGCACGATACGCGGGTCCCTAGTCCACGCTCCACACCAGCTGAGTATGAGATGCCACGGTGTCATGGTCCACTCTATCCCATTCCTCTGAGCATTCTGCTGACACATGTAGGTGCTTTGTACGGATGAGAGTGAGTTCAAATCATCACGAGGCTAATTCAGCTGCGAAGGCCGTTCAGCAATCGCTTTGAAATCATCGAAGTAAGAAGCGTCTTCACCGACATGTTTGTTGTCGGAGCGTGCGACGCCCTCTCACCCCTTCTACCAAGCTGCCACGCGCTTTGAGCGAGTTCGACCCCTCGATACGCACCGTTTGCGCCATGCACCCCGCAGATCCGCACCGTCTTGAACGCGAGGAGAGGAGGTACCAGTCTTTGCGAACCGCGAACCGCCGCGACCCCGCGCCTGCGCCTGCTTTCCATGCGGTCTCAACCCACCCGTAGGTCATGTTACACGCGAATGAATGTTGACCTATCGCAACCCGGGTTTCCCCCTCCGGCTCATACGGCTGGTACTTTCCATTCCTTTGTAATCTCTACATCAACGCTAGGGTTTATCTGCAACAAGCTGGACCTTGGTGTCTGGCGCCGCGAATGGATAACAAAAGCGAAGGATGGAGCTACTCGAGTACATCTCAGTGTACGATCCCCACATACCTGCGAGCTTTGAGCATATCGTGAGTCCCTGCGTCGACAAGCTGAACGCCGTCTCTGTTAGAAGTTCGACCGCGTCGAGATCGTCTCGAGATGGTCCAGAGATCCAGGCGGCAATCTTTGTTGACGGCATGGCGCCTGTCAGACCCTGCGCCGGAGGATTCGCTTGACCTCTCTTCAGAGTTTCTCTACCAGACTACCCCCTAAGCGCCTGGACCATCGCTCGCACGCGTTCAGCACGCCAGCTGGCCCGTCGAGGGCCCGAGTCTGCTTATCAATGACGGGCCTAGAGCTGCATCATGTTTCTTTCCCGAGCCTTTTAAACCTCTTTGGGTTTGACGATGCACTGCTTGGCAGGACCCTGCGTCTTCTAGCGAAGTCCGTTGATATACAGTAGGATATTGCACTTGCGCGCATCCACTCCACAATTCGAACGCCTGGAGCTCAGCTTATTGCTGTAGATTGGGAAGACAGATAGCCAACCGGCGCAGGGAAAGCACGCCTCGCAGCTCTGCCGAAGGGACCTTGCTGCTGTAAGAGGAGAACCCAGCAATGGATCGATACTTGAATACTTGGTATATTCTAGTCAGCGCGTACAGCGAATAGCAGACCCGCACCCCGTATCTCCCCCAGACCTCTCTTTGCTATCCATGGTGTTATCCCTGAATGGTAGAGATTCGGCAGTTTGAAGCATCAGGAGACAGAGATCTGCCATCACCCCACAAACCACAACCTGGTGCTCGTCCACGAGATTGTGATGTGGCATACCAAAAAGGGTTTACAGCAGACGAGCAAAGCGTTGTCATCCTTCTCGCATGAGACGATGTCTTCACAAATACGCCACACTGCAAGTGGACCCTTTCACATGCATGTCATGCAACACAGCATCCTGGGGTGCGTACACGCGTGTCGAAGTGAACCCCTCATCCGTCATGACGCCCCCGACTCACCTTTTGATACACCCTTCATGGTAAAAATGAATGCAGATTGTTGTTCGACGTTGGCGTAGATCTGCGAGGGCGGACGCGGCCGTCAACCAGGGGTCGCAACAAGGTGTGTGGGCTCGGTGGGTCTCCGATCCCAACCTCCACACCTGGGGTGCATTCGGTCCGAAATGCAACAGTTGGGAATTTTGATAGAAGCGCCGTGGACACGCATCCCGACGTAGTGTATTGAGATGCAAAGGGATGTGGACAAGACAACGGGAAGATCGTCGCAGTTGTACAATCGGAAGCCAAACAATTCAATGCGACTGACACGGCGCGTATATGAGGCATCGATCGATTGGGATACGGGAAACGATTGCACCACAGCACCCAATGCATAATGCTGTCAGCGCCGCGCATTTTCACATTGTACTGTGGAGAGCATTGGCGTGGTGGAACGCGGGCTCTCTCTGCATCCGATACGTACGTGCGATTATGACATCCTATTGATGAGAGAGGAGGCGAGCTCCACAATCATTATGATTTCCGGCCTGAAGCGCCGTCGGTTTGTGGCAGACCCACCTGGAGAAAGTGTTGAGATGACATCGTTTGGTGTCCGGGGCACATATCTAATCTTGTCTGAGATAAAATAGATGGAGGAGTTCCCCAGACCCACACCCGTCATCGCTTAAGAAGTATCGTCTCTTGAAGCGCCGGTGACGGCGTGAGGCCGCAGAAGAAGCCCTTTGATGCATCCGTGAAGAAGTCCTTTCATTTTAGACACACGAGAAGCTCGTAAGAGTGGATCTTGCGAATCCTGCGTTGTTGGCCAGCGCTTTCGCGTCCTTTATAGAGCATGTACTTCATATGCGGACAGTCTCGTGTAGTGTTGATCGCCAGCAAATGCTGTGCGTTGAGTCTCATGCACGTAGGATGTGAGAGGACGTTGTCTAGACCCGTGTGAGACTTTGGTACTCGAGAGGTACTTGAGAGGTACTTCTCAAAGCCAAGGGTCTCGAGAAGAGCTGCTCGCGATTGTGGCGGTGCAAAGCTGCTTCCTTCAACGAGAATGCTAGGAGGTTGTCAGAGCATGGCCTGAATTGGATGGTGACTGTGCAGTGTGCACAATGATGAGCTCATTTCAGAGTTCCGCGAGGTTGTCAAAATTGTCTGAGTTACAACTCGGTAGGATGATTCCGAAGGTGGGTCGTCATCTTGAACTCGCTTGTCGGTCTCACCAACCGGAAAATAGATCTTGATCAAGATCTCGAGACAGGTTTCAGTTGGAGTCTGATAGCACAACGTTTCGCTCATGCCCAGGTGGTACTGGCAAAACTTCCCGAAGAAGAAGGATATTCATCAACATTGATAAGAAATGCCCTGGTGTTGGAGCCCCAGGCGGTAGTCGGATTGGCTGCGATAGGTAAAAATATTAAAGTAATAATAAAGTTTGAGTGAAATGAGCGGTGAGTTTGTTGGCTGCATTATTCAAGAAAGACTTATTAATTTGTAGCGGCAATCGCGCAATTGTGGACGACGAAGAGCAGCCCTATTCTCCAGAGTGGACCACTCCCTGTCCGAGATACCAGATTCACGATGGTGAAAACTTTGCGGTGTGCGAAGCAGTACCGGGAACGATACCGATATCAAAACCGGCGGGGGTCGCTCCAGCTCGTAGGTGGCTGCCACGTTTTGGCTTGACCATCATCAACGTCTCATAAAAGTCTGGGAGCGGTTGGACAAGCGCAACAACCATGCCATCGAGCAGTTCCCAGCAGAACCTGATTATTGTACACCTGACGTTGTCATTGGAAAATATCATTATTACTGACGTCGTGTTTCGACATGCATCTTGGATTGTCAAAGTTTTTCCCAGCAACAGGCCTGCAGATCACATCTCATCGGACTCAAGTGCGGGCTCCAGAAGAGTGGTGCAGCCACGCCGTTTGATTGATTCAGCAATCGCACTTTTTTCTCGACGAGGCCTCCTGGTCAATCGTAGGGCGAGCCTGCAGAACATACTTCGTATCGTCGATGCCGCCGTTAACATCGCTTTGCGTAGAGCTGAAGCGGTCGGACACCGAGCTGCAAGCAGGTAACATGCCTCCTCTGAGCTCCTGTGCGCTAAAAGATCACGCGAGCTCTCGTAAGTTGTCGTAACAGCGTCGTGGATAGCTCCCTTTTGGCAGTGCTCACCCATAGAGTATTGCAGCAAGCTGTGGCGTGAGCACAATCAATGTCYGTATGCAGTGGATGGCGCGGCGTAATGTCAGCAACAGTGCACAAGTACCCTAGCCTTGCACGGCATGGGATCCATCCATTGGCATTGGTCCGGCGAGGCCACTGCTTCACGCTCACAGGTGGTGTTCCTCCCCTCGAGAGTCCTAAAGGCGGTGGAGCAACGTTTGGGCACTGGGCAGTCGTCGCGCATCATAACCCGCCGCGCGGAGGATGTATGGTCCAATCACCGGCGACGTCGCGGCTTGACCAGGCGTTTGCCAAACGGCTCCGCGGAAGAGTGAGCATGCCGAGACCGGGCGTCGGGTGTCACTGTCACAGTATCCCTACGGTGCGACGCCGGGTCTCGCGGCGGCCGCCATTGAATCTGAACAAAGGTGGAGAAGGAATGCTGCGCGCCTGTCTGCCCTAGGAAGTGGTGAAACGGTGAGGAGGTGAGGGCACCACCGTCTGCTCTTCCATGCAAAATTTGGAGCAGCGGAAAAGCTTACCGCTGCGCGCTTGCCTAGTTCGGGCTGAGTGGAAGCCACATCGAAAGCTGCCAGTGTCATCTATGGTTCTACGCCGTTGCCGATAACTTGGCGATAGCTGGCTGGCTCATTCGCGGTGAGAGACAGAAAGTGGGACGTGAGTCTGAGACGCGTCTGCTGGCGTGGGAGGGCGAGAGTGTATATCGGCCATCATCGTAGCTCCTGCCTGCTGTGGGCATCGCGGCGCCACCAGCGAGCGTGCGTGGCGCGATGAAAGTTCTCCCCATGGTAGGTGTGGAGAACAATGTCGCGAACAAGTACCCAGCCTAAGTACCCAGCCTAGCTCCCCACCGTCCATGCTGGCTCCGACGATCCGTGTTGAGAGGCTCGTGCACGTTCCCAAACTTCCAGACTTCCAGGTTTATACAGTTTGTGCCAACAGGCCTCCCCTGCACCCGGACCACCCATGCATGCGGAGACCAGCGGTTACCTGTGGCGCCGTTGGATCCATTCAACACTACCGTATCTTTCCCACCAGACCTCCACCGTCGTTCTTTTCTGATATACGCACTCCTGCGAGTCGTGAGTGTTTCTACATTGACTGCATTGTTCTTTGTTCCTCCTCCCCGAACAGTTTTGAGGTTTGTTTGCGTGCTCGAATTCACGATCGACATTGGCCCGGTCTGCTCTTGCCTGTTTGCGGGGTTTCGCCGGATTTCCAAGACGCCGCCCGAGGACTGGACTCTCCCTCCGATCACTCGACGACCTTGAATTCGACCTACTTCTTCTCTTTTCCATCCGCGCGTCCACCTCGCGGCCGTTCTGGTTCTTTATCCTTCCTGTAAGCAATCACCCCATCAGCATCACCGCCGCCAATCCTACTACCATTGACTCGCTTCTGATCGGACCACTTGCTGACATATCTCCCATCTGGCAGGGCCTGGAAGTGTAATACACGGATAGGACACACTCCATGCGCGGCTCGGTGTGAGCAATTCGCCCTACCAAAACACTTCCTCGAGTGTTCGACGATATGCCTTACACACCGCCGGCTCAATCGCCTGCGTCGTCAAAGTCAGGCAGCCCGATTGTCAGCCGAACATCGTCCTATCATCAGGACGATGTTCCCCGATCACCGTCCACAATGAGGCCGCAACCGCCGCGGTCCATGTCATCTGCATCCTACCTGCACAAGCACCGAAGATCACCGTCCATTGGCAAGTCAGAAGCACCCCCAACGCCTACCGATGCCGCCGATTCCAAGGTGGACACCAACGACTTCGCGCATCGTGGCAGTCTCAGACAGTCTCCGCCACCGGTTAACAACCTGCGAATCCCAACGGGTGTCGTAATATCCCCACCGGACTCGTCCGAGAACTCAGATGGCGACGAGGGCGGACGCGGAGAGCGCKGTCGAGAACTACAGAAGAATTGGCATCAGCTACAAGAGGCTGTGCGATCACTGCCACAGCAGAGGGAACACTCTCCCGAGAAAGGAAGTGTTCAGATCCCCAAATCGGCGTCACTGCCCGTCTCTCAGACTACATCACCCACCGCTCTCACACCGGAAGCTCGAAAGATCTCCCATTCTCGGTCGTCGACTGAGACTCGAATCATGCACAAGCCTTCCTTTGTCGAGTCCTCCTCCCACACTTCCGACGACAGCGAAGAGGACGAGGGAGGTCACTTCAAGCCAAGCCTGGTGCGGAAGAAGTCCGGTGAGCTGGTGAAGCCTGCGTTGAGGCCTTCGTCCAGGCGGCGTTATTCGAGCATGCCTGGTACGCCGACCTACTCCAAATCGGTGCACTTCAACGACAGCGACAACCAGACAAGACACTTCCTTCAAGTCGACAAGCCCATTGCAGTCAGTGCTGGGTCATCACCTGTCGAGTCGTACGACAGCGAGTCAGAGTTCCCCTTCCACGAAGACATGACCAAGCCGGAGCTTCAGATCAAGGTTGCGAACCTAACGGACGATGACTTCAGTCGAAAGACAAAGCCAATTCGTGTCGAACGCATCTTCTTGTCTGCAGACAGAAGCACTCTTGTCGGGGTCTGTGCCGCTCAGAACATCTCATTTCAGAAGCTGGTCGTGGCGCGCTTTACTCTCGACTATTGGAAGACCACGTCGGAAGTCGTGGCAGAGTTCAACAACGATCCGCGCAGCCAAGTCAACGATGGATGCGATCGTTTCATCTTTCACATCAAGCTGTCAGACCAGGCCAACATCGACAACAAGACGCTTCTTCTCTGCGTCCGCTACAACGTCGGTGGCCAAGAATTCTGGGATAACAATGACAACACCAACTACCAGATTGACTTCAGCAAGGGCGTGACTCGAGTTGCAGAGCCTACCCGACCCGTGCAAAGCAGCCCGTTGGGACAGCGGCCACTGAGTGCCATTCCACGCAGTCGACACACTCCCCCATCATCACGTGGTGGTCGATCCGATTCCATCGACGACGACTTTACCTCGCGCTTCGACACAACATCTGCTTACTCCTTCGGCTCGGCAGCGAAGCTCCTCGACGACTCCTCAACGACTATCAAGCTCAAGCCAAAGTCGAAGCGAGCGTCCCTTCTCACTGCTGCTCCCCCATCGCAGCCTACCAATGGGCTGGGCAGCCGTTACGACTTCGGCACCTCGCTGTCCGCTGCTTTGACCTCCGCTCAGGACCATCTCGGCCGTCGGAGTGGTCTTGTGAATGGCACCTTGGCAAAGCCGCATTCCAACGGGAGTTACTTTGGCCCTGTCGACCGCGTCGAACCGGACAAGGTCGATGCGAAGACCGAGCGACCTGATGCCATGACCACGGACAGACCCGCCATGGGCTCCGATCAGTACAGGGATCTCGTCCAGAAGTTCTGCTACGTAGGTTCCAATCGAAACCCCACTAGCACCATCACGAAGGTCTAGAAGCCCGGACCCACAAGCTGACCGAGAATCTCAGTTTACCTCTGGTTCTGGAAAGGGAACCACATCACCACAGAACAACGGGACACCCCCCAGTCCTTCGCCTCAGCATAAATCAGCTACCAGTATCGACGGTGCTGTTGATGATGATGCACCTTCTTCGAGCTCATCGTCATCTGGCGCGTCTTCTCCTGTTCACGAGCTCGAAGCACCCTTCACCCCCGTTCGGAGCTCATTCGTCTCTCGATCCACGTCTCCTGCGTCGGCGACTGGGCAAAATCTGAGTGCACGATCGGCATCCCCTATCAGCTTTGGTTATCCATATCACAGCCATCGCGACGGGTATCTATCCGACACACCWAATCCCACCGCAATTCATGGATGAGTGGGACCACAAAAAAGTATCGATCAGCACAATTCTCCGCGTTTCGCCAAACCTCGAACACAACTCGAACCCAGGCATGCAACGATGTTTGTAACGATCACGACCTCATGATGTACGAAATAGCGAAAACCATCCTCGCTCGCCCAACTTCGACCACAGTCGCACGCGATATCTCACTACCAACGAGTATTGCCCGTTGCACGTGGTCGAAGAAGCTACTTGTTTTTAATGCTTGCAATTTCAGCGTCTTTCGGTGGGGGGTCTTCGCAGGGCGTTACGGTTTAGATTTTTTGTTTTAATCCTGAGCTTCTCTTTTTGCTTAGCATGCGTGCCGGACTTTGCACGTGTTTAGGTGGTTTGCATCGCGGAAAAAGTTATTTGGGTGGACATTGCCACTTGGACGACTTCGAACTCGGCGCACTCAGCAGAACTTTGTGGATGGATTTGTGCAGTTGAGGCAAATGAGGATAGCAGTGACACGGCCTAGGGATCTATGGGATTAGGGCGCGGCTCGTTTTTGCTATTAACAGCTAGGTGGAATTGGTCCGGTTGAAACTTGGTCGGCCGCATGCAGATTGAGTGTGAAAGTGAGCTATCAAAATGAACAAATGACCATACACTATCATGTCTTCTTCTCCACATCTCCCAAAGTTGTATAGGATGTCGCTAATCTCGTGCCAAGGATCGTCGACGTGTTGAAATGCACTAGTCGGATACGAGCGAGCAAGATAGGCGTCCAGGTTGGCTCAGGCCACGAGATCTAATCTGCAAACGTCGCACACGTGGTGACAATGCATGGCGTACGGGGTGTGGGTTGAAGGTGTGGAGAGCGGAGCCGGAAAGATGGAGCTGTAGCTGGAGCTCAAGGACCCTCTCCTCACATCTTCGTTGAATGGAGGAACGGAAATATGGCAGACACCACTTATCCGATCTAGATCACTTGCCTGTACACATTGTTCCTCTTCGAATCCGCAAGCAATCCAATCATCATTGCCGTCATTGACGTCTTGACATGATGCCATCTCCCACTACATATGACCTCCTCGAACAGACTTGGGATATCATAATTGTAGGAACCGGCTCTGCGGCTCTCACTTCTGCTCTCTCAGCTGTAACTTCCACTTACCCTCCTCCAAGAGTCTTGCTTCTTGACAAAGCACCACGAGAATGGGCGGGCGGGAACGGTTACTTTACAGCAGCTGCATATCGAACCCAACATAATGGACTTGAGGATCTCTTGCCTCTGGTCTCTAATGTCTCTAAAGATCTGGAGGATAAGATAGACCTACCGGCCTACTCGGAAAAGGACTTTCTCGACGATCTGAAGCGGGTGACGGAGGGAAGGAGCTCTGAAGTTCTAGGTGGTGTTGTTGTGAAGGAGAGCTTGGATTTGATCAGGTGGTTGAAGGATGTGGGAGGAGTGGAATGGTGGTTGAGTTTTCGACGGCAGGCGTATCAGGTCGAAGGGAGGTGGGTGTTTTGGGGTGGATTGCACCTCACAATCCCCGAGGGTGGGAAGGGTTTGATTCGAAGCCTGTTGGATGCTGTGAATAGGCATAGATGTCCGATTTCTTACGACACTGACGTGAAGAACATTATGCAAGACGAGAAAGGAGAGGTCTGTGGTGTTACTGCTGAGGTACATGGGGAGATGAAGGAGATACGATCGAAGAGCGTGATTCTTTGCTCTGGTGGATTTGAAGCCAGTCCCTCGATGAGGAAGAAATGGTCAGCATGCTCTCAGAACACAACACAACACATGACTTTGACTTCTTTGACTTACTCTTGGTAGGATGGGTCCTGCCTGGGAACTAGCGCATACTAGAGGAACTCCATACAACACCGGCGAACTGCTGACTGCAGCGATTGATATGGGAGCCAAAACGATAGGAGACTTTAGTCCTACCGGTTGCCACAGCGTTGCTTGGGACGCTGACTCGCCGAGAGACGGCGGCGATCGCGAGAACACGAATGAGTATACGAAAAGTGGCTATCCGCTTGGCGTGATGCTTAATGCCGACGGTCAACGTTTCGTGGACGAGGGCATCGATTTGAGGAACTACACATATGCTAAGTTTGGGCGAGCTATTCTCGAACAGCCGAACGGCATCGCTTTTCAAGTATGGGACCGAGACGGACAAGGCTGGCTCCGAAATGAGGAGTATCGGGATGAGATCGTTCGAAAATTCCAGACCGACAGCTTGGAGGAATTGGCGAAGCAACTTACTGATGATGGATTGAAAGATCCTGCTGCGTTCGTGAAAACGATCGAGGAATTCAATCAAGCTGTCGAAGCGCACCGTTCAGAGAATCCAGACGTCAAGCTCAATCCAGCTATCAAAGATGGTCTTACAACACAGTCTTCGAAGGTCGAATTGGCGCTGGCAAAGTCCAACTGGGCCGTTCCTATTCGAGCGCCTCCGTTTCTGGCGGTCAAGGTGACCACCGGTATAACCTGTAAGTGAAACACCTCGAAAAACACCCCAGACGGTTTGAACAAGCAAGGGGAGTCGAAAAAGGAGAAAGCCCCAAATTGAGGCTTTTTCCATACACATGATTGATCCGAGACTTGCTCAGCCAGTCCAACAGCAATCGGTTGCCCAAGGGTAATGGCTCTTTGGAGCAAGAGCGTCTCAAGATCTTTCACCACCATCAGGCTGACCGATCCGTGTTTAGTCACCTTCGGCGGACTCGCCATCAACCCAGAAACAGCAGCAGTGGTTCGAGCAGACGGGTCGGAGGTGTCGGGCTTGTACGCAGCAGGAGAGATAGTTGGTGGACTGTTCTACCAGAATTACCCCGGCGGAAGCGGTCTCACAGCAGGAGGCGTCTTTGGCAGGAGAGCTGGCAAGGCGGCGGCTGCACGTATGCAAGACACAACTCGCACACGCACCTCGTGAGAGCGTTGTAAGACACCGAAGGGTTTTTTGCAGATTCGGTGTGACATTGTTTGGGCCTTGGGGCTTCCCCCTATCTTCTCCCTCCCAATGTTGCTCTAGCAAGCCTATGACCGTGGAGGCTGCAATTCCACCGGATAGTTGCAACGTCCGAGTCGCCTCACCTGTTTGGCTTGCCAGTTAACACACACAATTCAGGAGCATGTTGAGCTTGGTGTAATCATCGCTCAAGTGTACCACGCTGATAGTACATCTGCTGGTGCACCTGTGGGATGGACATTGAACAAACTGCAATCATCGTGATCGTTCTACCGTGTCGCGAACTATTGTCGGAGCTTTTTGCACATGTAATGAAACATGCCTGCGAATGCCATGTGGATGTGCCCGGCATCCCTTGTGTGATGGAAGAGCTCTCGAGATGTCAAACTTTGAGCCAATAGCGGCGAGCTGCAAGTGCAGGCCAGACAGCCTGATCCAGGGTGCAAATGTTGGTCGGACGGATCATGACGTTGAAAGGTGTTGTCGGCGGATGTCCTGCTTGACAGGCAGCCTGGTTGTGGCGGTCTGATAGCAGAGGCATGATGATGGTTTGATCAGAGTAGTGATCACGGATCGCAGTAGTCAAGAGTTGGCCATGGGAGGCCGAATGCGGATAGTCGCTCTGCCCGTTGGATTCCAGCCACAAGCGGATGTGCAAGCGCCGAGTCTGCGTGGACCACTGGTAATGTGGTCCAAGCGGTGCAGCGGATGGGGAACCGTCCATCGACCTTCTGCTCTGCCTCGAAGGATGACTGGGTGGCCAGCACGAAGCCATGCGATCCAACATCGACATGGTGTCGTGATATGGAGAGCAGCTGGTAGCCGCGATGCGGTCTCACATGGGCGGCCAGGCAAAACAGGATTAAAGGTTAGTGGAGCACGAGAGAAAAGCGGACTCGCCGCATGGCCATGATTGGCTGATTTCACGCATTCGAGAGATGAGCTGTCCGTGCCCTGCTTTTGGAGGTGATTAGCTCGGTGGAGGGAAGACCTCAGACCGACCTTCAACATCACCTTTGCACGACACACGCGACGACGACGGTCCAGCTGCCAGCAGCGCATCGCCGTGTCAATAATTCTCGCCAAATTTCCCCCATCCTTGACGTATCGTGGGAGCAGCCGCGACAACAGGGAACATATCAGCTCCGCCTCATTACCTCGACACGGCAGCACAGTATACAGCAGGAGCTTTGGTTGCCCGGCTGCAATCCTCCCTCGACTCTGCCGCGCCTTCGTCTTGATCTCTTCGCGCAGCATCGCCAATCTCGTTCAGCATACCATTGCAGAAAACATCGCATCTGTCGCATCGCCCGCAGCCGTCACTCCCGTGTCGGTCGCCCGTCGTCACCAGCCGCCGTCGCAACCTTCAGATCGGCCCAGACGTCGTCGCGAATCACGTACATGCTGCGATAATCCTCCGCCAGCTTCAATGAGTCAATCGGGCGCCCCGCCCACCCAGGACGGGATCGCTATAGGTGCGTGTGGCCCTTCGACCGCTGTGTCACCTGTCAGATCCCGTGCAGGCGGACAGTACACTGCTGGCGCATTGACTCTAACATCTGCAAACATACTGACCAAACCTCACTGACCAGGCTCCTCTACCTCCGCGCAGACGTTCGTACCGCCGCCAAGGAAATCCTCTCGTGAGCCGTCACTAACGAACGATGCGACCAGCCCGCCGAATGCGACGTCGAGCCAGCCGTTAGGAGATGCTAGTGTAGCAGAGCAACCGCAAGGCACTCCTGCCGTACTGAGTGTTCCCGCGCAAGGTTCGCCGCCGCAAGGATCTAGTACTTCGACTGGCGAGACTGCGAACGAACGATCCGATAGCATTGGGAGAGGGTCAAAGCGGAGTCTGATGCGGAAACGGGAGCCCAGCTCTGGCAGCCGGCGTAATGAACGTGCAGCAATGTCTTCAAGTGAAAAGGCCTCACGCGCACCCGACGGTGGCCAGAGCGAACTACAGGGTCAGCCGAAAGCAAAGAAAAAGGGCGGTCTTTTTGCCTTCCTCTGCTGTGGCTCTAGCGACACTCAGGACGTAGGAGCACTTGATCAGCCAGCGAAACCCGCGACCAAGCAACAGCCTGCACGTGTCCAGCAGCCGTCGCAGATTAGAAATCCCGCGACCGCCAACACAACCGACACGAGCGTAGATCCTTCCAAGGAAGTAATTGACGAGAAAACCGAGCAAACATTGTACGCCAACGGATCCCAACCAGAAGCCAGGCTATCTCCCTCAGACACAGAAAAAATGCCACAAAGCGAAACCAACGCTGACAAGCCCACCCCGGAAATATCTGCGGATGTACCCCGTCAAGCCTCGGAAACACCCGCGCCAGGCAACCCGGCTCCAGACAACCAGGTAGCATCTCCACCTCAGATCATTACTTCAATGGCTCCTCCTGTCACACCCGTCGACAACCCCGCTGGCCCATCCATTGCAGTCATCGCACCGACGCCGACCATCCCACAATCGGAAGATGACATCATTTCGGACCGAACTTCGCAGCAAATAGAGCGTGATGAAGACATTGAGATGAACGACAAGCTGCCGCTGACGGAAAAGGAAGCCGAAGAGATACAGAACGAGGCCTCCCAGTCACAAGGAAGCAGCCTCACAAGTCTACCTGGGCCACCACCATTGCCCGCTAATGACGGCGCCGTGCCGAGCGACTCACAAGCATCTACGCAAGATCAGCAGCGATGGCTTCTCCCTGCAATGAGGCCTGAACACCGAGGACGGAAATGCTTGGTGTTAGATCTGGATGAAACGCTGGTGCACAGCAGCTTCAAGGTTTGTGCAAGAATTACATGCTGCTCGAGACCGACCCGACTGACCGTGTGACAGATCCTCCATCAGGCAGACTTTACCATCCCAGTAGAAATCGAAGGGCAGTATCACAACGTCTACGTCATCAAACGGCCCGGCGTGGACACGTTTTTAAAGAGAGTCGGAGAACTTTACGAGGTCGTGGTATTCACAGCATCCGTGTCAAAATACGGAGACCCACTTCTCGACCAATTGGACATTCACCACGTTGTACACCATCGCCTCTTCCGCGAGAGCTGCTACAACCACCAGGGCAACTACGTCAAGGATCTCAGCCAGGTCGGACGCGATTTGAAGGAGACCATTATCATCGACAACTCGCCTACCAGCTACATTTTCCACCCACAGCATGCGGTACCGATCAGCAGTTGGTTCAGCGATGCTCACGATAATGAGCTTTTGGATTTGATTCCGGTCCTGGAAGATTTAGCGAGCTCACACGTGCAGGACGTCAGCTTGGTGCTGGACGTTGCGTTGTGAGCGCAAGAGGAATCACGGCGATGGAACTGTCGACGCATAGATATCGGCGCACTTTGATTGTGTCTTTTGTACGGCAAGGACGACGACCACGACGACCACTGGTGGCCGCCCGCCGCCCCTGTTTTGTCGCTCGCATCATCATCATACGGTCGGGACGAAAAGAATAATTCTGAGATACCCTCTTGCAGGCTGGCGTCGGTTGAATATGACCAGACGGAGAAGAACGGAATGTTTTACATGGCAGCACAAGGAAAAACATTATACCCCCTCTGCTTTCGAGAGCATGCACGCATGCAATGCATCCACCCATTAGCACTGTTACTACTACACCACCACATCGATGAGCGCCTTGTTTTGAGCGCCAGACAGACAGGAAAAATTTCAGCAAGCATCAGCGGAAGCTGCAGCAAGAAAGGATGCTGCAGCGACTACTCTACCTTACCTACCCACCTACTCTCTTAATGTACAGCACCCATCCAACCAATCAACCAAATTGAACAATCTTCCCATTTCTTCAGTACTAGCAGGGATTTCGTCTGCCGTTTCTTTTGCGACACTTTTATTGAGACTATTTACTGAGACTACTGAGCGCATGCGTGCCGGAATCAGAGGTAATGAGGCGATCCTTGCGAACTGAGGCATCCAGTGCATGATTTTGTCACTTTTCTTGGACAACCGTATTGTTCTTGGTAGTTTGTTTTGCCAGTCAGGTGAAGGCGGGATGTTGCCGGACAAGAGGTATTGTCGCCGTAGCTTTCTACAGGAGGCACAGTTCCGGGATTGGTAGCTTGCTATGCCCGAATACGGGATGAAAAATAAGATTCGCCATGCTGCGAGAAAGGTGGTAGGCATGGCGGGGTTGAAAGAAGTGGCCAATTATTTCGAGAGCGAGATGAGAGTAACAGTAGTACTGACCGTTACTATAGTAGGGCTATTCCAAGCCCTAGGATGGAGTCTGAGGCATGCTAATCTTGAATGGGCATCGGCGAGCGATGGAGCAGGCCTCTGGATCAGGTATTCGTCTCCTCTCTGCTCGTCCACTGAGTTGGTGCGATGACCCGACTATTCATGGTGATAGCTGGGTGCTTTCGCTGATCCTCAGCGCAGTCCTATCGGGCGTCTCAGCAATTTGCTTCCATGCCCCATGTGCCCGACTTKCGCCTCAATTACGATCCGTGTAGCTGGTCGTTGTCGAGGATTGCTCCAAGGTTGCGTTCCGCAGCGGGTGTAGCAGCTACATCTCGCTCGCAAGGTGGTGACGCTTTCCTTGCAGCCCCACACAATTTGAGTGAGTTGTCGTACGGTCCTGAGATACCGACAGTAATTTTTTTTCTTCTTCCCGCGCCAACCTCTCAGCGCTCATTGTCAGCCCTCAGCTCCGCCATTAGGCCACCTTTGTCTCTATGCTTCTCATCTTCCTCCAGCTTGCCCTTGACAAACTTGTCTAGCCATTTCGCCTTCTCGAGCGCCTGGTTCGTACAGCTCAGCAAGCTCAAACCATCCACCGGTGCCCCACCGTATTTAGCAACCTGACACACCTCTCCAAAGCGATTGATACTAATCACAATCTCTCCATCTCTGCACTGCTCCTCCAATCGTGTAGCATCTAGCAGCATGATGGCCTCGTCCTCACTTGCATCGAAATAGCTCGTGGTGATGCAGAATGGGTGATGCTGTAAAGACAGCTTCACGGGCTCTCTTTCTGCCAACGAGTAGACTTTGACTTCCTCTCCGTGAATCTCCACATCCGGTCTTCGGAAATGTAATAGCGCCGCGATCAAAGCTATGCAGGTAGCATCGATTAGATTTCCATCATGATCCAGAACATGTACATCTGCGCGGATGTGCCAACACTTTGCTCCCGCAATGATACACAGACTCTCTGTATCCAACGCCCCACTCCTCCGGATTGTCTTCTCCAATATCCTCGACAGCAGAACTTCTGTTTGATCTTGTCGTCCAATCTCGAAGGCGGGAGAGGCGATTGGGGAGAGCTCGGTGGCAATGGTGAAAAGTCCGTCGAATTTGCGATCCTGATAGGGAGTTACGACCTCGCAAGATATTTTGACGAGGACTCGTGTATTTCCCAACCGGATATCGCAAACGCCATATTCTTCGCCGAAAGAGAGATCGAGAGGGCGGAACTGGTCGAGGGCGCGGTTGTCGAGGCGGATTTGTTCGCGAAGAGCTGAGAGGAGGAACTTCTGTTCGTTGAGAGACGGTTCCTGGTCGCGAGGCATGTTGGCATGAGGGGAGAACGTTCAATGTTTGGGCGAGACTTGGTTGTGATGTTCAATTGAGAAATATTTAGCCTTTAAGGTACTTCTCAACTTCCACTTCTCTCTCCACTTCAGTTTGACCTATCTTCCACATTCAACATCACCCTCACTCAACAACACCATGACGACCGCCCACAGACCTACCTTTGATCCCGCGCGCGGAAAGGAAGCAGCGCGTGGTGAGGCGTATCATCAACGTCTGCTGCCGGCGCACAAGACGCTCAAGTTCCGCCAGCCAAACCAAGGCACTGCAGATGAGAACGCCAAGCGCGATTTGCGCGCGGAGCTGTTACGTGCCGAGGCGAAACACTTTGCGAAGAAGGAGGGCCGAGAAATCACAGACGAGGAGGATGCAAGTCAGGTTCGGACGCCGCAGCTACAGTTGGGTCAGGGCGAGGGCGAGGGAGAGGGAGAGACGGACGCTACCACAGCGAAGCGGAAATTGGACGACATCGGTGGGGAAGGGGAAGAAGACTACGAGGCGAAAAAGCGGCGGGTGCTAGAGGAAACACGAGATATCGACGCCGATTCGGACGATGCTGGTTCCGCCTCGGAGTCGGACTCCTCAGATGATGATGAAGAGGATGAGACGGCAGAACTGATGCGGGAACTTGCGAAGATAAAAGCGGAAAGAGCGGAAGCCGCTGCCAAGGTCGCAGCGGAACAAGCCAAAAAAGACGAGGAGCAGAGGGAGAAGGACATTGCGCTGGGGAATCCTCTGTTGAACAAGGGACGGGATGATGAGTACGGAGTGAAGCGCAGGTGGGACGATGATGTGGTCTTCAAGAACCAAGCGAGAGGGACCGAAGAGAGAGGAAAGGAGAAGAGATTTGTGAACGATCTGTTGAGGAGTGACTTCCACCGGAGATTTATGGACAAGTATGTTCGATAGAGCAAAGCATGCGGCTCCGGTTGAATCTTCGAATGCATTCACGCGACACTGCTTATTCTCTCCTCGGCGAACTGTTTGCCACTGGCCACAGGACCTGCTCCAACTACAAGGTCAGCAAAAGCTGCTCCAATGTCCGTTCATCAATCTGGATCATTCTGCTGGTGCCGAGCCTTGTGCTTCCATGCTGGCTGGCCACTAAGCTAGTGTATATCATATTCGTATTCTGTCCAGGTCCGGTGCTTGATATACACCTGCCGGTAGCACTATCCGGCTTGCGTGTGAGGGAAACGGCGCTTTCACTACTAGTACTGCTTGGTGAGATCACCGCATTTCCTCTTGTGCTTCGAACCTAGGAATTCGGCTTCACTTTGCAACGACGGCCGTGGCTGATTTGGCTGGCATATGCGAAGCCTCGCTGACTGCGCTTTGACCGCGTGCGTCCTTCATAAGTATCCACCACTCGAACACAACCTCCAACTCTTCTATATCCACCATCTCTACTCTCCAAACCAAACTCCACCCTTGCATCATCTTGCAAATTCGAAAGACCTCYATCATTGCATCGACATCCAACCTTCCGACACAGTCAACCCGACCTTTCACGTCCGAACCGAGCGCTTCAAGAAGGCCACTCTTATTGGGCATTGCAAGATCAACCAGCGCCATATCGGACATGTCTCCGTAGGCATACCCACCCTCAATGGCCACATAAGCAGCCACAGCCAAAGGCGATTCATCACGGAGACGCTGTTCAGACTTAGCGGCCAAGATCAAGGCTGCTGTTAAGAAGCAGCAGCTCATTTGCACACCGTCCCCATCTACGGACATTGCTCTGGGGGAAACATTGACCTTCACTTGATTCGCCAGAGTCACCGCATCTCATTGGTGTTGTACTGCTCTGGTCTACTCAAGCACTTCTGGCCATCGTCTTCGGCGAGGGACTCAGCTTGTTCAAATACATTGTCACAAGCTGCCAAGACATCCACCACTACCTTCCACCCATCTCACCTTTCACACCACCCTCCAACCAACACCAACACAACAACAACCACCCCACATCTTCCCTCTGCATACCAACCTGAGACTGATGTCCATTCACCATGTCGATACCCAAGCATCTCCAACCCCGGCCGTCAGTCCAATGGGATTTCACGGGCTTGAACGAGACACCGGTACCGGGAGCACAGCAAATCAGCAACACGCCGCGCCCTCACCTTCACCAGGATGTGCATTCGAAATTGGCGTCTCGCAATCCTTCCAGCGTCGGAACCAAGAGACCCGCCAATCATGACCACATCGGAGTGTCAGTCGCTGACCCGGAAACACCATTCAAGAAGATCAAGCTGGAGGACGATTCTGAGAGCATGATCAAAGTGCCAAAATACTGCGGTTTCGTCGATCTCACGGGCGACAGTTCGGATGAGGACCCGGCAAGGCCGTCAGCTGTCAAGGGCACAACGAAGACGAGAATTCCTCAACCTTCCGCCGCACCTAGTAGCAAGTCTGGGCGAACATCTCACGCAACATATAGTACTGCAGAGGCCAATATGATGGGCGTCATCCACACGCCCGCTCCGTCTTTCCTTACTACGATCCCTCAAAACCCTTCCAGCCTCAGCGGGAAAATAGCAGCTGATGACAACAATCCCTTCATCATCGAACGAGCGAAGAAGCAGCACACCGTCACGCGAGTTCCTTTCAACTTGGATGATTCGGATTCAAATTCAGATCTTGAGCCGGAGCCTGCCACGGAGCGGCCGGGAAACGGGACCCGGCGTTTCTCTCTCTCGCCCAAACATCAGAACAAGGAGGCTGAAAAGCTGATCGAAGAGAAAGCAGCTCAGCTAAAGTATGCTGCCGAGTTGAGGGGGAGAGCCGAGGCCAAAAAGCTGGCTGAGAAGAAAACAGCTGAGCTAAAACACGCTGCCGACCTGAGAAGCAAAGCGGTGGTCGAGAGGACAGCCCGAGTGCAATCCAACGCCCGACGCTCAAAGCCTACCCACAGGTCAGACTCAGTGCTTTCCCCATCTCACACGAAAGCGGAATCAGTTCAGAAGCCCGCGGGAGCGTCCAAATTCGCTACAGGGAGAAAGCTGGAGCCTGGCAGAGTTCCTTCGACCAGTGCCAACATCTCGTCAACTTCAACGGAGAACTACCCGCACGGGCAGCAGATACGCGCTCCGCCTACCCACGTAGCTCTCCCAGCGATGATGAGTGACCATTCTGCCGTGGCACCTTCGGCGACGATGAAACACACGCGCCTTGTTGGGGCGCCATCAAAATCCGAAGATCAGCACGTGAGCCCGCTGCAAAAGGCATTCACCAACAAGACTGGCGGATCCACAACGGCTCACCCAAGGCTGAACACACTGCCTCTCAAGCAAAACGGTCCCAAGAAAGTCTCTTTCGATCTCTCACAGGATACTACGTCGGCACCACAGCCTAGCATGTCGGCTGATCAGGCGGGTTCCAAGATCGAGAAGCTGAAGAGGAGTTCGCTGTCTTACTCAGCTACGCCGAGAAACAACGGCTCGGGCGGCCGGTCGCAGGCGCAGAAAGCTGAGTTCTCTGGAGAGGACCTTATCGAGGCTGGAGAAGAGGCTAACGTGTCAGCCTCCAAGCCAAGGTCTGTTGTCAATCTCGCAGCGAGTGAGGACTCTACGGCTCATTCTTTGACGCAAGATGACTTGTGCAAAGCTGCATTGGCAAGGGAACTTACTAAGGCTGAGATTGAGGCTGCTCGAGCCAACGAACAGAGACGACGAATCGAATCGCGCAGGCTGGAGAAGGAGATGGCTGCAGAGAAAGCTAAGGCCGACGAACAGCAAGCGTTCGCTGAGCGTTCACGCCTTCTTACGAGGGCGCGTGAAGAACGGGAGGCCGAAGAAATCCGGCGAATTGAAGACAGGAGACTTACTAGTGCTAAGCTGCAAGCTGGCATCCAAGAAAACAAGAAGGCGGAGGATGAACTTCAACGTAAGAAACTTGAGGCGCGAAAGGAGCAGCAGAAGCAGCAGCGAATCAAGAAGATGAATGATATTAATGCCAGAAAGCATATTGACGCCGCGGCAGAGGTCCAGGCAAATGCTGCTCTTCAGGAGTATGAGGATTCCGGCGAGCTGGTACTTGAAGGAGAACCCACTCATGGTCGTAATCTACAAGCATCGAGGGACGCCATGTCTGTCCGGATTGGACAAGGCTCGGCGACTTCGACCGGCCCCGTCGCCCTTAACAGTGAAGCGGGCACGTTGTCGGTCCAGCGAAACTTTGCAAGGACGACAAACATTGAGCCGATGACGACTCAGCAGAGAATCATGCAGGAGGCGCAGAAATGGGAGTATGCCAAGAACGAATCTTCAGACGTCGTCAAGACATCCTCCCGCCAATCTGAGGGGGACGTCTCTTCGGCCTTTGCAAGCGGATCTGGCCGCAACTTCCAACGAGCCCAGGGAAGTTCCAGCACTACCCCCGGCTCGCCAGCACCTCGCAAGACGAGGTCCAATGACCGTGCACTGGGGAGAATCCAGAGAGAAGATGCCAAGCTTATCCAGTGGAGAGATCAGGAAAACATGGATTGGAGTCGAATCGCTGCTGAATGGCTGAAGATGACTGGCAGTATACGCGCCGAGGCCACTTTGACCAAACGCTGTAGCAAAGTCAGATCTGTGTTGAGGAAAGCCCAAGTGGGCCACACCTTGCTCCAGAAGCTGGCTGCTGGCGATGAGCATGCCTCTGAGCAGGTTAATGCAATGGTTGAGGCTTCGGAGGCTGCTGCTGCTCGTAGAGATGATACCACGGACCTAGCACCACTCGGAAGAGGACCAATCAGACTACCCGTGCAGCCTCAACACACTAACGGTTCGCCTCTGTGGAAGCCTCCCGCCTATGAATTTGAGGAGAGTAGGGCGATACCCAGCGTCGTAAAGCCACGCTCCGCTCCGGAAACCTTAGCAAGCCCTGAGGTGAGACCTACCACGGGCGGCAAGTGCTTAAAATCTTTCTACGAGATCATGATCGGACGGAACCTGGAAGCAGGTAACAAGGAATCAAATGTCGAAGACGAGGACGTGTCTTATCCTGAGGAGGAAGAGGATACCGATCCCTACCAAGGTTTTGAGGCTGAGGACTACCAGAACTATGGCTTCCAAGTTCAACGTCGTGAGCTTACTACCGAGGATGCACAGATGGGCTTTCCGATTGAGAACCAGGAGTGGTTTTCATGTGGACAAATCTTCAGAAACTACGGGGAGGCAAAAGCTGCCGCTACGGCGGAGCTTCTCACGATCATGCCAGGCGGCGCATTCTATGGCGATCCTGGTCATGCGCCGGTTTTTCAATACGCGTATGTCGACTCAAATCGCCTGGAGCGGTTGATGTTCTGCACTCTTGTCAACCCCGTACACGGCACTGTGCAGACGACAGTGGAAAAGATCATACTGGCTCCTAGCGCCCGTATGCCACCTCCAACCCGCGAAGAGTTCCAAGAAGAGTTGAAGGCAAGGGAGTTGTGGTATATCCACCAGCAAATCACCATTGAGCCTCCTCTCCCAGCTGATTTCGATCCTCTGTTTGAAGCTGCGCCAGAGCCAATCACCGAGATCGAGGGCGACAAGATCGCATACACAGACTACGACCTCGCCACGAAGCGAGCCGCGCAGATCTTTGTGGACGCAACTTACAAGTCCGAACTGCAGAGTCTGAATTCACGAAGCCAGGAAAAGCGGGACAAGGTGGAGGGGTATTTGGCTGGAATCCTTGCAGATAAGACCTTTTCAGCTGAGATGGAAATTGTTGAGAAGATGGAGGGAAATGCTGCCATCAGGAACAAGTACATGGTCAAGCTGGGCAGCAAAGTCACTTTGGGTGTATGGCTTGAGAGTGGAGAACTTCGTGGACCATTGAATTGAAAGAGGACATTTACGATGCATCATCTTCAAAAACATCTCTTTGAGGGACGGGAAAATGAAGATTGCTGGGCTTCAACATAGCAAATCGACGACCATCCTAGCCGACAGTGAGCTGTGACGTGACCATGGAAGTGACATGTATTTTGGAGAGTCAGATGTAACTTGAAACAGGTTGGAAAGTACGGCGTCTCTGGCTGTAGCAGGCACGTCGGCAACCATCAATTTCACCGTCCCTTACACGAGATGCATGGACAAACGTTCATCTTTTGATCAATTACCAGGGCAGGACTACTAAACTTTTCAGGTGAGTTGTGGTCATCATTGTGATTTCAAATCGCAACCAAGAGCACGCTACTCCAGATCTACCATAGAACTTCCACCATGGCTCGACATACTCCACAACCTCACGTCCCAAAGCCTCATCTTCGTCAAAGCAGGCAAAGCACTGTCTCATTTTCTCTGACTTGGGCCCCCTCGTCCACTCCAACCTCCTACACAACCACTTCTCCACTCCCATTCCCCTTCCTAAAAGATTGACCCTCCCAAGTGACATTCCCCGCAACTTTCTCATTCACACGCAGGATCATCAATTCCTTTGCCCAACCCTGGGAGCTCCCCCAAATCTTCCCCGCGCTCTCGGCTGTATAATGTTCACCACGACCGAGAAGCCATCCCTGGATTTCTGGGAGTAAGGTTGCATCACCAACGCCAATTTCTTCAACCCGTGTTTCTCATGGAAAGTACACGAAGAGGAATGATTTTCACTCACGCCGACTTTGTCTACAGAGCCCGCTCTGTCGCTCCTTTTTCACCAAAGCCCTCTGCGAAGAAAACTAATCCCCAGAGGTATTGCAGAAGTCCTTGCTCTCCTCGCTTGGACGTATCTCTGGGAGGAAGGAGACCGTATCTCGCCACCTACAGAGCCATTCGTCAAGTAACGGAAAGACATGGCAGGAGGAAAGGCGTCATCGCGTCAAACGGCATTAAGAGAAGACATTCATCCTAAGTCCCCGAAGTCCGCCCAGGGAACTTCAAGTCTCCAGAATACGCTGTCGATGTAGCCGCGGGTTAAAACGTACTAGAGACCTCTCTGTAGGGTCGCCGTAACACCTTTCCTTGCGTCTCTGGAATTGGAGCATGCTTCGGTACAGCAGCGCCTCTGGCAGAAGGATTCGTCATGGTGCGAAAGCCAGGGGAAGATCATGCTCATGCGCCGGAAGACATGTTCGATATCGGAGCGGGAATACTTTGTGCCAACATGCCAGACAGCAGAACCGTAACCTTTCCAGAAGTGGTTTTCTGATGCCTGATTGTGTGATGTCTTCTACAATGAGCGAAATTGGAATATCTGAGAGAAACACGTCTCGAATGAAGTCCAATACATCCTTGTCATTCTTACCCCAACCCTAGCACTAAAATTTGCATGGATCATCCGAAGAGATGACAGACTTCACCTGCATCTTGATGTCATATCCAACTCCCGTTCCGCCTTGGAATCATATTTCAGAGTAACGACATCAACTGATAAGCCGCTCTTGGCTGCAGATACGCCAGCGTCGTGGAGATGGGGCGATACGCGGTCAAGACATTGTGTCGCGATTATTAGCTGGTAACCACCTTTGGAGATCTATGTCCAATTCACGTCAGTAGGTGTAAGCAACAGGCACAAGCGAATCCAGAAGACTTCGCCATGAGATGGATATGGCCAGGGCGGGAATGATGGCGGTCGAGCAAGTCGTTTCCAGCCAGCCCATCACTGGGCACCTAAAATCCGATCAGTCGGCCTTCAGAGAGAGCCGAAAAGAAACATCATACCGGATATGGCGTCTGTCGAAAGTAGTATAAGACATGTTGGCCTCTAATATTCGTCCGAAACTTGCCTCTTTGATTGAACTCTGGCTGCAGCCGATCCTGTTGGTCGCAGAAGCCTGACGGACTCAATGTCTCAGCTGCACGGCCGTCGTATAGTTGAGCCTCGAGAGGAATTACCGTTATTGGATGCTTCCCAGATATCGACCATGGCTCCCAACAAGAGCGTACCGATCCTAGCATCTCTGTATGTCCTTTGTGGTTCAACTGAAGGCGAGAGTGGCTGAGTATCAAAATTCTTTCATGATCATACAAAAATATCTCATTTCCACGTGGTGGCTCCAAGGGGTATCTAAAACAGCACTCCGCCTCGTGGCATTATCATTACTCATATCCTCCCCACATCTCACGAATCACTACCAGAGGATATGTCACTGACAGCCTTCCGTACTTCCTCGTCGGCAACATTCTGCCAGCGCTCTCTCTGCTCCTTGCCTGCAAGTGCGCTCGCGTCCTGTACTAGATCGTACAACTTCCGGGATACATTCTTATTGATGTCAGTGTATTGGTCCTTGGTGATTTCTTTATCTCGATAGCGTGTTCCAAGCGCAAGTTTAACCATCCGCTGTAGTTCTTCCTTTGCAGAATATGAAAGGGATCGCGAGGGGGAGTTTGATGATGCACGGTCTTCGCGGCAATTGGGTTGTTGAGCTAGACGACGCCGTCGACCTCGGCTGAGGAGGCCGTCTGGTTCGTAGTCCTCCCGAGTCTCGGCAGGTGAGAAGGGAGAGAACGTTGCCGCTATGGGAGATGTGAAAGGCAAAATCGTCGAGGAAAGAGGAGGCGAGAGAGGACGCTGCGGMGGTGGTGTAGCGTGAGGACTGCCGCATTCCGATGAAGAAGGCGAACGCGCGGGTGACGAATTTCGAGGAGAGAGCGCGCCGGCGTGGAAATGTTCAGATGTAGCTGGGGATGTGGCGGAAGTCTCTCGCCCTTCCACCTCGCGCAACAAGGACGAGAGAAAGGTGGGCTCCTTCCGTGCAGCGGCAGCAACAGAAGATTCTGGCTGGCCAGGAGCAGCAGGCGGACGACGCAGACGCGGCTTCTTCAGCTGAGGCTGCTCGGTCGATTCAACCCCATTGTTTGACGTGGGCGAAGCCGTAGCTCTGCGTTTGCGACGTCGCACAGTCAGAGGAGCCTCACTGGACTCCCGCGCTCTGTCGAAAGCGTTCCACGCGCTCAGTTCCTCCTGTGACTCGGGGACTGGTGGCAATGCTTCCGGCGTGATGTGGCCCTGTGCGATGTTGCGAAGGCGGTGTGTGGCTCCGGAATGGTTGCTGGCGAGCTCAAACCGGCGCTGCCAGCGTTGAAATTCGCGCCGTTGCTCCTCRGTACGCTCGTCAACAGCAGCAGTGGTGGCCTCGTCGAAGGCATGTTCCAGGTCCGCGTCGAGCCGGCGTGTGACCTGTTGCCACACGCGTGCCCAGTTAGCGTCATTCGGACGACGACGGCGGCGTTGGGCGGGTCCTCGAGCACTCGGACGAGCGCCACCAGGCCGCCGGTTTCGTCTCCGTACAGCGTCAGCCAWGCCTGGCAGCGACGTGTCATTCTCCAAGTCTACCAAACAAGTCTCACAATACCAAACATCAGGGGCATCATCGAAGCCCGCACAGAAGATATGAACCGTCCCGTCGCAGCCGTCGCAGTACATGGCTCCATGACCTTCGTCGTTGGTACCACATATCAAGCATGGCTCCCATGCCTCAATCGCGAACAGCTCGTCATCAACAATCATTCGAGGATCGATTTCCGCTTCTTGCGCCTTGTCACGGACCGGGTAGCTGTCCACGACAGGGCCACCGACTGTGCGGCTGATCTCGACCATGTTGAATGTGGTCCGGCATATTGGACAACTGTTCGCTCGTTCGACCCATGGCTTGAGGCACGAATTGTGTAAGTCGTGCTTGCAAGGGAGTAAATGTGCTATCGCTTCGTCGTCGGTTTGAATGCTACAGTTGCAACACAAGTTAGCGAATAGATCTTTCAACCGACAGGCTCTGCTACAATCGCACACTGGAGGCCTCCAGATGTGTTGCACCGCAAGCATGCAAAGATGCAAAGCTGGGATCGACCTCACCTTCCAAGCTTATTCGGCGAATATCTGCAAGATCTTCAAGCCGTCCAAGGGTGGAGGTCAAGCACCGGCATGGCAGGTCAGACGATTGTGGCTGCGGAGGCCTCCAACGTGATACAAATAGGAGCGTAGAGAACGGGGATGTCGATTCGGGACTCAGGTATGGTACCTTTGTGGATTGAGAGCAGCATCTTGAGCTGTAGCTATTTTCTTGGCGTCGACGCCGTTGCTGGCATCATCGGCATCGGCAGCTACAGCTACAGCTACAGGCGGTGGCGGATCTTCAGGCAACGAGGCCCGGAGGTCACCGAGACATACGATACACGTGTCGGCAAGGTCTGCGGACATGTTGGGAGGTGTAAAGGGCGGTAGATCGAGGTGCAAACATGGGAATGTGAGTCTCGAGCGTTGGAGTGTAGGAAAGAGGTCGTTGGTTGTTGGAGGTCATTAAATAGTCGCGGCAAGCTCGGCGCGGGGACTGTCCGCCCGCCAATCAAAACGCGGGAGACGAGGAACGAGCATGAACGTGATGCAGATTAGTTAGTGGTGTGAGGTCTTCAGATGCGCATAAAAACGGTGGACCTCGTGATAGGATGATAACGTTATTTTGAGTGGACATGTCTTTTCACGGCGATGCCGCCTCTACGGGCTCGTTCGTAGCGCATTCAAAGTGAGTTTGGTTCCTGCTGCGGCGTCCAGCGGTAGATGAGGGTGCCTGATAATAGCAGTGCAGTGTATTGTGTTGAGGACATAGGTGCGGGCACCTCTACAGTACATGGACATCACCCGACGTGGCTCTCGAGATACAAGACGTGCGGCCATGGTCGAGTTCGGTTCTCAAGAATGTTGGTACGGTATATCGACAGCAGCAGCTGTGTGCATCGATTGAGCAGGATTGCGAGACGTTCGAGTTTCATTCGTATAATTCGCTAGCAGCAAACCGGGCTTTTCTGCCTCATATCGCGTGTGGAGAACGCGAGTGAGCCCATTTCAACTCCATAGAAGCCTCCCAAATCCCTCATGCATTCCATCTTAAACTTCAGCAATCTCGCGTAGACGACGGATGGTCGATCGAGTGGCAGCCGCAGCGGGTGTTCTGTGATGAAAGGTCAGTGTGGGTTCCCTCCCCTCGCCTTTCCTCGACATGGGGATTCAACGCACGATACGACGTATGCGCCTCCAGCAATGGTCTTGCCGCACGACTTGCAGTCCCAGATTCCAGTAGCGTTACGCTTGACAGAGACCTTTCCGCAGAAGGTGCATGTGTACCGGGCGTGCTGGGAKATTTCGATCTTCTTGACCTGCTTTCGGAGCGAAGCACCGTAGCTGGAGGAGTCCCAAGTCAGTGAGAGWTCTCTTCGCCAGTCCATTCCATGAAATCCGAGTGCCATCCTCCTCCTCTCCTCCCTCATCAGAGCGACCAAGCAAGCTTGTTCAACCTCTCGCGCCGCCCTGAATCCGTGTCCATTTCGCAGGTGTCGGGGTGAGAGCATACCGTGTGCCGTATTTACCGGTGATTCCGACCTTCTTCGTGCGCTTCGTCATTTTGTCTGATGTGTGTGTTGGACGAAATGTGGAATGACAGTCAATGGAAGCCGACTGGTTGTGCAAGTTTGGAAGTCTGGTGTGCGCGTCTTGGCGGCGGCGTTAGTTCGGGGAGATTACGGCATGGTCGATCTTCACATCCAGCAACAACAGCGACAGCTTCTTGTTCCATCTGAATTATCCAACTCAACCTATTCACACCTGGCGTCCAGCATGTGACTAGCATGGACATAGCAGCGTGAAGGCTGCTTGACGACCTCCATCACTCTCAACGACATCCGCAAACATGGCTCGTTTCCGCATTCCCGTTTTCCGCGTCTTCTACAGTCTGACCTATACGATCCTCTACTTGCTCACTCTTGTTCTCCTCGCGATTACACCCGTGTCGATGATATGGTCGAGCATCGAACAGAGCGCCCTGCAGTATACGTTCATGATCGGCGGCACCTACATCCTCACCATCATCACTGCCATCTTCATCTACAGTTCCCGGCTTTACACCAACCGCTCCGTCCTGGCCGCGGTGGGAAAATCATACGTTCCCATCGAGGATGAAGAAGTCAATCGTGCCGTGCGCAAGATGATTGTGAAACAATTGCAGAGGAGCGCCATTGTGGCGTGGGAGGGTCGGCCGAGAGATCTTCATGGAGAGATCCTGCGTGCCGAACAGGAGGGACTCCTGCCACACGAGGAGGAAGTGAGGGCGAAGYACACTGTTGGAACAGAAGTGAGGGTAGATCCCGACAATCCGCCTTGGGGAGACATCCAACATCCTGGATGGTCTTCGCCCAGTCATCGTAGTGACAACGCAAACCCAGATGTGCAGTTCGCAGACGTGATAGCAGAACTGCCGCATCTCATAGAGGCGAAAGCTGTGTCGCTTGCTCCTTCTGACCCTCTTCTTACGCCCGTCGAAGGAGGACAAGCCTTACCGGCAGATCCCATCGTGGTGGAGCTCCTGCAGCGGCCAGGCAACATGGCAATGCGCGAGTACCTCACTCAGCTTTCATACTTGGGCCTTATAAGACCAGCATCTGCGGGACAGAATTTCCTCGCTCGGTACGAGGGTGCACGTTTCTCAAACGATCCCATCACATCGGAGGAGTTCAACAGTCTAATGACTGCCTTCGCCGATCTGCTCTCAGGCATGACCGCTCTTGATCGCAGAATCGTGGATGAAATCCGTATGCAGAATGGCGGCGAAGAGGACCTACCGAGTCAATACATTGATGTTCCCTCGCGAGTCTCTACTCCCATCAGTCCAGTCACGGCCCGCTCGCGTCCATATCTGCAGCCGATGTCCAGTGAGGAGAGCTTTGCAGGATCTGTACTCCACACAACATCTCCATCACGAGCGGCTGGTCAAGCTCTGCTTTCCAGGAGCGTGACAAGCTTGCCAAGCGACGCGGGAAGCGTCGTCAGGCACGACATAGATGATGACGATGGGTGAAGACTATGCGGACGACGGGTCATATCTTCAATACTGCACTCTTCATGTGCTCCCTGACGAGGACGGATGTCTCTCCTGCCCTCGAAGCCAGCGCCCGGGAGCATGTCTGTCTAGCGAAAGTAGCGAGCAGGATGCAACGTTTCTGTGCGATCTAACACTGCCCTGACCGCTCTCCCAATTGCTCGCCGCAGTCGCAGACGCAATTGACTTGGAAAGCCCTCATTATCATCGGCACGCTAGCAAATTTGCGATGTAGAGCGCCGCTCTGTATCGAGAGTCAAGTGCACGAAGGATCGAAGCACGATTGCCGTGCTCTGATCCGCGGCGTCGTCCACGGTGGAGTTACGCTCGCCCGACACCGACTGAGTTTTCACATGACTTCGGGAGCCACTGGACACGGTCCAAGGTCACAAGAGACTGGCGATCTGGCTGCACCACGGTTCACAGTCTGGCATCGAGTCCTCTCCCTCAGGTGCAATCAGGCAGAACCCCGGCCATTCGCCTTAAACTTACAGAGGGTGTTCCGCCATGCGCATACAGGAAAAACGCTAAAGAAACAGGGAGATTTTCATCCAATATGCGCACTCCATTCTGTCGACAATTGACGCGGATTGGTTCGGACTTCCCGCCCAGCTTCTCGTATGCAAGGCTGGGGCTGTAGGGCAGGACGACGTCGGATCATTGTCGGGATTCTGAATGGTAGCCAAATAGCGTGGTGACTCCAAGAATCAACCATATTTTAGCCGGGGCATCTGGCGTGCGGAGAAGCTACTGTATGGCAGACTGCGGTACAGTAGCTCGAACTTCGAAGTGATCGCCTTGGGCGACAAGAATCACCATCCTCTTACAGGCAGCTGATTCCGACTATAAGCTTTGGGCGTTTTGCTCGATCTACATGCATCATCACACACAAAACGTTGGTTGATAGGTGCATCGATAACGAAACTTTTGCTCCTTGGCTCGATTACTCCTCGTGTTCCCTGTCCTGTTGCCTGTTTCAGGTATTTCGGATTCCGACCACCCCATACTGTTTCTGCACTTCTCGAAACGATTAAGGTGATGTGACGCGAACTGGCCATGATCCCTGCCAGTTTTTCTAGGATGTACTCCAGATCTGCGACAACCAAGATCTCTAGAAACGCTTGACATTCAACGATGTACATGATTTGTAGCATAAAGGGAGATGAATACAATGAAGTCAATCCTTCCGATCTCTTGTTGAACCAAATTGAAACTGTGGCGCTRTAACATGCGCAATCTCTGACAGTTTGGAGCTTCTTGCTCTTCCGCAGAATGGGTTAGTTAGAGTAACTCTCGACATCGATGGCCTGTCTCGGCAGAACGCCTCACATAAAACTTGCGATTGAGATACCATAACTAGTAGTTGGTCTTGGTTGTTGTACGCTAGTTGAGTACATTGCACATATATCGTCATTCCCAACTTCTTCTCTCGATTCCTGTTGATCGTGGAACATAACCGTGCTCCTCCATCCTGTTWGGCATATCACTCCATCTTGAGCGATCAGTCACAACTCCATCTCCTCTTCTGCCCGACGATATACTCCATACTACGCTTGCCAAACAATCATGGTCAGAAACGGAGAGTACACATTGCTCGAAGCTCCAGTAAGCAACGATGCGTCAATCCCAAGCAAAGCAACCCTTCTAACAAATGCTCTCGCAGACTCGAGATCTCACACCCTCCGACTTCAGCAGAAAGTGGCTCTTCCAATTCCACTATGTCACCTCCCGCCTTCCCTCTCCCACAGCCCGATCACTCTACATAATGCCCTTCAAAACCTTCTCCCACATCCTCGACCTGGTCCTCGAATTCGATTACGAAGCCTTCTCTCTTGGTCTTACATCCGAAGACTTCGAGTCCGAGAAGGAGCGAGACAACTTCGCCGCGACCGGCAAGTATCTCAACCCATTCACACCCGCACAACAGCTCCGGGACGCAGTGCTCGAGACGTTGGAGTTCTGCGAGAGTACTCTGGGCTATTTTCCAGATCACACGCGGACGGATCCTAGAAGTACATCAAGGATTATGAGGGAGGAGGAGCAGTTGACCGAGCTTATTGAGAGGATCGAGGAGGCGGGAGRGAAGGGGGTGTGGAGTGCAAGAGGAAGCGCAGGCCAGCAGCGATCTTGGTGGAAACGGACGAGAATATGGTTGAGACGGGCTGGTGTGAAGAGACCTTGTACCTGGTGGAGGAATCGCTGTGGTATGTGGTGTTTATGACAAACATTTGATCATCACTTCTTCTCCTTCGTCTTCGTGTGTTCGTGTGATGTCGACCTCCGGGATCGGTCAGTGCTGTCGAAAGTAGGCCCATTTACCTTTCATACCATAAGACAACCCATGCTTTAACCTGATATGTCTTCGTTGCTCACGCAGAGTCATTTCTGGGCGGCTTCAGAGCGTCCTCGCCATAAAACATTCATCTCTTCATGGCGGAGACACTTCGAATGCGTTGTTGCCCCCGCGGGAAGCCGTGGTACTCGGAGATACTTCGCGTCGCTGCTCCAAGTTGGCCTCGTGGCTCGATCTGTGCCAGTCCACCGCTGCGCCGTTGGCCGTGCGGAAAGAGTGACATTTTGTCTGGCGGACAACACAACATGGGTGCAGGAGAAAGGCAAAGACCATCGGAACTGCTTCTTTGAAAAAATTCCTTCTTTGAAAAAAATTCTCACGAAGCTGCTCAACAACGTCATTCGCACATGTAGACAGCCGTATCTTGCATGCCGCGTAGAGTACTGTCCACAGACCGGCGTTTTGTCAAATCGTTCCGTCGTCCGAATCTCTCGCAGCGTCAAACTTGAATACACAGGCCGAGGGTGTGCCGTGAATGGTTCATCCCGGAGAAGCTAGAGACTCTCGGATACTCTGGTGCAACGCTGCGCAAGCTAGACGCATGATACTGCTTTGCTCTCGTGAGACGCCGTCGTCCGCGAACTTCTGATATATCTTCCTGGGCTCATGTCTGGCGCATCGAGYCTCGATCTCAACGACGCATCCGCGTTTGTTATATGCATCCGCAGCCATTTTGATGATGGGGCTTATCCAGGACGAGGCCTCCTCATCTCGTGTAGACTGAATCTGTTCCTCCATCGGTTGGAGCATCTGCAGCTCTATGAACAAGTCACGGAGACCTGTGGTTTCGTTGGCAAAAAAGGTCCATAGATTCTGCCAGTCTCGAGTTGCTCTTGTGTTGGTAGCGGGATGCCGTGGGATTCGCATGTGTAAATGAAGACTCCGAAGATCAGATAGACGTTGCGGTGGCAGCATGATCTTCAAGAATGTAAAAGCGGCGAAGTTCTGCGTGAACTCAAAAGTATTGGCACTGTACAAGATGGGGCATGCCTCCGAGTAAACCTTTCGGCAGCTCACCAACAATGGCAGTAGCCCAGTTGCTTGAGTTGAAGTCTCCAGGGGAGCCGACGATGGACAGACTGTAGCGTACCCTGAGCAGATGTGATGACTGCCTTGCTCTCGGAATCTTGCGGGCGATTGACACACATGATGGAGGATGCGGCTTCTTGAACTTTGTGCCGAGAGATGCAGCACCATACCTCMCAGTACCATCTCATAAATGATCACGCGAATGTCATATGGAAGCTTGGAGAACAAGAGACTATCTAGCTGATCGTCGGTGCGTTGTTCGGTGCCTAAAGTCGAAAGAATGTTCATCCTGTACCAAAGGGAAAGCTGAGACGGTTCCAGTGGACTTGTAAGAGCTCTTGGCCTCCGGGGCGGTGCTGTATTCAGATATGCWCCAAAAGGTAGTCCTAGATATGGCTCCACCAGCCAATTGGCCCATAGTTGCGATGGACTCAGAAAGGGCAAGGTCTTCAGGGCCAAGTCGCCCCAGTACGCTTGAACAGATGACATGTCAGCCCGAAACTCCTTGATGTGAACAGAGTAGCTCTTACCTGGATCTGTCATTCTGGACGATAGGAGACGCTGAGTTGCAGCAGCTTCAGTAGCAGGCAGCAGAACGCGGATCAAGTGACGAATACGAAGTTTGTGTCAGCCCTGTGCGATCCTTACCCATGTCTCTTGCGATTCTCGTAGACTGCGTCGAGCGATGGTGGTATGAGGCATGGAAAGCTCATCATCGTCCCAAAACACCAGCGAATGGCGACGAGGTGACGGCTAGCTTTCGAATAAATTAATCGAGATGTCGTGATTACATGGAGGTGCACTAGCACATGCACGTCAATGGCAAGGCGGCAAGGAGTCGGACGGGAACCAGGAACATCTCAACAACAAACATTCATCGATCGTACAAATTCGGTTGCACAGTTGGGCAGGAAGGGAAAGCACGTTCTAGCCAGAGATTACCATTTGCGACCGTAAGGTAGTATCCGAAACGCGTCGCCGAAGTTCTTCCCACGACCTTTACACGCGAATATGATCGCCGCCCTGTTCACTGCACGATGGTCCATGATGACAAAACTCGGATTTCCCGGCTATATTTGTTCCCTTGCTTCCCGAGACTCGCATACGGGTGCTCGACATTCACGACGTTATTGCCATTCGCCTCATGCTGAGATGCCGTGCTTCTTGTGGATGTCGATGACTTTCTGAACCTCATCGTAGCTGCCCAAGAAGATTCCGCTCCGGTCGTGAATGTGTTCCGGGACAACGTTGACCATACGACGCATCTTGCTGTCGACTGCCTGACCGCCAGCTGTTGATTGGGTTAGCAACATCCCGCATTGCAAATTTCAGACGACCTACCATTCTCAAATACCATGGCCATGGGACCACACTCGTACAAGATTCGAAGCTTGCCCTTGGGAGACTTCTTGTCGGCTGGGTAGGCAAAGATGCCTCCGTACAACAGCGTTCGGTACGCATCTGCAACCATGGAGCCGATGTATCGTGCCGAGTATGGCTTCTCTGCCTGCTTCAAGCCCTCCACCCACTCCTTTACTGGCTCGTCCCAGTACTTGCTGTTACCCTCGTTGCAGCTGTAAATGGCACGCTTCTTGGGCATTTGCATGTTCGGGTGAGTCAAGATGAACTCGCCAAGAGCATTGTCCATGGTGAAGCCATTGACAGGCCCACCTTGCATGGTCAGGACGAGCTGGGCAGAGGCTCCATACATGGTGAAGCCAGCTGCCACCAAGTCGCTGCCGGGACGAAGGAGATCCTCTTTTGTGCCCTTGGACCCCTCTGCAAGACGATAGATACCAAAAATGGTACCGACCGAGACACCGGCGTCCAGGTTGCTGCTGCCATCGATGGGATCACAAGCCACGGCGTATCGAGCGTGCGGGCTGTCCTCGAACACAATAGCCTCTTCCTCCTCCTCTGACACGAGAACGCGGACACGGCCGCTCGATCGCATCGCGGCGATGAAGATGTCATTGCCGATCACATCAAGCTTCTTCTGATCATCCCCGGTGATGTTKGAAGAGCCGGCCAAGCCAGAAAGGTTGATCAATGATGCTCGGCGGATGTAGTAAGCAATTGACTTGAAGGAGAACTGCAGCGCGTGGCATAGTAGTCTGCGAGGGTTTGATCAGTCAAGGTCGCCCGTTGATTGGGGACTGCATACGTGAAGTCACCCGTGGCCTCCTTGTGCTTCACCTGCTCCTCACTCAGGTGTCTCGAGAGCGTGACAATCTCGGTGTTGATCTTCTCGGTGCCCGCCGGGCCTCCTTGACCAAAGTTGTTGTTGGACATTGCGTAAAGTACCTTTGCTTGAGGCGTGTGCAGGAGAGGAGATTGAAAGGGTAGACGAGCAGAGTGCTCGGCTTAGTCGTGAATGATATCAGAGGTGGAGCAGTGGAGGAAAAACAGCTTTCAATGCTGGAGGTACGTGTGTTTCTTGGTTGTTGCTTTGACAGAGGGAGGTAGTTTGGAGGAGCGACGATGATTATCAGACTCTAGGATAAAGCGTCTGCCTCTAGAACCCACTGCTTCTTACCAAATGCCGCGGTTACGTTGCGTGTCTAACTCCAAAGCGAGATGAACGGCACGCTTCAACAAAGACGACCGCGGGGCAGACCGTCACGAGGTGGGGCAGCTTGGGGCCGAAAACACCCGCACGTGAATGGATCCCCGGATCATTCTCGTCGTATTAACCGGAGAGAGGGAGGGAGAGGGATCCCTACATATCTGGTCACTTTCATCCCGTATCGTCGGCAAGCACCACTAATAATTGCCTCAGCACCCGGGATGTATCATCACTCCCGTGTCAAACGCTTGAATAGCGCGACCCTACCCAATCGCAGAGATATATTGATGGCAAACGGGACATGACCCTCGGTCATACTTGTAGGACCGCAGAAGTTTGCTAGAAACCAGTGAATTCACTTTGGGAGGTGATTACCGTGGTACCTGGGCCCAGAAACCAGCGATCTTCACGTGCTGTCTTCATGATCCGTCGTTGAACGTCGTAAGTCGCATGGGACTCGTCGACGTCAATGGCGGCTTTCTTCACTCTCCTCCGAGAGCCGATGAACTGAAGGGCTGCACGTAGATCTGCTTTTCAAAAGATGTCGTTCTTTCCCCAGTAGCGACAACACGGCGAAGAAGAGATAGATTCGGCGATATACTTATCCCGCAATGTCCCTCATTTTCGTGTTCGTAGCTACCTGTCCGCGAGCTTGATCGTCCATTCACCACGCGGAGAGCCAACAAACTCCAAGCTTCCCATTGCCTCCTTCCCTTCATCCATCATCGGGAACTTTCAGGCCATGCACCTTGACCTCCAGAGAAAGGCACAGCCAAGCAGGATCGCTGTCACTCCAAACCTCGAACCCTAGCTTCGCCCAATGTCTGATCAGCTTCTCTTCTGCCTCAAACGGATCGAATGGAGAGCTATCGGTCGAGCCTGGTTGCAGAAGCGCCAGCGCCTTTGAAGAACACGGGAGAAGTCTTAGAGCATTCTGCACAGCAACTAAACTTGTTCCTTTCCCCCTGCTTTCTCTGCACARCCACACCTCCTCCACGAAGACAATTGTCTGAGCCGTAGCCACCTGTACGTCCCTCCCCTCTAAGAAACTTTCATTTTCAAGAAAGTTTTCAACCTTGTTCATTTGAGCTCCAAGATGTATTTCATCGTAGGCCTGGCTTTCCTGCATCATTTGGCTGGGACCGATGATTTGCATAGCCCCCTTGTCCAGTGTGTGTAGATGAATGTGGCCCACTCTAAGCTGATCTCTAATGTGCCTGATGACTGCTGAGGATGTCTTGATGTTTGGATGGTATGCTGAACAACTGTCGTCTTCGCAGTCTACGCGGTGAAGCTCAATGACGATGTCGTCCAGTGGTAACTCGCCTGGGAGTGAAGCCTCCCTCTCGTCCACCATGATGTACCGGGAGCGATTGCGAATCGAATGAAGTTTGTGGACCGTGGCACGCAGCTTTGTAAGATCTCGTCAGGAAGCAATGATTGTCGGCTCGGGTTTGAGAGAAGGACGTCCGAATGAGCGTTCGACGGGGTGAGAGTCAAGAGGCTCGAGGGTTCGGTGTAGTGGAAGGTTGTCGCCCTACCTGCAGCAGTCAAAGTGATCGTCTTTTGCCATCTCGATCAAGCAAACACTATTCGCAAAAGACTTTGACTCTCCGCAATGACTTTGGTTTTGGTGCTTGTGACTTCCTGTTCGTCAGCGTAGTCATCGATGCACTACCACAAGAGCGCCCAGGCTTCAATTTTGACGTCCCTTGGCATACAAAAACGCCGCAAATGAAATCAGCTGAGCATTCTCCTGGACCAGGCCAGTTTTCTTCAGTGCCCATGATCCATCGAGCCGGCAGAAGTGCTGCTTATCGCGAGAGCCCCTTGCAGTCTGGGGAGAGCAAAAGCTCTTAAGTGAAGAAGGCTTGGAGTACAGAATGGGTCTTCCGTCCATGTCACAGTATGCATTGCTGTCGATCAAGGGATGCCCGGCCGTTGCACACACAGGTCCATATAGACACCGCGCATCATCCATGTTCAAGTAGTATATGGAGTGCTAGGTGCAGACATGTCTTCAACAGTCTATACGCCGTTTGGACAATGGCCCGTGCCGCGCAACCCCTGGAGTGAATCCATGCATTGGTTGAATGCCACCGAAGTCGCATGCGTTGTGCATCGCAAACAAGCGATCCGCAAGGATGCAGGCATGCCCTCATGCTCTCATGCATGGACTCGGAGAAGCATGTGGGATATTCGCCACTCGCAGGCAATAGCAAATGGCGAGACAACTCCGGATGCTCCGAGCCCCGGCAGTGTGGCGAATCTGTCTCGCAGGTCTATCCATATCTTTCTGAGGCCCGTCAACTACATTCCACAAGCCCTGCTCCGTGTTTCGTTGGGCGGCTAGGATCACTCCCGCACGGGTAGCCAGATGCTAGGGCACAACCCGCACGATCCATCAGCGCGCTCACGATGCCGGTCAACCAAAGAGGGTCATGTGCAGCCGAGCTCTCCGACAATCGACGGGGGGAGAGAGCTCCGACGACGTTACTCGCTGACATCTCGGGGTTGCTGAGCTGAGCTATTTTACCAAGCGCCTTATGCTGTCGTGGTTGTATTTGGGTGTCGGTCTCGGCAGACTTCTTTCTTTGGACAGCGGTACTCAGCATCCATCATGCCGCCTTACCCTAGGCAAGTGAGACTGCTTCAAGCGTCGATCACGACTTGAACTGCCTCTAATCGCYCGATGCTCGTGAGATGCTCCCAACTCTGATCATCCGTCTCACCGAGCTCAAGTATGGAACAACATCTGGATCAATTTCCCGTCGACGAGCCCACGAACAATGTGAACCGTGAACAGGTGCGTCAGCCTGTTACCGCATGGTGATACCAGAAATCTGACAAGATACATCTAGAATGGTACCCGGAAATTCTCACCAGGCTCGCCTGCTGGTAGCGAACAGGGCAAGAAAATAATCGATGTTGCCTGCTGGCCCTGTCGTAAGAGGAAAGGAAAGGCAATGCCACCATACCCATCATAGAGTGGAACATCTGCTGAATCAAATCGTGCAGTGCGGCGGTGAAAGGCCATGCTGTTCGTCCTGTCTTCGGCGAGGGGTTGACTGCGCCTACGAATTTGACGAAGGCCGCAGCAGGGTAGCCTCACTGAAAGCCAAATTAGACGAATACACGACCCGGACAGGAAACCTTGAGTTCTTGTTCGAACAGTTGCAATCGCGCACGGACGAGGAATCTTCTTTGCTGCTGGCACTYATCCGTCTCAAGGCAGACGTGGACAAGATTGTCACCCAACTGAAAGAAGCGCCCGAGGTCCTCTTCGCCAATGCCGAAGAAGGAAATCAGGTGGACCTTCTCGTTTTGATGCTGAAATGACACATTGATGAGTCCGATGCTTCGAGAGTGAGAGCAGTGCGAGGGACAAAATTGTCGTGATCGAGTTGTGGTGGAGCTCATCCGAATACAACGGGTTGTTGATGATCTTTTGAAAAGAAGTCTTGGTGGTTTGTGGCAGAAGTGTTGGCTCTAGACATCAAGAATTGCCCCCTGAAGAATGACGTTAGCCAAAAGGAGTCAAGTGCTGGAATGAGTGAACTGACCTACTCACCTGCGCGACGTCGATCATAAATCTGTCCTTCCGTCAATGAATGGTAGTGTGACATGCGAATTTGGACCAGATTGACGTAATATCAGTATCAAATTAAGCTCGAATATAGGTACTCCGGCCCGAAAATTTAGTTGTCTGACTGCAAGACTTGTGACGCAGCTGATGGACATGGAGCAGTCAGCATGCGAACAATGCTGCTTTGCAACACATTCTTCCCAGTGCATAGTCCACCACCTACACCTGCTCCATTTGTCGGTAGTTAGTCGTTGTAGGCACCTTGTCCCCACAGGGCCCGTACAGCAAGTTACCACGATCAATCAATACGTGAATGGTTGTAACTTAGCTGTCGCTCTAGCCCCAATAGATTCGCTTAAAAGATCGCCAAACTGCGCTCGAATATTCCTTGGCGGCTGCGAGACACGGTCTGGCCTTGGAAATTGTGGGAATAGTGGTGACACAAAAAATTCTGAACTCCAACTGATAGGTCAGGAGTTGCTCCGCGCCTATGTATTTGAGGTGAGTGGAGCTGCGCAGGTCATGCGTGGGGGAAGGTTCTGACTGACAAGCCTCAAATCGGTGTGCTGCACCATCAGCTAAGCTTCGTTCATCAGTTCTTTCAATGAGAATGTCCAAATTGTGTCAAAAGTGGTAGGAGCATCCCTCCCGCTGTCACCAGCGTGTCCACTATTGCTGGAATGTGCGATTGCGACGGGTTGGGCATATGTGGAGTGTAAGCATCGTCCCTTGGAGAGCCCGCGTACTCCATGTCATGCGTTTGGTCGTGCAAACCCCCCTCCTGTACCGCGTGCATCGCAACATAGAGGAAAGTCCCGCCGGAGAAGAGCAAGACACAACCGACAGCAAACTCTGCACTGGCACTGCCACCAGGGGACACCATCGAAAAAAGACCAAGTTTGATSGCAGACCAAGCGAGAAGTGCGCCAATGGGGGCTGCAAGCGAGAAGATCACCAAGTGCGTTCTAGCCTCTCGAGTCGACAAGCCCTGCTTGAGGAGCACAGATGTGAGGCCGAAAGCCGCGGGCGCCCTGCATAATCGTTAGCGCCAAGGTGCAAAAGTTCGGTCCAATCACCAGTTGTCGGGAATGGGAGCCAAGATATGAGGGCGACATGCTTATGTATGAGCAGGGCAATGAATATCACAAAGCTGAGGTCACTGCTTGTTGTTGATGAAGCACCCAATGCGATTCCATCGGCAGTAGCATGAATCACCAAGCCCATTGTTGTCGAGCTCGGCCCAGGATTGAGTCTGTACGGGGTCGTTGATACTACATCATCCCGTGGAGTCGTTGTTTCCTCCGTCGGTGTGGAACGTGAGTTGTTGATGCTGAATTGATTCAGACTGATTGGGAAACTCTGGGGCTGTGAGTGTTTGCTGGCGTGGCGTGGTACTTTGTCGATCAAAAACATCAACAAGAACCCAAAGCCGAGTGAAACGCCAATCCACGCGTGCGGCTCACGCTCTGCAGCCGTCCGAGATCCCGCACCACTCTCGTTCTCTGCCGGGGTCGTGGTGAGAGCAGGATTCGAGTGCAGAGGGTTGAACCCATCGTCTGGGCCCGATTGCAGCCCAGCACTCAGATCACTTGGATCCTCCGATGTGGCGAATCGTTTCCAGTGATCGTGATGCTGTGCCTCCGGGGACGTGTTCCACGGGACAAGGCTCCTTCGCGAGACAGGCAAGCTTCGCTCATCATGACCATGGCCATGCGATGACGTGCTTGCTTTGTAGAGCGTGTCCACGCCTTCTGGGATGATGACAATCAAAGAAGTGCCCACCAAGACGCCAGTTCCCAGCGCTGTGATCAAGCGCAAATTCCTTGGAGAGAGAGAGAAAGAGAGCGGAAGCAGGCCGGCAAGAAACGAGCTAMATCAGTCAGATCAAGGTCTATTCGTCCGTATACCAGATGCATCTTACGCGCCGCCCATAACAGTGCTCAGCAAGAGCAACGTCCAGAAGCCGTCCATTGTCCGTGGTTGTCCTGGGTCCTTGGCGATGTGGCGAATTCTTGTGCTTCGAACTGTTGTCACACCATATTCTTTCAATTTTTGGACATCATGAGCGTTGCGTCGGCTCGTCGAAAATCATTGTCCAGTTGGTGCCGTCGCTGTCGTCGGGGCCCCTTCTTTGAGGTTCGATGGTGCATCGGCAGTTCCCGCGAAGCGCGCGCGTCTTCCAGGTTTCTTCGCGTAATTGCGACACGCGACTACCTTACTCTCTAGCATCTTCAACCTCCAGCATCTGCAGGTCATTACACTCATCACTACACCACCCAACACTCGCAACCTCATCTCTGCAACACCGCCAACATGAGCATCGCTATTGATGACGATGAAGAGCTCACGCGCGCGATCGAAGAGCAGGTCAATGAGTGGTCGAGCAACAGCAACGAGTGCTTCACTGTACAGCTTGTGCGTGGCGATGGCTCGGTCAGCGTGTCTGCACATCCAGAATTCACATATGCCCTCTTTGGCGACGAGGAGGCTATATTTGGCTACCAGGACCTGGACATCACCCTGTCCTTTCGCGCTCATGACCTTCAACCCAAGCTGAATGTCAAGTACGGCAAGAAGTTCGAGGAAACGGGCGATGTACAAGCTTCGGATGTAACACTGGGGCTCTCACAATTCTTACCCGCGTCTGCTTTCGATGGCAAGGCGCTTGGGGATCCCGAACCTGGTTTCAAGCCGCCCGGCGAGAAGATACGAGAGTACACACGTGCGGGATGCACGTTCGAGATCTGGTGTGCAAGTCTAGCAGAGCCGGCTGCAAGGCGAATGCTCGAGAATATGCAAATTCTTGCACCTCTGTACATTGACGGCGGCTCCGTTCTTGAGCTTGAGCAGGATTGGACAACGGAGCGGTGGAAGCTGTTCCTCACCTACGAGGTTGATCACAATGCGGGCTCGAAGATCTCGCCATACTCCCTGGCCGGCTATGGAACCTCATACCGTTCTTTCACCTTTCCGGACCGCCAGAGCGACGAGCAGTCAGACATTTTCTCCCCCAGCTCACAGTCTGTCGATGACTTCCTTCCCGCCGCTAACGGTGAGCCCAATCAACTGGGAGAGCTGGCGGACTTCAAGTCTCCTCTTGATCTCCCAAGTCGTGAGCGCCTGTCTCAGTTTCTGATTTTACCGCCTTATCAGGCTGCAGGGCATGGCCAGGAGCTCTACACTGCCATGTACAAACATCTCACATCACCGAAGAATGTTCGGGAATTCACCGTCGAGGATCCCAACGATGCCTTTGATGATCTGCGCGATCGTTGTGATCTCCTGTATCTCCGCGCGAATGTTCCCGAGTTTGCGAATCTGAGGATCAACACAGACGTTCCGACGGAAAATCTGGGCAGCGACTCACTTATCCCGGTCGATCAAATTGTTCCATTGGAAGTCCGCAAGCGCATAAGCAGAGACACCAAGATCATGCCACGTCAGTTTGATAGATTGGTGGAAATGCATACGCTGTCGTTCATTCCACAAGCAAATCGATCGCGTAGCAGAATTACAAAGAGAGAACAGACGAGCAACCCACACGACAAGGCATATTTCTTCTGGCGATTGTATGTGAAGCAGCGTCTTTACGTCTTCAATCGTGATCAGCTTGCCCAGGTGGAGCATGCGGAGAGAGTCGAAAAGCTGGAAGCTGCGCTCGATAGCGTGTTGGAGAAGTACGACGAGCTCATGGAGGTTGTCGWGGCACGAGAGAAGATGAAGGAGGACGAGGAAGGAAATGAGGAGAGAAGCATGAAGACTTCTAAGCGGAAGCGGAGGATCGTGGAGGAGGAGGATGAAGATGAGGACGGCGAATCAGGTGCCGAACAAGAAATTGATGCACTGAGCTCGAATGGTCGCAAGAAGTCCAGAATATGATGCCTCGTCGGACCTATTCTGTGATTGATTTGAAGCAAGGCGTTGGGGATGGAAAATGATCAATCGTGTTCGAATTCTCTAGCGAGCAACGTTCTAAATGAACGGGCGCAATGGGCGCATGGTGCTCGTTGCGGCTGAAATACCATTGTCTTCAAGTGCAAAGATACCCAACACAAATGTTCCTATTCGTACAAACTCAAATCCAAGACAGTGAGCCACGATTACCCCTTCTTGCTGTCTGCGGCATCTAGGTAACGTATCAGGTCCTCAATCGTCACAGCCTTGAGCCCATAGCGACGTGCAAAAGCCAGGCACCCGTCTCTTCGCATCATTCCAAAGTCACCGGCCAACTCGGCCTTGCCCTCGACTACATCGCCGTCCGAGACCATCTCCGCAATCACAGCAACTGGCTCCTTGCCCGCCAACAAGCAAAAGTCCACGCCGGCTTCTGTATGTCCTGGTCGCACTCTCACACCTCCCTCTCGTGCCTGCAATGGCACAACGTGCCCCGGCCGTCTGAAGGTATCCTTCTGAACTTGCGGATCTGCCAATTTCCGACAAGTCAGGCTGCGGTCGTGTGCACTTATACCGGTGGTTACTCCCTCGGCAGCATCGATCGTGATTGTATAGGCGGTCCGGTTGGGATCGAGGTTGTGGGTGACCATCTGCGGGAGCTCTAATCTCGCCGCGAGAGACGGCAGAATGGGCGCACAAATGTACCCTGAGGAGTATCGGATTAAAAACGCAGCTTTCTCGGGCGTGAAGTCTTGCGCTGCGATAATGAGGTCGCCTTCATTCTCGCGGTCAGTGGAGTCCATGACCTGTGAATGGATGTCAGCTTGGGGAGTGAATCCTCGGCGATGCTGTGCGTTGTGTTGTACACACCAGGATGAAGTCGCCATTCTTGAAAGCCTCGACAGCAGAGCTTATGGTGTCGAAAGTGACATCGCCATTCGTGGTCGCCATTATTGTTACTACTGTTCGTCTTGTGTTGACGAGCAGCGAGTGACTGTGACTGTTTCCAGGAAAGATGCCAAAGCTTCCAGGATCAAAGCTCGAATTGGTACTTTTCTGCAGGACAGGTGATGGAACGGGCAATTTGACAGTCCAGATCTGTATGGCGATGTAACAGCAGTGACCTATGAATGTTGTCACGCAAGCTGCCGTTACCGCGTTGGAGATGACGGGTTAACTGTCAATTCTTCGCTAGGTGGGCTGTGGGGCATTGACCGAGGGGTGCTTCTTTTGCCGAATTCGCTTGAACCGCACTTCACTTCCTTCAACACGTCTACATCACATCAACCGCCTTCGACCATTTCACAGCCGTGCTACTTTTAGTTGAGCCTCTGATGGAATGCCGCACGTCGAAACATCTCATTGCACTTCAGGAGCAGTCACATATGTCTCACAGCAAGGWTCCATTCCGCATTACACCCGTGGACGGTGGTGTGGCCTGCCGAGACTCCGAGCCCAGCAGCCGGCTTCGACCGGGGTGTGATTACCGGCTCATGTGAGATATCCGAGATCGGAGGCACCGATGCCCGTAGAGATCATTTGGAACCGGCCCGAAGGATTTGTAGTTATGCAATGTGAATGAGGCGACGGGAATAGTGTCAACCTCACAGAATGTGCGACGGCAAGCTTCCACATCCGGACTGTTGACAAGCGCCTGTTTCCGCTCATCGCCCCTGGCAATACCAGAACACTTCCGGTTTCCTTCTCGATTGATGATGGCCATACCCTCAGTTACCATTCCAATGACACATCGGTGTTAGGTAGTTCTCAAGATCGGGGGGCAGACCACACAAAGGAAACAAGGCAGAGTCGCAAAGGAGTCCACATCCATTGTCGGGGGGCTCTTTGAGGCTAAAGTCGGATGTTTGAACCCTGGCACGAGACACAAGGGTGCTTCGAGAAGCACTTTACCAGGTTCCAAGGTCTGCACGCAGCCGAGAGATGGAGCTACTGTACAGCATGCCGGCCTGAGGTGCATGAAGATCCTGCGCACTGTAATGGACCTGCATTCACCATCAGCACGGAACATGGCGATCGCAKCGTTTCGCCTCTGCTTCCGCTGCCATGCCATTCATGGTAGTTTTCTTGTACAGGACTTGTCAAGTCTTATCCCGCATTGACACGCAAGGTGAAGTTGAGTGGATACAAAGCCCCCAGGGGCAATCCAAATGGCTCAAATGAAGGGTCACCTACGTATTGGCGAAGAAAAGGCAGCACTGATACATACGATGCACTTACACTCCCTCATCCACCATGACACTTGCTGGATAGATGAAGCCGAGAGTTGGTCCTTTGCCTGCATGAGCGGCTAATGGCTATTGATCCACTTTGTCTAGATTGAAGGAGTCATCGCACAAGGCTTCCAGTTTCCGCGCTTTCTGAGGCGAGTCGACGAATAGTTCGTCGTTGCAAGGGGCACTACTACGGCTGCAATTTGCTATTTCGGATCATTCGTCGGATTCCTCTTCTGGTTTCTGCCGGCTGAAACCTGGCGGGGATCTTGCAGGGTTTCCCGGGCTGTCAGCAATCCCTTCAACCGGTTTCTCGACCTCCCAACTGGGAGCTCAGCAGTTGGAAATGAGTCAACTGTAGGCAGCCACATAACTTCTTGCTTTTCGAGTGGCATCTTGGACGCATAATGGTTGTGAGTGAGACGGAACTRCGCAAGTTCAAGAAATGTCACTTCAATATGACCGAAGATGAGGGAAACTGCGCAGGGTATGTTTCAGTCTCGCTACACATCGGACATACGGCTCGTCATCGTTCAGTGACATCTTGCACGAGGGTGTCATAATGCAAAGACCCGAGAGTGGTTCATGACTCCCTAAGAAATGAATCCGCCCTCCGCGGGGTCTTCTCCCGTCTTCCAGCCGCCTTCTAAGGCCACGCTAGACCTTCGCGCAGCGCTAAAGGGGCACTGCTCATTAGCTCTCCTTGCGAAAAGTCCCAGTTGCAGCCAACATGCCCACATGGTGTCGGATCCGTCGTGCGGTACTGTAATCGCCTACTTCRCGTTAGCAGGGATTATACCACATGGACGAGATCTCGCAGATGAGCGCTCCTCGCCATGCTGTGGGTTCGAATTTGTACAGCGGGGCTAGCTGTCGTAGCAATCACACCAGCGTGTCAAACAGGTTTGCAATCAATGCTGTCTACCAGGGTGCGCTTGAGTCGCGTTCTGGAATAGCACTCGACAAAGCTCATGCCGCCGGTCAGGCATTGCTGGTGTTGCAGATCTAAAGATCAGGCGCATGCTACAACTTCTGTGGCCCATGCCAGATCTACCGCCTGACGATGGGCACCGGGCAGTCTGTTGTTATACGGCTGCTACTGTGCGAGGACGGCACCGCAATCTTAGGGTGGACATCTGTGCACTGCTATATATGAGTCCCTTCCGCATAGACTTTTCGGTTGGGTCACTGCTTCAGTCACGCATTCCTTTGGTTGTTCACGCCATCATCATCGCAACCTTCATTCATTCCAGAGCGTTTCCTACACTGTTTGGATTGCCGAGTGTCTTTTGGCCAGCGAGGTTCGCGTCCTAATATTATCACTTCAAGCAACTTGCATAGAGCAAAGGAGACCGCGGAGCGAGGGATAGAGGGAAAGCTCCAAAGAAGGGAGAGCACAATTCGAGTCAGAGCAGCATCAATCATACGCAATCAGCGGCCTAAGCCATCACCAGGCGGGTCGGTGGCAGCATCTCCTTTTGCAACGAAACGGGCGCTTCTAGGACTTCATCGACAGGCCGCCACGAGAGGAACGTAGCCAAGTGAACGCTTTGCTTGCGTGGAAACATTCGTGGCCAGTGACCAGATTACTCCTAACTAGAGAGTTCGCCAAAACGACGCGTCAAATTGGAAGTCGCAGGGAGGTTTTGAGCTGTTGCAGGGAAAATTGGGAGGCAGAAGCAGAAGAAGTGCGAGGATCGGAGGATTTTATTAGAACGGGCGTGAAACAAGACGCGGAAAGACCCGCTTTTCGATCTGCACCTTCCCCTTGGACCTTGGACTTGAACTGCAAGAACGATCAGTTCATCCATCTCTGCAGCGGCCGACGAGCTCTCCTTTAGTATTCACCATCTACACCACGACGTTTAGATAACATCTGGACGCGTTCGACCCCGCCGACGATTGCAGCACGCCGCATCAGCTCTTCGCCGCCGGTCTACCTACCTCCTAGCGCACAGCGCGCGTCGCACCCCGAGCACAATCYTCATCAACCACATCTACACGACTCGACTCCCTTCGCGCAAAATACACCCGGCACGCCTTCGACGCCTCCAGACGGGCTTCTCAGCTCATCAGCGCCGTCCTGCGGACGCGTGTGACCGTCACCGACCCGGCGAAAAGAAATTTACAGTCAGTCAAACCTTGGGTGCAGAATCAGGCAAGAGGTTGCGGGTTGCGTTGGATGTCTCTTCCGTCGATCGAGTACATTCTGCTCATGCAGCAAAGCAAGCGCCGAGACAGCTTCACTGGCGCGCACATGGACATTAATCATCTTCTTACTAACCGCAAAACCGCAGGCCTAGGACGGAACATGCAAATGCAATACGAGTTGGCTCCACCGCAGATGGCTATGAGCACTGGAAACTACGCTCAGACCCTCTACGTTCCGAACAGCAATAGGATAAAGTCTGAAGGCACCGGCTCGGATCGCGGCGCTTCTCCTCACATTTCCGACCACTCGAGATATTCTTCGCAGACACCGCAAAACGCAGCACCGACTTTCCAGCAAATCGCCGCTCTGTCGAACTTCCCATCCCAGATCCCACATCAGCAGCAGCAGAACGGCATGTCTGTCCTCCAGCATGCATATCAGCCGACACCGGTTCAAGAGCAGTACCATCAGCAACAGCAGCAGCAGCAACAACAGCAGCAGCATTACCAGCCCGCTGGCTCAATGGGCTCCGCACCTCCCGACGAAGGTGGCAGGGCAAGCACTGGTAGCACCGGTTTGCCAAAGGCGTTTGCATGTTCGACTTGTAGCAAAGGGTTCGCCAGGAGGAGTGATCTAGCGCGTCATGGTGCGAACGTCCCCATTCCTACTTGCCATTGTCACGACTAACGCGCAATAACAGAGCGTATCCATAGCGGCGTCCGACCGCACGTTTGCGAACACCCTGGCTGCGGCAAACAGTTCATTCAACGTTCCGCTCTGACGGTTCACTCACGCGTTCACACGGGCGAGAAGCCGCACATGTGCGAGCGATGTGGCAAGGTATACCACTTTCACTTCGTTTCGCCTTTTGTTCACGCTGACCCTCCATGTAGCCCTTCTCCGACTCTAGTTCGCTGGCTCGCCACCGACGCATCCACTCCGGAAAGAGGCCCTACAAGTGCCCGTATGCAGACTGTCAAAAAACCTTCACCCGTCGCACGACACTCACCCGTCACCAAAATCATCACACCGGCACGATCGAGGAGTCTGAGGCTGCCACCGCCGCTGCTCTCGCCTCGCGGGCTTCTGTACACAATCAGCGCTCCAGAGGCTCGGACGAGGAGAACGATTTCTCAGGAGACAACAAGTCCCCCATGCCCCAACAGCCTGATCGACAAGCTTCAGCGTCGCCTGCCACGGGCATGAATGGCGCGCCAATGCAGCAGAGGCAATCGTCCGACTATTATATGAGCGCCATGAACGCGGCCGCGATGGTTCCAGCACACATGCGCAACGGATTGCAGCCGTCTCCACGCCCCCAGTCTCCTGCTCACACACAGTACCCTATGGCGTCAAATGGTTCCCAGGGACGACCATCCCTCACCTCTAACCCTTCGTCTGGCTACAACCCGCCGCACATCCTCGAACCACCTACTGCCAACGGCCAGCAGCAAGGCGCGAGCGGCCACAACAGCCCACACATGAACGCTGCGCTTGGCTGGCAATCTCCACACAATGGTATTGCACCCCCTCAAACCACCGAATACACGTACCCCGCGGACGTCAACAATGGCGGATACACCACTGCCCCCATGTATTACCAGCAAGCCGCGGTGCAGCGGCCGCACAGTACTGGTCCGCTTGATCACTACAACCCGATGCGTGGTCAGGAGATGTGGGCACAGCAGCAGCAATAGGAAGTCACTGCCGAGTCCTCGCAGCCTCCTCACAACACGCACGTGAGCACAAGCTTTGGAATTCACACTCCACGACGAGCTCACATGCCATCATCGGACATTGAAGACATGTCATCTTGAAAGTGGATGGAAAATTTGCATCTCTAGAACTTGCATTTCCTTCACAAAGGCGTTCGGAAAACTGATACCCTGGCTTTGTTTTGTGGATTCGTTCGATGGGCTCCTGCACCGTTCTCTGATTGAGAGCGCGCACTCTCTTCTCTTTTGTTTATTTGTGGCTCTGCATGGCGTTCAAGCGTCTCATGGGTTCCCTCGGGGCGTGGACTCTTTCATGAGCTGTGCGATGAGGTACATAATGAGTGAGAGTTGCGATGAGCATGATAGAATGCACCGCTCTCTACCTCTCCGCCACACGCTGGGAGCACTTCGCTTTGGGAGAAGACCGGCGAGTCTTCATGGGCGCAAGGCGACAAGGCGCAGAGTGGGAGGCGATCCACCAGCGGAAGATGAGCCGGTGTGCTCTCTTCGTCTCCCGTAGGAGTCTTATAATATTAAAGTAATAATGATCGTAATCAGTCAGTTGTCTGCTGCCTCTCGCGTGTAGATCAATCGGTACCTAGTCCCTGCAGATGTCGCACGGACAAATACTAATGCAACGCAAACCTCGAGGCTTGTTTCGTACGTGCACGACCGATCGCCAACCATTCATCCGCAGCTCGGTCTCAGCCTCCCTCACCTACAATCCTCAGCCAAAGCCGTAGTCACGGTGCCCGCAGGTCCTCGTTGCTGTCGCTTCCATACCACAGCAATTGGCGGCATGGTTTGCACAATTCCGAGCTCAGACTTGCGAGCAGACTCGTCCACGTCAGCGACGACTTCATCTTCACCTACCACACATAGGGTTGCCAAACGCGTGATCAGCAAAAGAACAGGACGAAGCAGCAGATTCGCAAACACCAGTGTCAGCGGCGGAGCAATGGCTTTGGACAACCTGGATAACGTGGCGCGGACCGCAAAGGGGCAGAGCGTGGACGGCGGTGGTCGCACTGAGGTGGACGGGACATGTGAAGGCACATTGGCATTTCAACCATGTCCTATCACGGATAAGGATGAAATGCCGTTCAGGCTGATGGACCTCCCCACGGAAATTCGGCTTGTAGGAATTCAATTTGAATACATGTCGGTGCCGATTTGGCTAACTCCTGTTCGCAGGAAATCTATCGAGCATGTCTGACCAGGCCGTATCCCATCTTGCTGTCAAGGCAACCACAGCTGCCYAAGAGTGAAGCAAGACCAGGTCTTGGTTCGTCTGCGGACAATGCTTCCCGGGCACAACATCGTCGTGCTATGAGGGCCACCGCTAGTCATCTACCCGCTCAAACGACTTCCAGCCACATCGCAAATGCGCCTCCGCAGTCTGCGGTGGCTCTTCCAGCCAGAAACACCGCTGCTGGTACTGGCTCGGGGTTCCAACTTCTTGTTACTGCTGTGGGACCGCAGGCTGGCTGGCAGACTGATTTAGGTCGTGATAGGTCTGGTGAGGGAACTGGAGTGCAGCGCAACCAGCGCGGGGATCCACTTCTGACTAGCATCCTCCGTGTCAACAAGGAGGTCTACAAGGAGGCACGTGGTGTGCTTTACAGTGAAAACTACTTCACTCTCGATCTAAACACTGCTCAGAGTACACTCGCATGCTTACATCAGCGCTCACGACGCCAGATTAAGCATATCGAACTGGAAATTCCGAGTTATAACGACATTCTGGAGCGATTCCAGGAGACGGTGCGACTCAGCTTGCGCTATTGCTCAGGTCTGAAGGAGTGTTGTATACATATGCCCTTCATGCTCCCCGGAGCTGATGGCAGTGGAACCAGCGGTAACACGACCGTGTACGCCAACGGTTTCGACATTCTGCGCTGGTTACCACAGGAGTGCAACATCGTCTTGGAGGGCGCCACATGCGTTGAAATCGAACAGGTGGTCAGCAAACATCGTCACCTAGCCAAGACGCTCGACAAGGTAAGCGGCTCGTAACGAGATTCCTCGCTGTCACGTTTCCACTCCTCGCTCAGGCGTTGAGCTCCACTTCACGATTATGCACCATCTCCTAATTTGCTCACCTTACATTTTGCAATGCTTTTACTGCAAAGTGTCATCTGACTAACGTTTACAAGCTGGCGTACGCCCGTCGGCAACTCATCTCCAACGAAACCGGGCAACCCCAAGCTTGAAACTCGGTGTCATCGACGCTCTCATCTAACGGACTCGCTGATTATTGGAGCGGGCACGGAATGGAGCAAAAGGTTTGGTATGCGCTACTCACTATTCTGAGTGACTGCCTCCAAATATTGATCCGGAACAAAATCAGGTCAGCTGAGAAAGGACGGTAATTAATGCGATTTTCACCAATTCTGCTGGAGAAATTGCTTGTCTTCGCTGATCGAAGCTTGGGAAGCTAGGGCTGCACCGATAAGACGGACTCTAGGCGCGAGAGTGAGAAATCGTTGATACTAAAAGGCTGTGAGACAGGGAGTCGAGCTTAGTGAAGGTTATGCGAGGCGTTGGCGTTGAGGCAATGTGCAAGCATAATTTTCGCTTGGCGGTGATTTGGATGATTCGTTGGGAGCAAACCGCTCACTCCTGCAACAGGATGATCTTTCGACTTGTAAGCCAGATGAAATGCTAGGTACCTAGGTATCACTCTATGATCTCGGTCAACAGTGCCTTTTGTCAACCCGAACGCAGCGTTGAGAGGATTTTTGGGGGGGTGGTTGTAGATGAGTACTCGCTGCAGTGATCGTCCTTCGGAGTGAAGCTCATGGTGGTCAATACAGCTCAAAAGCGCTCTCAAGCATCAAGTAACGTTAAGCGTCTCACGATTCGACAGTAAACGGTGCTTACTTTTACCATTGATTTTAAAGCTCTATGCCGCATTGCATCGCTGTGCAGATATGGCAGTCATAAATAAGTTTCCCTCCGCATCTAGAGCAGGAGCAACCCCAACGCCGCGCTAAAGTCAAGATTGCAACAAACGGGCTGTGGAAAGCCCCCGGTAACATAAAGACCGCGCTCCACCTCTCGAACGAAGTCCTCGTCTAGGCCCGCGAACCGCTCAACTGCCGATATCACTTTCTGGTGTAATCTTTGAGAATGCCAGTCATGTGCTTGTTCGTCGTCTTCATGCCCCCGCGTCTGGTGGGCTTCTTTCGCTCCTTTTTCCCTCCTACCTTCTTCACTTCCTTCACCTGACTCGTGGGTACGATACCGGCCTTCTCCAGTTCATTCCTGATCTCAGTCTCAGTAGCAGGAAGTTTGGTCTTGTTCCAAAACTCGCGGAAATCGTCATCAATGTGCACGTGATAGGACGGGGAGTTTGGCCAGACCATCTTGGGAGCATTGTCCTTGGTCTGCCGCGTCACCAGAATAGCATTCTGCTTCTCAAGCGCATCAATGGCAGGGATGCAATTTGGCCAGCCGTCTTTGAGCTCTTTGACGAGGATTCCTTGTGCGGTGGTCTGACGGGCAAGATAATTCTTGAGTTCTTCTGCGTTGGTGACAGGATGAGAAGGCCTGTATTTGAAGCTGTCCCTGCCGTTTGCGCTACGGGATTTGGGGACGAATTCGACGCGTTCATTTCCTTGCAAAGCCTTGCGAATGAGAGCTCCCTGTGTTCTGGCTTCATCGGTAGGGAGGGAGAGATAGCTGATGACATCGTCCAAGGCCAATTCTTGTGGGTTTTTCGTCTTCAGGTAGTTGATGGCGACGTTGACTTGGGTCATGAGCGAAGAGCCGCTCCCGGCGCTTGGCAGCTGGAATGCGGCATCATGGTTACGCTTGGTAGCATCGACTGCGGCGGCCGCGGTCGTAGTCGTCGCGGGCGCGGAGGGTTTGGGGGTCGCTCGCGCAGAGCCAGAACCAGAGCCAGGTGGTCGCGCCGAGCCTATGTTCCGAGAGGTGGCCGAGGCTAATTCGCCCTTGTACTTAGCAAGGGAGCTGGAGAGCGACATGGTGTTGAGCGTGTGTGCGGAGACTGCAATTAAGCGTTCCGTCGGTGGTCATGGGAGGGAGAACAAAGTGCTGTCTTCCATCGCTCTTTCCGCATGTGATTGATTACTAACCGCAACCAGCCAACGCTAAAGTCAACGCGCGCCTCACACACAACCACCATCTTCCCGCCATTAACCATTCCTTGCGTAGCGCGCTGGACTACCAACAACACGACACCCACACAATGGTCTAGCTGCATGCGATTGCAATCATGAGGACTCGCGCACAAGGTGCCACGGGCGACGTCGATGTCGCCTACCTCGCAAGCGTATTCGAGCTCGCCGAACCGGACGTGCAGACGCTGTTGGACCAGCCGACCGCTGAACTTGTCCATGATTTCCTGCAATCAATCGCTAGCAAGGCTCAAGAGTATGATGCTCTGCGAGCTGAGAAGCTCCGTTTGGAGGTTGAGTTGGAAAACACCATTCGCTCCACCGACGCCAAAGTCAAAGCCCACAAGGCAGCCGTCACTCGTCAAGCGAATGAGGTCGAGGATTTGAGGAAGAAATTGAACGAGTCGGAATCCGCGCGTGAGACGCTGGCCACCGAAACAGAGCACCTTCGATTGTCAAGCTCAGGCACCACAGCCGAAACCCAGACCTTGCGACAAAGAATCGAGTCGCTGGAAGCATCTAATCGCAGCGCTCTGGCGCTTGTAGAGAGCAAGTCGACGGAAAAAGACAACGCGGTTTCCGAGCTATCTGAGCTGCACGGCAAGCTTCTCAAGTCCCGGACTGAAGTGAGCGAACTCGAGCAGGCAAACCAGGCGCTCGAAGATGCGGTGTCTCAACAAAAGTTCAAGGAACACAGCCTTCAGCAGGAAATTGCTCAACTCAAGAAGAACAATGAGTGGCATTCCAACGAACTCCAGACACGTACTTCAGACTTCAGCAAGTTCCGCAAAGAGCGCAATGCCCGCATATCTACTCTTGAGCGTGAGCTCGAGGAGAGCAATGCCACCGTCGAGGCATTGCAGCGCACCGAGAAAACCCTTCGACAACGCTTGGAGGAGATCCAGTCCAAGGCCGACGATGCATTTGCACGCATTGCGAGCTTACAGGAGGAGGCATCTCGGAAGGAGCAAGGCTTGCGGGCCGAAGTGGATGGTAGCAAACGTCTGGCAGAGCTGCAGGCTCAAAATGCCGCAACTCACAAGGCCCGCCTGCAGGAGGTCAATGCACAGGTGGACCAGCTGAGGGACGATGCCGCCGAGGAGATCGGGCGTCTGCAGGCTGAGATTGAAACTGAACGTGCAGACAAGGAGAACGTGGAGCGCACTGTGGCCGAGCTGGAACTCACAGTGGAGCGCTTGCAGCAGCAGCAGCAAGTGCGAACTTCTCGACCTGGGACGCCTATGCGCAATGGTGGAATTGAGCCTCACACACCCGGACGATTCGGGTCGCGTGCTGGATCTCCCAATGCTTTGGCAGGATCGATGCGCAAGTCGATCGGTGGACTCAGCTTCACTCAGCTATACGCCGATTGCACTGAGGCTCGGGAGGAATTAGAGAATGAGCGCCGGCGCACGCACAAGCTTTCCACCGCCATGGACGAGCTCATCACACAGCTGGAAAACAAAAAGCCCGAGCTGGAAGACCTTCGCGCCGAGCACGACCGTTTAGAGATTGAGGTTTCAAACTTTTCCCACCTTCTCGATGAAGCGAATGAGAACCGCGATGCCGCCGTTCGTGAGTCTGAGCGCTTCCGAAGTGAAGCAGACGTCGCTGTACGCGAAGGTCAGATACTGCGCCAACAACTGCGCGATCTCTCGGCTCAGCTGAGAATGCTTATGGTCGACAGCCAAGCTCGCGATCAAGGCCTCGCCGAGATGTCTACAGAGGAACGCCTCGAGCTGGAGCGATATGCACGAGGTGAGATCGACGATTCTGCGCTCGATGAAATGTCCAGCACTGGCCAATGGATTTCCGAGCGGCTTGTACTCTTCCGAGACGTTTCCGAGCTGCAGGCGCAGAACGAGAAATTGCTTCGTCTTACGCGCGAACTGGGCGAGAAGATGGAGGGCGAAGAGGCACGAGAGCAGGCGAGACAATCTGCCACGGACGCACAWGCGGTGGAGAACCTCCGACAACAGGTCGATCGCTACAAGGACGAAATTCAGTCAACCACGACACAGATGGAAAGCTATGTCAAGGAGCGCGATATGTTCAGACGCATGCTTCAACACCGCGGACAACTCGCACCCGATGCAGATCTGCAGGCGATGTTTGGGCAGAGCATGGGACCAGGCACACCGCGGAGAGGCAGCATTGCCCCTCAAGCAACTCCGCGCAAGGAAGACGACTGGGAGAAGTTATTCAGAGAACTCCAAACGAGCTTCGATCAGTACCGAGAGGAGATCTCTCAGGACCGCAAGCAACTCAAGGATCAAGCAGACAGCTTGGCTCGTGAGAAGAGCACACTACAAGCCGATATCGCCCGCGCCCAATCACAGCTCACTCTTGCGTCCCAGCGTTACGACATGCTTCAGTCGAACTTCAACGCATCGAGGAGCGAGAATATCGAGCTGCAAAAACGCTACCAACAAACGGGTGAGCAGGCTGCTAAGCAGGGCGCCAAAGTCCAGCAGTTGGTAGAGGATCTTGCGGAATCTCAAGCCAAGGTAGAATCTCATCGAACCGACCTCGCCAACGCGAAAGCAGAAAAGGAGCTTTGGAAGCGCATCGAGGCGCGCTTGACAGAGGACAACAAGAGTCTCATGGAAGAGCGCAGCAGACTCAACAAGAATCTTGTTGACCTCCAGAACTTACAGAACGAGCATGCTCTGACCGAATCTGAGACCCGCCGCCGGGTGGAGAGTCGTATTGAGACGCTCGAGACGGAGTTGAGCAGCACCAAAAAGAAGCTCGACACTGAAGTCGACGAGAGCAGGAAGGCGGCACTGCGCCGGGAGTATGAGGAAGGTCAAAGCCGCACGCGCATTGATGATTTGGTCAAGAGCCTTGGCAACGTACGCGAGGAGCTCGTGGCTGCCAAGACTACCCGCGATCAGCTGCAAACTCGCATTGATGAGATGAAGATCGAACTCCGGGCTGCCGAAGAGAAGGTCACGGCCCTGCAGCCTCGGCCGACGCCGCGCAACCAACCCTCGACTCAGAATGGACAGGCGAACGCAGATGGTGAAGAACTTTCGGCCGAGCAACGTCTTGCATTTGAGGCATCGGAGCTCCGTCGTGATCTGGAGCTGTCAAAGGCTGAGGTCGAGAGTATCAAGCAGCAGATGCAGTACTATAAAAGCATCGCGCAGACTACCGAGGAGCAACTCGCGAATCTCACAGAAACAGCCGACCAGTACAAGGAAGATAACGATGCTGCCCTGGYAGAGAAAGATGCCAAGATAGCAGAACTTGAGCAGCGCATTGAAGACTTAATTTCGGAGTTAACGACCACCAACTCTGAGCTTTCTGGGCTTCGTGCCAAGGCTGAGGACAGCGACCGTCTACTTGCTGAGCAAAAAGCCTCATACGAGTCTGAATTGGCCCGCCTACATGACGATGTTGAGGGTCACGCTGAGGCGAAGACCATGTTCCAGCAAGATATCAAAGCGCAAGCAGAGATCGCTCAGCAAGCTCAGCAGAGCTACGAAGACGAATTGCTCAAGCACGCCGAAGCTGCCAAGTCTCTTCACACCGTGCGCAAGGAATACAACGATCTCCGCACCCAGGTTGCGGGAATCAAGGCTGAATGTGAAGMGGCTAAGGCGAGCTTGGAGCGTGGTGAAGAAAGCTGGGCTGAGCAGCGTGAGCGATTCGAACGCGAATTGGAAGAGGTCAAGCGGAGACGTCAAGATGTCGACCAGCAAAACAAGTTGCTACACCAGCAAATGGAGTCGTTTTCTGCAGAGCTTGCCGCTCTCCGTCAAGGTCGTGCTGCCAACACGGCCGATAGCGAGGGCACGCCTTCTGGATCTGGCGGTGAGAACAACTACCAAGAAGTCATCAAGTTCCTGCGCCGCGAGAAGGAAATTGTGGATGTGCAGTACGAGCTATCCATTCAAGAGTCCAAGCGCCTTCAGCAGCAGCTCGACTATGCCAACACGCAACTGGAGGAAGCGCGGCAGAAGCTGTCTGATGAACGCCGACAATCTGCCGAAAAGATCAATTCTGAAGCTAGCACCAGCAAGCTGACAGATACTATCAACGAGTTGAACGTCTTCCGCGAATCAGCTACCACGCTGCGCAACGAGGCCCGACAATCCCGCGACAAGCTCGCTGAGAAGAGCAAGGAGGTTGACCGTCTTTTTGCCGAGCTCGARCCGCTCAAGGGACGTGTTGGCGAGCTCGAGGGCCAGCTTGAGAGCAAGGATGGTGAATTCAAGCTCTTGCAGGCCGATCGTGACCACTGGCGTGAGCGTACGCAAAATATCATCAGCAAGTACGACCGTGTCGATCCCGCCGAGCTGGAGGGTCTCAACAAGCAGTTGGAGGACCTAAAGGCTGAGAAAGAACGTCTCGAAGCTGAGCAAGGACCGATGAAGGAGCAAATCGATGGGTTCGAGGCTCGTATTGAGGAGGAGAGATCGACCGTGCACGCCAGTCAACAAGCACGGATTGATACTATCAAGCGACAGGCCAAGGATCAGGACACCAAGCGGAAAGATGCAATCGCAAGGTTGACACAGGAGCGCCAGGCGCTCCAGTCATCGTTTGACGCCCTCACTAGCGAGCTTGAAGAAACAAAGGTCAAATTGGTCGAGGCCAATGCCGCGCTAGAAGAAGCACGCGCCAGCACCTCAAAGGCGCAAGATGACGATGCTGAGGAAGGTCAAGTTCAAGAAGATGGCTCGGCAACCGGCAACAGCGAGGAGCTTGCTGCTCTCCAGTCTCGTGCATCCCAAGCTGAAGCCGGCGCGAGTGAGCAGCTCAGCCGCGCTGATGGCTTGGCCGTCCAGGTCCAAGAATTGGAGGCACGAGTGCAGGAATACGAAGTCCAGGTTGCCAGCCTGCAACAGCAACTTGAAACAGCTCAGAATGTTGGTGAGGTCGAGGCGACTACATCTACCGAGACAGACACAGAGGCCTTGAATAAACTCAAGCATGAACTTGCCACGGCCCAGGAGGAGGTTGAAGCACTTCGTGCCRGCGCTTCTGCGCCCTCAGAACCTGTTGCAAACGCGGAGCCTGCCGCCGGCGAAAAGTCGGTGGCTGATCAGGTGGCTGAAGAAGTCGCTAAGCTTCGTGCTGAGCTCGAGCAGCAGCATCAGGTGGTGCTCGCTGATATGGAGGCGAAGACTAAGAACAGAATCGAAACGATGAAAAAGGGTTTGACGAAGCAACTCCATGATGGCAGAGCCAAGCAGCGTGAAGAGATGCAATCTGAGCTAGTCGCCAAGCATTCGGAAGAAGTCCAGCGGTTGAAAGATGGGCACGCAGCAGCCATTGCACAGCTTAAGGAGGAGCACAAGGCAGAGCTTGAGAAGCTTACCGCAAGCGGAGCGGCCGCTGTGGAGAAGGCCGAAGTCGTGTCTGAGGCAGCGCCCCAAGCCGAGCTCAATGTTGAATCCTTGAATTTGTCAACTGACCAGGCGAAGCATCTGGTCAAGACCAACAAGATCATCAACGAGCTGTTGAAAGCTAACATCATCAGCAAGGTTGAGCAGCACACCGCGCCTTTGAAGGCACTCATTGCCCAGAAGGATGATGAGATTGCCAAGCTCAAATCTGAACTTGAAAACATGTCTAGCGCATCGCACGATGGTGCTGAGAACGGCGATGCTGCAGCCCGCGTGGAGCTTGAGCGACAGCTTGAGGCCGCCAAAGAAGAGAGGGRGACTGCCGTGCGCCAGGCCGTTGATGCTGCGGAGAAGAAAGTCAAGCTACAGCTCAACATGCGTGACATCGCCATGGCCAAGATCGCTGTCGTCAAGAAGGCCGCGGCCGAGACGCCGCAGAAGTCTGTCAAGGAGGTGTGGGATGTTGCCGATAAAGCTCGTCCCGCTGCACCAGCTGCCGCTACGGCAAAGTCAACCCCAGCGGCGGCATCTTCAGCCTCTACCAAGCCTGCCATACCTGCCACTCCCACCTCTGCTCAGGCTCCAGCAGCTGTCCCGGCATCACAGGCGGCGAATGTCGACAAGCTCAAAGCGAGGGAACAACGCTTCGGGTCTGCTTCCGCTCCTACCACTGCCACTCCAGCACAGGGTGCAGGACGTCCAACGCCCAGCGGCCCAGCGGCTACTACGGCTGGGGGTATAGCCCCAGCCAAGCGTACGATCGCTGCTCCGACTACAACGACGGCTGCACGCAGAACATCGTCTTCTGGGCTTCCCGTGGCTGGCAGCAAGTTGCCAACTGCTCCTCGCAGCAGGTCTGGCAGCACTGCAGGCAACAACAGTCTGTCCATCAAAGGAAGTGCGGCCGGCTCTCAACGCGGTGGGGCTAATGGGCTATCACGCGGCGGTCGTGGCGGGTTTGTCGGCCCTGGTCGTGGAGGTCAGGCGAATGCTGGTCAAAAGCGTCAGCATGACGGCGCTGACGGAGGTGATGGCAACAAGAGAATGAGAGGCGGAGCTCAAGGCGGATCGGGCTAGGAGCATGATTCACGCCGGGGTTGAGCTTTTCTGCCGCGCTTTTTCCTTGTAAGGTGTACTGGACAAAGGACGGGTGGTGGGTGGTGGGTGGGTGGCGCTCATATCGCGCAATGGGCATTGCAAACTTAGCATTTTCGTGGAGTCGTGGGAAAAGGGTGTATCATACATAGTTAGTGACGGAGGTTATCATGGTTGTATACCTATCGACATGTGAATCCAGTTGTGCAAGCGCGTATTGGGTGAGATCAACCCCGTGATGTCCATATGCCATCAGTCGAAATGTGCGCAGGGAAGACCAACTCAAAATCTCTACCGGGTGCTGAGAAGACGATTCCATTGTTCATAGCATGATGAAAACGAATGGCTCGGGTGGGGGTATCATGTCGTCCACAACATGCCCCGGGCCGGAACATTCYCCGTTGTTCTGAGTCGCGAACAGCTCTCGCAACCTGTTTCGTTTGACATCGGTCGAAACAGTGCGGGCTACAACAAAGGACAAGACTGAGCGGAGGATTCACGGGAGCCAAAATTGAGAGAACGTTTGTCCTGCTGAGTTTCGATGCTGTATAGGTAGCAGCTTCCATGCATGGCGTAAGACGACGTCTCGCCAAGAGCTATGCTACAATAGGCGTACGACGTTTTCGCGGCCCGCAAGAACACGCTCATCCTACCCCGATCGATCTCCCGCATATTACCTCACTGATATAGACGAGCGCTGAAACCTTGATGAGCTGGTATGCACCACGGGAATGAAACTAATTGTGCGAAACCCACGCTTCATCTTCAAAGCTTACTCTTCGACGGCGAGCGCCTCCGCGGCAGTGAAGTCGCGGATAGCATCTCGAGCAACATGAATGGAGCTGTCTTGAAGCCTGAGAAGATTCTGCTTCGAGTCTTCGTCGAGACGGAAACTCTGGGCGCATGGCGATCAAAGGGATCTGACAAGTAGCATGCAAAAGCCTTGGTCAGAATAGGTTGCTGGCGCATGAATCAGACTTGCAGCATGTTGGCACGTTGGAAGGCCTCTGAGCCTCGCTGTCGATTTGACTCATGCCGAGTCTCCGCTCAACGTCGACTCTTGGTCCGGTCAGAGCAGCAATTCTGTTAACTGCCCACGCAGGCAGCCGCGAGAAGCTCTCACGAGTGCATTGAATCCAAAGGGGAGTTCGTGCGGCGCAGTAAGATGTCGAGTGTTGGCGATGACAAAGACCAGACCTACGAATCATGACCTGCATATCGGATACACCATTCCTGACTGCGCTTGGACTCTTAACATCTGCGAAAGACCTACAGGATGCCTTACGATTCGAGCGTTTCGCGTCAAATAGGAACTGAGCGTTCAAGCTTGCATACACTAAATTTGCTCATAAGTGGCGTGGCCGACTGGATCTGCACATACTACATTACTTGGGGGACTTTCAGCAGACCTTCCGTTGCTCCAACCAGACGGGGCACGATATACCTACTTCATACGCTGCGCCATGTAGCAGGTCGTCGTTGCTATTACTCTGTCGGACGCAGTGCCCTGCATACACACCGGTTCTAGGCTATCGTCTTCCGCATTTGGGTCATTACACCGCATACTTGTGTCACACTCAGCTTCAAAGCACCCGACAAGGCTGAACGAGGCGGCAAATTCGCAACTTCCTGGTTCTCCAATTCCACTGCTCGTCGGCAGAGCATGCCCGGAAGAAGCATTACAGATCCCACTACCTACACGGCCTTGCCCCAGATTGGTTGCTCGAATAGACACGCGGTCTAGCAGTGATCAAATCATCTTCCTGGGCCAGCCTCCGCCAACAGTCCTTCCGTGGGAGGCGCTTCAGATTGGATTTCGACGCAGGCATGCCTGGGAACATCATAAGCCTCAGTGTGGAGGACATTGAGGCGTGGCCGAAGCCGAACTACATCGATCCGGACCGAAGGCAGTGGATGCCAGAGTATGCAGGCGTACTCTATGGAACCGCAACACTCATGGTGGGCACTCGCCTTTGGTTGCGGGGAATGCAACGGAGYGGGGGCTTCGGGATTGACGATGTGAGCTTTGTTTTTCTGCCGCTGATCTGAATGATGCTGACAATTTCGGAGGCGTTCTTGCTAGGCTCCTGGTTTGCACTTACCTGGTTCACAACACTGGCCATCTTGGGATCAGAGAAATACAACACCTCGCGGCACCTATGGGACGTGCCGGTTGCTTCATACGTCGACATGGCGAGGATAGCATGGGTGGGGGAGTTGGCCTTTCTTGTTGTTGGATGTCTAGTGAAAGTCTCGGTCCTATTGTTCTACAGGAGACTCGTACGTGACACCTTCTCTGCGGCATGGAAGTGGGCTGTCGTGGCCGCCATTACATTCACGGTGGCTTACACTGTGGCCTTCATCTTGGCTCTGGTCTTCAACTGCTCTCCCACAAACGCCTACTGGCAAGGCTTTGATCCGGGATACACCAATCACTACACCTGCGCCGACACCCGGATCATCAACTCACTCTCTGGAATTGTGGGTATCGTGGGTGATCTATACTCGGTCGCCTTACCATGTATCATGACCCGCAACCTCACGCTGCCCGTTGCACAAAAGATCGGATTATACGTCATTTTCTGCCTCGGCCTGTTGGTCGCGGGCGCCTGTTGCATGAGGACCTACTACCTACACTCCGTCGGATCCAATCCGGACATTAGCTGGAACATCTTCGATGTGTTCGTCTGGGCTCAACTAGAGCTTAGTCTGAGCTTGATGTGTGCTTCAGCGCCTGCCCTCAGGGTGCTATTCCGAGAGTACTTTTCCGACACTATGAGCAAGGCAAAGAGATCTGGGTTGAGTAGCGAAAGCAGGAAGCGATCAGACGCGGGGTTCTCTACAAGGAAGCAGATCACCGGGTCCCAAGAGGCACTGCACTACGATCCTGATCTTGAGCAAATTGCCTTCAGTCCGAGGGCTGGGGAAGAAGAAAGCGATAAGACCATGCTTGTCACGACGAGACCAGTGGAGGCCTTCGACATGACTTCTATCGACCGCGAGAATAWCAATGCGCACTTGGCCGAGGCGTATCGGCAATCTAGTAATGTAATGCTCTCTTATGACTGGTCAAGAGGAAGTGCTGGGAAATACAGCTGGTTACAGACACCGGAAGGGCGCAGGATGCTCTAGCGTGCTAATGTTTGGTTCATGCTTTATGATACATGAGATTACGGCGGCGAACTCAGAGGATGAATATGTAAAGAGTCAATCGATATAAACCCTTGTGCAGGGCAGTTCTTCTCGAATTTTACCACCCCGACGACTACCGTTGATATGCATTACCTTTATTTGACGTATGCACCCTGCTGAATTCCTGATCGACGCCCCCGTAGCGAGCGCGCAACACATATCAATACCGAAAGGATGGCCTACTGGCGTCGTGATGATGCATCCGCATTGCACGTCCTTCGATACTGCAGGAAGGAACTCGACCATATGTCAACGGTCACAACAACTTATATCGAGCAAGAAAACGTGGAAGATGTGCTTTGGTCACGACTGTCTGGAGCTGGGGTTGCAAAGTCGCTACCCCATTACCGAGGACATCTCAGATACTTCTGTGATGGTGTGCTGACCGTCGAACCATCTCATATGTCGCTTTCGGAGTCCCTGTCGCTAACCAAACCCTAACGCTAAAGCTCACCCAACATTCAACATTCAATAGATAGGGGAGAAGCGACAGAGAACGGCGGAGTCTCTCCTTCGTCGTGATACGCACTGCTACTGCACAACTACGGCGGCATCAGCACAAGCCGAGCCATCTACATCATGTGGTATCGCCGATCTCATACTTGGCCCACCTTGTGGTCATTTCCTGATAGGATGAGAAGAAAGTTTCCATCTTGGCAGCCACGAGACGATCGTGCACCCTCCCCTTGGCATCTCCAGCTCTCTCCATGTGGGGAGTTAGTGGAGCCAGATTTCCCGCCAAACGGATAAATCAACGTTGACTGTTGGCTTTACCCGGGGAAAGATCCACTTCGTGCTTCGTTGCAGCCAATGTCTCAAGGCACGAAGGCGATGTCAGTGGCTCCCATTGAGCCGAAAACGGATTCTCGGCATTCAGATGACACTGTTTGAGCGTCCTCGTCTGTGTGCAGCCAACTGCATACTGCCCTGCCCCGGCAGAGCGGCTCTTCTTGGAGAGCATGCATGATCGTTCTGCTGATTGGGACTAATCGTGCAAATTAGCAAATGGCGTGCATGGCGAGGACATAAGTATGCATCTCCCGCAAAATTTCTCGCCTCTCTCCAAGTCACGACTCTCGTCTTCGGACATCCCATCCCCTTCCACAGGCTACGGCCAGAAATCATCCCACTATGTATCAGATCAGCAACATATACGTCCTCGCCGCCTTCGGGACGATTGGCGGCGCTCTGTTTGGATTCGATGTCAGCTCAATGAGCGCTTGGCTAGCAGCCCCTCAATATCTAGAATACTTCAACTACCCGGACTCTGATCTTCAAGGAGGTATCACCGCATCCATGAGCGGAGGCAGTTTCATTGGCGCTCTAGCAGCAGGATTCTTGGCCGACCATTTTGGGCGTAAGATTGCTCTCCAGATCGCCTGCGTGATTTTCATCTTTGGATGTGTTATCGTCTGTGCCTCGCAGAACGTCGGCATGCTCATTGCAGGAAGGTAAAGTTGGCAAATTGAGGAAAGGAACGGCCAAACACTGACATGGCTCCGAATTCAGAATTATAAACGGCCTGGCTATTGGTATCTGTTCATCACAAGTGTGCGTCTATCTCGCCGAGCTCGYGCCTGCAAAGATCCGTGGTCGCGTTGTGGGCATTCAGCAATGGGCGATCGAGTGGGGAATTTTGATCATGTACTTGATCTGCTACGCGACGCAGCGAACTGTGGCAGGACCAGCTGCTTTCCGCATAGCCTGGGGCGTTCAAGGCATCCCGGCGTTTGTACTGTTTGGCGCACTATTCTTCTTCMCAGAATCTCCCCGTTGGTTGGCAAGCAGGGAGCGTTGGGAGGATGTACACACAGTACWCGCGAACCTGCACGGAAATGGTAACCGCAACGATCCCATCGTCCTGGCTGAGCTGGATGAGGTACGAGAAGCCCAAGCCATCGCTGCTCAAGCGCAGGGTGTTGGATTTCTGCAACTTTTCGGGCCAAAGGTCTGGAAGCGAACGCTTGCTGGCACATCCGTACAGATGTGGCAGCAATTACTTGGTGGCAATGTTGCAATGTACTATGTCGTCTACATCTTCCAGATGTCAGGCATGTCTGGAAATACCTCTTTGTGAGTTGTTACCAAAGGTTTGAGCATCGTGCCTTGCTAATGCGACCGTTTCAAACAGGACTTCGTCTATCATTCAATACGTAATCTTCCTTGTCACTACCGGCCTGATGCTGCCCGTCATCGATCGATTCGGACGCAGACAGCTACTGCTGGGTGGAGCATTTATCTGCATGGTCCTGCACTATACGACGGCTGCGGTAATGGCCACATATGGTGTTCCAGTCGACCAGGTAGACGGCAACTCCAACCTTCGGATCCTGATCTCTGGCGCTCCTGGAAAGGCAGTGATCTCACTGAGTTATATCTTTACTGGAATATACGGTGAGAAACCACGCGTTTTGATGTTGTTCAGGACATCCCTGACTCTCTCATAGGTCTGACATGGGCTCCTATTGGGTGGATATACGCCAGCGAGGTCTTCCCTCTGAAATATCGGGCAAAGGGTGTTGGACTCAGTGCCGCCACCAACTGGGTGAGTTCTCTGGATCAATCCAGCCTTGATTGATGGTCACTGACATGTACCCCAGATATTCAATTTTGCGCTGGCCTACTTCCTCCCACCAGCCTTCACCAACATCACCTGGAAGACATACATCGTCTTCGGAACATTCTGCACGGCAATGCTGTTCCACATCTTCTTCACCTGTAAGTGAGATGAATATCGAAGAGCTGTGCCGCTGGAATCCTTGCTGACATTGATATCCAGACCCCGAGACCGCCCAGAAAACACTCGAGGAGATTGACATCCTTTTSGATAGCAAGATTCCACCGTGGAAGTCGGCGAAGGCCCAGATCAATGCTTTGGAGGAGCGGGCGATACAGATTGAGCAGAAGAATGTAGCGATGGACGAGAGGCATGAGACAGTGTAGGGGTTCAGGTCGCTGAAGGGCTGTGAAGGACACCCGTTTTCAACCCACGTCGCTCATCTCGCCCTCACTCCTAGAGCTTGTTGAACCGCGACGACCGTGACCATTCGCCTGACCGTTCATTGACACCTCTTCAACCTCTCCATCGCTTGACTTATCGCCATCTTCYTCTTCATCGTCCCTGTCAAGCTCTTCCAGCTCCTCGCCCAAAGCACTTTCTCGTGGATCCAGTCGATCCTCGTCCTCTAAGAACGTCCTTGGGTTGATTTTGGGGAGTGTCGTGGCACAGACCCTGCTCTTGACCAGAAGGTCGTCCACAAATTGATCCATATAAGTCAGAGCCCATCCTTCTCTCGTGCGACGCTTCAGTTTGCGGAAATCTGCCAGATATGGCTCGAGCGTGGTGTACACATCTTCATCCTTCTCCCAAGCCAGACGGACGTAGAAGGCTGCCAATGCACGCAAGTACTTGTACTCCTCGCCCGCCTGCTCGAGATAGAAGAGGATGATGCTCTTGTCCGGGGTAAGCTGCAGGAGCTTGAAAGCCAGACACAGGAACGGTGTGGGTTTCTGCGCAACGCCATATGTCCCGCCCAGGAACGACAGCTCTACAGCGCGATCCAGCAGCGTGGCAGCATTGAGACCGAAGCACTGCTCCTTCCAGTAGTACGAATCGGTGATGCGGTCCCGGACCGGCTTCTCGAAGAGCTTCAGCGGGTTGTCGCCGCGGATGAGGGCRCCGGAGTATCCACGCTCGTCCAGCGCGCGCTTAGCATCCGCCTGATGCGCGTATGCCATCGAATCGAGCGGTGATGGCGGCAAATGGTGAAATTGTGGGGTGGCATGCAAGAGCGGAGGGCCGGAAAAATGTTGAAAGCCGGAAGGCTATCCGAAGTGGAGTGACTAAGCGGTTGCCATGGTGATCGATCTCGCTTGCGATTATTGAATCTTGCTAGACTTGATCTTCACTCCCGCCTACATGGAAACCATGGAAGGTACAGCATGCTCCTGACACAATCACAGGTGTCGGTCGTCGTATCATCCGCCGTCGTCGTCTTCTTCACGCTGCTACTCTTCCTCTCAGGCTTCGTCTACCAGCAGCAGACAGTCAAAGGCCTGCAAGATGCCATCAAACCCAGGATCCCTCAGGCACCACCTGGAATGGGAATGCAACAGCCGGAGAGCATAGAGCTGCAACAATCGCGCTTCTTTGGCAAACAGTCCACTGGAGCACGCATTACGTATACCGATTTCGACCGAGATGTGCACAGCGCGGGCGCAGGCATCAACTGGGCCCGGCTGGCGCATGTTCAACTCGTCAAAAACCACCATGAGATTTGCAGCGCCATCATGGTGCTGGCAGACTTATACGCCATGCGTTCTCCCGCAAGGAGAGTCCTGATGTTCCCGAAAGAATGGGCCGAGGAGAAGAAGGCTATGAAGGGGGATGTTTCAGACCCATATTTGGACAGCACGAGGAGGCTGATGCGGATGGCTGCACGTCGTTACAGGGTGGAGCTGCTTCCGATCGATCCCATCCGAGGATTCGATGGTACGGAGACATACTCGCTGGCGAGTGCATATGCCCTGGAAGCAGATTTTGATCGAGTACTTACCATTGAGACGCCTGGGATGTTGCTCGATGCGGAACCTCTGGACGCAATTCTGGGATTCACAGAAGATGTGCCGTTCGCCATGCTGCATGATACCGCTTTGAACGATGGTGTACACTCGCAAGACTTGTTTCTCCTCAAGCCTCTAAGTGCAACATACACAGAGCTCTCCACTAGGCTGCGCGGTAAAGAAGCAGTCGGCTTTAACGATACCCATCATCTCTCACAGCTGTTTCCCGAGCCACTGCTGCTGGCTTCGAGCAATGAGAACAATGCGTTGATTCGCTCTGTTGGGACTCTGCACGATGTCGACGATGACTTCAACCAGACGGCGTTCATGTCAGATGTGGCATACATTCGCTTCTCGGATCCGAAGCTCCCGGGACCGGAGTACGACGTGCCGTGGTCTAGCAAAGTCGCTGCGAGGCCGAAGAACAAGGATGCGGACTGGACTTGGACCAACTTATATGGTCAGTTCGCGCAAAAGCGAATGGAGACTTGTGGGTTGGACTTGGAGGGTTGGCGGCCTTGATGTCACGGCATTGCTGCGTCATGGAGTAAGCCATTCAACGAGAGCAAGTTCAGCTCAAGTACTGTCGCAACGCTTACATATAGTCTTGACTTCCAGGAGAAACGTAAATGAATTAATGATATCGGTACGGGCGGCTATTCACATGTACGGGGACAAAATTTCAACGTAGCTTACAGTAAGCTCAAGCTTCATCAAACTCAAACCCCTCGAGCTCGACATCCACAATACACCACAACATGTCAGATATGGCGGAAACCGAGCCACTCATCACTCCCACAACTATAGTGGCGCTGTTAKCGGTGGAAACGCTGGTAGCTTTCGGCTATCTCCTCTCCACCCTACTCCTCCCGAAAAACTGCGGACCCAAGACACGCGTTCTCTTCGTCTGGCACGCGTTCGACGCATTGGTCCACTTCTGTCTCGAAGGGAGCTTCTTGTACAACTGCTTCTTCTCCTACGTGACCGTCGACGGCGATGTCCAATCACCTTACCTGCCCCCAAACATCCACTTCCTAGGTCGCTCTGACAGGATCTACGGCGCGGAACATGCCACCAACTTCTTCGCCTTGCTATGGATGGACTACGCCAAAGCGGATAAGAGATGGGCAGGGACTGATTTAACTATCATCAGTTTGGAACTCTTGACGGTATTCGTGGTTGGGCCAATGTGTGTATGGGTCTGCTATTGCCTGTGGAAACAGAGGAGCGATGTCTGGTTCTGGATGATCGTTCTCGCGACTTCGGAGCTGTATGGAGGTTTCTGTACGTTTGCTCCGGAATGGCTCACTGGGAATGTCAATCTTGACGGGTCGAATCCGTTGTTCTTGTGGGTGTACGTCAGACCGAAGGGCAGGAGGCATCAACTCGCTTGTCTCGTGGTTTTGCTGCGAGTCTCTTGTGTGCAAGCGAAGGCCAAGGCAACAGCCAGCTTTGCATGTATTCAAACACGCATCGCATGCGAGAGACGTCGCTTGAGATAAGCTGGCGATAGCTGTCCTGCCCGAACACTCCACTACTAAAACATCTGCTGATACTTCCTCCCAGATACCTGTGGCTGTTTAATTTTGGACTGTGGGTCGCCATTCCTGTCTGGATTATATATGAGTCGTACGGCAAGATCGTTGGTGCTCTGCGTCAACAGAATCTGGTGGAATCGAGCAAGAAGGCGAAGTAAGGTTAAAAAGGGTCATTTCGATTCTTTTCATGGAAAAGTCAGATCATAGGTATCCCCGTTGTACATGCTGCACAAATGGCTACGACCCATTGATCAAAGCTGTGGACTGCGCCTCCTCTTGGAAGTCCATCGCTTTCTCATCTACAAGCAACTTTGAACCAGCTGCATTCACTGCAAAACTCGCATTACGCTTCGCGTGTGTTACTGCTTCTGGTCCATCAAACACTTCAGCGATTTCTTCGAGCGTTCTGCCCGCGGTTTCAGGGAACAACGTCCATATCAAAACAATGAAGATGCATAGGCACCCCATATACACAAAGTAGAACCTCCAAGCCAAATTTTCAAGGGCGATGGGGTTTATGTACTGATTGAAAAAACCAGCAGCGAAGACTGCCGTCAGCGTAACACTTAGCCCTCTCGTCCGAAGCTTATATGGAAGGATCTCAACGGGATACGCGAAGCTGAGCGGTGTCTATCCATATGTCAGTAAGTCGACACATCAAACTAAAAGGAGCGTCGTACAAAGCCAATGTCATAGAAACCGAAGAAGAGGAACAAGAAGCCCACCACCGCCTTTCCGGCGACTTTGTTCCCGAGCTCAGCGTAGATGGCAGATAATGCTGTCAGTGTCGAGAGGCATACGAGCATGCCCGTTGCGCTGATTAGCCAAAGCCGGCGACGACCATAACGCTCCATGGCGTTAGCCCCTACCAGAGCAAGCACCGCATTCCAGATTTGCAGACCCAAGTTAATCAGAGCCTGTTGAGTTGGATTGTTCACGCCCACCGACCCCAGGATTGGTGCAAGGTAGTACGTAACGATTCCGTTGCCGGCCCACTGGATCATAATGCCGACTATGACACAGATAAGGAGACGATGCCTGTTGCCGCGGGTCGCAAAGAACATCTTCCACGACGAACCATCGGTTGCGTTTGCTTCGCGCTGGATTGTCTCGCAAATCTCCTCGAACTCGAATGCCACCAGTGCATCAACAGGGTTGCCATTTGCATGAAATTTCACTAGGATATCGAAAGCCTGACTTTTCATGCCTTTGGATATCAGGAACCGAGGCGACTCGGGGATCATGCAAAGGCCGACAATCTGCAAAACCGGAAAGAGTATCTGGAGCATGACGGGCATTCGCCAGGCCCAGCTTGATGAGATGTACAGGCCAGCGAGCGTTGCCGCCGCAGACACAATAGCTCCCCAGTAAAATGCCGTTTGGAAACAGGCCGTGACGATGCCACGACTGCGTGGATGAGCAACCTCACTTGTGAGAGCAGGTGCGGGAATGAGCACGAAGGCGATACCCGCTCCTAATATGAGTTTTGTTGCGAGGAATGCCGACGGGCCTGTGGTCAGAGCTTGCGCAATGCTTGCAACGACCATCACTAGCGTGCCGCAGCTCAGGCATATCTTCCTCCCAAAGAAGTCACTCGTGTATCCGGCTGGAACCAGGGCTGCCAGCCCTCCTAGACTGATTGCACCAATCATCAAACCGAGGGTGCTTGAGCTGCTGTCTTGCACGACGTCCAGGTGAAATCGGGAAATGGCGAKAAGTCCGTTCATTAGGGATGCGTCGAAACCGTTCGCTGTGGCGGAGGCAAATGTGAGGCCGATCCCCACGTACAAGCGGCGAAGTCCAGGATCTCTATACCACTTGGCATGGCAGCTATTGGGGAGTGATTTATACGCCTCATCTCCTTTCACAGAGGAGTTTCCTGGCATCTCGGGCATGCTGGTGTTGTTGAAGTCGAAAGCTCTGTCCGGAGGAGAACCCCAATGGACGATACTGTCGATCAGCCCGAGGGCCCCAAGCAGAACCTATTTTGGGTTCGAGTTGCTGAAATTGGTGTGTGGGAACTGTTGCTATTCTCATTATGAAGATGCAAAGCCGAGCCAAGTTGCTACCATCGTTGTCGATGTACGCAACAAGGTTCAGGTCGATCAAAAATTGAGAACATGGTTTCCCCACACGCTTGGACCTGGGACCTGGGACCTGAATCAATGCTCATTGGTGGAACAATACCTCACTCGCCGGGAATCATCTCTTTCACATGATTCGTGTTCTGGAAGGAAGTCTGCTGCTGTTGCTGCCGATCGAGACACTCCTGGCAGCCGTTACAATGCCCGAAACGTTGAAAGGCAAAGAATCYCCTACTGCTGCCGTGTCGGCGTCAATGTCTGACTGCGTTCGACAGCAACGAATCTATTTTACCTTTCGACCGGCAGCTTCCTACACTGCATGAGAGCAACCCGGAGCCCTTCAAACCGCTGGTTGAAGATGCATATTGTGTCGTCAAGGCGTGCGTTCAAGGCATGAAGAGTCGCGGCGACGAATTCCGGGACAGAATCTCGGTTTGGGACGACTTGTGGAGATCAAAGGCCTCTACAAGTATCGTCGCAACTTGCAAGGTTTTGAGCTGAGAAGGCGAAGGCCAAGAGAGATCATGCCGGATCACGGCTCACAGGGCCGTACATCACTTGATGAATTCATAGTATGCCAAGACAAAATGAATTCCTTTGCGGCGCGGCGTCGTCATTAGGGCTCAGATGAGCGATGGAAGCACCAGTAACCAAACCTCACCGCAGGATAGATGCAGCAAATGCGAAGCGAAGGATGCCGCGGAATCACGATGCATCTCACAGCCTTCCAAGGTTCTCAGAGCTGCCTGTAAAGGAACCCCGGACTCTGCTCTCCTCAACCTTTGACTGTTCACTTCCATGACCCAGAAGAACAATGAAAATGAAGAGCCTCTTCTTCGCATTGAACATAGCGGTCATATCTTTCGCCCAAATCTATTCGGCACCACCTGCTTCGACCGAACCAGAATTCGACACGCTCCTCATTGCCAGCAGCAACTCTTCCGATCCTCCTTTCGGCTACAACGCCTTCTCCAATACCCCACCCAACGCAGTTCGAGAAGTGAAGTTCGCCCGTGGCACGCAAGACTGGGTCTGGACCGTCTCAATCAGTGATGTAGAGATCCCAAACGTCYCCAATGCCACGAACTTCACTACCGGGTGGAATGCTCCTCCTAATGCTCGAGTCGCTTATACAACTTATACATTTGATTGGCCGCAAGACGGGAATATCAACGACGTTGTGAGAGAGGAAGCTCCTCCCTCTATGGAGAATAGTACTTCTTGCTTTTATAATCTGTGGACCGAATTTCCTGAGAGTGTCTCAAAGGCCTGGGACTCTTCTTCGAGTAGTTGCGGGAGTGCGATTGGAAGGGAGTGTGAGGAGTATATTTATTCGAATTTGAACCGATCGGAGGACTGTTCGAGGGATTTGGGAGAGTTGAGGTTGACGGAGCAATGTCCAGGAGTGTTTGATGGGTTTGTTATCACGTCTGGGTTTAGTAAGTTCTTCTTTTCTTGTTCTGTGCGATGGGAGGATCGGTACTAACCTTTGAGGATAGCTTTTGGGAATGCAAGTGCTCCTGCGGACGAGACTTCTTTTGAAAAGGGGGACGTGGTTAGTTATACGGTTAGCGATCTGGCTGCACCGGGAAATTCTACGGCCTTAGAGCATGCGGAGGGTAGGTTGCACATGGTTGTCATGTCGAATTCGCAAGGGACGCAGGTTCTTTGCAATCGTGTGGCTGAGAGTGCGGCTATGAGGCAGGTGGGTGTGAGTTTGTTTTCAGTTGGGGTGGCTGTGTTGATGGTCATTGGGTTGCAGTAGACCAGCGTGTATCCTACTTTCTGCGGAAAGCCAACGAAGCAGAGAAAGTAATGAGGAAGCAAGCATCAATTTATCTCATTAAAGTCTTCTTATTCGAATTTTCCAATCTGTCGCCACCCTATTTGCATGATCATGAGTTCGTTATTTGAGACAAGCTTTGTACAATGCTCTTCCAGAGATCAAACTCCTTCAAGCCTCTACTTCACCACTGGAGACGACACCCAGTGCTGAACAGGAGTAGCAGTAACTTCGGTCGTCTTGGTCACTGGGAGCGCGTTGCCTTTCCGTATCCGGTGAAACAACACAGCGCCATAGATCATCTGTCCGAGACTCATCGCTCTGTCATAAAGGTCAGCCATGAATCATCTTGACTTTGGTCTGTAGAGAGGACAGGACTCACATGAGAATACAATCCCCAATCAACAGGAACAGGTCTATCCCAAACGGAGGAACCAGGAAAGCGCAGATCAATATCACAGCCCAGATTACAAACAACGTCAGGTTGGTCCAGAGGAGGAATGATGCCGCCTTAGCCCTCTTCTTCGCGACGAAGACGATGCTGACGATGTTGAGGATGAATGTAAGGGCACAGAGAAGTACTAAAACGACTGCCCAGGCGCTGTGAGAAGTTTCTGTCAGCACTCATCCTGTGCCCTGGGAGACATGTTGGAAGGAGACTCACAGGTATGCTATCGGCATCGCGTAATCAGCGTAGTAGAAATAGCTGTAGTCGTAGTATTGAGAGTGGTAGTCGATCCAGATCAAGAATCCACTGGCCGAGGAGAGGAGGATGAGGATGATGGCCCCTAGGATTGCGAGCCAGAAAGGYGTGAGGATCCACACGTTGGGAGTCGTGGTCTTGGACATGGTGTGTGGTAGTGAGTGGGTGTTGTTGAGTCGAGTAGATGTGAATTGATGGATGAGGAAGGTGGGAGGAGAGGTTGAATATATGTTAAACAGTTTCTGTGAGGGAGCATTTGTCTGCTTCGCCCCATACCACTCGGCCGGCGATCGCTCCCATCACTCCCTACCAACCTGTAAGGTAGTTTGAGCTATGAATAAACCTATTCGAGCCATCAAATCCTTCGAGCTCCGCCACATGGCCTCTTTGCCAAGTCGCTTCGCAGATCGCTCCCGTGGTCGTGAATCCTTCTTGATGGTGCGCTGAGGGCACGCTGTGTCCAACGTATCACAATTGTGCAATGTTGTACAGCATGCAGCGTTGCTGCCGTCTACGGCTCGCGAATACACCCTTTAGTGTGCCCGTGTTTGAGCCTACACGGTGACATTTCGGTGGGAATAAAATGGCCCTCTTCGCCTCAAATCAGGCACTGACCAGAAGGATTCGCATAGCCTACCCCGTGGTGCAGGGACGATCTCAGAGGAGTCCAAGCCTCAGGCAGTTTCGGCGGAATACCGGCGTACTTCATGGACGGCTATATAAACGAGTCAAAATTTTCATTTCCAACAGCTACAGTTAATGGCAAGTTGGCCGAGTGTAAGACTTCAACAACTCACAGCGACGTTTACCATGTACTAATAATCAATGCAGGGTTATGGCGTGTGACTCAAGCTCTTGCTTGCTCAATAAAATTGAGTAGTATTCTCATGGGCTTTGCCCGCGGGGGTTCGAATCCCCCACTTGTCAATCAAGTCGATTCTTTTTTTTCCTTCGCGACAAGGCCAAGACTCGAATCTCCTTCTGGGAAGAGAATCCAAGGTGAATAAGATGTTTCCAACCTTGATCACATGCTTCAACCTTTTTGGCGTTTTCGAGATTTCTCTTGGAACTCTCGAAGAGCTTTTCTTTCTTTGCGTTCACACTTTGCTACTCGCAATCACTACCTATCATCAAGAATGACTACGGTGCTTCGTCCGCATCTGCCCCCAGAGGGACCCTCCACCATTGATGCCATCACCCAGTTCTCTCCCTCGATTTGATACTGATCCTCGACCTTATTYCCTGGGACAGCCTTGGACTTCGCGATAAAGCTATCTAGTGGGCCTGGTCCGGCAGCAGTAGTCAAGGTCGCCTTCGCCTTGGGAGGCTTCCTACGCTCCCTCTGGAGGGTACGACTGGCGGTCTTTGGAATCGGGATCAACTTGGCCCTAATACCGCAGATCGCAGATCGTGTCTTTTGCATTGGCCGCAATCAACGTCATTATCAGGCGTAAGAGCTTACCGCCTGATGATCAGCAAAAATATACATGGCGACATGCAGCTGGAAAGGGAAGCTGCCTGCACGCGATATGCTATCCTGCGCTGGACAGCGCTACTTTCCCCAGCCATACCTTGCACTCCCTTCTCCGCGATTCTTCCTCCCCTCAGCCCACGCATCCTCCAGTCCATCCCTCTGTGTCTTTGCATTGTTGACCAACTGCTGTAGACTGTGCTTGCCTGGTGCCACGGCTTTGACAGCGCGATGCTGGGTGACTTCTCCTGCTTGTCGCATCTTCTCGTTGTTTGCGTATTCCGAGTCCATATCAAAGTGTGTTATAGAGACGTCTTTGCCATTGCGGCCGAAGAGATGACGTTTTTGGGCTGCGGTAAGGTTTAGATCTGAGGCTATTGTCGAGAGGGTGGATTGGCCCGAGGGCTGGGGTGATGGTTCTTCGTAAGCCGATTCCGTTGTTGTTGTTGCTGTTGGAGGATGTTCGTAGTTTTCCTTGGGATGCACGGGCTCTGGTTCTTCTGGTTCTTCTTGCTGGACGGAGAAGAGTGACTTGCGGACTTTGGGCTTGGGATCTGGTACGGCTGCTTGTGCTTTGGATGCAGTTTCCAATTCCGCTGCGCTGCTCTCTCCTATCGGCGCTGCTTTGGGCAGTACAGGTTTCTTCTTCTTCTTACTCGACACGCTCAAGGGTAGAAATCGCGTGGCCTTTCCAATCAATTTGACCTCTTGCTCCTTCTTTTCGTCATCTTTTAGAAAGCCTTCACCAGGCATTGGCGCATCGTATTGTGGCACTTCGCGACTGAACGCAGCCTCACTACTCGTCTTCAAGCTGACGCCCTTCTTCGGCGCATTCTGTGCAGCTGTCCTCTTGGGAGCGGGCAAGAAACTATTGATACCGCTGAATGCTCCCGCTGTCCGCGCCTTCTTCGCCGGAGGTTCATCTGGCGCGGCGGTGGGATCGGGACGGATGCTGGGAAGGTCGACTTTGATCTTGCCTGATGTCGCTTGGAAGGAGGGTTTGGGCGCGGCTTTTGGGGTGGGAATGGGAGCTGGAATAGTCTCTCCGTCACTATCCGAGTCCGAGTAGTCGACGAGCATGTTGTAACTTGTCTGATCAGTCGACGTGTTTGGAGATGGATTTTATGAAGAGTAACTAGATGCTAAGAATAACGAAGCCACCTTCATTCGCGCCTGGATCGTCACCCCGCATGTTCGAAACCCTGGCAATCCATTTCGCGGTCCACTTCACTTCACTTCACCTCAAGACAGCAGCATGTGAAGCAGAAGTCGGTAGGCCAGCCGGTCTGGCACAGATTCTCCCACCTTTCATCCATCATGTCCCTCCTTCACAACGAGGATTTCGCCGTATACCAGCTCCGGGTGGGCTACATCAATCAGATCCACGATGGAGTCGGCGAACGATTGATCAGTATCAACGCGGCCGTGTTGAACAATCCAGCCTTTCGCACGGCGGGCTGGCAACCAGACACAGCGGCCATTAAGCGCTGCTACTCACCTCCAATTCCCACCGGCACTTCGGACTTCAGCAATGAATACTTTCAGCGTCCCCGACAGCGAGCAGCAAGGGGAGGAGGAGGAGGGGTGGAGGAGGATGGAGTGGGGGGAATGGTCACGGGCCAAGGCAGTGAGGATACTCTGGGGCCTACGGGACTGACGAACGATCGAAAACGCGAGCGGAGGCGGCGGAAAGAGCAGGTCGACGAGGACGACAGCTCCGATTTGAGTGACGAGAGTGACGAGGAGGAAGCTGGACCGGCACAGAGCATCAAATTCAGCAAGATGCCGGTGAGACGACGGGCACAATCATCGCCGCGCACCACCAACAAGGTCGAGTTTGACCTGGACGAGGAGAGTGGAGGACCGGCATTGATGGTGACGAGTCCCTCACGCCCTCCTGACCCTGCCATCCACCTCCAACGCCTCCGCAGTGGCAGTGGCGGGGCGGTCGAGGCGATTAAACAGCGAGCGAGACGAGACACGGCCACCTCATCGGAAATGTCGAGTGAGAATGAGGCGGCCCCTGCAGGGTTGAAGCGGAAACTGCAGGGCCGTCCGGGCAAGGGCCCCAGTATGTTGGCTCTGGAGGATGATATCCAGGAGGAGCAATCCGACCTGGATGATGATGATCTGGATGTGGGAGAGGCGTCGGATTTGAGTGATTTCGAAGGAACAAACGACTCCCCTTCCATGCTGGTTGGCATGCCGTCCACTTCTCCCGTCAGACCTCCTCCTGACATGCTACCCGCCATTTCTGCCAGCACCAGCAATTCACCGAGGAAGATCAAGGACGCCCTCCCTCGACTGCCCAAGTTGCCGCCCGGTCAGCGTCCGATGAGCATCGCCCAGCCGCAGTCGATGATCAGTCTGATGCTCAAAGGCACCCCGTCCGCCGCGGACGATAAGCCATTCCAACGCTTCGCCGTGCTTTCTGGCAAAGATGAGCCTAATCCACTGTGGATCAAAATATACGCCCCTTTCTCTGAGAACCCCACCAAAGCGATTGAAGTCCCGCTCCGTCGTACAAAAGACGACCGTCCCATCACTGTCGCCGAACTCATCGGGCTGTCCCTGTGGAGGTACGTGGAGGAAGACTTCAAACCTGCTCTCAAACCGGATGAAGGAAACATCAACCATTGGACTCTACGCATCGTGGAAGATGAAGAAATTGACTACGACTTCCCAGCTCTGGTCCGCACTCGACCTGTAGTAGACTTCACCTCGAACAACAACCGTCCACCGCAGAGACGAGCTCGTGACAAGCCTTGGGACGAATTTGGCCTAGTGAAAGCGACGCCGGAGCAATTCAAGGAGAATGAGCAGCTCACTCCACAATTAGGTGAAGCTGCTTCCACACCCCTTTCCACGCCTCGCACAGAAATGCCACCCCCGAAGATGCCTCCGATGCTTTCGCAAAGATCAACTTCAAATACTCAAAATGGTCCACCGCTCCCGTCCTTTAATCCCGCCCGTAATCCCATCACCGGTCCCTCGTTCGCTCCCAGTGCACTGCGGAAAGAAAGTTCCGCTCGTTTGGATCTCCCGCAACCTTCTGGGCGAAGTGGTGCTGCAAAGACAGGCGCTCCCCGAACCGTTCAAGTGTACCACACAGATCTCCAGACCTTCTCCACCCGAACTGAAAACTGTGACACCACCACAGATTCCTACATTGCCGAGATCTTCGAGCAAAGCTGCAACCGCCTGGGTTTGGAACGTGCGTTATACGTCCTCAAAGTCCACGGGACACAAACCGTTGCTCCTCCCGATCGCACAATCGAAGCCCTTGGAGAGAGATTAGAGCTGGACCTCGTGCAACGCCGTTTCCCAGGAACAGGAATGGGGCTGAGTGGTAGTCCAGGAAGCTCCTCGCCCAACGCACCCTTGGAGCTCACTCCCTCCAGCGCCACTCCCGGCKGCCAACAAGTGGGCAAGCGAAAGGGAGGCGGCATGAAAGGTTTCATGCACCCTCTCGCTGCGCAACAAAATCGCCATCAAAACTCCTCCACTATCAACCTCGGAATGGGCCAGGAGGGAAAGCGCTACCACGTTTTGAGGAAACAACCCTTGTCTTTCGCTGCTACACATCCTCGAACATTAATCATCACGCCTGAGTACATGACTATTATGCCTGCGGGCGGTGAAGTGGGAATGACAGGGAAAGTCACGAATGTTCCAATGAGTTCTGTGATTGGGGCGAAGGTTAGTAGGAAACATCCGAAGATGGTCAGGATATTGGTGTTCAGGGAGGAGGGTGCTAAAAGGTATGATTTTGAGGCTGGGAGTAAAGGGGAGGCGGAGGAGGTTGTCGCAGATGTTCGGAGGGGGATGAGTGCTTTTGAGGGTCTGTGATGAATGAATGACTTCCAAGGACTTTGTGATCATGGCGGAAGGTTCGCTGTTAACATGAGAATTCTGACGAGACGGGAGCCTTTACCGCCTCAAACCTCCATAGGAATTCCTCTCCAAGGGATATGAGTGTACGAAGATGCGGAAGCCTACCCGTTGGCGGCGACGCTGGTCAAACGGCGTAGAAGGTCTCGAGATGATGGAGCCAGACGAAACATCTTTTTCTTGACAGCTCCTGAGCGTGTTGCTTGCTACTCTCGTCGATGGAAGAAGGCACGGTTGACGAGCTACCTTCTGGAGACCTGGGCCGAGACTCCTCCCCGGCGCGGTACCGCATCCTGCCTTCTCTGGCAGGCTTCCTTCCATTGCGCACGGCGCCTGCACTTCGCTGCCGCTTGTTTCCTTCTAAGTCGCTGCTCTCTTCTTCTTCCTCTCTGCCTTGCTCTCAACACTCCAACAACACTCCAACAAGATACATCACCACGGGATATTCGTAAGATCACTATCACGACATTTTCACACGGAGAAGTCATTATTTCACACGGAGAAGTCATTATCAACACAAATACAACACAACAATCGCCAATCTTTGCCACTCACTGAAGATGGCCTTTCCATTGACAGTGTGCACCGAGCCTTCAGGCCAATTCCAGTTCGGCGTGCGGTCGAACACATCGTTACCATGGCCGGTTGACAGGACCCGATTGTCCTTTGGCAACGTTGAGCACATTTTGTTCGCATGTCCCGACATCAAAACGACGACTGACGAGGTTGATGGGATGGCGTGGATTGTTGTCACCAAGAGCGAAAGTTTGGAAAAACCTGTGTCTACAAGATGGTCGATGGACGCGTCYGGACGTACCTTTGGCGATCTTGAGCAATCAGCATATCGCGAGGTTACAACGACGACTGAGGAAGTTGATGGGATGGGTCGGCTCAGCCAGGGGGGATCAACGCCCGCTATGATTCGGCCGGCAGCGCGTTCGACTTTTCCTCCCAAGACGAGCAGCTACAATGGCCCCGAGAAGGATGGTGCTGTACATATGAGTGAGAACGTCATCACTTCTGCTGCTAAGCTGTCGACTCGTGCGAAGCTACGCGAGCTTTGAAAAGGACTTTGGAATTGAAGGTTTCGAGCGCTCGAGGCATGTTTTGATTTGGCGCGAGGGGCACTGGCGTTGTATGCGCATTGAGTATTGGGGAGAAGGCGTCGGCACGGGTCGTTATCGAGGTATTCATGAACGCATGTCGTTGATATTGTTGGTGCTCTTCTCCATACATTCTCTGATCCCAAGCCGTCAGTAACGTTGATTGATGGAAAGACCGAAAGCAGACGATGGGGGCTTCGCTGGATGCTTTTTCTGTGAAGCTCTATCTAGTACGGAGGGCAAACTTGAGGCGATCATCATGGTACTTGTTGAGACGCAGTATGGGTTTGGATGATGGATCTTGCTCGTGCGCGGATTGGCTCTTGATACTCATTAAGTAGTTCATAACATCTGATCTGATAACGAAAAGTCGCCTTCTATAGTCGTTGAGGTCCTAAACGTCGAGAGTTCATTAACTTCGTCAAGACATCGAGATCTACAAGTTGGCAAGAAGAGCAGCTCCTCCGAACAAAGCAGCAGCACCAAAAGCACCCGTCGGCATCGAAGCAGCGTCTTCAGAAGTCTCGGTACCAATGGTGGAAGTGGCCTCCTCTGGCTGAGGAGTGCTGTAGTCGGATGGCAAGACGGCAGCAGTAGTCGTGACGTTAGCGGTGGCTGTAGCGGTCGGGACATTGGAAGTGARTGCCAGAGCGCCGGATGRGGCGTCGGGGAAGTTGGCGGGGCTGTCTTCGTCTTCGTCTGGGTTCGGGACGTTGGTGGAGTCGGGGTTTAGGACTGAGTCGATTAGGTGGACTACGCCGCCGGAGACGAGGACTGGGTTTCATTGTTAGAGGAGAATTTGACAAGGAGGAGTCTGAGGGATACATACTGTTGGCTGCGATGACGCGGGCGCTGTTCACGAAGACTTCTCCCTCGATAATGGTGACTGCGATCATGTCAGACTTCGTCTTCCGACGAATGCTTAGTATATCTTACTGTTGAGCTGCTGGCCGCTCAAAGCCTCGATCTGGGTTCCATTCTCGAGCGAAGAGCTGTATCCGACTGTTCCTGCAACAACATGATATTGGAGAGCTGTTGCCAGCTGCGTGGCGTTCAAGGTCGCAAGTACACTGGCGATGTCTTCGAAAGCTTCAGTGGTTGGTGCGAAGATGGTGAYGTCCTCCGTAGTATCCACGGTCTCAGTGAGGTTTGCAAGCTCGAGAGCACCCGCGAGGGCGGTGAGGTTGGCGGCGAGCGCAGTCGCAGAGACAGAGAGAGGAAGAGRCAAGACTGAGTCGATGATGTGAACGTATCCGGTGGAGACCATGATGTCCTTTGAGGGGAGTCAGTATTTCGCTCGCCCTGACGTATGATTATCAAGACGTACCGCATCGGTCACTTCGGCGCTCTCTCCGAGACCAGACAGGACTTGGGGAGAAGCATCATCGCCTTCGCCGACGAGGACGAGCCCAATGCGTTGGCCACCAGTGACATTGGCATATGTCTCATTACTTTGAAGGGTTGGGACGAAGAGTGGGCTTGTGGTAAAGTTGGCTGACGAGAGCGAGGCATTGACAACATGATACTGAAGCACAGCTTCGATGAACCCTGGGGTAGCAGCAGCCTGTTCAAAGCCGGGTGAAGACATCAATTCCTCCAAAGCATCATTGCTGGGTGCGAAGATGGTGATGTTGGTGGAGTTTGCGAGGGTTCCAAGCACTGGCAACAAGATCAGACTTGGTCATCAACAGCATCTCGACGGTGCTTACATTCTGGATAACTGCCTAGAAGCGTGTTGAGGGAGGACAACGACTCCGTGCTGTTGAGCGCTGCCGCCAGGTCAGGAGTCTCTTGAGCAGAGGTCAGCACGGCCGTGGCCGCAGCCAGGAGAAGAGTAGCGAATTGCATGTCTGCGGTATGGTGTTCGACGAGATAGAAATCGAGAAGTATGGCAACGAAAGCTGAAAGCAGGCTCCTCTCATCTTATACGAACTTACAAGGCGACATCAGCGGGCCCGAAAACCGCCAAAGGTTCCCCACAGCTGTCAACTGTGTCATTTGGTTCAACCCTGTCGACGAGACAACACACTCCGCGGCGAGAATGGACGGCTTGGGGCTCAGCTCGCATGGACAATTGATCGCTACGGCACAAATCGACCGCATCCACGCAATGCACGGGCGTGCTTGAGGGATAAACGTTCTGCAGGATGCAAACTTGAAGACTTGGCCCTTGTGTACCAATGGTATTGAGCACTGCCCGGCTTGGAACTCGATCATTTGTTAAGCAATCCTGGCCAGCTGGGACCATGCATATGCATAGGAACAAGGTGACGTCTACGATCTCGAAACCCCACAAATCGTGACTTGGCGGTGGATGGAATACGGTGCAACAATGCCTGGAAAGGATTGCATATGTCCTTGGCGGTACTACCGAGAGGCCGCGAACACGCGTCCGGCACGAGGTTCCCGCATTGAAGAGGCGATTCCGTGTAGACTTGCTTGACGTGGTCGCAGTGTGTGAAGAGTACCTGAATGCTTACAAACAGGTTGGCCGGCCCCTACGTTTCTGACTATGCGGTGGTATATCAGCGCTAGCCAGTAGCTTGTATACTCGATGATATCGACGGCCAATTTCTCCAATGTCTTGCCCAATGTCTTGGCTCCAAAAGTGAGTCTGATGTCGCCCTAAGAAGTGAACTGCTCGCGATCGTGAGACACAATGGTTGCGGGGAGAATCTGGGATCCCGGGGATCTTGGCCTCGTCAGCATGGGAAAGCTTGCACGTCCAGACTGAGCTGTTCCGCGGCGTGTGACCTTGGCTCACCGGCCGCGGTAAGAAGTCCGATTGATTTCCATCGTCTAAAGTCCGAGTCGGAAGTCCAGCGCACGTGAAGGCACTAACAAGTTGTTTGCTGATAAACCAAAGCGATGTGGTCGAGGCGAGGGATGAAGATGTGAAGACATGTGGGGAGACGGGCAACGACGGGATGGGGAGAACTTTGTTACAAAATTCCAGGTTAGTCATGTATAAGACCGCGCTGGGAACACGACTGTTAATACTACACATATGATTACTACTGTTGCTACATGATCTGTCATTTCTCGTCGCTTGCTGTACAACGTTTTGCATTCTCACGCCATCTCCGCCCTCATGTCTGAAGCTCTGCGAAGATGTATGGGAAAATGACGACGCACGCTTTCCAAAACACACCGACACTTCCAACCATGCGTAAAGGTAGTCGCAAGATCCCCGCGCTGGTAATATATAGCCAGATGGCATAGAGAGCAACTGCAAAGAAGTGGTAGAACAAGACGAACGGCCGTCTGATTATTCCGGCGAGAAGTCCGACGGGTCCATCAACACAGTTGCCGCCCAGCTTGAAGTAGTGAAAGCAACCCATTTGCAGCGCTTTTAACTGGGAGTCCTGCGCGGCAAAGAGGGAGTAAAGTGCTTGTGCTAGAATGTTGATGACAGAAGTCAGGTTCTTGCGTTGCCAGTGAAACGTGCGCATCTGCTTAAGGACAAGTTTGGTGTCCTCCAGTGAGTGAACATTTTGAGGAGCCAAGAGGTCGCGGAGAAGGACGACATCTGTAAAGGCAACAGTCATGCCGCCTCCCGTCAACGGGTGACGCATGTTCATTGCGTCCCCAAGAATGACGAGCCCCGGTGTGATATTCGTAGTAGGTGGGAGCCAGGAATTCGGCATGGATCGTAATTTGTCGTTTTCAAGGGCTGCCTGGAAGGAAGGACGAACAGACTCGGGGAGAGACGGCAAGACGACATTCTTCAGATGACCCTTGACACCGCCAGCCTGGACTGAGGCTGTAGGGAGATTTGTGGGAATGTCAACCAGTGCGCGTGTCTCGTGGGTGCCGATTTGATACAGCAGAACTGGCGGGCCATCTCCAAGGATGACATGGCCGTGATTCTGCATAGGTAGGTCTGCATCGATGAGTTCGAGACCCCAGAATTTGGACTTGACGACTGGAGCATCGGTTCGGAACTCCTTGCGAAACTTGCTCGAGTAGCCGTCGGCGATTATGGTGAGGCCGGCGAAGAAAGAGTCGCGCTCGCCGTTCACCTTTGCCTCGATTCCGAGGATTTGATCAGTGTAGCCACCGCGGATAAGGTCTGTTGCCTCAGCCTCGACGACAGTAATGTTGGGGTTGGACATGGCCTTTTCGCGGAGTCTTCGAATAAATCGGCCGTGGTGAAAGGAGCGACCCTCGGGCCGCTTCCTCTTGGTCCCTCGCATTTCATCGGTGTAGCTGCTTTCATCTAGCCGAGCCTTGTCGTTGTGTCCATCGTTCGCATCCATTGGGTAAGGAATGCGCACTTCGTCGCCAAAGTAAATGACATCGTAGCCATACACCTTGATCGCGTCGATTTCGTCCAGACACTCGCGCAGACCCAGCTTCTCCAACGCCTGCACGCCTCCGKGTTGTAGCAACTCGCCCACGATCCGATCGGGCTCCTTCAGACTCTTCTCCAATAGAATGACACTTCTGCCCTGTTCTCCCAACGCCCATGCAATTGCGCAGCCAAAAATGCCGGCGCCGACCACGACGACGTCGGCTTCGTGATGCTGCTCGCGTCGAACCAACTCCGCTTGATCGCGAACGGACTTTTTCGATGTGGCCATGATGTGAAGGAACAGTTTTGAACTGGGCTATTCGACGAGCCAACTCGCATGCGTTTAACAATGGTATTGCTGTGAGCCTCGAGTGATGTTGTCCGAGAATGCTGGGTTCTTTGTGGTTCGACTTTTGCGTCCCTGAACTACGACATTTTGACAGGACCCTGAAGAATCGCCGGCAAGAAGATGGCCCGAGATTGCGATCTTGATCTGCTTGACTTCACCTTCCCATCACACCGCCACAAAGAAGAGACGAACACAGCCACCTTACAACATTTACTCCGCCTCTTCCCCAATCGGGAGTTTGAAGCTTGCCGGCTCCCCTTGGAGTGAATCGAAGATAACGCCCGCGAATACCTGAGGTAGCTGTAGGCACTAAGCAAGTAGGCTTACCGAGAGTAAGATTTCGCGCTGAACAATAGGTACTCAGTAGTGTCGTTGCCATTGCAGCAAGTAGAACATTGGGCAGCGTTGAGATCACAGAGACAATCGACCCTCCACTCATCCACTGTGCCATTTCATAATTCTGAATTCTTGAACCTTTTTGTACGCGGCGTGCAATGACTCGATGCTGGGGTTCGAAGATGGGAGATCTGTCCGACAAGCATCATGATTCGGCGTCCGTGCCTCGGCTACTCCCGCTCCTGCCATGCAGTGAGGAGGTAATTGACATCTGAAGTTCAATTTCTTGCACCAACACAAGCCACAATCACTTCCCAATATGTCCACCTCCACACTCAAACGCAAAGGCTCTCCGGGTCTCGAAGATGAAGCAGGTCGTGATGCAGCCCCAACAGCAGCAGCAGATGACCGCGCCGCCCGCTTTGCGGCACTGCGCGCGCGAGCGCAAACATCGCGCAAATCCAATCTCAACGAGACAAAGCACGAGGCATCGCGTGCAAAAATCGACCCCAGCGCGCTCAACGCTGTGACACGGAAGAAGGATATCGCCACGCACAAATTACTGAAAGCCGACATAGAGGCTTCGGGCGGAGATTTCGAGAGGCAGCGCGCATGGGACTGGACGGTGGAGGAAAGCGAGAAGTGGGACGAACGGGTGGCAGAGAAGAAGGCAAAGCGGGAAGGGAACAAGTTTGCCAGCTATGGCGACGAGGCTGGCAAAGTGTATGAGCGTCAAGTGYGWCAAAATCTCGAAAAGGATCCGGATGGTGCGAGGTTGAGCAGCTATGAAGCGGAGAAGCGAAGTGCCATCGACCGTGCTGTCGCTTCGGGTGGATTGGAGATTGTGGAGGGTCCGGACGGAGAGCTGATTGCTGTCGATCGAGACGGCTCTTTCCTCTCTACTGCCGACTCGGCTACTGCTACATTTGGGGAGAAGAAGCCCTCGCGGCAGGCTGTGGACCGTCTGGTTGAGGACATCAAGAAGGCAGAGGAAGTACGGCTGCAAAAGCGGAGAGCACGTGGAAGAGCGGATGCACTGGATGACGGCGGCGATGTAACGTACATCAACGAGAAGAACAAGCAGTTCAACATGAAGCTCGCGCGCTTCTACAACAAATATACAGCGGACATCCGGGAGAGCTTTGAAAGAGGCACGGCAATTTGAGGGTGTTGAAGGATACTGCCCATTAGCGTTACGAATTATGTATGAACATGCGTTTGCAGAAAGTGTCTCTATGTTCACCTCACGATCTCATTTCATCAGTCTGTGCTGTAAAGTCCAACAACGTTCAACAAGCCCTTGTCCTGGAGGCCCAGCTCCTCGTTGACCTTTCTCCACACCCTCAATCTCGCATCGCGATCGCGACAGTGGGGCATTGAGTCCTGCTCCCAAATTCGGTTGAAGTATCTTCCACCGCCTTTACCAGCACCCACACCCTGCGTTGCCGGATCTGCTCCAGCCTCTGGCGCAGTAGCAGTGTATGTGATAGCCAAGCTACCCTGCTGCGAGGTAATGGCCATGTACTTCGCCAACGTCTGAATGAGGTACTCCTTGATGTTCTTCCAGATTCCCGAACCGACCAGGTTCCAAATACCGCTGTTGACGAATCCGGGATGGCAGCCATTGATGGTGATGTGCTTGTACTCCTCATGCTGGAGAAGACGGAATTGCAGCTCCGTAAGCCAGGTTTGGAAGTAAAGCTTGTTGTCCTGGTAGTACTTTACACCATCCCCACCCGGGTGCAGTCCGCCGTTCATTTTCGCAACGTTGAATCTTCCGAGGTAGTGAAAGCAGGATGTTGTGCATACGATACGAGGCTCGGGTGCTTTTGCGATTGAGGGTAGCAGTCTCATGGTTAGCAAGACGTGACTGAGGAAGTTGACCTGGTGAATGATCTCGAAGCCATCCTTGGTCATCAAAGGAGTGGTTCCACCTGGGCTACCGCCCATGCCTGCATTATTGCATAGGATGTCCAGCGGGCGGCCAGTGTCCAACCAGCGCTGTGCGAAAGATTCGATGCTGGCAATGCTGGCCATATCGATTTCCCACCACTCTACTTGGGAAACATGGCCGTTGGATGTCGCGATTTGGAGACACTCTTCGACAACAGCTTCCGGGCGGGTCTCATGACTCTTTGGCGGAAGATTTCTGCAGGCGAGGATGATGTTGGCACCCCATTTGGCAAAGGAAAGAGCGGCTTCCCTGCCGATGCCATTGTTGCTTCCCGAAATGATAATCCATTTGTTTGTGAGATCACAGCCTGCAGGGAGTGAGCAGTTGTATGAGTATCGACTTTCTAGCAGGATACATACCTGGCACTTGCGAATCAGGAATTACATCTTTCCTCTCAGCTTTTGTTGTGCCGCCATGCTTCGTGATCCATTCCTTCGTTGGTTCGGGAAAGGACAGGGGGGCATCGTATGCGATTTTGTCAATGTCTGCCGTCGGGGCTCGCTTTTCGGTGGACATGATGGCGGAAGGTGGGTGTAAACAACCTTCACATGGGAGCACTGTTTATTATAAGTTCACATGCCATGCACATCCCACTTTGGTGTGGACTGCGAGATCTACCATGACGATCTTTACAAGATGCATGCCGAGGCAAGGCGTTGACAAGAATCTGCCGGAGGTTCAGAGTTTGAGTCCAGATCGCGGAGGCTTCGCACGCGTACCGTACGAAGCAGCCATTAAACGTCGCGTTGTGCTTCTTCAGACGCCGTCTCAGCTGCTCATCCACCTACCTTTGCTAGAACACGCGGAGATAGGGGGGAAGGTCCGAGGGGTCGTGTGCCGCGGCCTGGCCGTGTAATTAGAGATAGCCCCGCTCGCCTCGGCCCGCTCTCGCATCTCTGCCCGCTTTCACCCCCAAGATGCCCGCACAACGACACGACTTCGCAATCCAAGCCCACAGCGGTTTGGGCCTTCCGACGGGCTCGAGCATCACACGTTGCCAGCGGGCGAGCATACCGACTGTGCCTGCAGACAGGTGACCTGTCCGTAGCTGGGAGATCCCTGTCCGACCGTGGGCTGTTGTAACACTTCGGAGCGCAGCCCGCTTTCCATGCTGACATGGCACAATTTTCTCATTTCCCCGGGGCACCAGATTGAATTTGAACAAAAACCAGCTGGTGGATTGCTGTCGAGTGATCTTGGCGGTTGGATCTTGCTAAGCTGCAGTACTCCAGACTACGCATCCCTCTTTGTTACGCCCAGTCCGTGTATGGATCAGCGGGGCCTCTGCTCCGTAGAGAACCAGCAGGCCGAGTGACGAGCTGGAGTTTACCAACCCTGCTGACCGCAATGAGCCGGCATTGATATCTCTTGCTGTTACTCCTTGTCAGGCGGTTGCAGAGGAAACTGAGCAGGCACGTTTCGAGGCCTCGATCTTACCGGCTTTTGCAAGCCAAAACGTGCGTTGTGTTCGCAAACAGAGTCGAACGCCGATAACAGCCAAAACAAAAAAACTTGTTGAATATGAAGATCACAGGAACATCACTGATTCGCGCTGACCTACATCACAACGAGGCCCAGTGAAATCGAAGGTTGCGGCCCTTGGAATACCTATGCCTACAGTAGGCTTACATCGATGTGGAGATCATGAAAGTCCTCGACGGAGATTTTACATGATCGAACTCGGCTCAGGATCCGGCAGCCATCCAACCCATCCAGTCGTTTACCTCCCGTCATTACTGACAGAGACGACGACTGGTCTTAGTCCCGGGTTCGCTGTTGATTCAAGATCGAGAGCCTGCTGCCGAAACTAATAGCACACTGCTCTACGGGTGTGTCACGATAGACTGGGACGAATCTCATTGCAATGCCTTCGCTATTTGACCTCGCGGAGCATGGCCCGGTATGGCCGTACCTCCTGCCTCCTACCTCCTATAAGTAGTACTGCCAGGCACTAGCTCTGAGCTAGCGCAAAGTCAAAGAAAGCTTAACGATTAATGAAACAGCTACAGCACTGCAGGACTGCACAAGATCTCATCTGCGACAACCATCGCGAACTGTCTTCACGGCAAACTTCGCGGTAAATGCGGCGAACGCCGCCAAAAGGTAATTGCACTCCAAAAACATCGAGAAAGTTTGCATTCACGCGTCCCCCGGGACTAATTGCCGCACGAGGCACGGCGGAGGCCCAGACCGAACACGGACATATCGAGGAAATAGTGGCATCGAAGCCACCATGACTTGAGCCTCAGCCTAGCATGACTTGCCTTCACCATTTCATCTTGTACTTCATCGCTCTTTGCCCACCTTGAACATTTCGTCACGTCAATCAAGGCAACTGTCACGGCCTCGCGCTGTCCTTCTCTTCTTTTCATTTCTTTCAACATCATATCTCCCCGTGAATTCGTCACAATGAAGTCCTTCATTTCTCTGGCCGTCTTCCTGACTGTTTCCCTTGCCCAGCATGTTACAGTTCCTACGACCTGCACCGGAAAATTTTCCGCTGGCTCTGACGAGGTGCTCTTCACGGTTCCATATACATACACCGAAGTGCTCAGCATCATCGGAAACTACTCCAATCTGACCTGGTCCGGATCTCCTGAAAATTCAGTATCACTCAATGGATCGGACAATAAAGTCGGCACCGCCCGAACCTACGACCTCGCTGGCGCTCACCTCATCGAGACCATCCTACAATACTCTAAGCCTCCTGCTCCAGGTCCCTACGTCGAGGTCCACAACACTGCTACAATCAGCGTCACGGGTGTGGATGTTTACATTCCTTTCGATGGCACGGTCGTTACGAGCATGTGTGATGGCCAAGCCAGCATGTTTAACCTCACCACGCACTTCTGCGCGACAAACGTGACCATGGCGGCCGGATTGCTGCATCAATTGCATTTGGGAGATGTTCAGACGGTGGGCAAATTTTTGGGCGGAAAGGACTTCACGGGATGCTCGAATGGATCGGATTCTGCGCCGAGCGAGACTACGAGCTCATCTGCGCCAAAGTCTACATCTAGTGGGACAACTAGCTCATCTGCGATGGAGCCTACATCGAGTGGGACTATGACCACAGCTGCAACGGATTCTGCGCCGAGTGAGACTGCGAGCTCGTCTTCGTCGTTCACGGGCGAAGCGATGAGGCAGAGTGTGGGAATTCTAGGAAGCGCGGTCATTGTAGCATTGGTGTCTGGTGGGTTGTGTTGAGAGCTTTGAGAGCATCAGGAGTGATTGATAGAAAGCTTATGCACCAAAGTGGTCTTCTTATGGTTTCCTAGGTAGTACGTTCAGGCTCCAGTCCCTACTACGAGAATTGTTGACGATCTCGTGTGGTCCTGATGCTCTTGCACTCGCAATGGATGATCTGGCACGCACCACTTTTAGATCAACAGCTCAGGGGACGAGAATATATATTTACAAACGTGGCACGCCTGGTCGTGCTCGAGACTTCGTCTCGAATTTGGTACTATTGTTCCTGCTTCTTTCTCATTTCATGTCGCTCCTCTCCTTCTCCTGGCTTTCGACCTCTCGCTCCTGCTCGGAGAAGGAATGGAGCCATGCTGGGGGTGTTCTTGGATAAGTCAGAGCTGTCAATCTGACGATTCTTCAACGAGATCAGCCCTTTGACCACGTCTGGCTTGTGGTTCTGATAAAGGGAAGAAGCCCGCTACCAGAAGGGGGTGGTGATAATGTGGCAGCGATAGGGAGCGTGCCTGATCGCGTGCTTCCATCTTAGTGACCCTGTTCATTGAAACGGCTAGCTCGCGTTCCCTGTTACTCTTCTCGACAGTGCGATGACTTGAAGGGTAACCCTCCGTCGTGCAAATCGCTGCGGCGGCGTTGTCTTCTGCCACAATCTTATCAGCCTGCCTAAGCAGACGTTGCCCGGTAGCGTGATCCCATCCACCCTGATCGAAAGCTCGGCCTCCTTCTTTTGTCTCATGTCGGCGGCCTGAAGACTGCAGGTGCTCTTGGATTGGTGACTAAAGCTGACTTCCACCACAGACTAAGTGCTGCGCCAAGACGAGAGCGTCGAACAAGAAAGTGACCAAATTCATCTCAAGGATCGACGATGCTCCCGAGGGCCTCCACAAAAGATCTCACCCTGCCGAGTAGTAGCTCACAATTTCTTGGCCATACCATTTCCGCGCCACATCTGGGTGACTCTTGATCCACTTCCTCAACTGACTTTCTCCCAAACTGTCCCATCGTGGATCTAAGAAGGCAGAGACATACGTGCCGGCCGACWTGTCCGTCATCTTCAGTCGCCTAACCGACTCCGGTATATATTCCCTAACCTCAGACACCATCATATCCAGCGGAAGACCTTGGAAGAAAGGAATGGAATATCGCACATTACTCTCCGGTCCGGGCGCGATCACTCGATGCACTGTAGCTTTCACAGCACCCTCCGTGGCAGCCTCGAACGCATTTCCAAAGTTGACTACGAAACTGCCCGGTATTGGTTTTGCTGGAAGCCAATCTCCCGTTGAAGAAAGTACCTCCAAGCCTGGCTCATCGCCTACTTGATACAGGAACGTGAGCCATCCGGATGAATCTTTATGGGCACCCACGCCCTGCCCACCGGTCTCATCTGATGTAGTGGGAGGATAACGTAGGAGCTTGATACGATGCTGAGGTGGGAGAAACGTCCGTACTTGCGGTGTGCTTCCCACGCCATTATCTCGGCCGAAGAAATGATCAAAAGTTCCCACGGGTATGGAGAAAGCTTCTTCGATGAGATGAACGAACTGGTAGGATAGCTCTTCTACGGCGTTGTGGTAATCGTTAAAAGCTTTTCGAAAGCCTGGAAGTGAAGGCTCAGCAGGCCACTGATTCGGCCCTCTGAGTCTCCAATAGAGCTTTTTGAAGTCTCGACCGTTGCTCGATCGCTTGACTTGCTCAGACTCTTCTTCGTACACTACAGGAAGTTCCGTGGCGTAGTCAAACTGCTCCCGAAGGTCCTGCTTCCCAAGCGTAGTCTCCTCCGCAAACCCACTGTATCCCAGGAAATGCGGACTATTAAGCTTGCTGAGTTCGGCTTTTTCTTCATTCGGGAGATCGAAGAGACGCGGCAAGAAATCGGTAAGCTGGTCAATTGTCGACTCTTGAACGCCATGGTTGATGATGTAGAGGAAGCCCACCTCGAACAGGGCCGAGTAGAGCTGTCTCAGGAGCTGAGGCTTCTTCTCTGGATCACTGGCATCTGACAGATCTAGAATCGGAATGGACGTCATACTCTGGCCCGTCTTTTCGTGTGAGCTCAATAGATTGTGGAATCATTCATCCATCGGGGTCTCGATTAATGGTCGGCAACGCCAAAGGTACTCCTCGAAGCAGAGGGCAGGTCTGACGGATGAAAGTCCCTAGTTCCGTCGCAAACCTGGCCGCTCAGGGCAATTTCGCGCTTCTTTTCATGATGAGTATCCTAGAATCAAGCAACGACGACAAGTGAATTGTACGTGATCACCAATCACGACATGTCGTCGAATTGCCCTTAAATTCCATCATTTTGCCCGAATATTCGCAATCCAATCGCGGCAGTATTTCCGCCCCTCGGATCGGACTTTCAAACTGATGAAAGCTTTCCAAGCATCGGAGAGCATCCCAATAATGACCACAGCGTTAGCCAGAAAAACTCAAGAGCTGACCCAATGATAAGGTCCGGCGATCCATCGGCAGAAACAAAACTCCCAGCTTCCACCGTCCTCGGGATCGCCTAGTCGAAAGCCCCGCCAACAACATCATAGCAATGCTTAGAAACGCGTCTTCTAGAGCTCTCCACAGCTCAAAACTTTCAATTTGTATTAATAAATCGGCCATCCTTCCCACTCCCAGGTTCATTCGAGCATTCTCTTCTTACCCCTCGTACCGCCAACCAATAGCCAGCAAGATGGGTTACGAATCTATCAGTCTCAAGGACTCGGCTGACCTCCGCCGCTCCATCTACCAGCTTGCAAAGACTTYTGCCGTCTCGGATGCGAAGCTCAAGGAGATCGTGGAGCATGCTATTACCACTGTGCCTAGTAGCTTCAACTCCCAGTCCACACGCCTTGTGGTTTTGGTTCGAGAGGAGCATGACAAATTCTGGGACATTGTCCATGGCATTGTAAAGGCACTGGCCCCTGAAGATGCCCAAGAAAAGACCGCGCAGCGCATGGCCATGTTCAAGGGTGCCTTTGGAACTGTAAGTGGAATGGAGAAAAGCGGATTTCCCGAATGAATGCTGATGTGGACCAATCATGTAGATTCTCTTCTACGAAGACCCCGAGCCTATCAAGAAATTGCAATCCACCTACGCCATCTACTCCGAATACTTCCCTCAATGGGCCGAGCATACTTCTGCCATGCATCAGTACTACCTCTGGGCGGCTCTCGAAGCGGAAGGTCTTGGAGCAAATCTCCAGCACTACAACCCCATTGCCAACCAGAAGACGGCAGAGACGTTTGGTATCCCACAGGAATGGCAGCTGAAGGCACAGCTCGTCTTTGGAGATATTGTGGGCGATGCGAGGGAGAAGTTGCAGCCAAGATCGCAGACAGTCCCTCTCGATCAGAAGGTGACTTTCCATGGATTGTAGATCGCGGGCTAGAAAGGCGTATAGAAGATTCCGTATAGATCGTCTTCTCCCAGTGACCGACTCTGAGGATTGAAGCAATAGTCCAGACGACACAACCTTGGCCGGTAGGAATGCATGTTCCAGGTCTGCAAGTCGCTAGGCGCTCGTGGATTGACCAGTGGCTCGCGTATCCTGTGGTACCCTGCACTGACACCCGGTCTCAATTCCYGAGATAGAGACAATGCTTAGTCGTAATACGTGTCGATATTCTTCATCATTTCATCATCAAGGCACTTCGCCAGCTCCCTCGCCAGCCTCCACGGCCTTCTTCTCGTCATGATTCACAAACAGGAAGCTCCCCACGACGATGCACGCACCAATCCAGTACCACGCCCCGACCGTTTGGTTCACCAGCACAATCTGGCCGATTAGGCTTAGAGGGATCGTAATGCTCAGCCCGACTGTTACCACGATCGGGCTCGTCAATAACACCGCATAAGCCCACGCCATATCGGCCACGAGACTGGCCAGGGAGTTGAAGATGATGATTAGCGTAACCGTTCCCGTCGGTGGCATCTCGAACGTTTCGATCCCAGTGTAGTGAAGAATGACAAATCCAGGCCATAGTATCAGCACGTTGATGAGGCCTACCAGACCGAAGAAGACGGGCATATCGACCCTCGTCTCGTCCGTGATACGCTTCTTCATGAAGACTGCGTAGAGGCCATACATGACAGCAGAGAGAAAGGCGAGCATATCGCCGACCGCAATCTCATGATTGCTCTTCTCCGGGAAATCACCGCGGTGTTCGTCGTTGTTGTTCCTCCCACTCAGGTCGATAAGTGATATCAATATAATGCCCGAGAGAGAAGCGCCAACGCCAAGAAGCTTCGAGACCGTAAACTTCTCCACCTTGAAGATGGCACCAAAGAGCAGGGTAAAGACGCTGCTGGTGCTTGTCAGGATGGTGGAGGATGCCACTGATGTATACTGCAGACAGGCGGCGACGAAGTAGTTTGCGAGGAACCACAACAGGCAGAACTCAAGACTGAGCTTGGCGATTTCCGGGAGACTGAGCGGTGCGAGGGCTGTAGAGACGTCGGTCGTGTCGCTGTATGGATTCTTTGGGTTGAGAACCTGGCTGTCATCGAGATGCATGCTGGAGGCGTTCTCGAGGAGAGGGCTGTCGAGTCCCGCTTCTCCACTCTCGTCCGACTGTACAACTGGGGCATATTGGCGTCGGATTCTTGACCGGAAGTCTCCGCTCCACTTGGCCAGATGTTCGGGGTTGCGGCGATGTCTGATGAACAACAGCGGGATAAGCGGAAGGATGAAGAACTGCCTTCTGTATCAGCCCCTCAGCTCTTTCCTGTCCACAAGTGAAGACCTACCGAAGTATTGATATAGGTGACCAAGTATGGCTTGCTGTACGTATCATCTGCGAAGATGGTCTGTGATGTCCGCCGTCAGCGTATGCCCCTCTCCTACCCGCCCGTTTGGCATCTTACTGAAGCCAAAAAGTTCGTGGCTGTCCATAGAAAGATGGTCACGGCCAAGAGGAATAACCCGACTACTCTCCGCCATTTCCCCAAATCCATCAGTGCCATGCTCTTGACGCTCGCCGTGTCGCCTGCGTGAAACGAGGGTGGAGCCAGGAGTTCGGACATGGCTGTTATGGTGGACGGAATTCGTAGGCGATCGTGAGAGAAGACGTCTTCCCTGCCTCTGCCATCCAGCCGGGGACAAGAGGAGCGGTGGCTGTGAAGAAATGCTTGAGCTTGTCGAGACGGAGGTCTGTTATCGTCCAACCCTGTCGATTATGATTGTGTGTCATCCACGCACGCGACGGCACGCGATCCGGAGGCATGACCGCAGATGATCGTCGACACAACAATACTCCTACTTCACTCCATTCATATCACTCACGCAATGTAGAATACCGTTCAAATGAAAGCCATGGTCCCGTGAGATTCATCAAATGGGTATATACAACAGATAGGAATGAGAAGAAGATCCTCCAATCTTTGAATCTTTCACCGCCATGCTCGTAGAAAGTGCGCCTACGAACCGACAARGGCGAAAGTCGTGACCGCCGTGCCGTCACATACTGCTTCCCTTTTAAAGTCTCGATGAACATCACGCTCGCCATGCACCGGCAGCTTGCGTCGCCTCGTCATCTCCACGATGCGCAATCATCGGCTCTGTAATGTCAAATGCCTCTATCAACTTCTGCCAAGTCTCGTAATCGAGCGAGAAGACGGCCTGGTGCTTCATTGCATCTTTCTTCCTGGCAGGTGCCGTGCTTTCTTCGCCTTCGTTTTCGCCCTCAGGCTGCTGCACGATCAACAGACTCGGTAAGCCATCTGCTCCTGTCTTCACTCCCACAACGCCCTCTTTAATCAAGAATGAGATGTAGAAGAAGTTTTCTACCGTCTCTCCAAAGCTCCATGGGTTGATGGCATAATCGAATAGTCCCGGCCCTCCTTCTTCAGTGATTCTATACTTCTTGCAAAACGCCTTCTGATCGGGCTCGATCCCTCTCGCTTGCAGCCTCTCCAGGGCCTTTTCGGCCGTGTCGATGTGATTGTTCATGTGTCTGTGAATGCGTTGGCAGATGGCCGTGAGTGTGTTCTCGTCCTCAGCTGCGCCAGGTTCGCGCGTAAGAGCCTCCGGACGAGCCTCCTTTGAGGTGTCCTTGTTCTGTCTTGCCCGACGTTGAGTCTGAGCACGAACTCTCTTCTCGACCGATAGTGGGCCAAGCAGGAAGGATGGACATGCAGGTCGCATGTTATAGGGAAAGCAGGCGTTGGCGCCAAGAAGTTCCCAGTCCAAGGCTTGCACGTCCTCATCATCATCGTCGTCGTCGGCCGCTGCCACCGCTGCATTCCGTGCTTGAGTCCGTCGTTCTTGCTGTGTAGATACTGACGCATCGACTCGCCCCTCATTCTTCATGTAACTGATAGCCTTGGCCAGGAATTCGTTGACGTCTACGCCCGTACTCGCATCTCCATTGATAAGCTGGGCGGTGCTCTTGTGTAGTGCATCCGCCAGATTGACCATAATATGGGCATCCACCGTTGCGTCGCCCGTCTGTTTGACATGCTTGTAGAGGTGGTTGGCGCGGCGAATGTGCTGTCCCAATAGCTCCGGATCGCGGATGATTTCGTCTCGTGTTTCTAGTCGCTGTATCAGCATTGATACTGCTTGAGCACCTGTCACAACTCACCAATGATTTCTCGATCTAACTTCCGAGACTTCCGCTTCACTTGTTGCCTTTTCTTGCGATCCTGGTTGGGATCGTAGTATCGTGTGAACTTCTTCATCTCTGGGTCATCGGATTCGGCGTCCTCTTCACCGTCGTCATCTTCGTCTTCCACGTCCTCAGCTTGCGTCGCGAAACCGCGCTTCCTTTTCTGTGCGGTAGAAGACGGTGCCGCATCTTCCGAAGAGGGTGTCGGTAGACTAGCTCTTTCTGGTGGACTGTCCTCCATTGTCGCCGGTCGTTTGTCGCGTCGTTTGTCGCGTTGGGGGTCCTGATTTTCTTGATCAGACGCGTCGCTAGAAGGTGGAGCCGCGGTGTTGGCACGTGAAGAGGCAATGGTTGAAGGTCTGTTGTTTACTCTCGCCATAATTGCATTTGTGGTGGTAATCAAGTGTGTCTCGGACGCGTGCGGAAGTCTCGGTGGGGTCGCAATGAGGATGTCGGAAGATTTTGTCGTCTCCAAGGTCCTTCGGTGATGCAGCAGAGTATTGGTGATTTCTGACGGTGACAGCGAGCGCAAAGGTGACGGCAACGAGAGTGGGTGGTCGTATGTAGAGATTGTTGTCCATCTGGAGGCTCATCCGCAACGCGACTTTCCGCTTCACTTTGGCGCTTGGAAAAGTCCGTGCACAGATGGATCCGTACCCTACCTATGTAGATCTGCGCCCATGTCGGAGAGGCAGACCATCTTTCCCCCTTGTGATGGTCTCTCAACACCAACATGTGGCGACAGTGAGGAGACAAGCGAATGGCCATATCACTGCACGAAGAACACAGGACATTTGCTGGCGAGTCAATTGCCATCACTGTAATAATCATTTTGTATCGTTTCATTCACTCCCTCGCTCACGTCAGACGTCACACATCACGCTCCGTCTTCGGCAACTCGACAACACTCTCTACTCTTCCCTCGCCAGCCTTCTCGGCTTCGACCTTGCTGCTGAAATCATCTGTCCACACATGCGTCTTCCACTGCCTCACAGGGATGCGGTCCGCAAAGAGTCTCTCCAGCTCGGCATTTGTTCTACCTGTCGTCTCGCCCACGCAGAACCATGAGTAGGCCAGCGTGATCAAACTTCCACCGGCATAGACGAATCCCAACATTGGGCCGAGGTCCGCATCGTAGTACATGTATGGSGAGGTGAAGACCATCATCCACACGGTGAAGAAGAAGGTGCCAAGCGCACACGCTGTGATCTTGTTCCTGTTGCGTCCTACTGCCATCTCCGACGCGATGGTGTAGGAAAGCGTACCGATGGAGAAGTTGTAGAAGATGACGTTGAAGTATCTAGGTAAGTGTCAGCTTTCATTCAAGAGGGACCAGCCAGCTTGGTGGCATCAACTTACGCAAAGACGACAATGCCGATTCCGACGCCACGGCTGAAGCCCCCATCAGCATTACGAGTGGTGCCTAGACCTCCAACCGCAACAAGCGAAATAATCATGCCCATGGTGCAAACGAGACTAGATTTGGTCAGAAAAGCCTCTCTCCGCAATACCACCAAGACTGGACTCACAGGTTCGTTCTCCGGTTCATCTTGTTTCCGAACACGACTGAAAGTCCAACAGTCACAATCTGTACGACATAGATGATGGTGTTGATGGTGAATGGCTCGCCGACACCAATGGACTGCGCGAAGACGACTCCGTATCTGGCAGATATCGTCAGCAATAGCCCAGGTCTTCAACAAGCACGCAAAGTACTCACGTGTACCAGAACTGGATTCCGTTGATCTGCTGTGCGAACATGACACCGCATGCGTACAGCAGCTTCCTCCTCTCGACTGGGTCGGTCAACAAACTCGCCCAGCTGGATTCCGACTCCATCTCAAGTTCGAGCTGCAYCGCATCCTCGATGACAACGAGATCGGGCTCCGGAGAGTAGTTTGGCTTGCTACGGTTGATCTTGTTCAACGCGGCTGCGGCTGCCTCTCGACGGCCTTTGGTCATGAACCATGCCGGCGATTCGGGGATGAACGGCAGGCAGATGAGCATAGTGAGCGGCAAGATACAGAGAAGACCGACCGGGAGTCGGTAGGAGGCTGCGCCATCGATCGTCTCGGTTCCCTCTGGAGTGGACAGAGTCGTCAGTAATGAATCGTTGCAATCTCGACTTTGGTCGACTTACGGTTCACACAGGCTCCAATGAACTGTGCAATGGACTGCATGAACTGGAAGCACATGAGTGCAGGTCCACGAATCTCCTGCAAGCCACAACATTAGCATCGATCCCTTGCTGCCGACCCTGTAAACTTACAGTTGGCGCCACATCCGCAACGTAAATCAAACATGTGGCTGTGAATTGTCCAACTCCCAGTCCCACAAAGACTCTTCCGACGTAGAACAATCCTTCGATTCCATACGAGCAAAGTTGTATGATGGCACCAGCGATGATGCACAAGCTTGCACACGCAAATACAGCTCTTCGTCCAAATCTGTCGTTGATGGGAGCAGCGAGGATGGCACCGACGAATTCTCCAACATAGATGATCGAAGCGGAGACGGAAAGGAAGACTGTTCCCAATTCCCATTCCTCCGCGGAGCCAGGTGCTGTACGTTGGCCATAGTCGCGCTTGAAATGGTACATTCCCTGGATACCGGTATAGTAGATGGACTGGTACGTTCGTCAGCCCTTGCGCATCTCCATCAATGGAGATATTGCTATACATCATAACCATAGCACAGCGCACCAATCGTGGCCACGAGACAGTAGAAGATCGCCCAGCGATGCTCGCTCCAATTGATATTGAGTCCTAGGCCTCCCATTTTGGCGACGAGGACGTTGATGCTCTTCGGGTGGTTCTTGAGAGATGGCTGCCCTAGCGGGGGGATATTGCGATTGCTTTATACCAAAGTCGCGCAAAACCAAACGCGCCGCGTGCTTTGGAGCGTCCCCGTGGGGACCCACACCGGAGGCCAAAGCATTTCGACGACAGGGATGCACGTGTTGGGGCCAAACGTGGAAGTTTCTAGCGTGCAAATGCCGACTTGGCTGCATTGGACATCGAATCAAGCTCTGCTTACGATGATACTCTTTCACCATTGTAATCTTCCAACACGCAGTTCGGCCAGCTGGTATCTTCTACTTTTGAAATCTTGAGCGCTGCGTGTATCGATCTCACCATCTACTGTGGTGAAGAGTTCGGGGCCGTAGCGCGTTGGCTGGTATAGTCCGACTTGGCACGCAAGTAACATCTCATAGCGTCTTAGCTCCACAGTATAAATCTCTCGGCGGAGGAATAGGGCCGAAGAGCTCGGACGTTCTGACGTTTGTGAGAAGAGACAAGAAGTCAGCAGGTGGAGGAGCAGGGGAAGCCTGGGAAGATCCTTGGCTCGGTCCGAATAACGGTAAGTGTCGGACATACAGACGAGCATCTGCAGTTCAACAACATGAGATTGAGGACTCTTCTGCAGAACGAGCAAGCGAGTTGTGGGTGCGGGAACATCTCTCCACGTATCGCTGTGGGATTCAGCAGGGACGGACCGACTAGTTTCGCATGCTGCTGTGCAATGGGTCGTCGGCCGAGACTGTCACTCTCAGCTGCAGTCTTCCAGGCCGCGCTTCTCTCTCCACTGCGTCGAGACTCGAGAGAGGCACTCGAGACGCCGTGCCCTTCCACACGCGGCTCGCGAAGGCGCACATGTTGACCGGGGTGGGAATGTGATGTGCAGTACAAGGCGACGAGTCGATGTCTGTTGAATACCGAGACTCTTGGCCCCGGCGAAGGGAACTCCTTCTGAGAGATGGCAGGTGAAGACGTCTACAGCCAACCTCGAACTGGACCGTATGTCCGCCCCTCAAGGATTCAGAGGATGAGCATCGGACTAAGGTATCTCCAAGTGTTCCCAACCTAGACCACGGTCGATTTCCTGTCCGGTAAAAGCCGCCTGGGGAAGAACGCCTGGGGAAGGTCTTCTAGGGAGTGCCGCCGGGGGCAAGCCGTCTGCTGTGTAGGAGCACAGAAGGTGCCATTCAGTGGAGGCGACTCAAGCAGATTCCGCTCGTGGAGATCCTGGCCGCCGAGCGTTCCACACTAGTACTGTAACAGCGCGTTCCATGCCAATTCACAGGATGGAGCATGCGATGTGGTACAAGGCGAAAATGTGACCTGTCATGGCGGTCAAGTTTCACTTTCATTGATCCTAGCAGCTACAACGGAACTACCCGCCACGTACAAGGGGAGCCTCGTCTTCGCATCTTACTTTTTCATGAGCACTCTTGGAATTCGATGATTCACTACGCAACATCCACCACCGGACGTTCACTACTGAACATTTACCGCACCCAGGATGGCCGCCCAGGAACGCCCTCATAAGAGGACGTGCAGAAGGTCGTCTCTTGCAGGCAGTATCGGAGACTTGCTATCAAATGGCAAGTACAGCGATCTGGAGATCAGGTGTGATGGCAAACGATTCGAAGTCCATCGCAACATAGTCTGTGGGAGATCTACTGTAATGGACAGGGAGTGTGACGGTGGCTTCCTGGAAGCGCAGACAAGGATCATCAAACACTCCGTCTTTGACTCTTCCGCCATGGATAGGATGCTTCAGTTCATGTATCGATGTGACTATCAAATGCAGCAGGCTTGTCCCACGTTGCCGGATCCGGATGCCAGAGATGAGGATACAACTTCACAGAGCTCTCCTGTTGCATCAACCAGTGGCGAGGAGTCTGCTGTCATCTCGTCCGTGGTATGGAACGTCAAAGATGAGCTCATAGCTCATACCTACGTCTATGCTATTGCGGACTACTACGAAATGCCAGCATTACAAGATCTTGCCGCCTCAAAGTTCGCAGCTGTACAAGAAGGGGCAAATTTCCTTGGTCCCGAGGGTCTCATCGAGGTGGCGTCCATTGTCTATGCAAACACCRCCGCCGAGGCTACCGACCTGCGCCATCAGATGTTTTGGCTGGTATGGGATAATCAATGGGTGAGTCCTACCTATTGCATGGCTGCACTAGTCACTTGGGCGTACAGCATCTAGTCTCGCGAAAAGGCCTCTCTGTTGGCCCGCCGACCATTTCGACCCATGGCAAAATGCAGACACCAGGGAGAGGGCAGGTCAGCGGACGGGCCTACCGGCATTCCAACATGCTGTAGCATTGCCACGAAGCCTTGTTGATTGTCCATACGAACCAGACTGACTGGCATCATAGTCCTCATTCGAGTCTCAACTCTTTATGGATGCTCTTGCTGCTCGTCCAGAACTGCAAGAGTTTGCTGTAGAGATAATCTCAAAATCCATCACGAATCACCGAGCAGACGATCAGTCTCTCGAAGAGCAGATTGAGAGCCTGCAAGCCTCTATCGATAGGCTTGAACAATCCGACGAGATGTACGAAGTAAGCGACCGTTGTCTACGAACGAAAATCGGAAGTTTGGAGGAAATCATCGATAGGTATGAGCAAGCCGAAGTCAGAACTAGTAGCTCCATGGAAGCGCTGGAGAAGGAGCTGAATTCTAGACGTCGCGATATTCAGGATCTTACTTACTTCGCCGGCATTGAGCATTGCCGGAGTTGCGTCTCTGAAGGCAGCCTACCTCGGCAGTTCTCGTACACCTTGAAGACTCGGACTCGTAATAGGGGTTATGCTGCAATCTGCACGGGGTGTAAGAAAAGGCATACCCGCCCAGATCAAGCTTGATTTAGTTGAGTCTGTATTACTACAAGAAATCCGACTGGTGCTGTCTCCCCCCTTCTATATCTCCTGCCATCTATCACACCGGCCCTTTGCTCATTTAATGATACTCTATGCATGGGAAGTAGCCGCCGCGCAAACAGTCTTTGTACTCACGAACAGCGGGTTCGTGACAGTCTCCGAGCAAAAGATTTGGCAATGCGGTACAGCAACATTAACACCCTTACATCCATGGCAGTTAACAGTCTCCGTGACAGTCCTAACAGGACGAGGACCACAGCATCCGGTGTTCGTATCGTGGAAAGCCGTCGTGCAGGTAGCTTCGGCGCGAGCCTTGACATGAGTGGCCATAGTAGTGATGATTTTGACAGGACCCTTTGGAGTAGCCGAGGCCTTGCAAACAGTATGAGTGCGGGTGCTAGTGGGGATTGTCTTAGTGGACTGGCAGATGATGTCGCAGCGTGGGCCGGGGTTGGTTTGGATCGCACAGCCGTGACAGTCGATCGATGTGGTTGTTTCGACCGCAGGTCCTACGCAACATCCTTGATTTGGCGTGACGATGGTTGTGGTGCATTGCTTGGCGTCAATGCTGGCCAGAACTGATGTGGCCGCAGCCAGGAAGGTGAAGAGAGTAGACGCGAGCATTGTTTGACCGGTGGGTGTTGTAGAAGCGGTGTGAATGTTGTTGTTTGTAGTGTGGATGATGAGGCTCTGCAAATACTTCGGGGTCGTCATGCACCTTTTATGTACTCCGACTCGACGGGAACTTGACTCGTAGGTCTACGCTTGAGGTTGGTTTTGGCTCATTAGCTCAACACGTGGTGGTGAAAATGCTTGACATCCTTCGCGTGATCCCTTGGAGGATGTACGAAAGACACTTTGGAAAAGCGGCGTTACGATCAAGAGCCACAATCGTTACAAGCGATTTGTATGTGGCCTGGTTCCAATGCTGGATTTATCTGGAGGACTCATATTCAGGCAATCGGGAATAAAGGACCATGACACGTGGGTTGACCTACCTCAAACATCTGGCAAGCAAGTCATTTGCCGCCAAGCAAAGTCGTTTCGTGCATATCCTCGAAATGAACTCCTTCCTTCGCTCCAATGCCCGTTCTATGAAGAGAGACTTCAGTCGAAGGAGCGAATGAGTCTTGGAGAAGGCTTGGGAAGCTTAGCAAGCACGTGGAGGATGGGGAGGATGTCACGCGGCAGCCTTCATCGCTAACGCTAATTCCAGCCTGTCCTGTCGATCCATTCTTCGAGAAATGGACCCAAGAATGCTGAAAGCCTTCGGCGCAGGCTTCTTGTCCGTTCGAGTTGATGTATTGGAACGGGCAATGTGCAATACTGATCTTGTCACATTCTTTGACTCATGCAACTCTGTCGAGTGCATGATTGCGCCAGATGGCTGCTTTGCTTTACAGTGGCCTGCCCTCGTACTGCCGTGCAGCAAAGTGTCTATAAGTCTTAGCAGTCCTCGCGCGGAACTGCTTGCCGCGCCAGATGAAAAGTGTTGAAAAGCACAAAGTGGTAAGAGCAATCGCACCCATGATGTTGAAAACGTTGCCCACACCCATACCAGCGATCCAGGGATTCAGCGCGAAGACGAATATGGTGGATAGCGTATACCGGCAGAAGTTGAGCGCCGTCAACGCATCGCCAACGATTTCTGTTTGATATCAGCACGACTCTCGTCTACTGAAGCAGATCGAGACTTACCGTTGTATGCATCGAGAATGTAGGTCAACGCCAGGGATTGCAGAGGTGCAGAACCGAAGAGACACATGCCCCAAGCGATTGCTACTTGAACCCAGGACACTCCGTTTTGGAGAGAGTAWCCAAACCACCAGGCACCGCCAAGTAGAAAGGGAATGAAGGGCAGGAATAGCCAGAATCTCATCTCTGGCTCGTATATTCCTTTGTTGCGTTTTGAGAGTCGAACCACAACCAAGTCGCTAATTGGGCCGCAAATAAGCAGTCCGAGCGTACTTCCAATGACTAAAGAGTGTCAGACGTGTGGAGGTATGGCTTGTGCTGATATACTTACACGGTGCGAGACTCATTAAGCCAATCTGGTTGGCATTGAAGCTGTATCTGCAAGCGAAGATATTGTGAGTATTCGTTTTAGTGAGATTCCAAGAAGTTCTGCACCTACGGAGGGTCAAGCATAATGGTGCTGAGAGCAGTTGTCGCAACATTTGAGTATGCAAGTACAATTGCATACACGCACGAGCAGTAAAGAACACCTGGGATTCGTACGAGGATAACAAATGGCTGCCATGAGTGTCGTAAGAATTCGGACCAGCTGCCCGGAGATGATGTGAGGAGGGATAACTTTTCCAGGTACGTTTTCCTTAGGATGGTGTGGTCGATTGAAACGACACTGAGGTCGGGTGCATCTGAGCCCAGCTCAGTCACAGGAGAGTCGGATCCCTTGGCGTCTTTGTAGTCGCCTCGGTCTTTGGTCGTGTCAGGATGTATCCATTTCGATTCCTCGAATCCCAGGAAGAAAGCGATGAACTGAACCCCGAAGAAGATGGCACACCACCACCAAACCCATCTCCAACCTTGGCTAGTCGTGATGAACCCTGATGCGACTACTGCCAGATAGCTTCCAACCTGTTCTGACCACACGTAGATTGCATTCTTGAGGCCTCTCTGGTGGACGAAATAAATGTCCGCGATGGTCATCTGAATGAGCACGTTGGAAAGAGCACCTAGCCAACACTGAACAGAATTGACGCCCCACCAGTCTCCTGCAGTCATCGTTCTGGCAGCCCAAATAGAGACCGCGAGTTGGCCGACACTACTGAAGATATAGACCGGCCTGAGTCCCAGCTTGAGTGCAAACGGGATGAGCATCGGAGGTCCAAACGCCAGTGTTGCACATCCAATGGCGTATGTGTTGGTGAGAGTCGCATCACTGAAATTCAGCTCCTCGGCGAGTGGGCCCCATGTCGGCGAAGTAGCATTGATGAAAGCAGTGACCATCATCGAGTAGAAGCACGCAAGAGTGTAGTTGATGGTCTTTTGCCATCTCTTCCAGTTGAGTGGGTCGTTTGGATTGTTTGTTGGTCGCGGCTGTAATACAATCTCGGCGTCTTTGGATTCTCTTCCTAGTAGTTGAGAAAGTTTGACGGTTCCAGGTGGCCATTCCGGATCGTATGTAWCATTATGATTATCCATGCTGCTTTCTTTTTTCCAAAACTTCTGCAGAAGGCATACACAGGAGAAGGGAATGAGGAGGAACGAACTCAAAACGAAGGTCGTCTATGAGATAGCGAGCTGTATCAAGATCAGGGCATCTCCCATGCCTCGTTATCATGCAGGCACGGCACCTATTACAGCGAGCCAAGCAATCGTGCATTGTGAGTCGTGGGTCTCTGTAGATAACAAAGATACGTACCCCAAGTGGGGCGGATTACATGCCCAGTACAGTGAACGGCACCGCGTGATGATGAACGTCTATACCGCGACCGCACTCTTTGAGAACATCGCCGCTCTGCATTGGCCAAGTCGGAGCGATGTGTGACTTGATGGAGAGGCATCGGGATCCGTGACTTGGGCCCTGSTCATCGCGTTGAGGAGCGGGAGAACGATGCTGATACTATAGCCCTCGTGACGCACCTGCGGCTCATCCATGGTGGACGATGTGGGCGTGCGCGAGTCTGATATTGTGGTATGAAGGCAACATGCCAGGTGGTGAGCGAAGTTGAGAGGGCGATGCGACGACTAAAGTGGGGCTTGCAGTTCTGAAGGGTCAGGGTTGGGGTAGTGTCGGCATGACCAAGACCGGTGATCTTGAAGGTGCGARGCTGCGTTCTTTTGTGCTTGTGGTTCTATCATCCACTGGTCAACCCAATGCAACTTTTGAATGTGCCTGCTTCACTGGAACATGTCATGCACGACGAGAAGCAGAAAATGATTGGTGGCGATGCTCAAAACCTAACGTAATTTCTCAAAACCGCGTATCAAAGGAGAAGGCATGCAATGTCGGTCTGGAGAAGTGCAACAGTGACTATCACCTGATGGGTTCCTTCAAACGTCATGCGTAAGTCATCAAACATCGTTCTATATATCTCTACCGCCCAAAGTTGAACACTGGAGCCCATCTACTCATGTCTGGCTCGCAGCTACAATCCAGAGTCGTGCTTGGGGTACGGCATGGTCTTTTCAAATTCCCGCCAGTCTCTGCACGTATCACCATACGTAGAATCTGGCAGTACAGTCTTCTCTGCTTCCTCAATGAACTGCATTCCAAGTCCCTCGCCAATGTGGAAGGCAATATGGCAATGGAGAAGCCATGCACCTGCCATCGTATCAGCGTTGTGAACAAATAAAACGACCTTCAACACTGTACTCACCTGGATTGTTGGAGGGGAAAGCAATCGCTAGCCAGCCACCTCCTGGCACAGTGGCAGTATCTCGACGTGGAGGAGTGTCAAAATTGAGCTTTGCAGTTCCGTCCCAGGTACTCTTTCMCTGTCCGAGAACGAAGTAGTCATGTCCATGGAGATGGATAGGATGCGGGATTGGAGGTGCAGTGGAGAATTGCTGGATAAGGTAGTAATTCCAGCTTCCCGCCAACCCTAGTGGAAGAACGTGCATGGTATCCTCGTAGTCGGTATCTCCATCCATGATATATGAGACGGTTGGTCTACTCCAGTTGACGTTAAGATTGGTGTTGTTGATGGCCCACACGACGACAGTATCTTTATTCGGAAGAACCACACCTGTCGTTATGTTTACATCCAGTCTTTCGGCCACTGCGTCAAAGCTTCCACTCGGTACTTTCTGGACCCAATACGGTGCGAGGTTGCTAGGCTCGGTGCATCCGTTCGTGACCAATGGCCACGCAGTGGATGATGGATCAGCTACAGTGACGGTGTCGTAAGACCAGACGGCCCGACCAAAGAACCTGTTGGCAGAGAAGCAGTCCGAGGCTGGCTCGGCACGGAACCAGTAGTTGCCTGCTGTCTGGTTTGCACTGATGACGACGTCGTAGCGCTGGCCAATACCAATAAGAACCCACTCCGCCGCAAATGGTTTGATCGGAACAAAGTCCGAGGTAATGACATTCATGGTGTGGCCGTCGAGTGAGACACGCATGAATTGATCGACGGACATGTTGATCAGGCGCAAACGGTATTTCTTGCCTGTGGTCATCTTCACCTTATTGTAATTTCCCCCACCAGGGTTGTTGACTCCGTTGTTCTTATTTGTACCATTGATCAGAATGTTGTCTGCTGTGGGAGGCCCTCCGCCACTCTGTAGACTTATCATTGATTGATAGGATGTCTCGAATGCCGTGTCATAGTACCTGCATGGGCTTGTCAGCACCGTCCAACTGTCACGGTAATGTGCCGCTCACCAGTCTGTCAAAGCATATGGACCAAGATCAATGTCGTAATTTGCCGCTGCCGGGCCATGGAACACCATCGGACCAACGATACCGTCACCGTACTGGTTCGAGAAGTGTGAGTRATACCTGAGATCTCTGTTAGTGCCACCGAACGTTTGAAGATGTTCGGCTGTATTACCAAGATGTTCCGAACTGAGTGGCCTGGAACTTGTATGTATAGCTGCTGCCAGGAGCAATCGGACATTGAGTTATACCTGGGAAGATGTCAGCATGCGTCTGTCAGATGTTGTCGTTCTCCAATCATACCTGGGACGCCATCTCCCGCAACGGAGTTGAGCTGACGTACGCCGTGCCAGTGGAAAGCGGTTCCGTTATCTTGTAATTGGTTGTGTACAGTAATCTCAAGCATATCTCCCCTGAGTCCAGCGTTAGTAATCGAATGCATGCCCCTCCACAACAGACCTACCAATTCGCATTTATCACAGGACCAGGATACTGGCCATTGATAAGCATACAGAGCTTCTCGCCGTTACCATCCTGGTTACAGGTAGAGTTGGTGATCGTCAGATCATATCTGACAGTCGCACCAGTCGTTGGGTGCTTCAGATCGAAGTCGGTTGCAATGCTGTAGCCATTGCTCCAGCAGGCACGGCTAAATGCTCCATGTCTGCAAGCACTATCTGCTTGCGGTTCGCGCTCTTCGATGATCGCAAGGTCAGTACTTGTGTGTTCCAGGGGAAGTAACGCAGCAGCAGCAACAGAGACGACCGCCAACAGACTGGCGAAGAGCTTCATTGCGCTCGAAGCGTAGAAAAGGATGTGAGAATGAAGAGCAATGCGAAGAGAGAAGATGCGATGTATCAAACGATGCAGCGGTGATGAGCCCTGGGCGTCGAGCAATGAGGGACTGTGTGTGACAACAACAATGCAATCGAGGAGAGAAGGCCATGTCATATAGCTGAGCAAGCATACTTCCCTGCAGACGCTTCGATAAACGAACAGAACATCGCTCCCGAGAACTCCATACCAAGCTGTAGCCACGTGAAGCGCCAGCATACATGTTTTAGGGCAGATAATGGTCCTGTTCATTCTCCGAGTCATGGCGTACAGACACGTGTGTCCACAGTGACCGTGCGCGCCTGATTGGGATGTCCGGCTAGCCTGAATCGTACAGCACGCATCTTGATGGTCGAATAGGAAGCACGCCCAGTAATCAGGTCCGCCGCGTATGCAACTCACAGCCTTGCCACGAGCGGTGAGCCCAGTCGCTGGAACAATGTATGCAGGGATTTAGACCGGTGCTGCATGTCAGATCGCCTTGCATATCAAGAAAGAAGGGCACCACCGTATCGATGAGATGGAGTTGCCTTGAAACGGTAACGCCAGACGAACGTACATATTGAGCCCTAAGTTTAGCTGGCGAATAGGTATGATGAATGTTTTGAGCTGAAGTCAACCGCAAGGTTTGCAAGCGAGACAAGCGAGTCTAAATCTGGTTCGCCAAGGCCAGGCTTCCGACCTACCTTATCCTCCCCTCGCTCGTCCCCGTCGTCAATCTCCCTCCCGCTATCAAGACAAATAACGAAAACTCTCATCCTCAATGCAGCAGCTTGCAGTCTCGGCCTATATGACCAGGACCAGGGTGCCCGGTACATATGAGATGGGATGATCTGAGGCCATCAGACGAAACCGCATGGCCGACAGTCCCGTCCTGTGGGACGGGTCCGCTCCACCGCGTGAAGAGGGCATGGATACTATCCTATGCGGCGGGTCTATCATTAGTCACTACTGTAGTTCACCGGTCCGCTCCATCTGGCCCGCCAGCTCCCATCTCCGCGCGCCTCGCACCCTCGTCCTCATCCTTCGCTATACGACGTGCCTTCGCCTTCGGTACCGTTAAACATCCGGTCCAGCGTTGGCAGATTACGTGCGCAGTTCCCACCTGCCGCGAGTTCCGATCGGCGTATAGGTGCTGGCTAACTTTGGATGATAGCCCTTGGCTCCGGGATCCCGCGTGGAAAGGCGTCTACCGCAACTCGCGCCGAGCAAAGCTGAGATGTGGCCCCCTGCCGGTCATGCTGTGCAACATACCTTACGGTCACGTATTGTCTTGCCATCGTCATCACTCAGTGCTATCCCAGAGGCCAATACCCGGAGAACTTCATTGCGCTTTTACGCCACTACTTGGTATGTGAGGTCCAGAAGGCTGCAGTGGAGCATAAATCCCGCAAGACCCTCATCGAAGAAGACTGCGACATGCGAATACGATGTCATCCATGGTMCAAAGGTTCGCCACGAAGATAATGTCGCATAATCGCCATCCGAAAGGCACCAGTTCTCTTAGCAATCGCTGAAGATGACAACAATTCACCTGTCCGCTCCATCTCGCGCGCGTCTTGCCCTCACCACAAGCAGCGCGGTGCCGATGATGAGGATGCGAAGTGGACCGAAGGCAAGTACTAGTTGGTATCCCAGAGATGCAAAATGCCTGCGAATTGCTATACTGCGCTCTGTCGATCTGTTGGAAGCTGCAACCCTGCCTTCCACGTGCCTGCTTTGATCTGTGGCTTGGTAGACTTGATCGCCATCGTGGAGGTGGGTCCGATTCCAACTTCGCCCCGTGAGCCTGATGAGATTGCTAAGCTCTACACTCTATAGGGCACGCTGCCTGATTCTCAGGATCGCAACGCCAGCACAGAGCTCCACAGCCATACTATACATAGCGCACGTCGTATTCTTGCTATCGCGTGGAGACAAGATGCTGCCAAAAGCCCACACAAAAACCCATCAAAGGAATGCTGACCGTGACATTGCAGCATGCAACATCGCTAATGCAGTAAGCCTATATTTCCCGCACGAGGAAGCATTGTCGAAAAAGGTCGGATCCATGTCGAAGCGTATGCTGTTAGCGCTGGATTGGCCGCAATCCCTGCTTCAGAGCCCTGCGCAGCCTGGAATTCGGGTCGCTGCCACGACTCGTGCATGATCAGGGATCACGGACAATTAATAGTACGACCATCGGCTCACCTGTCTCCACCGCATCTGGCATGGACCAACCGCTTGGGTGGCCTTTTTTCGAATCGATTATCGCCGGCTTCGATCAGGCTCTCGTAGTCGCATGTGCATTCACCGTTATCGCTTGGCACTTGCCTTGTAGCGAGGGCAGACTTTGCCTGGTGCTGGTATGCCCGGGGTAGTATGGTGCGTAAGTGCGATACGGACATACGACATCGATGGTATGAAGGAGCGTGATGGTCTGTGTGCGAGCTGCGCCGAGCGCGTTCCATCATAAGAACTATCTCTATCCCCTTCCAGGTAAATTGAAATATCTTCTTTCAGTCATCAGCCACCCCAGTTCCTCACACCCACAATGCATTCTATAACAACCCTCATCACTTTGGCTATGGGCCTGCTCTCCGTGGGTGCGGTCGTTCATGGATGCGAGTCCCACGGAGTTGATTTCCAAAACGGCGGCGGCCCTTACTTCCAAAACCAAACGTCTCTGGAGCCATTTAGTTTCGTATCGATCTATGAGAGTGGGTAGCCACCAACAACGCATGTCATGTTCCGCCAGACTAATGCGAAGACCAGAATGTGAGGCAGACGTAGCGACGAATATCCTTGTAAGTCAAAATGAATTATGGAAGACATACATCGTTTCTTTGCATTGGAGGTTGTTCAGACCCACAGAGTCCTCACGAGCATTCCAGCGCTCATAAGGACTCTGTTCACTCTGAACTTGGCCCTTGGTCACGCATGAATGACTTCCGATGCGAAGAGACGCTGCAGAGCATGTCTCAAGACCTCCATGCAGCTTTCCAACATCGAGATACTTGCTTACCTTCGTTACTTTGCTTTAGGTGGATCCCGTAGGCGACGAATATCTGTGTAGCGACACTCCTCTTCAACCCGACGATACCAATCAGATGTCAACTTGCCCGTTGGTAAAGAACGAGATGTTCTCCGGACGCTGGGCTGTACTCATTCTATCGAACAATGGAGAAGCAGAGCCCGTCGGTTTTGAGCGAGAGTTTGACTTAATTGTGGGAAAACCGGTCACCACAACCTTCACTCCCACGATCTCGGTAAGTCTCATCCATTCGACTATCGTCTATAGCTACGACTTATACTGTTCAAGGTGACTGTGACTAGCACGCCAATTTCGACCACAACAAGTACTACCAAGACAATAACGACCAACACCGTGACGAGGACTACAACTTTGCCCAAGAAGACCATAGCTCCTACCAAGACCATCAAACCAGCTCCCGTTTTCACGACCAAAGTCTTCGGACCGACCGTCAAGATAACTGCGACAGAATTCAAGCCAGTCATCTCAACCAAGACGTTAACCAAGACATGCAAAGTCTCTACGCAAACAAAGAAAGATCCAACATTGACATGGCGCCCAACATCGCTCCCCACAGCCCTTTCCGGCATCGCACGCGAGCTCTCTCTGACCCAAGGCCGCGACACATCTCTCGCCCGTCGCGTCCCAGCCGATCGCAAGCAAAGAATCTCCGAGCGCAAAGCTCGCATCGCCGCAGAAGCCAACGCCAACGCCAATGCACACATCAACAAGCGCGGCCTGGACTCTGCCACTTTCACCATCACCGCCACCAATCCCGCCGATTGGATCACTTCCACCTCTGTTGCTTTGGCGCCTACCTCCACCATCACTAGTACATACGTCTCTACCATTACGCAAGTCACTACGTCCATCTCGACTGTTTACTCTGGCACAAAGACGATCCCTACAAAGTATATTACATTGCCCACGGAGACGATTACGAAATTCAAACCTACAATCTTTACTACGACTGTTGCGACTATTACAAAGAGTCCTACTTTCACCGTAACGGTTCCTAAGAATGATCCCGCGGCTACGAAAGCGTGTAAGATCAAGGGCGGTCATATGGTTGAGGCGAAGTAATGCAAGTCGCTCTTTATACAATGGTGTCAAGTTGAGGGACAGAGAGCTCGCTGATGATGACGATGTCTTTGACGATGTAACGAATGAGGCCAGACTCTTCCCAGATGAGACGAGGAAATGGAGTTGGTTGGTCAGTCAGGATGTCAGCGATATATAATTCATGACGATAACGATGGATATGATTAAATGCATGAGATAGATCGATATACATGACCTCGCCGCCATGGCATACACTTTCCAGCTTCTCAGATATAGCGCAACGACCAGATGTCACGATGTTTTTCAGAATAAGTGTGAGACTCTGTTTAGACTGAATCCTCCACGACGTCGCATTCGAAGCTTCAATCATTAATCACGAGAGAAGCGTTAAGCAGTATTTACGTACCGCGTATTACCATCAGACACATCATCAAGTGTCTCCATCTCAACAAACACATTCCATCAGCCAACAACGCCCATCACCTGCTTATATCTCTCGAACGCGCCAATCCCCACCTCCGCAACCCCATCCCTCATCTCAACATCCACACTACCAACCTCGAATCCCCCGGGCCTAATAGCCAACTCTTCAATTTCCCTCTTCAATACCCTCCCCATCTCCACCATCGCAACCCTCTCCTCAAGCCCCATGACTCTCTCCACATCCCTCATTCCTTCCAATCCAACACTCAATCGAGCCATAATCCCCGCTCCCTCACGAGCATATCGCTTGCCAATATTCATAGTGATCAATCTTGCAAAATCGGCAAAGACGCCGCCTCCTTGAGCCCATCCTGCTGGTTCTTCGGAGAATGTCTCGAGGAGAGCTTTCAGCTGACCATAGTCTTCTTCGATGATGGCTTTGGGGCCCAAAGTCTCGCATACAACGCCGTGAGCCGCGTCCACGGCACCCGCTTGGAGGAGATATTGACATTGCAGCCAGGGATTGTCTAGTTCAGCGCGGGCGTGTTGTGCCTTGGCGGACCAGAGAAGTTCGGCTGGAACGAGATTCTCGCGGTTGAGAACGTCGAATGCGTCGACAGTTCCCGCGGGAGTGGCACCTGCTTCGGGAATGTTTCCGCCATTGCGGTAGAGCAGAGCGGTGACTGCTCTGGTGCGAGTGTCGGCATAGCGGAGGTGGAGCAATACCCAAGTTGCAGTCATGAACTGCCCGGCGGATTCAAGCTCGGTGGCGAAGCCGAAAGTGAGTTGATCGAGCTTCTCGTCTGGGAGGGCAGAGCAAAGACCCTTTGCGCGGAGCTGTGTGGCGAGTTGCCAAGCGAGACGGGAGTTGACTGCGCTGCCAGAGACAGTCTTTGGATCGAAGACTGAAGATGGGTCGAAGTCGACAGAGCGGGACGTCGAGAGACGGAGGAGGCCCATGAGCGCATCTTCTCTGCCATTTGCGTCCCCGTTAACTGCCCAAGATGGCACAGGTAGCACAAGCTCAATCCCGTCAGCCAATGCAGCAGAGTACGCCTTCACTGCATCTCCTAGCTGCTCGTGACCACCGAAGAAAATTCGCAGTCCCAGGCTCTGCAGCCAGGTCAGACCAAAGCGTTCCGCAATGCAGAACTCCTTGGCGCGGTTCTCAGCTGTGCCCTTCTTTCCGGCAACAACACACACCTCACCTGCAAGGATAGAGTAAAGAGCGCGCGTCTCATCGGAGAACTCAGCCCAGTCGTTTCGGTCTCGCCACGCAGTGATCTGCTCTTGCATCAATTGACGACYCTGCTCATTGCCAGGAAGCTGTGCAATAAGTGTCGCGAGTTTGAAGTCCTTGCCGGCCACCAGCGCATCGCAGGCAGCAGGAACATCGTTCTTGGTCAAGTATAGTAATGCCTGCTCTTCCGGGGTTCTCGCGAGCGCAAGTTRCTCATCAAGACCAGCCTGGACAAATGAAGACCACAAAGTAGAGAAGGCGTCCTTGCGCAAGCGAGGCTCAAATTGTGCAATGAGATCCTCGGTCATATCATCCAAAGACAGGAGCCGCTCCACGGGATCGAACAAGTGGCCAGCGAGATTCCAGATGGCTTGCTCACGGCTGTCGCTTGAGATGTGAGCATAATCAACGAAGCTGGCTGCAGCAGATGTGTTGGCACGAGGAAAGCCACTGGCCGGATCGACAACTGTCATGTCCTTCTGCCCAGTCAGAGTTTGTGTGTTAATGTCCGCTCCAGGCACCCATTTCGCGAATCGAACTTCTTTGTGCTCGCTGACCAAGGGCTGCAGTGCCGTAGTGAGAGGCTCCGAGACCTGCTGCGTCGAACCGTCGACCGAGTAGACAAGAATGCCGCTGTTGGCGAAGGAAGGCTTCATGGTGTCGTGAAAAGCAGCGTCCTCAGAGGACATGTCACCGGCGGTTGAAGGCTGTTGCTTCTTGAGATAAGGTTTCTATTTTCAGTGGATTCAGCTATGTACTTTAAATCGACAGTGGTTTGTGCATGAGTGCAGGTGAGGTGATGGAACGCCCAAAGTGAGTTCCAACAGTTCCTCCAACACAGCCTTGCGCTTATGGGTATTTTGGGATAGGATGTGAACAGTGATATCAGGTGTCAAACAAAGCGTGAGGGGATTGGTCATACCTCGAACGATCTCTCAGCAGCAAAGCCGTTTTTGCCGCTCTTCTCCTGTGACCACAGCGAGTTCATAATGTCCATCGAGGTGCGAAAAGCCTGACTCTTGCCCATGTCTGCCGGTGCGATCTGCATTGTACTGGCGCCAAATCCGACTTTCTTTGCACTCTTCTGAGCAAGATAGCTCTGACCAAGTGCACTTCGACCAAGCATGCTTCGCTTGAACGGGGTGGCGCTGGAATCTTCCTGCGGCTCGTTGAGCGCCTGGGCGCTCTTTTGAATTTCTCGGAGGTACTGGCGGTCGCGTTTCTTCGGGCTCATGGTTCGCTGGAGTTGATCTTCCCAAGTCTCTGTCGCAATTTTCTGAGGCGAGGCAAATGCAGAAGCACGAGCAGTAGGCTTGAGGATTGATCTGAGAAGTTTCGGCTCTTCAGGCATGAAAGAGCCGGGAAGCTCAGTTTCTGATTCGTTCTGCAATCCCTCAGTAATTTGGACAGCGCCGGCGTGTTCATCAAGCATACTGGATTGAAAGCGCTCATAGGCTTGAGGAGATGGCGGCTGCACAGCTCCACCAGGTGACGCAAATGGATCCTCCTCTGCGTTACCAAGGCCGCCGGACATCACAAAATCTCCATTGCTATCCTCGTCCGCACTTGGATCGTCATAGTCATAAGAGATGTGGGACTCGTCGAAGCCGCCGGGTATGTGCGTGCCCGTGGCACTGGAGATTGAACGCTGGTTGATCTTGAACTCGAATGTGTCGTCAACTTCGCCGGTGCCAGTACCGCCGGTCTCGATACTCTGCATGGTATCGTCGTCTTGGCCAGGAGTGGCAGGTGCATCACTTAAGCCACTGGAATTCTGCTCATCTTCCATGTTCATCGTAGTCTCGTCGTCATCAGAATCATCGAGCTCGTATGTGGTGAAGTGCTCAACGGAGAACGACCACGTGCCGGTCTCAGCATCGTAATCGAGGAATTTGGTTCCTCCGGTCTTCTTGAGGCGGCGTACGTGCTTGTCGTAAGCTGGGCCGCTGTTGGCCATGATGACCTTTCTTCCACCGTGACTCTTGGGCCATGAATTCTCGAGGAAAATCTTGCTTGGGACGTTCAAGCCCTTGCCACGGGCAGGCTTGGCAGCTTCATTTGGATAGACTGTCGCAGACCGCGGCTTCAGGTGCACAATGCCCTTGCCATTGTCGTGTCCACAAATCTCGTCTAAGTMAGTGGTGCTGAGATCGCATGCACTGAATTCAATGCGGCCGACACCAGTACGACCAACCACGATACCATCCAACTTCTTCAGGGTCTCGCGTCCCATGTTTTTCAGGTCCTTGATCGAAGGCTTGGTCCAGTAGTCGCCAATCTCGATCTCTCTGGTGAGATCAGGCTCCGTGGGCCGCATGCCAGGAGCCGAAGTTGGGCGCCGCTGTTCACCGTCCTCGTGCACAGTGGAAAGAGGTCCACCATTGGTTTGTACCATTTCGGGAGCTCCGTTGGTGGAAGTCTTGCCGTTGGCTCGGAACAAAGAGCTCGGAGAATCGCTCTCTTCCGACACCTCCGTTCGCACCAAGGCATTGGTGTCAGCCGGCTCGGCGTCCGATGCTCGAGTGTTCTCGTCAAAGCTGACCTTCTTGCCCAAAGCAGGAGCGTCGTTCTCACGAGCCGCCTCAAGCTGCCGATGCTCAGGCTGTCTCTGATCTGTGGGGGGRGAGAACAGCTCATGACGAAGGCTGCGATCAATTGTCAACTTGCGCATGTTGCCGGAGTTGAGGTAGCGGCTAGAAGCACTGCCTGGAGTGGGGCGAAGCAAGCTTTCCCCTTCTCGAGAGCTGCTATCGCTTGTTCGTAGGTWGTTCATGGACATGCTCTTGGCAAGTCTGCTGGTGAGAGCACTACCGAGACTGCCCGTTGGCTTCAGCAGGCTGCTGGCTTGTGGAGTAACGCTGACGGAGTAAGCAGAACCAGGAGTGCCATATGTAGAGTAGCTGAATCCGTAGCCTGGGTTGCGGCCGACCACGCTCGCTCTGGGTGTGTAGATGGGCGAGTTCATGCGGGTGCTGGAAAGCAAGCTTTGTGTCTTGGAAGGAGTGGGCTTTGCTCCTGCAAGGGGTGTGGCGAGAGGTCCAACAGGAGTGGAGGCTGTTGCCAGGGACGAGAAGAGTTGATCGTTGCCGTAAGGTGAGATGGTCAAGTTTGCATGAAGCTGGTTGGGCTGGTTCGCGTTGGTGCTCTGGTTGAACGAAGATCCGAACATCGAGTTGTTGTTCGGTTGTTGATTCTGATTGTTCCCTCCCAAACTGCCGAAGAGGCTGCCAYCACCTCCGGGTTGAGACGGCTGGTTGTTGTTCGCACCAAATAAGCTCGTGCTGGAATTGGTCTGGCCACCAAAAAGTGAACCTGTTGCTGGCTTGTTCTGGGAGTTTCCAAATAGGCCTCCAGAGTTGTTGGTTCCCCCAAACAGACTGTTGGTGTTGGACGGTTGTTGATTATWGTTGCCACCGAAAAGTCCCGTTCCTCCCGTATTTGTATTTCCTCCAAAGAGTGATCCGGATGGCTTTGGTTGATTGGAGCCAAAAAGGCTGCCGGTGTTATTGTTGTTATTGTTGTTTCCAGTTGAAGCGCCAAACAGACTTGTGGTTTGTTGTGGTTGGCTAGGCTGGGTTCCAGAGCCTCCTCCAAAGAGAGATCCCCCTGTATTGGCAGTCGATGAGCCGAACAAGCCTCCTGTTGCAGGCTTCGCAGCGCCAAAGAGTGAACCAGCGTTGTTGTTTGTGGTAGAAGCTCCAAAGGGATTACTGGACGGCTGGGAAGCACCACCACTACCACCGCCACCACCACCGAACAGCCCGCCTCCAGTGTTATTCGTGTTGTTGCCCGTGTTTCCGAACAACGAGCCGGTGTTTGTAGTGTTGTTGGTGTTGTTGTTGGTACCAAAGGGGTTAGAAGCTGCACCGCTGTTTCCGAATCCACCGCCGAATGCAGGCTTATTCTGCGTTGAATTGTTGTTTCCAAAAAGCGACCCAGTGTTGTTTGCGGCAGCGGTATTCCCGAACGCAGAGCCTGATCCCCCACCAAAGATGCCACCCGTGCTTCCCGAAGTTCCCCCTCCCCCAAAGGCGTTTGTCGATGGAGCTGCTGAAGAACCGAAAAGGCCACCCGTTGATGGCTTGTTGGCATTACCGAAAAGCCCACCGCCCGCGTTACTTCCGAACGCCCCGGTAGTTGCTGTAGTGTTGTTGTTACCACCAAAGCCACCAAACGTATTGGTATTGGCCGCAGGAGCACCTCCGAATAAGCCTGTAGATGGAGTGGAAGCAGTGTTGTTGCCAAATGTAGAAGCATTTGCGGTGCCACCAAAGCCGGTGTTCTGGCCAAATTGACCAGCCTGACCATTGGAATTCCCAACCTTTCGACCTTGTAAGTAGTCTTCGACTCGAAGTTCCTCGAAGCTCTTGTTTTTGTATGGCTCCTGGAATGTGATTGACTGATAGTGAGACACCACGCTCCCGCTTGGCTCCCGCTCGGTCCAGGGCTGGAATGGAGCCGAGCCAGTACCCGTGTTGCTGGTTACAGCATTGTTTGAGGCGCCAAACGCAGGAGTGGTGGCCGAGCCGGAAGAGAATGGATTGCCTGAACTGCCAGCATTGTTCCCAAATGCGCCAGTAGTAGCAGCACCTCCAAAGCCTCCAAAGCCCGTTGATGCTGGCTTTGCTGTGGATCCAAAAAGTCCTGAAAACAATTAACATTTCCCTCATGTTGCACATCTGAGTGAGAAGTGAGTGACAGCTTGTATGCTCCATTTCTGTATGGCATTGCAAGCTGCCCCGCCTCTATTCTCACAGACACAAGAACTTACCTCCGCCGCCGCCGCCGCCGAATCCTGTGCTCGTATTGCCTCCGCTCCCAAATCCCCCGAAGCCGCCTCCTGTGGTATTCGAATTGTTTGATCCAAACGCGCTCGCATTGCTCGTCGCTGGCTGAGCACCAAAGGTTGTAGCCGGCTTGGCTGCGCCAAATGTTGAAGCTCCACTCCCAAACCCACCCGACCCGAACCCTCCTGACGTTGTTGTTGTTTGATTTCCTCCAAAGATTGACGGTTGAGATGCTGGGGTGTTGTTGGATGTTCCAAAGCCCGTGGACCCAAATCCGCCAGCATTGTTGCTAAAAAACCCCGACATTGTTTCGATTGTGCTTTGACAGCGCGGAGTTGGGTGAAAAGCGCGCGCTCTTGCGCCGGTGATGGATGTTCTTCCCCTTCAGCAGGTGATGGATGGAAGGTGTCTGGACGGAGAAGTGGGCGTCAGTGTCCAACTTCAAATTTGGTGGAAGAGAAGTCGCGTATGCGTCGGAGCCAAGTATCACGTGCCACAGCCCGATGTCTTCCGCAGTGAAGGTAGCAGGAGCGAAGGTGATGCGAGCGCGTTGCTGATGGAAGGTTTGCTGTGTGGTGGGAGGATGGTCGTACCTATTCGGAAGCTCTCTTGCTCTTGCTCGTCCGTGACACTCGAAAAAACGCCGTGATGATTCACCCCGAACGCGCCATGCAGCAGTTTCGAGAGAATGTCGGGCGAAAACGCGGCGCAGAGAAGCAGAAAGCGCGAGACGTGTGGATGATGGATGTGGAAGCGTGTTTCGCAGGCCAAATCGCGTGGGCCTCAAAAGATGGACGGGAAGTCAAAGCTTGCTCGGGATGGACGGACAGGGGTTGAGCCCGGACCAATCACGAGAAGGCGCTGGACACTTCACTTGCCGTCTTGTAAGACACCTTTCCGCAAATTTGATTGCCTCGATTGAACTTGTTTGAAGCAGAGAGAAATTCTGATCTACGATGGATAGAAGGGTGACATTAAATGGCAGTGGATTGAGTCTCTTATACGACAGTTAAGCCTACTTCAKCTCTCAGGCAGCAGCAGCGACGGCCTGGAAGCTCAGCTACCTACAGTAGACCACGTGCCAATGCTGAACAAGACATTGACGTTTCATCAGTCCTCCTGATCAGACCCAACACAGTCGATCGCACCGTCTTTTAAACAAGCACACATTTCGAAAACATGGTCGTTGGAACCACATACCCTCTCACCATCTCCCCTCCCTCAGCCTTCCACAAATCCCCCGCCGAGCCTTTGAAAATACGGCTCGCAACCCAGTGCGTTGGCCTCCAAATATGCAGCGATCGTCCCTCGTCCAATCGATACTGCAAAGATGGCGTAAAGATACACTTCATACTCGCATCCTCAGATTCCAACACACTTGTGTATTTGGACTTGGGATTCGTTGTACCAGGTACCAGTTGCTCGTCTTCAGAACCCGACGGTGCTGAATGCGGGTTTCCTTCAGCTACAGGAGTGATTTCTAGTTTTCCGGATTTGTTAGTGCAGGTAAAAGTTGGTGCGAGCATCATGCCGGTGTTGATCTGTCTACCACAGAGGATCTTGCCGGTGTTCATAACAGTTTGTGCTAGCCATGCACGATTACTGCTCGCAACGTTCGCGATGTTCTCCATTGGTGATGTTTTCTCCAGAAAGTCGTGCTCGGACTGGATGATATGTTCTTTCCGATATATGAAGTCGTGGCTTTTAGGGTCAATGAGCTTCGTGATATCAGCGGGGAGGATAGGAGACTCTTGTGATGTTGACAGGGCAGTGTCATCGTCAATGGCTAGTCTCAAATTGTTCTCGTGGCTCCAAACAACTTGAGCAAGATGAAGGTAGCCTTTATGGATCAATAGCTTTATCAGCGACCAGACAACCCGGAAGCACATCTTTTGAATGCCGAAGTCATCCTGCGTAGTAGCCATATTGACTCGTGCCCACTCTTCCTGAAATCCTAACTGGACTGGTGAGACGTCGATAAACAAATCGCACAAGAAGATCCATCCAAATGTTGATAAGCCCTCCTCAGTGAGCTGAGAACTTGCCAATCTTCTTGGATTGCTATCTTCTGGGACCCACTCGAGATTCGTCAACGTGCCGTTCATCGGAGGACCCCACGAGTACCCTAGACGCCGTAAACCCAGTGCGCCTGCGCCGCCTTTGATCATTTGATTCTGCACAGGTAGGCAGTCCATTAATGAAAGATCGCCGTTGAGGAAAGCGAGCGCAAAGGCGCTTATGCTGAAACTGTACCCTTCATTCTCCAATTTCTCGGTATCAAGACGAGTGCTAAAGTTGCAGAGATTGCCCAGTATAGCAATTCGATCTGCGATTCGACTGTTTTCTCGTACTGCCAAAGCATGCAAACCTTCAGCGGCACTGCACCTCAACCGATTCCGGCTTCCTATAACCATGGGGCTGGAGCTGGAGTTGTCTGGCATTGTCTTCACAACTTTGCGTTTCAATTGCTCTAGCCACTGGCTGTCTCTCTCAACGTCTTCCGGCCGCTCAGCTCTGGGCTGAGCATGGTCTATGAGCATCCTCAAAATCTTGGCGAGACCCTGGAAAGGTACGATAGCTTCATTTTCGATGGGTCCCTGATGTTCATGCTTGTCAAGTGTGCTATCACATTTGAACATGAGCAACATCCGCGGTCCAGCAGCCCATGACTCTTGCATACACCAGGCTCTTGTAAACCACCTTTCACTATCGATCCATTTAAGAAAGTGCCAGATATCATCATTCGTAATCGCGTTTGCCTTCCATGCTTGGAGCAAGCGCTCAGAATTCAGAAAGTCCAATTGCTTCTGCTCCTGTGCTACAATAGACATCAGTCCCAACGACACCTGCGCATTCTCGTAGACAAGATCCATGGATTGTATGCCGGACTCCTTGTCCTCGCGATCGTTCTGATCAATGCACTCTTGGTCTACCCAAATGGCACTCAGCTGCATGTGGTTGGCAAATTTCAGAGCTCGTTCGATAACCTCATCTGGAGCGTCGCTCTTCTTCTTCCCGAGCTTGGAAGAGAGAGAATAGAAGCCGGCGGGGGGCTTGATGGTTTCGGACGGTTGCGGCCAACAGTACGATACCGCTACGAAATGAGGACAGCTTGGGGCATCATCTCTGTGGGTCACCCATAGCTTATTCGCTTTAGGCTCGACTGGCCGGCGAGACCACTCGTTGCAAGCGCAACTCTGAAAAGTGCCTGGGCGGATCGTTGTAGCAGCATGAGCTTTGCCTGGATTGTCACTGAATGTTGTGTTGTTGCCAGTAAAGCGTGTCTTCTCTTCCCGAACCGGTTGGATCTCTCGCCATACGTCGGGGTGGGATGTGATGAATCTAAGTTTCTCAGACCATTTGTGCAAATCCGACGATTGTCTTGAAAGTTTCGAGAGATTCTCTAGCTGCTTCCGAAAGCTCGCCGAGTCAGGCTGAATGACGCCGTACGACTTGTCGATATCCAAGTTCATATTTGTAGTCTGCAAGACAGCCTTTCCAAGCTTCAAAGGATGACCTCTCGCCGCGTTTGGAGAGTGTTGAGTGCCACACAAAAATGGCACTGCCTCAGGAGAGTTGAGATGGAACTCTTCGAATGAAATGGCTGTGCACTCTGTATCGCTCAGGCAGAATGATGGTGTATTTGGTTCTGTCAAACAGGATAGTCACMTTCCATCTCACCTATCTTTGCTCCCGATCTTGTTTAGAAGTGGGGTCCTGCGGCTGAGGCTGAGCTCACCATACAAACCTGCGAAGGATCGAGCACTAGGGTGAATGCAGCCTTCGCTAGAACACCTGCAGGCCTCCGAACGGCATCGGCCACGCATCATGAAAAGGCATCACTTCGAAGCGTTGGCGAGACTCCCGTCGAGGAACCAGTTTCTTGGCATCTGCAAGGCTCAAAGTCCTGTTACTTGCTGCAGGTAGCCGTTTCGATCGAGGCGTGCTATCGACAGGCTGTTTGTGCTGTAATGTAAAACTGGGCATGACCTGTTCGATACAGCGTTATACCCCACATGCTCGGAGTACGCCAACGCCATTTGTGGCGTCTCATTTCATCTGCTATCCTTCAAAGTGAATGAGTGTAGATGGAAAGGCGATGTAGAAACAAAATCATCTGTCGCGTGCTGCTTTGTCATACGGCTAATTCCGTACACGCTAGTGGATCGCCGTCGCCGCCGATGTGTTTCCATCATCGTCGGCGTGAATGACCACATTGTTCCACATCATCTCTACTTATTCGATCCCGCGCCACTCGACTTCCTCCCCGACTGAGCGTCCAATCTGTCCGCGCGGCGCAGACCGCTATCATTTCGACAATCGCCAACATGGCGCTCCACAACCCTCGGAGCCTCATCCAGGCCGCCACGATCGCATCCAAGGGATTGGGGAGAGCATCACTGGGCGGTGCAAGAGCGGAGACATGTACATCTGGTCTTTGGAGGGCATTTTCGTCGGGCCCTCCGGCTGCTCGATCGTTCGCCTCCATAACCTCTAGGACCAACACGTTCACTCTACGCACACCGACTCGCACGTCTTTCACCGGCCTAAATCAGAAGAGGAGTATCTTCGGCGCAGCGACTTGGGGATCCCAAGGCTCTTCGGTCAACCAGAACATGCTTGCGCAAATGGAGCAGACTGCGAACAACAATCCCACCAGCGCCACTGCGCAAAACGCCTTCTACCAAGCTCTCCTCCGCGCCAACATGCCTCAGATCATCGTCGAACGCTACAATACTGGACGCTACGCCACGAATGCCTCTACCGATCAAGCCTACTCTCGTGCCCTTTCGCTAGCCGGAGGCGCCACGTCTGGAAACACTGCAGGCTTGAATACTTCCGGTAACAACAATGGATACACTCGCGAGCAGATGCAAGCTGCTGGTCAGGCAATCGGTGCGAGACAGGGCGGCGGTAATCTCAGCATGCTATCTCCAAATGGTGCATCTGGTGGAAAGATGGAGCCYCTGTATGTCGTTGTGGATGAGAGCTGGGGAAGCACCATCTTCAAATGGACCAAGTTCGTCGTCGTTACCGGAGCCGTTCTCTACGTTTCATTCGTGTTGCTCACTCTACTGGTTGAAGGAGCAGGAATGCTCAAGAAAGTCGGAGGAGGGCAAGGCAAGGAAGCGCAGCCTGAACTGCAAACTGCTAGGTTCTCTGATGTGCACGGGTGCGAGGAAGCCAAAGAGGAACTTCAAGAACTTGTCGAGTTTCTCAAGAACCCCGATCAATTCAGTGCTCTTGGTGGCAAGCTTCCCAAGGGTGTGCTTCTCGCTGGACCTCCCGGTACCGGAAAGACCCTCCTCGCACGTGCAGTAGCAGGGGAGGCTGGCGTTCCCTTCTTCTACATGTCTGGTTCCGAGTTTGACGAGATCTATGTCGGTGTAGGAGCTAAGCGCGTCCGCGAGCTTTTCGCCTCTGCCCGTGCAAAGAGTCCTGCCATTATCTTCATTGACGAGCTGGATGCCATTGGTGGCAAGCGTAACGAGCGCGATGCATCCTACGTCAAACAGACTCTCAACCAACTTCTCACTGAACTCGATGGTTTCGAGCAAGACACGGGTGTCATCATCATCGGCGCAACCAACTTCCCATCATCGCTTGACAAGGCTCTCACTCGACCTGGACGCTTCGATCGCAATGTTGCCRTTTCGCTACCTGATGTTCGCGGAAGAATAGCGATCCTCAAACATCACATGAAGAACATCAAGACTGACGCGTCAGTTGATGCAGCAGAAATCGCCCGTGGTTCGCCAGGCTTTTCAGGTGCTGATCTCGAAAATGTTGTCAACCAGGCCGCAGTTCGCGCTTCGAAGAACAAGCAGGCCAAAGTTACGATTAAGGATCTCGTTTGGGCAAAGGACAAAATTATGATGGGAGCCGAGCGTAGGAGCGCCATCATCCAGCAAAAAGACAAGGTGATGACAGCTTACCATGAAGGTGGTCACGCATTGGTCGCGATGCTCACAGAGGGCAGCATGCCACTCTACAAGGCTACCATCATGCCACGAGGACAAGCATTGGGAATCACACACATGTTGCCTGAAATGGACAAGGTCAGCGAGACGAAGAAAGAGCTGAAGGCAAGGATCGACGTGGCGATGGGTGGTAAAGTAGCAGAGGAGCTCATCTACGGCGAAGACAATGTCACCACGGGAGCAAGCTCCGACATCCAGAACGCTACCGCCGTCGCGTACATGATGGTCACTCAGGCTGGTATGAGCGATAAGCTGGGTAACATTGATCTCAGTTCCGACTATGCCCGACTCTCGCCGCAAACGAAGCAAGCGATTGAGGGCGAAGTGAGGAGGTTAGTGGAAGAAGGACGGGCACGTGCCACCAAACTTCTCACCGACAACCGCGAGGCACTTGCGAGACTGGCAAATGCGCTAGTTGAGTATGAGACACTTGATCGTTCAGAGATGGAGAAAGTGGTGAAGGGTGAGAAACTTCCCCCGCAGAAGATGAAGGTTGATCCAGACACCCCTGTCAAGTTGCCTGAGCCCGGGAACACGCTTCCTGCTCCTCCGAGACCAGGAATGCCAGTGGGCGAGGATGAAGTTGGTGGAATCCCGCCCACTCCCGTGGAAGGTACTTCAGGCAGCCCGTATCCAGCCAGGAATTCTTGAAACAGAGGATGATGAGCGAAATTAGAGAAACGAAATTGAAATGAAGATTTCAAAAGGAGGTTGATGAAAGTCGGTCGCTGCAGCTGCAGCTTTGCACGCACTCAGGCTGGCTTAAGGAGTCATTGACCCCATGACTGTCACGTAGCAGAGACGCCGGATCGGCGTCCTCTCAGCGATCATTGGACAGAACGAAAGAATATGGGGATTCGCGGGAAAGAGCAGTTCTAGAGCGAGCATTACCGGTTCCTTTTGTAGTTGTATTGTGTAGGGAACGCAGGAGATTGAATAGACAAATGTCTCTCAAGTACGATGGAGGTCAGCTCAATTAAGAGGTAAGGCAGCCATGAACCCTCAAAGTCAATTGAACTGCCTTTTTTCAAACAAGATATTGATTGCTAGGCGTCCTCGAGTCTCATCTAACGGTAGAGCGCCCTTTCACTACGCAGAGATATAATTTAGCCTACCTTACAGGCGCAACTAACTACTTATTTACACTCTCGCAAGGTGCAATAGAATCAACGCCATAGATCGGCGAGAATGGAACGGAAACTGCCTCTCCTACCGAAGATACAAAGACACTCTTGCTCAAGTCCCCTCGAACAGCAGGGCGACTTTTCGCAACGCAGAGAAAAAGTTCGATCTTTTCTGTCTGGCTGGCGTATGGTCGTATATTCACATGTGTGTCTATACTATATACTCTCGATATGCCAGAAATACTACAATTCTAAAAGAGTACTTTTCGTCTTCGGACTGTAGTTAAATAAGTCAATAATCTTTCCGACTTCTTGTCTGATACCTACCTAGGTATGCTAGAATATATAGTTCGCGTACTCATTGCGACATCAATCTCCGGATACCGCATGTTTGTGCGAAATGGCACTACGTTCTTCAAACCGGCAAGATGGGGATATGTATTGCGTTGAGAGCTTCTTCCTGACAAGACGGCCTCACAAAAGTGTCACTGGCTGTCTTGCTGTGTTGCTCTCAATCTTGATTCTGAATTTCCTCGCTACCCCAATAGACATCGCTAATCATCTGCGAGGGCTGCACTTGTCCCAAGTAATTATCCATCTCATGTCCGTGCTCTTCTTCGAAAGATACACCCCCGCCGACACAATTCGCTTTCCTGCTCTCCTAGTCGGCTATCAGCTTCTCCTCTGGTATGTTCTGCAGGTGGTCTCTCTCCCTTTTCCTGACTGCTTCCTTGTCCATCTCCGACAGTTCATAGTAGGCATCTTTGTGCTTTGTTGAATGCCAGCCAGCTTCTCACGTTCTAGCATGTTCAGAAGTCTGTCCCTCCGTGCTCCGTTGTACGACAGCCTCTCATTCTCCAGCCGGTTCTGATAAGTTCCATTGTGAGCTTAGTTGGCGGCGACTCTCTCATCCTACGGCATGCTGCTGCGAGCTCTGATGGCGGCGACTCTCTCCTCTGGCCTGTTCCGACATGAATCCCTGCGAGATTCGCACCATTGCGACCTTACAAAAGCGTCACCAAATGACTCGCAGCTTTCAATCCAGACTTCCGTCGCTTMCCAATCAGCATCGTCCACCATCCACAAGGGCCGCAATTTGCCCATAAACATGTCCCTACACTCCAGCGCATCTTGTCACTCCATCTTCAAATCGTTCAGCTGGCTGATAGATTTGCACCGCAAGACTGCGTTCTTCAGACCGTCAAGGTTGGGATATGCTTTCCTCTCTGAACTTGAAGAGGAGGATGCTCTTGCTCTTGCTCTGGGACGCAGTCTTCATCTTTCGTTTGGAGATTCTCTAGCCTCTCAATCCGCTTATCGATGAGATTAGTGTCGATGATAACGTCATGTAACTTATTCTCTAGAATGCGGGAGCCGTCATCCATGACACCATGTAGAACCCAGCCAAGAATAAGTCTTTTGTCGACTTTCTGATTCAAGCCAGCGACGAGCGTGCTGCTTGTGAAGTGGGAGGAGAGGGTCGTTCCCATGAAGATCCTGCAAGTCATGTCAGAGAGAATATAAGAGAGAAGACCAGAATGCTGTCTTACGTACCTTGGTGGAACGCCAATTACCGTGCACATCCTTGATACCGAATCTCCAGCAAGRGATGTGGTGAAATGCATATTGTTCTCAGGTTCGGAATCATTCCCATGACGATCTCGATGCTTGTATTTTCCAGATCAAATGGTGAGAACTGATCGGGAAGTTGAGGTAACTTCTTCGGAGGCCAACGTAGGAGGAGGAGTTTGGATTCCTTCATGTCGTCGGTGCCATTCGGGCGGTCATTCTCCTATAATCCATTGAATTTGTCCCGCATCCTCCGTCAAGAGCTCCTGCTCGAAGTGCTCGACAAGGCGTGAGGACCATGTGAGCCGCGGCACGGGATTCGCGCCCGCCATGGCGACAATGGCGATGGCTTTGAACTTTTAAGATCGATGGATCTCTCCACAACCCTGCCAATGCGAAGACATTCCGCAGCTTCATCCAGTCTCCTCGTCCAGAGAGAGCAGCGCTCGGCAACTCAAGGAAGATAGATTCCGATCCAGCCAAGAACCCAGAGAGTCCATCAATCAGATTGTCGAAGTTCCGGTAACGGTCTCCAGGCCTTATACTTAAAAGGACCATCCACAGGCTCAAAGTCCAATAATTCCCGCTCATCATTCATCATCAACCCATCATCAACCCTCAAAGACTCCACCCTCACACTCTTCCTCACGACAATCTCTCCACTTCCCTCCGAAGACCCATCCAGACTTGTACCCGAACACCTACCCCTCAGCTCCGCCAAACTGCGACTCCCCAAAGATCTCAGAGACTTGACGTTTCCAACCCTAGATATCCTTCACCATCAGCCCAGTCCTCCTCCCTCTAAACGATCAAATCGAGATAGAAAATGCAAGCAAGACACCGAAAAAACTCACCACCTCAAAATAGCCCTAGCCTGCCGTCCCTCCGCTCTCCCTTCATCCTCTTTCAAACAACCCCCTCGACCTTCCTCTCCATCCTCTTCAGCCACAGTAGTAGGAAACGGATTAAATCTCACAATCGTCGCTAGTCCCGCCGAAGGCTCCAAGTCTCTAGCAAAACATTCCACACATCGACCCACGGGTTTGGTGATTTTCATTCCATATGGTTCGCAGCGGTAGTGAGGATCGATGGCACGGAGACAGGTATCTGGGACTGTGACGACGTGGCCGCAGGTGTATGATGTCAGGTATGTTCCGTGGCACATTATTTCCGTTTCTCCATTCGCTTTTTTTCTCGTTGGGTTGGTATTGATTGATATCCTATTTTGATGGATGATGTAGATGGAGTGCCGGTGAGCACTTTTCTGATTCTTCAAAAAGACAACTCTAGAACATGCATGTGACGATGGAAGAGCAAGGTATGACGAGTATGACCAGAAAGAAAGAGGAAAGAAAGACGACGTAACATAGCAGCATGTCTTCGCGAACGTGCCAGCAAACGCATGGTGGATCCCTGCATCTTTTACCTTTTTTTACCCCAGCTCTTCGTGAAAAATAACCTTTTTTGACGGAAGTCAACGGGCCAAAGCATATTCCACAAAGACGAGGCGAGGCGGTGAAAGATTGACGCCAACCGCACAACCAACACGAATCGAAAGCCAATGGCCAATCGAAACCGAGCGATATAATAATAATACACCGCTCATCAATTGATAATCCACCCACAACCTGAGGCATTAAAAATCAAACACTCATCATCATCATCATCATCATCACCATCAAGGCATAATCTTCACCTCCGTCTGGAATCCCACCTTTTGCAATCGTTCCAGATATGGTGCTCCCAAAGTCGCGGGCGTGAGAATTCCCCCTCCGACTTCATGCGCAAAAGTCTTGTCTCTGGCAAGCGTGACAGCGGCTTCTGCGAGGCAAGTTCCCGTCAATTGATACATGGATCCCTGGTATCGGATTCTGCCTTGGGCACGCTTGGGATCGTTGGGGTCGGTGGAATCTGCGAAAGCGATCGCGCGCCATTCGCAGTGATCTTTCTCTGTTTCGGCTTTGGTGGGTCCTGTGCCCGGTGCATAGACGAACTTCTTCAACGCCCATCGCACAGGTGGGAGCATCAAAGATGCGAAGCCGAATGTCATGGCTAGGTGAGTTGCAAAAGCGTAGAGGTTGGAGGAGGTGCGGTTGTAGATGTTGATCTTGAAGTTTGGACCGTAGAAGTTGCCCTTGTCGAAGAGAGACCAGGAGCGGTTGACGATTGGGATATCGCTGGGTCCTTGAAGACTGTCCGTCAAGATGCCAAGATCTGGGTCCATGCGAATTCCAGTCGCCTTTTCGTAGAGAGGTTTGGAGGKAGCCACTGTAGGAGGTGGGATGGCACTGAGAGAGTAAGGCGACATGCTCTTCGCAAGATGACCAAGCCCGTAGGTGTCGAAGAGGGTGAGAACAGTGTCGAGGGTACCACCACTTGGGGTTGCCACCATGGAGTGGACCGTGTTGATGATTTCTGCGGTGCCGACGGATAAAGTCTGACGAATGTGATTCACAAGCATCCAGCACATGAGGTCGCTGGGTGCAGATTCCACCCCATTCTRCGGAATCATGATGGCTCCCGTCTGCTTGGCGAGCGATTCATACTTGGCAATCATATCATACACCCAGGGCACTTCTCCGGTGCAGTCCAAATAGTGAGTTCCAGTCTCCGCACATGCTTCGAACGCCGCAGAGCCATATTTGTGGTACGGTCCGACGGTTGAGATGAAAACTTTGGTCGTCTTGGCCAATTTGACAAGATCTTGCTTGTTAAGCTGTGCAATCTCAATGGCAGGCTGGTGGCGATCCGGGTTGATTTGGCGCAGCTCGTCGGCGATGGTCTTCAATTTGCTCTCCGAACGTCCAGCAATCGCCCATTTCAAGTCTGTGGGTAGATTTTGGGCAATGTGTCTGGGGAGGCATTCATTAGCGAGGGTCGTGTTTCCTGTTCCATCAAATTTCTCACTCTGCTGTGTATTTTCCGGTGTATCCCGTCGCTCCCCAAACTACAATCTCAAATTGTCGCTGTCCTTGAGACATGTTGATATCGTGAAATGTGTGTGAAATGGGGAGAAGGAAGGGGAAAGTCAAGTTTTTCGAGATATCTCCAACGATGATGATGCTGCCTCGGAGCGGAAGCCTCAAAGAGACACGCGACCGATGCGAACGTGCCTATCTATCACAGCAACGAACGTCCCACTCTGGGGTTGAAGATGGGAGGCTGTGGCGCTGTAACCGATCAATCTACACAGATCAAGAAACAAGTGCTCTTGCGATGGATTCGGTGGATTCTGATATCAGGTTTCGAATGTGTTGATGGTGAAGACCTCACACTCCGTCATCCTTGCGATTGTGTTCTCAAAGTCTCCACTTAAGAACTGAGCATGTATGCCTAAGGCTTAAGTAGCTACGTAACTTAGGCAGGACTATATAGCCGAGGAATTTTCCCTTAAGTAAATTTAATTAAAGAGTTCATCTATTTTAGAATATCTAGTAGCTAAGAGCTTAAGTCTAGCTCCTTAGCTAGACCTATAGTCTRCCTCGCCTACTTAGGGCTAGTAGGCTAGCTAGTTCGTCCCGTTGCCCTATATAAGACGATTTAGAAAGAAGCCTACTAGCTTAAGAACACGCATCTTAGATATTAATACAGCCCTTAGATTAAAGCGACGAGAACTCTTCCGCTAGACTACCTTAGGAGTTAGCTTAACGCTAGCGTTACGCTATATACTTCCGTAGCTAGGTAAAAACTCTAACTTAGACCGTATACCTAAGCTAGAGCCCTTAGAAGCGCTTTATAACCGTTATCGGAGCCGTAGTAGCTCGCTCTACCTTATCGAGTAAGGGCTATACTAAGAAAGTCGCCGATATAGCGCTTAGATACGCTATATCCTATAAGAATCCCTCTTAAGCATATACTACTATAGCTAAGCTAGCGCTAATCGCCTTAGCTTAGCCGAGTATCCTAGAAATATAATATACTATATCTTAGATAACTATAATAGGCACTTAATACATTATATACGGTAACCTATTTCCTTCCGCCCTACTTAAAGGTATCTTAGTAATTCGCCGCTATAGCGCTTAAGAAAAGCTCTATACTTAAACGAAGTAGGATGCTTTAATTTAAAAGGAAGAGTTATAACCTTTCTCTCTTAAAGTACTATACTATTCTACCTCTATAATACTATCTACCTTTAACCGACTAAGCTATTATAGTAATAGCTAACCTATCTAAGGTAAGAGACGAGGAAGGCTCTTCTCGCCCTTAAGATACCTCTTAAGCCGAGTAAGCCCCTCTACTTATCGTCGTAGGACCTTCGAAGCCTATACGACGCTCGCTTAAGCGCGAGTCGTACGACTTCTACTCCTTAGCCGATATAATCGACAACTTTTAGTTGCACTCCTATATCTAAAACCCTCCTTAGGGAGGATAACTTAAGGCTATACTAGAGGCCTTAGATATAGAAGACGCTACCTTTAGGACCTACTTAAGAGCCGTCGCCGCTAGGCTTTAAGAACTTAAAACCGAAAACAAGCGACTACGCGAACACGATATACTTAACTAGGGCACTACTATCTTACGCGGACTAAGCGACCTAGGGTTAGTACGGTTCCGTCTTAACGACCCTCCTACTACTATCTAAGCTAATAGAGGTAATAGGGGTAGTTAAGTACTACTAACCGCTCCGGGATTCCCTAAAGACAGCTCTAATTTAAGCGGATTAGATAATAACGACGGCATATTAAGGGACCGTCGCTATAGAGGTTCTAAACCCTCTAAGAGAGCCCCTCGTATTAAGGGGACTATTAGCATCCTAGCTAACTACTATAGGGATATTAAGGACAATGTAGCTACTCTCTAGGTTTAAGAGCTTAACCGCTACTTAAATAATATAATTACTCTTAACTAGAGGTTTAGACCTATAGAAGAGGCGCTTATTAGCCTTATCGGGGGCTTAATAAAGAAGAATATATTATCCTAGTAGGAAGATTAGGAAACTAAGTTTAAGCCTCTTATCTATTAAGGAAGCTATATCTTAGAGATAATGCTTAACGGTCTCTAAAGCTACTTCTAGGATTACTACTACTAAGAGAAGCTATAGAAGGAATTCCGCCGCTTTAAGCAGCTAGGGAGTATTAACTCCTTCTACTATAAGTTAATAATAGCTTCTAGCCTTCTCTAGCCTAAGCCGGATAATCTTACTATCTATTAAGCCTTTTACGATAGCTTAAAGCTTAAGATCCGTATAGAACTTATTTGCCTTAGCTTAACTCCTTAGAAGTCTGTCTTAAAGCCTATCGTAGACTAAGCCTAGCGAACTAATGTAGCTAATATAAAGATTACGGAGTAACGTAGAGAGCCTCGCTTAGATTAAGTAGGCTTACGTAATCGCTCTAACCGAGCTGCCTATCGCTCCCTTAGAGGAAAGAAGAGAGCTACCTATTAGTAGTTAGAATACCTAAACTCCTTAGACTAACGTATTAGGCAAGACAACTTACGTAAGCCTACTTCGACTAACTTCTCTCCGAAGTGTTATAACTACGGAGTAGCTAGCTATATCTAGTTTAAATGCTCTAAGTAGCTCGAGCTAGAACTTAAGGCTAAGTAACGTAATTAGGAAGCTCGTAATACATCTAAGTTAAAAAACTAAGTAACGATTTATTAGAGGACAATAAATCGCTCTAGCAATTGTCCTTACTCTCGATACCTCTTAACGCTCGCTTCGATTGCTTAAATACTATTAGGACTAATCTTCTCTAAGCCCTAGGCTTGCTAGGGAAGGACACCTAAGTCCTAGCTAAGTTCCTATTCGATACTATAGCTTTAGGAATCTACGTCTCTAAGGACATTACTACCTAGTTCCCTTAGTATTAAGTAGATCTTCCTATTAGGCAAGTTAAACTCCCTAACGGCCGCTTAATAGAAAGCTTAACTAGTATAGAGATTCTATACTAGCTTAGGAACTTT